GAAGTAATTGAATATGCAAACTAATTCACAAGAATTCTCAATTAGAAACCTAGATTAATAAGGTTTAGAGGTGTATTTGTTAAAACGAGATTGTCTACGGCCATACCTAGGCGAAAACACCAGTTCCCGTCCGATCACTGCAGTTAAGCGTCTGAGGGCCTCGTTAGTACTATGGTTGGAGACAACATGGGAATCCGGGGTGCTGTAGGCTTTCTCTCTTTACTTTTTCTACTTTTTAAAAGTTATTGGATTTATCTTTTATTTTACTTTTGCAATTGTCTTGGAAGAGATCGAACTGTTGTATACTTGCTGCAGATCGGTTACTTGCCAGGTGACAATACACAAAAAAGGTCTTTTTTGAAAGTAAATTCATTAGTCACCTTATGCTATTAAAGACTAATTCATCATATCCAAATGCAATTATTATTACAGTAGCCTTGTATATGAATCTAAAGTGATACCAACGATTCTCAGTTTTACTGTTCGTTCTAGTTATGTTATTACAATAAAATTAACCCATTCATCGCCTCTCAACCGGCGGAAAACGCAAGCATGCCTTGTCCAATGTTTTCCGTGAATTTCCAACACCGAAGGTTCATGTCGTAGCCAAGTCAGCTAATAGATAAAGTATAAAAATGCTCAATAAAGGCACAAAAATAAATATTCGGTCGAAATAGACCGCTTGTAATGTTCTTTTTTTTCACTTATTTAACTCTCGATCGGAAGAGTTAAAGCTCATGATGAAAGAAAGGTAAACAAATTAGCTGTAAATTTGAGTGGTAGGATTGCGCTGCAGCTCTATTTCTTCGTTTGTAGTCGTCAACGGAGGAGCTAGTGCATGATCCCTTTGTTGATATTTGGGCAGCGTAGGCGAACCGGTGTTTTCAGCTGAGCGCTCAAATTCCATTCCAAGGCCAAAAACAAGAATGTTATGAATTCCCCAAAAAATAGCACCAACGAACCATGCAAGACCTTTGAAGCCAGTACTAACGTACCATGCAAGACCAACCACGATAAAGATTACAACTATAGCGGCAATCCGTACTGTCAATATGAAAGGCCAAATAAGTGCTAGGCTTTATTAATAACACATATTCTAATAACGTTTGCGATTAACAATAATGCTCCACTTACCACAGAAAGAAGCAAAGAATATTGCCCATGTCACAAGAAAAATGCCTGAAGGTCCAAGAAGGGCCCAACTGCATCCATTTTCCATATATACTTGTTTCAGAAAAGAAAAAAGTTCGAAACGATGGGAGATTGCTAATGTACAAAGCAATGATAAAACCAATATCAAACTGAAAAACATCCATTTACTTTTAACGACTACATTTTCAGGGAAATAATGATCTATATTCTTCCTAAAGTCGGTAAAGAAACCATTGAAGTCGTCGGACTCAACTATTATCGTTTTTTTGTTATGTTTGGCTTTAACAAATGTTGAATTGGAAGGGTTGTTTTTGTCTTTTGGTGTATTCAAAGGAAGTCCCTTTTCGAGATCAACATTGTAAACATTAGCATGGTTGTACGCAGGAGGGTCGCTTGAATCCAGTTTCAGCTCCTTTTCCGACATCCTAAAAATAAATAAAGAAAAATTTCAATGAATAATTAGCAAAAGAACGTCACATAAAAGCTGTTGATCCGTATTCGATGCAAAATTGCAAATGTTCAGAAGCCGCTAAGAAAGGCGAAATTGAACGGGATTTAGCTCAAAGTAAATTTGAATCTCAATCTTTCATCTAAAATGGCTCAGGCTTTAATCACGATCAGCCAAGTTGGCAGGAATTGAAAAATAAAATGTTGGTTCCAGCAGGAAATTTCGCATCACTTACGCAGTTTGCGTCACAAAGGAAAGTAACAAGCTCCATGATATGCAATTATTTATGTGTTCATAAACAATACTATTAGCTAACTAGTTGCTCTATTTATAAGGCCTTCCTTGCTCATATTTATTCTAAAGCAAGTAAAGCCATTTGTGTTGTCACCACGTTGAACTTAACACACTCTTCTAGAATTACTTTTTTATTTCCATGTCAAAAAATGTTTCCTCAGTAAACAAATATGAAACAACGGTAGCATTTCTACGTCAATGTAGATACTTTTTCAAGCTTAAATCAATCGATCACCGAAAAGAATTCTTCAAAGGCCTAATTGACCATTATATGAATCCCACTAAGCTTGCAATGGCCTACAGTAAACTTACTTCAGCAATACCATTCTGGTTCCCTTCCGATCATTTTAGCTAGTTTGAGATTTCCAATTATAGCTCTCTTTGTACTATGCTTAGAGACAACCTAGAGATCCGGGTACTGTCGCTTTCGATTTCGACATCAACTTTGATCATTTCCAAATGCCTTGTGATGTTTCCTGATGAAGGAGTAAGGAATGACATGAAGTCGGAGACTTAAAAAAATTGCAGTCTTGTAAATATTCGCAATTTGTTTCCTGCTGCTCATCCCTACTTATTAAGATACTTATCCTGCCTTTTCGATGTATTCTATAGCGACATATGTAGTAGCATTTCGTTTTATGGTCTTTCTAAATTCAGAAAAATGCTGGTAGTTCTTAAATTTTTTTATCTTATTGTAAGGTCTGAATTCAAGTATTGTAATCTACGGAAAACGTAAAAAAATACAGTACGAAAATCATTGTAACTGCTAATGTTTCTGCCTCATGTTTCGAGGAAATCCTTTAAAACCATTTCAATATGAACTTTTGTCCTCTCTATAGATATAGAATCATAGGTTATATAACAGTGAAAATTTACAACACTTTTAGCCTTCTAAATCTTCTTTTTTCCTAGTATAGAGTATCCCACATAGTACCGTGCTTTATCACTTGGGTAGTTTCGCTTTATATGACCCCCCACAGCAGAAAAAGTATTTTAAAAACTACTTACAGTTGTTTTAGCTATTTTGTTACATATAATATTTATAAAGAAATCTATTTCTGTTCCTACTTTAACTAAAAATTTACCTAGGGTTTTCTCCTGTTCAGCCAAGTATATCCTTCAGGTTCCTTACTAGCTATCATGTCTTTTTTTAAAATCCCCCACCTTATCAATTGCCCCAACCCCCACACTGTGCTAGAGCTCGTTATTTATTGTATTTGTGGATACTTACGTTCTTTCTCCTAGAACCTTTACCTTTACAACAAATATCTTAGTTGGTTGTGTTACCCGAGATTTCTTCTACGTGAAAGAATCTTTCAAAGGATAGGATAAAAAAATGAATTCAGAAGCTAGCGTATTTAGTAATATGGACTGGTAAGTGGATGTTGACTGGTTTCGTGGTTTTCAATAGGTTCAGAAAAAAATCGTAGGACATGGAAGAAAAAAGCAAAGGAAGAAACTTACATATCCTTGCACTCTTCTTAAGCCGGTTTGAATTCGAGAGGGGACTTTTTTTGCTGAAATGAGATGCTATTATGAATGCAGGTATTAACACAATTTTTGTAGGAGCCAATTGGCAAATTCGTTGAATAAAAAAGAAAGCCAACCTACTTTATCTTCTAACAACAATATGTATCCTCAGTTATCATCTTATATGAATCCAACCGGAGCTAATGGAGTCGGATCTCCTGCAAATTTGCATGTAGATCCAACAGTCGCTGCTGCTTCAGAGGCTCATAGAAAACTATCTTTAAAATCAGGTAATTTATGGGATTCGTATGGTGTATCTTCATCTACCCCTACTATGCCTTCGTTTTCTTCGAACATTAGCAACCCAACCAGTTCTGGTCACAACGTCTCTTCCGTGAATAACAATAATGTGAGTGAAAAAGGTCCTGTTCTAGCTTCTACTGCTTCTTCTATGCCCACAGCAGCTTCCAATACATCCGCTACCGACCCTATGGCTTCATATCCAAATTCTACGTCGATTGGAGGAAATCCTTTGGGCTCGATGGATTCGAATTCGGGTTTCTTCCCTCCTAAAAGCTATGCATCTCCTTTTCCTAATGCATTGGCGACGGAAGGCATGTCACCTAAGTTTTTGAAGGATCGATTTCCGTCTTCAAATTCCGTAGCTGGAACGGGTTCTCCCAGGGTTGGAAGCCCTTTCACTTCTTTTACGAGAGCTTCTTTAAATGCCAGCCCTTCCACTACCTCATTACCTCAGTCTCGCTCAGTTGGATCTAGTATTAATAACCCTTCTGCTTATGGCTGGCTTCCTCAGCAACCCAATTCGATACCGGCAGCTTATGCTGCAAATACCTCGCAAGTGGATGCAGATCCTGCGTTAGCCCAATTTTCATCTGCTGGTCATGCTTATGATTCTCCGAGTAACGCGACTACCCTCGGTACCTCGAATTTAAACGGTACCTCCGGGTATCAACAATTTGCTGGTAACTCTCAGCCTGAAGCTTTACCTGAAACCATAAATTCGCCTATGCGACGCGGTTCTGCTCGGCTCTCAAACTCGCCTGTTTATCCCATTGGTGCAAGTATGTCTGCCCGAGACGTTGACTCACCTTTGAACATCTTAGTAGATAAGGCTAAAGCGAAGATTTCTATGAATGACAATGGAGCTTCCACCAATTCTGTTCGTGCCCAGTCTATCCCTAATCAGACTGCATCCAATTTTTTCCCTCCAGAAAATTTTCCTCAGCATTTAGCTTCTTTGATCCCACCTGCCGTTTTACGCTGGCTTTATAAGGATCCTCAAAATAATATTCAAGGTCCCTTTAGTGGCGTAGACATGCATCAATGGTATCGCGCTGGTTATTTCCCGTTGAGTCTTCCGGTTAAACGTCTCGAAGAGGAGGAGTATTATTCTTTGGCCTTTTTCATTCGTCAAGTTGGAAATCAGTTAGAACCCTTTTTAGTACCGTTGTCTCCTGTCTCAGTGCAAAATAATCAAAACCCGTCTTGGAATGCTCAAGGTACGGATTTACCTTCGAGCACTTATATCCCTAATGGTGAAAATGAAACATCAGAAAAAGGTGATATGAGGGACCGGAAAGAGTCATTGCAACTACAACATGAGGGTATCCCCGCAAAAGCATCTACTCAACCTCAATCTCAATCATTGGTAGAAACTATGGTGAATCAGCGTGATGATGGTAATTCTAAGGAAGAACAACAGGTTGCTACTTCTTCCTCAAATATTATGAAAGAAGGGGAAGTGAAGGATACCAACAATGAACAATTGGCTGGTCAAGTGAAGGAAAAAGAATATAACTTATTAGATCAAACCGCTGTTGACTCTGATTTGACGAGAGATTTGAAGTCATTGGAGCTTAAGGAAAAGCATTCCAAAGACGAAGCTAAAAATAGAGCTGAACTTGCCCAAAAGGTTGGTGAACCTCAGTTCGTCCATAACAAAGCTGAACCTCCTGCATCTGAGTTGGGAACTACTACTCCACGTCCTTCTCCTTGGAAGCCTTTGCCCAGTAAGCCTATGCCATCGCTCGATGAAACCATCCACAAGGAGATGGAAAATGCCTTAAACAGCGAATCACCAGGCAAGAATGAGAAGGTAAACCAAAAGCCAGTGAACATTCAACCCTCCGTCCCCGCGGAAGCAGGGTCTCCTTGGGCTAAGGTGAATGATGTGGCTACTTCTATTTCGCAAGAAATTCAGCGTATGGAAAAGCAAAACGAGACTTTGAAAACTAAGACTGCTGCTCAAGCGCAAACTCAAACTCAAGCCCAAGCTCAGGCTGAAAATGTTGCTGCTACTGTAAAACCGGCTCCTCAAACACTAGCATCTACTTCGGTTTGGGGCTCCGGTTCTGTTAACCCTCCTAATGCTTGGTCTAAACACGCCGCCTTGAAGTCTCCAATGTTGAAGAAAAATATTCAACAAGCCGAAGCTAATGCTAAGCAGCAACCTTCAGTAAACACAACAACGACAGCAGCCGCCGTTGCAAATGTTACGAACGCTCGAAATGTTACACCTGCTGCTAAAGTAAAACCTACAGCCTCAGTTCCTGCTCCTTCAGTACCGAACGAGGAGAACAAAAAAATAAGTGCATTCTTAGAAACTGCTATTGAATCTGAGGATAGCTGGTCAGTTGTAGGACCGGGAGGTAAAGTGGTTAATCAACAACCCCCTGCTACGACCGCAGGTAACCGCTCCCCATCTTCCAAACCCTCTGTTGTAACTGCTGCCCCAACTTCTCAGAACAACACATCTAAGCTACAACAGGTTATTTCTTCATCTGGTCTCTCTCCTGAATTTCTTTCTTGGTGTAAAATCTCTTTGAAAGGATTAAACGAAGGTGTAAATTACGAAGAATTTTTGAGTATGTTGTTATCTTTCCCTGTTGAGTCCAACACGGAGGTTGCCGAGATTATTTCTGATTCCATATATGCCAATAGTACCACCATGGATGGTCGTAGATTTGCTGGCGAATTTATGCGACGTCGTATGGCAGATTTGTCTGGTAAAGATGAAGGTTTAACCGGTATGATTACTAAAGGTCAAGAAAATGGTAGCTTTGGGGCTTGGAGTCAAGTTGCTCGTACTAAGCCTAAGCAGGGAACTGAATGGAATTCTGCTTTTAAAGTTGTTACCGGTAAGAAAAACAAGAAGCGTTCTTAAAGGTAATACAGAAAAGTTGGGTCGGCTATTGTATTATACGTATAGAAAATTTTCTACTAAATACTTAATAAACGAATTAATTTCGAGTATTAATAAAAAATATTATCAACCGATGAATTAATTTATGATAACTCAAATGAATGCCTAGTTATAAATATTCTAATTAAAGTCATTTCAAAAATTTGCCACGTTTATGGCAGTATGAAGCCAGTCAGGGAGCATGGAATTCCAGATTACTGTTACGTTTGTATAGGATGTTCTATAAAATACAGAAAAGTCGGTAGGATAGAGTGTGAGTTAGGAAAGAACTTAAATTTTCCTGAAGATGTCATTATAGCACTGTCCATAACGATTTTGATGACTGTGAAGAGGTGATGGGTTAAGTCAATTGAAGTACATCTGTGGATATGACGGACAAAAGTATCATAAATACAAGGAGAGGTTGAGCTCTTCATCCATAGATTGCAATCCTCGGCGCGAATTGAAATACTCAAATTAGATAGATTGGAATTATTTATTGACCATGAGAATTCTGTTGGCAAAGAAAGCACAGTACTCTTTACATACAGCTCCCAGTAGTCAAATATCTTTAATAATGTCTTGGACGTTAGTTTACAAGGGACAATTTGAACATCAAACTGCAGCTTTAAAAACTGTTCAGTATGATGCCATAACTTTGCATCCATACGAACAAATAGTAAAGGAAAGTGAGTAAATTCGCTGGAATTATTATGGAGATGTATAGAACCGTTATTATCATTCTCTGGATTCCTTGATGGACCAAAGAAGAAAGCTTGACCAAGTCTTCTTACTTCACTTGCACTGTTAGTTATGGAGTAAGTGACTGATAGTTTTAAAACACGCGAGACATCGACTCGTTCAATTTCCGAAAATTCAGTATTCTCTATATTTAACCTTGTAAAGTTGGAATCGAAAAGAGAGTTTTCACCCCGAGTAGAGCCATATCTAAGGTACTTCTGTAATTTTTTACTCAAGTCAGGAAGATTAATCGAGCCAAATTTGAACAGAGGAGACATTTGATACGCCGTATAAGACGTATTAAAAAACTGATGATCCTGAAGACTCATATGTATTTCCTAAATTAAACATAAACTGATTCCCTGCAAATTCCACAAAACTTATGACACGTTAGGTCTCATTCATCAAATCCAAAAAGATCTTCATTAAATATTTTTATTAGAAATAGTTAAAGACTCATCTGAACCCTCAAGAAGTACTTCTCACTGCCTGTGATTATTTGAAAAGAAACAGTGTAAGTTTGTACTTGGAAAACACCATTGCCCTTCGTTAATAAACAATGCTTGTTTGGTATAAAAGTCTATTGAGATATTGCAAAGAAAGCAAAAAAGAAAACTTTGCTTAATAAGGAGAATACAAAGTTAAGTTAGGGGAGCTACAGATATAGTACCAAAAGAAATGGAAACAAAAGGTTTTTACGAAAAGGTTTGGCAATTAGCTTTAGAAAAAAGAATGGATATGCCATATGTCATCAATGTAAACGGTTATATAGAATCTAAATAGCAGGTAAATTGAATTGTTTAAAAGAATGCTCTAATGATTAGCAAAGATTGTTGGTTTTGTCGGAAAATCTGATAGTTAAAGCAAACAGCAGTATAATTACAAGAGATAAAATATGGAACTGCTCATCTTTAAAAAAGTTCGCAAAGGAAAGAAAGATTAGTAAGGAAAAAAACTTTGGTTAACGGAAGAACATAAATGAATGAAGAAAGTCGTGAAGCAAAGAAGAAAAGTAGCTTATTTAAAAAATTTTCTCTTAGATTTCTCATGTTCACTAGATTTCGACTGCGTAAGACGGTTTTTACGATCGACTAAGTCTACTTTTTGTTTTTCCAGAGCAGTCTTCATATCACGGTGACGAACACGTAATTCCTTTTCGGATTGATTTAAACGGTCTTCCTTCTCTTTCACTTTTTGTGAAAAAATCACCTTCATCTCAGCTTCCATCTTCATTAATTTTTCTTCATGAAGAGCCCGTTCTTCTTCTAATTTGGCAGCAGGACTAATATTGTCAGTTAGTATATATAACATCGTAAAAAAAAGAAAAATAGGAAAATTATAACTAAGGTATAAGGGCACAGATACTTACTTTATTTCACGGAAGACAGAATGGTCTTGAGATATACCGCTCTTGATAAGACGTTCAGTTCTGTAATCTTCATACAAGTCATTGGTGCGGTCCTTTAATTCCTCCAAATGTGTGCGGATAAGCATTTCTCGAAGTTTTGGAAAGTCGGAATGTTCCTCATTGTCTATTTCAACAATACCCCAAGGATATTTTCTAGCACGAACTCTGCGGCCATCACTGTTGACAACAAATGAATTCGAAGCGATGATGGCAAAAGGAATGCGACTCATTATGTCTGCATTCTCGGCCACAGACTCGGGATCATCCATAGGATATGTAGGAGGAACAAAAATACGAATATTATGCTGTTGGATATCTCGTAAAACCTAGTTACTAAGTTAATAACACAGAACGCTAAAAAGATCAAAGCCAAACTTACTATTTCCTTCGACAAATTTATTTCTTCGTCGGTAAGGGTATCAGCTTTAGCAATCACAGGTATGATGTTCACTTTTTCGTGAAGGGCCAACAAAACTTGAAGTTCCATAACACTCATAGCATGACCGGTAGGCTGGATGAAAAAAATACAAGCATGGATTCGTGGATCTTTGATAGCAGATTTGGGTAATCGTTTTTCAAAGTCAAGGTATTCATTATAGCGGTTCTCAATGTCATTTACTATAGGTTCCCAGCAGTTCGTGTTGTCAATGAAATCGCCAAAACCAGGAGTATCAATTACGGTCATTTCAAGGTTGATTCCATTCTCTATTATATGCACAGTATTGTTTGAAATCTCAACAGTTGATTCAGGCAGTAGTCCTTGTTCATTTGATAGAGGTTGCGGGCCCAAAGGGTGTACATCTTTGTTGAGTAGCGTGTTAACAAGCGTGGATTTTCCGCTGCCACTTTCTCCCAAGACCATTAAATTAAAAAAGAAACCTTGAAGAACGCAACGACGGTGCCATTGGTTTGGCAAAGTTGAGAACCCTACATAACCATTCAGTTTGCGTTGAATAATGCTAATCCCCTGCTAAGTATAAGTTAGTAAAGCATTAAGCATGAATATTCGTACCTCAGACACTGGTCGAGAAGTTGAAGCTTCTTGCTCGCTTTGTAAAAATGAATTCTCGTGTACAGAAGGTTCCACATCAGCATCATTGCGGATTCTACTGTCAGCAGCAGCATACGATTCAGCTTCGGAATTAGATGTAAAAGAATGATGACTAATATCTTCCTGCACAGTTTCCTGTACAAATTCTGGTAGTATTGTAGTAGCCATGGTTTACGTATAACCCTACCGTGTTGGTTCTGGGAAGGAGGCAGGTTGAGTTGCAGGCATGAGAGTTCTATACTTGAAAATAGCAAAAACAAAATAAGTAAAACGCGTTTTCTGGAAAGGAAATCAAAAATAATTAGTTACATTCTTATTTAGCTATAGAATTCCAAGTGTTCAATATCATAACTGCAAACAAAGATCCGTGCATCATTAACCGAAAACACCAAAGAAACTGACTTCAAAGATCAAAACTTAGCTATGGTTTCTTTCAAAAGATTGAGTTCTAACCTTTCTAACCCTGTGTTTTAACACGCTTATAGCGGCAGTCAGAATTTGATAGTACAGTCAGAAATGGCAAAGAAGAAGCTTCTACGTCTCATATGAATTCGCTTTTCTTTACTAAATTACTAGTTTTACATGATTATTTCCTTCTCTTGAATATTTTCTAACGTTGGTCATCATGACTACCTTTCCCTTGCAAAACGAGAGCTCAATAGCAGCAATGTTTTACATATCAAATCAAGTAAAGAGTAGTGAAAGCTATTAATAATTGGATATGAATAAGTATTTCAACAATTCACCGTAATTCTCTCACCACAAAAGTCATCAAGCACTCAAAGAACAAGTGTCTTCATATTGAATTTAATTTTTTTAGGATATATAAGCTAACTAATTTAATGGCTCTATTCTAATACCTCTTCGAATGCATTACTGGTCGCTTTTTGCCTCATTCACAACCAACAGTACAAACTATTCTTTAACACTCATTTGTTTATTTACTAACAAACTAAACCCCAACACCTTAAAGTATTTACAGAAGTGAAACGTAGCAACCTTAGCCTTACTGCGATAAAACAAAATACGTTGCAATGTGTTATATAGTCATTGCACCTTAGCGAGTCGATGCTTAACAACACGGCACTCAACACCATGAATCTACGTAACCAGAACCAGCACTTTTTTGCCGTCACAAGTGAAGGCTGGTTAAAAAGGTTCCTAGCATCGCTAACTGTCGTGCTTGGGCTACTTGGTGACTTTTATTAAAAAAGTTAAAAAGCAGGTGTTTTAAGCCACTTTTGACTTTCCTTGTCAATTATCTGTTTCTGGACACAAAAAAGCATTATAACTCAGTAACAAGTTCATAAACTGTTCATTATCAAGTTGATACAGCTCACACAACTTTCTTTCAAATTGCATTACATTTCTTTCGATCGTGTTTCGTGTTTCTTGTAAACTGTGAAATAATTCACCAAGGCTGAATCAGTCGAGTTCGGACTTTTACATACTGCGTTTTTTTATCGAGTCTCGATTCATTTTGTAAACATGCGCGCGTACAACAAATCTAGAATTGTGGGACAGTTATTGTTTGTCGCTTTGGGAATTACTTTTATTTATTACTTGTTTACTCCGTCTGTAAGCCATAGTAATGCTGTGAAGCCTAAGGCCCGAAAGGCAGATATAAACTCAATTAACGTATACGACATGAATGAAATTACTGCGAGTGCAAACGCCCGCGAAAATAAAGAAGAAGTCCTTATATTATCACCCATTGCTCGCTTTTATCCTGAGTACTGGAAAAATTTACTAAAGCTTTCGTATCCACGAAATTTGATTACTCTCGGATTTATTTTGCCTTCTACGAGAGATGGTACCAAAATTCATCGCGACTTGCGAGCTGCCGTTCAATCTGTCCAGAAGGGACCTATATCTGAACGGTTTGCCGATGTTAAAATTATGATCCAAGATACTGGTTTATCTTCAGGACAATCGGAAAAGCAACGTCATGAACGCGAAGTGCAGAAGGAACGCCGTTCGAAACTTGCCTCTGCTAGAAATGCACTTTTGTTTTCAGCTTTGGGACCCAAGACGTCCTGGGTGTTGTGGTTAGATTCGGATATTATCGAAACTCCACCAACTTTGATTGAAGATATGACTCAATTCAATAAGGACGTGCTCGTCGCAAATTGTTTCCAACGCAAAGGAGAGAAGCTAGTTCCTTATGACTATAATAGCTGGATAGATTCAAATGTAGCCAAAGAACTTGCCAGTAAAATGAGCAAAGACGATATTTTATTGGAGGGATATATAGAGCTTCCGACATATCGTACGTTAATGGCTCATCTCCACGACGAAAATGGTGACCAAAAAACGTTGATGAGATTGGATGGCGTAGGTACTACTGCTTTAATGGTGAAAGCTGAAGTCCACAGAGATGGAGCTGTTTTTCCCACTTTTCCCTTTTATAATCTAATTGAAAGTGAGGGATTTGCAAAGATGGCAACACGATTAAACTATGAAGTTTTTGGTTTGCCGAACTACTTGGTTTTCCATTATAATGAATAAGGAGATATATTTTATCCTTATTTATTTCTAATGAGTTTTATTTCTCTGAGTTTTACTAAAAAGGAAAAAGACAGTTGTGAAATTCTTCTTGCCCATGTTCTCGTCCGCTGTGCAGAAATTAAATGTATAACCACTTCACTATCGTTCTTTTTACCTTCTTTTTTTGGTAAACTTTTGTATTGTATATGGATTTACGCGATTTAATTGGAACGTTGCTTGTTTCTGGGGCATTATGAGTTTACGAATAAGACCTCTTCGAAATGTGTTGGTTACTCTGTTCCTTAAACCATACTATAAATTTCTTTCTTTTTCCCTTGGTGATTTACCGTATCTATAGTTGTTACTTTTATCCTTCGACTGCTTAAATTACAATTCTTTTATTGGATGTTTTTCTTTCTGTTTTACTTGAATGATTACTTGTTTCATTCTATTCTTATTTGTGTTAACTTGGCTTGCACGGAAAAAAAAACTAATGATTACTAGCCTTTTCTATTCATTTCATTAGATAGTTTGTAATTCGAGAAAGGCCATTTGTAAGCCTTCCTATAGATTAATATGTAGAAGTGAATTAACAAGGATAGTATCCCCGTTTTACTCATCTACTTTTCAATTCTGTCGTTCTGGCATTTCAAACAGTATTGCTTGTCAACATACCATTCGTACCAAACGCTACCTCAACTGAATAGCGAGATGGTATTTTACGTGTTCTTATGTAGTTTTGTGTTACTCATTAGAATACGCTACGTTTTCGTTTTGGTAGTAAGCTTACCTAAACCTCTACAAAACACACATCTGCAGCGAATTTTTGTTTAAGTTAATTTCAATTGTACATTGGGAGTCTTTACGTATCCATTTTGTCAGAATCGTCAAAGCTCAAATAAGATAAGAAGTTATCGTCTTAATTTGTCGAGTTTCCTCTCGTGCGGAAGTAAATACGAAAAATGGCAATTGCAGCTGCAAAACCCAAAAAAGGACAGAAGTTTGTTTTTAATGATGAAGGTGAAGCTGTTGTAGACTCCAAACCGGTAGGAGTTAGATTTGACCCTGGTATTCCTTGGTATAATTTAGAGTTGTCGCAACTACAGCCGACCAAGAAACCGGTTTCCTCTGGGAAGGCCGCTGAATTGGAGCAACGAGGTCTCCTTCTCTTACAACAAGATGCTGAGCGTTTTTCAAAGTCACTGGAGACTGCAAGCACTGATAAACGAATGCTGCAAACTTTGATTAGCTCAGGTACTACAAGCGATCGTATTTCTGCCTTAACTCTTTTGGTCCAGGAGTCTCCAATCCATGCAATAAAACCTCTGGAAACATTGCTATCTTTATGTGCAAAAAAGTCTCGTAACGAAAATACCCAAAGTATTACTACACTGAAGGATCTCTTTTTGGGAGGTTTGCTACCAGAAAGAAAGCTACGTTTCATGAAACAACAACCATGTTTAGGATCCCAAGGTGTCACTGATGAACATTTAATGGTTTGGGCTTTCGAAAGCTTTTTGAAAACTTTCTATTTCAAATACATTCAGCATATTGAAGTGCTTTCTTTTGATCCACTTATGTTTGTGAAAAGTCAGATGCTTTCTACTATTTATGATTTATTAAAGGGAAAGCCCGAGCAAGAGCAAAATTTATTGCGCTTACTAGTTAATAAGCTGGGTGATAAGGACAATAAAATTGCATCTAAGGCCTCCTATTTAATTCTTCAGTTGGAAGCAAATCATCCCGCAATGAAGTTTATTGTTACGAAAGAGTTGGAAAGATTTGCTTTTGCCCCTACGACTTCGCGTACAAGCCATTATTATACAATGATTACACTTAATCAAACAGTTTTGACTCATAAGCAAATAGAAGTTGCGAACCTATTGATTGAAATTTACTTCGTCTTTTTCACAAAGCTTTTATTCGCTTTTGAAAAGGAAGAAAATACAAATAAGGAAGTTGAAAACGCGGAACCTCGTGGTGCCAAGGACAACAGAAAAGATCAAAAGCGGAAAAAAGATGCTGAGATTCGTAAAGAGGCCCAGGAAAACTCCAACTCTCGTTTAGTTTCTGCAATCCTTACCGGCGTTAACCGAGCTTATCCTTTTGCTGAAATTAACAGCGAGAGTTTTGATAAGCACATGAATACTCTCTTCACAATCACTCACACTGCTTCTTTTAATACTGCCATACAGGTACTCATGCTAATCTTCCAAGCTTCTTCCTCCAGGGACTCCATTCCTGATCGCTTCTACAAAAGTTTGTATGAGTCTTTATTAGATCCTCGTCTTATAAGTTCTTCAAAACACTCTCTTTACTTAAATTTACTGTATAAGTCTCTGGTTATTGATAATAATGTCGCCCGTGTCCGTGCATTCATCAAAAGAATGGTTCAAGTTGCCGCTTGGCAGCAAGCGCCCCTTGTTACCGGTTTCTTCCATGTCATTCAACAATTAGAAAACTCTAATTCAACGCTTCGTGCAATGTTTGATAAACCTGAGATGCACGAGTTTGATGATGATGAAGAAGAAGTATTTAAAGACATCGAAGAGGAGGAAGAACAAGTCAACTCTGACGGCGAGCTAAAATCAGAGATTAAAGATACCAAACATGAGAAGAAAGAGGAAAAGCCCGTTGCCCCGATCAATTCCGACCTTACTAACGGATACGATGGACGGAAAAGAGACCCTCAGTATAGTAAGGCTGATCGCAGTTGTCTTTGGGAAATTCACCCATTCTTAACTCATTTTCATCCTACTGTATCTATGTTAGCAAAGCAATTGGTTAACGGAGAAAAAATTGAAGGAAAGCCAGATTTGACCCTTCATACTTTGAGCCACTTTCTTGATAAGTTCGCATATCGTAATCCTAAAAAGTCGGCTTCTGTCAAAGGTTATTCTATTATGCAACCTCTTGCTGGCAGCATTTCCAAAGGTATTCTTTCTATTGGAAGTGGTCAAGGTGGTGTACCTGTTAATTCAGATCAATTTATTGAAAAAGAAGAAAGTGAGATTCCCGTCGACGAGTTGTTCTTCCATCGTTTCTTCAATGATAAGTATATTAAAGGAAAGCAATCTAAGAAGAAGAAGGTTAGCGTAAATGAAGAAGGCGAGATGGACGAAGATGAAGTTTGGAAAGCACTTGTAGACTCCAAACCGAACTTGGAAATGGAAGACGAAGAAAGTGATTTTGATGAAGAGGCTATGGATGAGGCAATGGCTGATTTGCCTGATGATGAGGAAGCTGCACAGTCCAAGGAGCCTTCTCCAGAAGCTGACGAAGACGTCGATGAAGATGAGAATGAAGGTCAAATGTTCTCAGACAAAGAAACTGAACCTCAAGAGACTGCCTCTGTTGCAAATGAAGGTGAATCTGAAGACGAAATGCAACTATTGGAGGACGAAGAAGATTTGCTCCCGTTTGAGAATGATGAAGGCAACGAATCTGAAGAGGAAGAGCAACCTGAACAGAAAGAAAAAACCTCTCGCAAAAATAAGCGTAGAAAAATTCTTAAAGACTTGCCTGTTTTCGCTGACGCAGATTCTTATGCTCATTTGTTAAGCGGCAATTAGTTGTCACATAGTATTCTTATGGATAGTTTCTTTTTAGGTTCATACACGTAAAAAGAAGTATCTACAGATTGCTTCTATGGGAAAATTGTTGGAACTATGGAAAATGGGATTTATTTGGATACACTGAAATGGTGTTTTGTTTAATATAGGATATTTTTATTTAGCTAATAAATATGGATTTTTGGTTGATAAAGTAATTGTTCAGTATCCAAATCACATAAGATGAGACAGGGTTTCAGAAGTATGGTAAGCTGCTTAATGTATTCTCTTTAATTACCTTCTCATGCAACTGTTTTGAGAGCATGGAAATAAGATTCCTTTTGCTCTTATAAGACCTTGTTCTCACTAATTGATCTTAAGCAATTAAAGACTACACTCTTTATGATAATAATGACGTTGTAAATAGTGAGAGACATATGTTATTGCTATCTCTGATATCGCATCATTAGATCTCACTATATGCTTATATACAAATCGCCGCAGTCTTACTTACACCTTTTACAAATCACGCATAACAAATCCCAATTCAAATCCTTTTAGAAGATTTTGTTACGAGAAGAATGAGCTAATAGTCAATTGCAAACTTTTCAAATCTTTAATACCAATCGTATACATAACTTACTACTGGATTGTATTGATGGAAAATAAATTGATATGCCCAGACCCACAACGCACCTTCCCCCAATGTATTCTGCCCCCGACGGGAATAATAGGGCTGCCTCGAGTGACTCTCATAGAGATCATTCCTCTGTAGGGGGCAAAAGTGCCAAGATCGGGCAAGTGATTCACGTATGTATTCATGCTTCAAAAAGTGATATTGTCGCTGAAAGATTACAAGAATGCTAACATCTTTTAGCATTGCTTTTATAAAACAGGATTAGTGATTTTAGAGTCACGACTGAATGTCTCTGGGAACAATTCGTCTCGAGAAGGAACAAAAAAGAACAAATGGGTAGGTTATGAAAAGAAAGTTGATATGAGATTGCATTGATTTTGTTAAGTGCTGTTGTCTTCGAAGAGAATGGTAATTCTGAAATTAGAATCTTCAAGCTCGTCTTCCTTTGGGATATATTTTATTTCCTTTACCGGAATCCTAGAACACATATATTCTCTTTCTTAAGACTTCATGGGTCAGTTTTATCCTTTGTTCCTTAACAAAATAAAGCTCGTGTTTGCGTCTGTATCAGCTTTTTAGTCTTTTTTTTAATCTATTGTGGTACTGACGTTTGTTAAGTTTAATTTAGAAGTTGATGAAACAGATGTGTATGCAGACCAATTCAAATTATGGAAGTCAATTGATATGACTGCCGAGCGCAAGATTCCTCCGATGGTATTACATACATATTTTGACATATCCGACTTGTCTAGAAATCAAAAACTTTCCATATTTGACGGAAGAGAACATCATGTTATTGATTTGAACCGTTCTAAAGCTTCGAAGATTGTCCTTGAACGTTGGGTTGTATCATTGGACGGCGGAAGCTCTTCTGCGCCCGTTGAATTGGCTGTATTGTACAAAAAACTCGTTGTCCTTTTCCGTTCTTTATACACGTATACTCACCTTATGCCATTATGGAAATTAAAAAGTCGCATTAACAGACTTCGAGCTCACAATGCTTCCTTAAAAGTCGGATGCACTCTTTCAACGGATGACTTACTTCATGAAGATTTTGTACCTATTAATGCAGTTCTTTCTCCTACCTTAGGAAACAGTATTGCTGCGTATTCATTTAATCCGGTAAACACTCCTATGGGGAATTTTCGAATTTCGGTACAGTATCGAAAACATTGCCATTTTCAATTTCATAATCCTGATGCCATGTTATCCAATCAACTTCTTTCCACTGATTCGCCTAATACTGAATCTCATAGTCATAGGCATCAATCGACCACGGAAAGCGGAAATCAATTCTTGCATCCCCATTCTTCTTCTTTAGTTCGACAGCAATTGAAATCGAATGATCCGAATTTGCTTTTGGAATCTGAGATTCAGCAACTCGCTAGCGTTGAGTCAGTAACTGCTCATGCTGCTCCCTTGGTTTCTATACATCCTTTTAAATCTCCTTCCCTTTCTGCCTCTCCTGGATCCAATTTGGATACAATGTCAATATCTCCGAAGGTTGCCGTTAATCGATATATTCATCGTGGGCCCTCTTGCAGTTCATTAAATAGGGTATCAGTTATATCAGAAAGTTTAAGTAAATCGCGGTCGAAAATGCCCACTCTTCCTAGTTCTGGTAGTGTTGGTTTAAATGGCAACGATTTACACAATAACCCTATGCTTCGACGGTTCAGCAGTAGTTTTGTACCGCGGGAGCGAAGAGGAAGTACTAGTTCCAGAGCTCGATTGCAATTGGCTACTAATCAGCCTATTCGTAGTGTTCAAAAGCACGACAGTTATGAAAGCACTAGTGTTGATCGAAACGATCAAGTTGCTGATGGAATTGATTTAACACCTCGAGATGATTTAAGCGGATTCATACAATTGTTGGATAATCATGCCCAACATTTGCAAAACATTGGGGAAAGTAAGTCAGACTCGTCTTCTCTGGGAAAAGCGAGGAATGGGACTTTAAATGAATCTCCTCATGTAGGGACGCGGAATACTTCTGGGAGTAGTAACGAATTGTTCGGATTTGAGCACTTTGCGCCGAGCCAAAACGCTGCGATTGCGGATGATAAAGCGATAAGTCCAAGGGAAGATCTAACAAATTCCAATCATCATACAGTGCATGATCATACTTTAGGTGCATTGTGTTCAAGACTTTCTTTCTCGGAGAAGCCCGCTGATTCTGTTAGTTTGTCTCCGTTGTCTCCTGCATGCATGCCTCAAGAATCTACCAAACCTAGCACTTCAGGCTCACTTCCAAATCAATTTCATAAGTTTGAGAAAAACTCTGAAGTTCCCGCTACTTACCCTATACTGGAACAACAAGAGTCAAGTAGGAGCACTTCTTCGTCTGTTCCTCCACGTTTTGAATATCAGACCAGCCTGTCAAAATCTCTTGACCATTCTTTGACCCCTACAAGTTACCAAGCTACGAAGACTCCCGCGCCTCCGTTTGTGCTTGAGTCGAATCTCTCCCAGGAGTATCCGAAACAGCACTTTGATTCCATAGCTGAACATCATCAATGTATTGCTCCCTCAACCCCTGCTTTTGAATATTATAATGAACATAATGCGAATTATGATGACGACCTACTATTTGCAATGACTGATATGGCTTTAGAAACTCACCCTACAACTACATTACGAATCGGGTCAAAGGATAATAAAGGAGTTATGAAGTGAGTTCTGAAGTTAATGCTTTTACGTTACATGGATTTTAATAATTTTGTATATCCTTGTTTTATACCTTCCTCAAATTAGAGCGTTCTGAGGTTTTTTTTTAAAAAAAAAAAGAAAAAGATTAAGTATGAAATGAGTAACTAATAATGATTTTTAGAAATCAACTTTAAGTCTAGTAATGTTTAGTACTATACATATTAATGCTTACGAATGTTATGATTTGGTGGTTCGTGTCACTTACTAAGTAAAGTGAGTTATGAAAGATTATAGTAATTGAAATTAATTTTGGATATCATGTAAATAACCATCGTACCATGTAGACATCCTAATTAAACCCCAAGGATGCTTTTTTGTTAATTAAATCACCGTGTGTAAAGCTCTAGACGCCTCATTAATCAAGAACCAAAAGTAATGTATTTACAAATTTATTCAAAGACAAATTTCTTTCCTTGAAAAGGAGCTGCTGGCGGCAATTTCTGCTTTTTCCTAGCTTCCCAAGAAGGATGAAGTTTCTCTGCTTCTTGGGAAGATCTAGAACCAACGCCTTGTTGAGCCATAGCAACTTTACGTGCACGCTTAGCTTCACGTTCTTCAAATTTACGTTGACGCTCCTCTCGTTCTTGCTGTTCTTGTTCTTTCTTTTTAATAATGTGGTTAGCACCTTTTCCAAATTTTTTCTCCCAAATAGCTTGTCTAGCACGTTGACCACGACGGTTTTTTCTTTTGGGGATCTCTATTTCGTCCATTTCTTTTTCGACAAATTCATCATCTTCGCCTAATGGGTCAAGGAAGCCTGTAGCAAGCTCCGGGAGGTTATAGGAAAGGGACTTCGTTGCTGGAATGGTAAACATTTCGTCTTCCATATCACTATCTTCCTTGTTTATATCTTGGCCGTTTTCCCTATTCACGTCTTCCTGTGATGAAGCTTTAGGGGTCTCATGTTTAGTATCCATTTCATGGGGTTGATCAACAGAAGCATCATATTTTGATGAGACAGACGGTTTACTAGAAACTTCGTGCTGTTCTAGTTCTTTTTGCCCAGTTAAGCCCTCAGTTTGTTCAATTCGTTTACTTTCCGTCTCTGGTTTGTCCGATTTCAGTGAAGTTTGACCGAGAGGCTCAGGGTGTATTTCTGCTTCAGCCTTTAATGGAAGGTTCTGATCTGTTGCTTTTGTGGAACCCGCCTCCGGATTGTTTATTGATATGCATTTGTCAAGAAGACGACAACTAGCGTCGACGGACTCTAAAACAGGCTTTGAATTTAACAAGCGTGCAATAACGTTTTTCTCCTCATCGTTCGTTATGTCTGCTGGGAATTCTACCGGTTTATGCTCGTTGAGCAGATTTCGATAATCTTTATTACGAAGGACTTTTCGATAAAAGCAAAACTCGGTGAGTTTGGAAAAATCATACTTCTTTAAAAATTCGTATTCTTTTTCATACCGAACTACCTTATCGTTCTCCTCCTGCGCTCTTGCGCTTTTAATTCTTCGAGCAAGTTTTTGACGCTCAAACCCAACCGCTTTCTTAAGAGCATGAGTCAATTGTTTTTTAAAGTGATGTGTGCGTTTCTGTAAAAGCTCAGGACTCAAACGAGGTTTGGAACTCTTTGGCCTGATCGTCTTGTTCGATGTATGCTTCATGAAGAGGAAATCAAAGCGAAAACACGATACAAATGAAGTTAGAACTCACTTTTCTATAGCAAACAAAATAAAATTATTTAAATATACAGAGTTTCCTGCTTTCCTTTGATGATTCCAAAAGTTTTCAAATATTGAAGGTATTGAGGAGAAGATGAAATATTGTTAGTTAACAGTTTATTCAGTGCTGGTTTATTTGTTCTTTTTCTTTTGCAAGTTGTTTCTCAATATGAAAATAAATAAAGTAAAAATAAAACTCTCATTCTTGAGTAGGTGTTAAAATAGATTGAGCCTATAGTAACTGAGTATATACCTGAGGGATTGTCATATTACTTTTGAAAGAGTTGAAGACAATTAAAGGGATAAAAGAGAACAAAAGAAACATGGGCAAATACTTGGAAGGGTTCGAACAGTCGAGCTTTGAGCTTGTATCATTTAAAGCGATATAAATTGTAGCATAAAAAAACACCCAAGGAATCGGTCCCATCGTACTTCAATAATTTATTTACGCAGCATTCCTTTCGAAAATTAAAATACGATTTGAGCGTCTGATAGATATCACTTTTTGACTTTCTCGAAGGGTGACAGAAGAAAACTTCGACTGGCATCAATATGTTTTTTCGGATCCTGAATGGACACAGAAAGTGTTCACAGATTGCTTGTAGAAGGAAATAAAGGTATCGAACTCATTCCCTTTCTTCACAGTTCGGGTGATCCTTCTTTTCTTTAGAAATACACGTTGTCTGAATCGGTATGTAAGTAAACTTCTATCCACTGATGGCTCTAATTTCCAACACATTCAGGTGAGTCTGATCGTTCATGCTTTGATCCATAGGGCATTTAGATATCGCATAAGTTATAGAGTGCAATACTTTTCTTTTGGACTATGAGGGATCCATTCAAACCTTCCATATAGTACCCAACAAGTGAATGAAGCCATTTCATGAAGACTTTCGTCTTAAGTAAAGAGCAATGGATCTGAAAATATGCTTGTGTAATAAACACTAGTCCATTTCATCTGCCCTGACGGGTCTCATTTTATTCCTCACAAAAATTAGCAAGTACCATAAAAATAAATCATCAAGATGTACTAAATATCCTTTTATGTAGTTTATGATACCTTGAACTATGTTTCACCAATATGTGAATAGGTAACTAGCCATAGGCAAAAACGCATACTTCTTCCATAAAATCAATTTGAACCAATATTATAAGTCCCTCTTGCTCATTTTATTCTTAGATACATGAAATCAACCCGTTTTCGAGATTTGAACATTTTGTGAGTTTCGTGACCGAAGGCTCCATCATGTCCTCTTGTACGACAGACGTTATTTGTCAGTTTGAGGAAATTCTTTCAGCTTTCTCAATAGAAAGTCGACTTATCTCCTTTAATTAATTGCATATGCGTATAGAAAAGTCTGGGTTCCAGCATATTTCATTTCTCACTTCAAGATTTCCCAAGGTTGATTATCTTCGTCTTGGTGAATGTCAGCAACATTTTGTTCAAAAATGGTTGGACTTTAAATCAAATAAATGTCATTCCCCTCCACAGCCTACCATCCTTACAGCTCAGGTTTGCCCTGTCTATACGTTAGGCAGGAGAGATACAAAAACGAATTTTCATAACTCCATTGATGGAGTCAAAGTCATCAAAGCACTAAGAGGCGGTCAAACAACGTATCATGGTCCAGGACAATTACTTGTGTATCCAATATTGGATTTAAGTGCCTTTCATTTGAGTCCTCGAAAATACGTTTCTAAGCTTGAGGAAGCAATTATACAGACTTGCAGGCATTTTGGAATGACGACGGCCCACACGAATGAGCACACAGGAGTTTGGCTAACGGATGACGAAAAGATTGCTGCTATAGGTATTCATTTACGAAGGTATATTACAAGTCATGGATTAGCTCTTAATGTATCTACTGATTTGGAGAAATTCAAAAAGATTGTTGCTTGTGGCTTGCAGGATAAAACGACAACAAGCTTTCAAGCCCAAGGAGTAAATGTTGAACTGAAAACAGTCGAGCAAGTACTTGTTCAGCATTTGATTGATGCTTTATTGAAATAAAAAAATAAAAGACAAAAAAATAGAAATTCGACATTCATTTTATCTTCTGCAAAATGACATTATACCTATTTTAGTCGTGTGATATGAGCACTCCTTTTCTTGTAAAGATGAAGTTTTTACGTACATCCTTCTCCATCTAATTTAAATAAATTTATGGAAAGGGAAGAGCTTGCCAAAATGAAAATGTTGGACGACGGGGTATTTACTGAGAACCTCAACATCGTACATCTTCAACAATCCCTGATTTAGTTAGTTAGAAAAAACATTTTGAACCAACGAAAAATTTACTTACTTGATTGACTTTCGACCATGAAGGAACAGCTGTTATGTCGTAAAGTATGGGGGAATGCTCATAAAATGGACCTTTTTTCATAACGTTAATAAATTCAATTGCACTGAAATATAAATTAGATTTTGAGAGTTCCGCAGTAAGTTCTTTATCAAGGATTGCACTAGGTCGTAAACCCAAGACATTACCACTGGGAGATGCCAGCTGTGCCGATCCAAATATGTATGGAATGAAAAAGTGGTCATCAAGTCCCCAAACACCATGTGATCCCGCTGGCTCCAACCGATATTTCTGGACTAGTCTCCGGCAAACTTCAAGGTACGTATGCGAAACATACAAGGCCACAGCGGCGCAATCTTCGTATGTTAGAAGGTTGAGTAAATCTAGTCCTTTCAAAAAACCCAAAAAATTTAGCTCGTGCCCTGTCCCAAAATCTATTCTTTGCGCATTTCCAAAAGAACCAAGAAAGTAATCCAGTAATTCTACTTGGGCGGCGCCTAAGGAAGATGGAACAATTGTATCCAACATCGTAGGTGCACTTTCCATTAACTTTGCATGCCATTTCCGAAATGCGGGATTTCCAAAGCGATGTCTTCCAGGCTCAAGAGGGACGGATTCTGTAATTTCCTGAACTTGCTCCAGTACATCTAGAACATTGGCAACTCTGCTGGAATAATGTACATGATAGTCCTTTATACCCACGCAAGCAACGTTTAATGCTTGAATGTAGCTAACAATCCGAAAATATGCCTTGGACATTCGAAAATGCTGCATATCTTTTGCCTCGTTAATGAGTTTTTCAGGCTGTCTGAATTCGCTAACTTTATCAAACGTCTCATTGTCTAGTTCCTCAATTTTTTCTCTTGGCAGTTCTTTCATGACTTCTGGCAGGTCTGACCTAAGTATTATAGAAATAGTGCAAATATGTTTTTTGAAAAACGAGAAACAAGAGTCTATTTCAATAGATCAATAGATCAATAAATAAAATAATGAATTTCCAAATTTTATGCTTAAACCTATGAATATCCAGGGAATCCTAGAAAATTGGAGGAAATCTATACTTTGTAGATGGTTTCTTCATAGGGACGTAAGTTCTTTAACACATAGCCTCTGACAAACAAACGGTCTCCTTTAATGTATTATCGTAATTCATTCAATTTCTAACATTATAGAAGTATATTTTTAAATTGAAGACGGACAGTGCTTGTCATTTGTGGTCTAAACCAGATCTATCATACAAAACAAGCGAAGATTCGCCTGTTGAGCATTACGTTCAAACCCACATTCCTTGTAAAATATACTGCCTTTTCTATTTGTATTCCAGCATGCTCTGGCAGAAAGACACGCTTTTGTTTACTATCGATGGAGACTTAGAGTGCGTTAGTAAACATAGACAAGTATATTTGGTTGACAATGTGTAGGGCATTTATTTCTGTTTTAACTCGCAGTATATAAGTTCTGCACTTTGAAAAAAATATATTAACAATTGCGGAACATGTAATTGATCGGTGAAATGAACAAAGGTTGTCTCATTGCTTCTGCTTGTCAAGATATGGGACAGTTTCGTATACACCAGGTCAATCCTATGCAACATGTTAACTTTAATTATATTACTCCTTATATATTTAGTTCTTTATACCATTACTTATTAATTATTTTTTTTATATTTAGACTTGGTAGAAGACACTAAAGACAGACAGACCAAGTCAATGTTCAAAATTAAGACATCGTTGGTGATCGGTATATATTTTACTGGGACTGCGTCCAATATCCCTAAACCAAATGTTCATTGGTAGAAGGAAACTTACCTGGAGCCTTTTGTATTCAGAAAAGTAAATAATGGGAAAAAGTAGCAAAGATAAGGTAAGGAAACACATTGAAGGAAATATCTGAAAGAAACGAAAGGAACTATGCAAATTTTGGAATGGAACAAGAAAGAATGGCCACATTATAGCGACCTGCGTCGTTAATAGCCGAGTCTACGCGTCTTGGGGCATGAGTCTTTACATTCCTTTTAGTTTCTTTTCTTTTTTTTTCAAGGAATGCTTTTTTTTTGGGGAAAAGCTTTGACTAACGGGAATCTTTAAAGAGAGACGCGTATTACCGACTAGCAAAAGAGCAAGGATGGAGAGCGCGATCAGCGTTTAAGTTGATGCAGCTAGACGAACAATTCCACTTGTTTGAAGGAGCAAAACGCGTTGTCGATTTGTGTGCTGCACCAGGGTCTTGGTCGCAAGTCTTGTCACGCAGATTAATGTAAGTGTAAATTGTTTGTTTCCTCTTTCCCTTTTTCTTATCCTGACAAATTTTGTAGAGAAAATTTTGACTCTACCGCAAGTAGTGAAGAACGCCCAAGAATTGTCGCCGTGGATCTTCAACCAATGGCTCCCATAGATGGTGTTCACACTTTGCAATTAGACATTACTCATCCAAAAACGCTGTCAATTATTTTATCTCAGTTTGGCAATGAACCAGCGGATTTGGTCGTCAGTGACGGTATGCATACATTCTAGCCAGTTTATGATGCTTTTTCAAATCTAATATGTTTCTTTCTTTGTAGGTGCTCCAGATGTTACTGGCTTACATGATCTAGATGAGTATATTCAAGCACAGATTCTGTTGGCGGCATTTAACATGGCTGTCTGCATTTTAAAGCCAGGTGGAAAGTTTGTCGCTAAAATATTCCGCGGAAGAGATGTTTCTTTATTATATTCACAACTTCGATTGATGTTTCGAAAGGTTACATGTGCAAAGCCTAGAAGCTCGCGTGCTAGTTCCTTAGAGTCTTTTGTTGTCTGTGAAGATTTTTGTCCCCCTCCTGATTTCCAACCAGATCTTTCGAAACCTCTTTGTGTAGTTGATCCCAACTGTTCCCATGAAATCGCCCCTTTTATCGCATGTGGTGATTTGGATAGCTATGATGCCGATGCTACATATCCCATCGATTCTACGTCAAAAGCCACGCCATTAGAAGTTGTACAACCTCCTACGGCACCTCCTTATAAACGTGCTATGGAATTGAAACATCAGGGACTTTTATAAGACAAAAAGCTAGATTCTCCTTTCTTGTTCGTTTCTGTTTTGTTCGTTTTAGGATTTATTGGTTTGTATATTTAATCTCTTTTGTTAAACTACATATGGACTTAGAACGCTCGCCTAGAAGGCTATGTGAACGATCAGTTTCTTTCACGCTTTACTTTTGTTGACCCTAATACTTCATGTATGCTATAGTTTCTGGGGTAATAGTATACAAAAGTTTCAATCTAATAAATTAATTCTTTCTGGTTTTGTCTTAAATTTTTCTGAAACTGCTATCCTTTAGTTTAAAACTGCAACAGTTTGTTATTCTTTGTGTATAGCATGTATAATAGATTTTCTGGGTCAATTATTTTGTACAGGAAATAGGAAACTATAAAGCCTTTATTATATTTTCTTTGTTTTGATCCATCTTCGCCTTTTGCTTGCTATAAATATCGTTTACCAAAGTCTTTTTGCTATCCGATCATTACTAAGGATTACGCATTTGTTGGCAAAGTGTCTTTCACCAAATTCTTGCAAGTTCCTGTGAATGCTTTTATTACAAATTAAAATTCTACTTTGATTGCTTTAATGACTTAGATATTATTACTGAAGTGGATCTAGCGGCCTCTTTTTAGTTTTATTATTTTTTTCAAACTGACTTAAAGGTGATTTACTCCCAATCATCAGAAATTCTTGAATTTTAACTTACTAAAGCTTTTTCTTTTCGTTTTATTTTTGTTTTTTAATATATTTTGCGTTTCTTTGCTCTGACTTTGTCAGTTTCGGGGTAGAAGTTTTTTATTTTTTTCTAAAGACACTTTGAAAGCTCAATTACTTTTGATACGTCAAAAGGTTAATAACAATTGAGACTCATGCCTCCTCTAACGGTAAATGACTCCGACAATGGCTCCGAAAACATCGGGTTTGATCCTTCATCAACATTGTTAGGCAAACTACTGATTTTCCTAATAGTGGCTCTGTGCTTCTCGTTTATCTTTTCTATGTTATTTCGTGAACACCGTAATGCATTGCATATTCTGCGAGAGCGACAAGGGCTTATTTCGAGACAACGCAGAGGGCGCATCGAAGCTACAGATACCGCTTTACAGAGACGACGAAACAATGAGCCTTTGCCCACTTATGAACCTCCAGAAATTAGTACTTTCGCAAATGTTGAAGACTACCCTGTTTCAAATACCCCTCCACCACCGGCTACTTTTAATGAGCTTGGAGAATTCGTGGAACAAAACCCCGTAAGTGCTTCTGGTTTTCCTGAGAGCCCGCCTTCTTATGATAACATTTCTTTTGCACAAGATGAAACGAGTTTGAAATAAAACTTTGCGTCTTTTTCTTGTATATTTTTTTTTCCACATACTCTTTGCGTTATGATCATCTATAATAATTCGTTTGGGTCCTTTTGTTTTTACTTCTGAATGTCGTTTTATGTTACACTATTATTATCAATATATACTGATTTGGCTCATATCTGAACTTATAAGTATATACATGTTATTGAAATAACTTGAAAAGAATCATACGTATCTTGTAAATATTCATGTAAGCATACAAACTTCTCATGCTTCTTTGCTTAATTAGTCATTGACCTCAAGAATTCTTTTAGTACAAAAAAAACATCATAGTTGTAACTTCATTATAGAGAATTGCCAAAGATTTGATATCTACGAGCGATGGAGGCTCCATACTCTTCATAATCGGCTTTTGTATGACAATAAGCTCCAAATTCAGGCTATGTTTGTTAGCAAACTTTAAAATAGTAATAGAAAAAAGAAAAACACATACAGTCTGAGCAAGTAAGCTTCCACCGAACCATACAGCATTGCGCTGTCGCTTGTGAGAAATTACATTTACGTCTACACCACCACTCTTGGCACCCGAAAGCATTTCACTGCGATGAATACGTTCATCAACAATATGCTTAATGTCTCTTTGAAGACGATGTCCAAAATTTTTAAATAGGGTACTACCACCAGACAAAACAATGTTTTTGTATAAACCTTTACGAACGTCAATGGGCGAGCTCTGCACAACATTATCAACAAGTTCAGGTAAAGGAGTTAAAAAGTCAGACGAAGCAATTTCAGGATTAAAGAAAATCTCAGGAGCAAGAAAACGCTCAAAGCCAACGTCTATCGCTGTAGTGCGGCCTCCCAAGGTTTCGGCTGTGTGCTTAAGATAACGATCGGGTTCTTGATCGAAACGAGCGAATTCTTTGACAATATCGGGGCAAACATAGGCGTAGTCTTCTTTAATACGTTCAGCAGTTTTCAAACTGGAATCGAGTTCATTACGATCACGGAGTAAAGATTGGACAAAATAAGTAACGTCACGACCAGCAATGGGCATTGTCTTGATAGAGGAGCCAATAACATAACCTTCGGCCTATACAACGTTAGTCCTTCCAAACAACAACACTAACATATATATAACATACCACTGGAATAATATGGGTAACACCATCACCAGAGTCGACGACAGTACCTGTTAAAGAGCGTTCAGTGACTTTAGAAGAGGTCCAAGAAGCAGCCAAAGCCAAGACTGCTTGAACAGCAATGTAAAGACCAGCACAATTGAAAGATTCAAACATAATTTCAGCAGTATTCTCACGATTTTCAGGCGGGTTTAAAGGAGGTTCAGTCAAAAGAAAGTAGTGGTCTTCAGGCTCGCAACGAAGATATTTAAAGAGAGATTGTTGCCAAAAGCGTTCCATGTGATCCCAGTTCTCAACTTGACCATGACGAATTGGGTAGTCTAAAGAATAACCAGCAGATGCTTTGCTAAGAGCATCACTACCAATGAAGAAGTCCAAGTCTTCTGTTCCACGCTTTCCAGAAAGGTGTCCGCTGCCTTTTGGTGCTAAATAGGAAGGCTTCGAAGGGACTGCTGGTCTTGCACCACCTGCAGATCGTGTTGCAATGACTGTTGGAAATACGTACGAAGGAGCATCATTTCCGGCATAACTAAGAAACAAGTTCAATTAGTAATCATTTCATTTCGCTTAGAATAAAATTGATTTGTTCTACTTGATCCTTTCATACCCTAGCTTGCTATAGCCGGTACCACTAGAAATCGCGTTAGTACTGATGTATTCTTCAACCCACCGAAGCTAATATAGATACACTTACTTGTCCATGATAATAGGCACATTAGAGGAAGCCATTGCTATGAATCTATAGATTTGATAAACAAAATGAAGTTGGTTCCTGTTCTATTCAATGTCAGCATCTTGCGGCTGCGTTGTAAATTACGTAGCCGAACGGAAAATACTGAAACGGTGCGAGAAATTGAGTAAGATTCGCATATTAAGCTATAATGAGCACGCTGGATGTCCTTAAATAAAGAGCAAGTTTTTATTGAAGAAAAATGTTGTTCGCTGATTGAATTTATAGGAATGGTTACAGAGAGACTTTATATTTTCATAATGATTTGAGTTAATTGTCTTTGTCACTGAGTATTCAGGATTCTATCTTGTTAAAGTGATATGATACCTCTATAGAATCAAGGAATAGAATGTTTTGAATATGAAATTATAGAATCATTTCCCTAAAAGAGTTGTATTATTTTCTAATGAAAAGGATCTTCATACACTCTTGTATCGAATGTTTATACCGTATGCAGTAACAGAATTGTAACGATAAAACAATAGTAGTGTCCATCACCCAAGGTCTATATGTTTCTACTGTCGAACAATTCGACGGCTCAGATCATTGGAACCATTGGCAGGTTGTACTGATTGCTACCTTCCTTGTAGTTAATTCATATTTAGTAGATGCAAACTCAATAAATTAGAAAGCAAATTATGATCATAAAACGTTATTTTCAGACTCTTCAGTGTTGTATCGAAAAGCGCTCCCTCCCGTCCGTTTTGTTTCTGCATTGCTTAGGACAAAGCACAGTTACAACTACAATCAGGCACCGGACAAACGCTATGTCTCATAAACCATTCTGAGGCATGAGCAGCGTGTGTTCCATGATAGCATCGAAGACAAAATGAGAACCAAGTCCCGAAATTATTTTTTCGCTTACTGTCGTTCAGATTCTGGTTGGGAATGCTGGTAGGTTTATTTTGTGGAACATCCTGATCACTCAAAGCTAATCCACAGACGGAACATTTTGGAAAAGGTTGACGGCAATGAGGACACGTGTGGCTAGAATTTTTTGGATTTGTAAGCTTTCTGGTCTTTGTAAGTGTAGAAACAGATTGCTCGGATTGTGTGCTGTCCTTTTGGTGAACAAGTGACTTTTTGCAATAATTGCAACTGATATACAAAGAAGGTTTTGGTGCTATCTTCATCACCTGTCCATTCTGATCACGCGAAAGTTCAGTCCTTCCTAAGTCAAATTTGACCCTCTCCCGGTACAACCTCCACCGATTGAACAATTCCCTGTAACTTTCAATCCATCCATCTGCTCTCCAATCCGTAAACTTCTTTGGTACAACGTAGGAGGCGAGTAGCGCTGCCGTTTGTACATCATTCGAGTGGTTTACGAAATTCTGCAATAATTCGATACCCAAAGGTGTTAACCCTGTTAAAATAATCCCTTCCGGATCTCCTGATTGAACAGTGGTACGACACAAATCTTCCAAATAATTACTCAAATCTTCATCCGGTAAAAACCTTAGGGCTATTCCTAGTCTGTCTCTAAGGGAAAGGGAAACTTCATCGAGTACGTCTCTCCAATCAGAATTGCTAACATATGCAAAGATAGCACGAAGATATGGATCTTCCAGTTCCGTACTTAAGTTACGAGACATTTCTTTCCAAAGAGAATCACTTCCCAGTTGATTCAAGCCTTGTGAGGTAATGTATCCTGCAACTGCTGTGGAAATGGTTTTTTCTAATTCACCTCCCATAGCTAAAATACGAACAACGTTTTCAATTTTTCCATGAAATAACGCTAAGCCAGCAGCTTTTACGTGTTCGTTTGCCCCAATGAATGATTCTATATCTTGATCTAGCCTAACTTTCGTATAGCCGAGTCCACAAGCTAAAAGAACGAGCTGTCGTAAAGGTCGTTTTGTTGGTATTGGAGTCAATATGTCAAGATCAAAGTTTGAAATAATAGTTTCTGCAGCTTTTAAGAACTTTTTCTCGAAAAGTCGGCTGTGTTTAGCGTCAAAAACGTCAGCAATATTCGTCAATTCTGTGTCCATAAACCAAATTCCAAGAGCTCCTTGATATGTCAGATCAATATCAATCGAACAATTGTAACGCCCATCACTGTATAAAGAGTGGGATAGTTCAACCCACTTCCAAACGTCTTTTAAATAAAAGTCCGAAATTATGTCGTAGTTTTTCGAGCAGTCAAAGCGATAACCCTGCTGAGCTCTCTCCAGCATAAGGTTTAAGATGTCAGTTCTTATGACTCGATAAGAGGGCAGTAGATCATCGTTTTGAGCAGATTCTTCCGAAATAATTGATATTTTTTCCAGACTGTTTTCTATGCTTGTAGAAGAATAAGAAGTAGTCTCAGAAAACGCAATATCGTCTTTATGATCATCCTCAACTTCAGCTGATTGAACAACTGAATAGGGAGTATCTAAAGGATAGAGAGTTTCTTTATATGAGGAAATTAATCGGTTTTTCGCACTAAAAGACATAGGGAGGAATTCATTTTGAATAGAGAAAAGTTTCGGTGAAGAATCGACAACAGCGAGTAACTGAGGAGAACTAGACGAGGACGGATAATAATAGTCAAACCCGGAACATGTTGTATTATCTTTCATGTTAATAAATTTCTCAAAGGTAAGGAGTAACGAATTGTCTATTTCAGGTTCATCGGTAAGTGGATCATCTTGAACACGGCACGGAGATAGCTGTCGAACAGAAATCGAATTATTAGAAAGGCAAGACAGCTGTCCTAGCTTTTCAAAAGAGAACCTAGCTTGGAAATAAGGATTCTTCTTTGTTTCACCTGGATTAGGGTTTAGCTCCATTATTTGAGCATTAGCACCAGGAACCAGAAATCGGCGATCGTAAATAGCGATATGTCCATCATACGAATTAGCAGCAAAGTAGTTTCCAGATAATGGATCTATGGTAATGTTTTGATAACAGGGCGTTTCTATTGAGGATTCAGCCTCTAATTGTTTACGAGTGTCCACAATATGAATTGAGCGTGTAGTTGACCCAGCGAATAGCAAAAAAGGATTTTTATCGTAACAAACAGAAGCGATTCCTTCCATAGCAAATCCTTGTTGATTAGGTTCCTGGCTAGTATTATGAAGTAAAGTTCGTACATCCCAAATTTTTAATGATAAATCATTCTTGGATTTTGCATAGGCGGCTGCAAGACTCCCAACACCAGAAAACGATATGCTTTTACAAGCTCTCGCATGCTTTGGGGTAACTACTGCAGAGAACTCTGGATGCTTTTCAGACAATAATGATAAATTACCAGTTGACGAACCAGCGCAGAGTATCTCACTGCTTCCTGGAAATGAATCCAAACATTTAATACCCTTTTGCGACTTCCAAAATGAATGCGTCTTCCAGCGTAATTTAGGAGTCGTTTTCAGTGAAACGTATCGGATTTCATCGGCCTCTTCATTAACCCAAAAATAGAACCCGTTTTTCTTTTTACTTCTTTGTAACATTATTTAATAATTGATATACTATTGATGAATTGTATGCTTTTCCAAAAGATCCACAACACGAAGTTTTCCACTTAACTCTTATTTTGCCATTGTGATGGAGGATGCAATCTTGTTCACAACATGATGACTAAATCAATTTCAAAAGTTTCATCCAGAATTTTCGTATTCGTATATTTCAATTTTAATATTAAAAGAATTGACCATATTTAATGATCAACATGAGCCTGTATACAGTTTGAATGTTAAAATCTGAGAGTAAAATCCAAGACGCTTTTAATGGTAATCTGAAGAGCTCCACCGCATTAGTTCATTAGAAAGTATCTTAAAGCTGGATTTCAAAGAATTGAAAGTCTCCCACAAAAGCATTAATCGAAAAAGATTCATTTTCTTCTCATATGCATAATATGATATTTTCCTATGTTTTTACGATATCACCAAAAATAGCATGATATTAAAATTTGGAACGCGTTTCTGACCATAACTATAAACATACAAGCAATTAAACAATTTGTTTAAAAGAGGCTGGAAATGTTGAAAACTCGACAGCGCACCAACACCAAAAGCTCCTATTTATGATCATCAACTACTTAATCCTTTGTACTTAAACGGCAAGACAAGAATACACAGAACCAAGTGCTGGGTTCAATCCACATTTAGCTTCTTTTCAAAATTATCAAAGGCATCTATGTTTCTTATATCTTCTTCTTCGTTCACAATTCCTGTGTTTTACTGTTTCTACACTTTGTAAACATAACCAGTGACATTGTTACTTGTGGATGAAAATATTAAGGAAATTTATTCAAAATAGAAGAACTTCTTGATTTTACGAGAAGAGTGAAAAGAGAGCTTTTTCTCATTAAAGCAAGCAAAGTAGTATGGGAAAAGTTAAAGGACCAGGACTTGCTATTGTAAAGAAAAAAATCCGTGATAATGAGCGTTTGCTGAAGAAGGTAAGGGACCCAATTTTTTCACAACGGCACTAGGATCATTTTAAGAACCATCTATTGATTTTTTTTTTCCGATATTTATAAATATCAATACTAATTTTTTTAATGTAGGAGCATTTACCCGCAAATGTCCGAGTAGAACATGAACGTGCCTTAGCTGCTTTGCAAGACCAGCTTCAGGTAATTCAGTTGGAACATAAAAAGCTCAAGTATTACGAAAGATATAAAAAAATACGATTTTTCGGTACGTGATAAGCTTATAAGAATGGTCTTACTAACATTCATACAAGAACGTAAAAAGGCTGAAAGGCATATTAAGCAATTGGAAAAGCGCCTTGGTGATTCATCCGTCAATGTTTCTGAAAAAGACAAGGTGAAAGAGAAGCTTCATAAGTATAGGGTTGATCTTAAGTATATCAAGGTAGAACGGCTTCCTTATAAAAAGGTTCTTTTCATGACAGTTACTAATTCGCAATTGTTAGGAATATCCTCCTCTTGTTAAATATGTCTCATTGTATGCAGAAGGAAACGTAGAAGCCACTGAAGAGACAAGGAAGAAAATTTGGCGCGAAATGGAAGAGCGCCTCTTGTCTGGTAAAAAGCACAATCTTGGGCCTTCTGGTGCGAACAATATACCCGTGAAAAAGAAACAAACATCCGAAGAAGAATTAAACGACGAGTTTTTTGAGAAATGAAAAAATTACGATCCAATTAGGGGAAACGGAGAACGGTTTTGGATATACTGCGAATATTTTAGGTTATTATTAGGGATAGTCGGATTCATGCATGCAAAATTTAATATTGTTTAAATCAATTGTCTTCTATGAGACGCTAATGTCATTTTTTCTGCTTGCTGAAACTATAGCTTTTAGACACTGGGTGAAGCAAATACCACATATACGCTTCATCAAGGATATGAAATACACTATGGATTCTTTTGGTCTAATAATGTTTTTATAGTTGTTGTAACTTTTGTTGAAACTGTCTATCCATTTTTTGATTTTTTTTTTATAAGAATTAACGGTTTTTTTTAACAATTTTGAAGATAATGTTTTGTATTATATTATTATTCTACCGAGGTGCATTCTAAAGCCGGTCGTTTTCCTGAAAGAGGCTGCCGTCGTCGCATAAATTATTAAAGTAGGGTAAGCGTACATGAGAAGTCCTTCAGAAATATATCTTTTGGAGAAAATAAAAACATGAAACACCATTCATACAATAATGTGATTACTTTAAGTTTATTACTTTTTCTGCTTATGATCTATAATCATCCAACCAATTTTCTTTCTTCACGGGCCAACGCAGTGTGTAGACCTACCCTTTACACTTCACCCAATTTTGACGGCTTAGTCTTGTGTCAAAATGGCTGAAGGCACTGGCCAGAGGCCGTTAACGCCTTTGTCACAAGCATTTTTATCAACAAATACCCTCTCTCCTGCCTCTTCTCCTTTAGGATTTCATTCCGATATGACTTCGCTTCGCAAAAAAAGAGGAAATTTGTTTCCTAAATTGGAAGAGTTGAATGGAAACCCAGAAGAAGAACAACGTGGAATGAACATGTCTTCAAATCCTAACTATTTTGAATTACGATGGGGTCAAGATCGTTCAGGCTTTCCTGGATCCACCGTTAGCACTCCTGGTATCGGTGGACCGGTCCAGTATTCTCATATGGGCGCAGAAGATTCCATACCGGAAGGTGCTACCACTGCTTTACCTACTTCTTTGCAACAAATGCTGGATCCTGAGACCATGGGAAATTCCAATGATTCCTTAAAGACACGCCGTACCAGATTACAGGCTGCTTGGAAGGAAGCCAGCAACTCTGCTGGTCTATCTCTACAGGCAACCACTCCTTATGATGTATTGAACAATTCTGGTCCTGCGACTACGTCTGTTTTGTCTTCTACAACTCGCCCATTAGAGGGAATGCTTTCCTATAATGATAATGTTAATTCTCATAACTCCTCCGCTGCAAATGCTCCAGGTGCAAAAAATTTGAGCAGCTCCCAGGTATTGCCTTCTGCTCCGGAAGCCGAAGAAGAAACAATCCCTACTGCTATAGTTATAAAAAACATCCCTTTTTCTCTCAAGAAAGAAGTTTTATTCAAGGTGTTTACAGCCTTAGACATTCCTCGTCCTTACGCTTTCAACTACCATTTCGATAATGGTGTTTTCCGCGGACTTGCTTTTGCGAACTTTCACACTCCCGAGGAAGCAAAGACTGTCGTTCAAGTTTTAAATGGTTATGAGATTACTGGACGACGTCTTCGCGTCGAATGGAAACGTCAACTTCCTCCCGCTGAGCGCGAGCGTGTAGAACGTGGTAAACAGGAGAAACGAGCCGTTGAAGAACGTAAACAGCAATTGAAGCTCCCTTTTTCTGTGGCTAATCTTGGCGTTGGGATAGATTTTGATTTGAATGATCCAGCCGTTTTGAATGTTTACTCACATATCCTCTTATTTTATCATCGTACGGATAATCCCCCTGATCTTGTATTTGACGGCTCTACTGGTCATGATGAGCGTCGTGTAGCAGCACTCTTGGCTTCTCGTTTGAATTTGAACTATTCTGTAACAGGTGATGCCGACTCAAAACAAGTTGTCATCACTTCTACAAACCACCAAGTACCTGGATTCCATTCGTCTAGCGCTAATCAATCTCCAGCAATGTCCAACGCACATGCTGCTAGTGAGTTAGGGTCATCATCAGTCGGGATGAATAACATTCCTAGTTTATCTTCTTCAGCAACGCTACAGAATTCTATGGCATCCTCTGGTATATTCGATAATAACCCTTTTTCTGGATCCACATTATCTTCCAATCTTTCTAGTCTAAGAAGACCTGCACCTTCATTGCACCTTGCTGACAGCATACGGTCATTGCGTGGAATTTCGGATGTGAAGCCATACTCCGATATTCGTAGCATGCCTGCAACCCCTTTGGAACTTTCCTCTCAATTTTTAAATATGAATGTATCTTCCCCATTGGAACGTGATTTGGGGACTTCTTCCGGTGCCTTAAACGGCAATAGCTCTGATTATTTTAGCAACGCACAGTCATCTTCGGCCGGTGTAGTCGGGTCAAAGCCTCAATCAAAAAATGATCATTAAAGCTTTTTCCATCAGTCATCTCTGAGTGAATTCATGCTGTGTAATTTAATTATTGCATCTCAGATTAATGTCTTTTTAGAAATTAAGAATGGATAACTTGATGTCTAACGACTTGATTTTACGATATGAATCCACGGGATTTAAAAAAAAAAGAAGATCATGCCTTTTTACTTATGAATTACATGGCAAATTTATGTATTTAAAATTGAAGCTTGGCGTTTGCTTTATCTGCACTTGTGAATGATACTGACGGGGGAAGATGATTGTTTTACTGATTTTGACGAATTTTTTTTGAATGTCCGCATAGGATATAATAACGGCTTGTATTTGCTTTAATTCCCGTTTCTTTATTTGTACAACTTACGTAAATTTTGAAGCAAAAATTAGTGGATTTTCTGGCTTCTATTTCTTTTGTGTGTTGCTATAATCTACAGTTTTTAGGCGAGACGTTGTGATGAATAAATGAGCCACAAGAATCGCTCACAAAAGGGAATGAATATTGTAATTGTATGTCTCGCATTTTCTTACATCTAATTGAGCATGCTATTTACATTAGAAATTGGTATTTAATCGACAGGAATATATAATTCTCTTCTATTATGGATTGATTTGATAAGAAAATTTAGTTATATTCCAAGGTTATAGGTTTGAGATGATGTTTTTTATTTTGAAAAGAAATTACTGAGGCTTTTGTGATGAATGGGTTGTCAATTTTTAATTTTTAGATATTGTTATAAAAAGAATACAAGATATTTTTGCACTGAATGGAATTTGTTTATGAAGAATTCATAGGATTTTTTTTTTTTCTTGAAAAACAAGTAATTTCATATACCTTTGTCTGAAGTGATTATGACATTCATAATTATGAATCCTTACTCCTAAAGAAAAAGATAAATAAAAACAAAAAGGAACAGAAAGTCAATTCAGCGCGAATGGATCGGAGATTTGTGTCCCAGCACACTGGTTCATTCTGGTATTTTCTTATCGCTACCCTAATTTTAGCTGAGATGTTTTGTAAAACCGTTAAATTATATTTTCGTAATGAAGAACTCAAGAACGCAAGTAGCGGTACGGTACCACAATTTTCTTTCAGATTTCATTTGAAAGAAAACGACGGCGATAGAAAACATCGCTAGTTAGCGAGTGTACTTTACTTCATCTACAATCTTATATTACTTTCATTTAGACTACATCTAAATAAACTTATATAAAGTAAAAATCAGACTATGAATTCATTTCCAATACACTTAAGAATTTGCTACTGGTAATATTACCTCTTGATCCCGGCTTTTATTTACTACCGTAATTTAATTTCATTCGAAATCTCCGATACGGATACTTACGGGAGTTACGCAAATCGGATGAGAGTAAATGCTACAAATTTCTCTTCGGTATTCGCTGTCTAATGATTGGTTCAACTTCCACCTCCAGATCTCCACCTCAATCGGCGGTACTTTCTAGAATTTACAGCAGTCACGCTATATAAAGTCGGCTCAAGCACCATTTTTCCATCGCATATATCCAGGAATATTGCTTGTAAGCAAGAAAAAAAATTATTTAGTGTCAGTCTGTAAGGGGCTTTGGCAAACAAAACATACCTATAAATTGGAACAGCGTGCTTTTTCAAAGCCATTTGTCTTCTTGGAATCATTTATCAAGGAATTATCTCAATACCGAAAATATTTGCATTATCAGCATTTTTACTCTCCTCAATTAGTTTTTTATAATTTTTGACTTCATTTTACATTACTATTTTTGTTAACCATGGTTAATTTTCTCACTTCTAATTTGATGCGTCCATTACGTATCGCTGGACGCCGTATTCCTGGTCGCTTTGCTGTTTCTCAAGCTCGCTTTTACGCCAAGGATTTGAAGTTCGGTGTAGATGCACGCGCTTCTCTCCTTTCTGGTGTCGACACTTTGGCTAGTGCCGTTTCTGTTACTTTGGGTCCCAAAGGTCGTAACGTCTTGATTGACCAAGCATTTGGCTCTCCAAAAATCACTAAGGATGGTGTTACCGTTGCTAGAAGTGTTAGTTTGAAGGACAAGTTTGAAAACCTTGGTGCTCGTCTGGTACAAGATGTTGCCAGCAAGACCAACGAAGTAGCCGGTGACGGTACCACTACTGCTACTGTGTTAGCTCGTGCTATCTTCTCTGAAACCGTTCGTAACGTTGCCGCAGGTTGCAACCCCATGGATCTTCGTCGTGGTATTCAGCTCGCTGTGGATAATGTTGTGGAATTCCTCCAGGCTAACAAACGTGATATTACCACTGCTGAGGAAATTTCTCAAGTCGCTACCATTTCTGCTAATGGTGACAAGCACATTGGTGAATTGCTCTCCAAGGCCATGGAACGCGTCGGCAAGGAAGGCGTTATCACAGTCAAGGAGGGTCGTACTATCAGTGATGAACTCGAAGTAACTGAAGGTATGAAGTTCGACCGCGGCTACATTTCTCCTTACTTTATGACCGACGTCAAGTCTCAAAAGGTTGAATTTGAAAACCCCTTGCTTCTTTTGTCCGAGAAGAAGATTTCTGCTGTTCAAGACATTTTGCCCGCTCTTGAACTTTCTGCTCAACAACGTCGCCCTCTTGTCATCATTGCTGAGGATGTCGACGGTGAAGCTCTCGCTGCTTGCATTTTGAACAAGCTTCGTGGTCAACTTCAGGTTGTCGCCATTAAGGCTCCTGGCTTCGGTGATAACCGCCGTAACATGCTTGGTGACTTGGCTGTCTTAACTGACAGTGCTGTCTTTAATGACGAAATTGATGTTTCTATTGAGAAGGCTCAACCTCATCACTTCGGTAGCTGCGGTTCCATTACCGTCACCAAGGAAGACACCATTATTATGAAGGGTGCTGGTGATCACATCAACGTTAATGAGCGTTGTGAACAGCTCCGTAGTGTTTTGGCCGATCCTAGCCTCAGCGAATATGAAAAGGAAAAATTACAAGAACGTTTAGCTAAAATGAGTGGTGGTATTGCTGTTATTAAGGTTGGTGGCTCTTCCGAAGTTGAGGTTAATGAGAAGAAGGATCGCATCATTGATGCTTTGAACGCTGTCAAGGCTGCCGTTTCCGAGGGTGTTCTCCCTGGTGCTGGTACTTCTTTCGTTAAGGCTAGTCTTCGTTTGAATGAAATCACACCCGCTAACTTTGATCAAAAGTTGGGTGTGGATATTGTTCGTAAGGCTATTACCAGACCCGCTCAAACTATCCTTGAGAACGCCGGTTTAGAAGGCAATTTGATTGTCGGAAAGCTTAAGGAGTCATACGGAAAAGAATTCAACATTGGTTATGATATTGCTGAAGATCGCTTCGTTGACTTGAACGAAATCGGTGTTCTTGACCCTTTGAAGGTTGTCCGCACCGGTTTGGTTGATGCTAGTGGTGTCGCCTCCTTAATGGGTACTACCGAATGTGCCGTTGTTGATGCCCCTGAGGATTCTAAGCCTGCCATGGGTGGTGGACCTGGTGCCATGGGTGGCATGCCCGGAATGATGTAGAGCTCTTAAGAGTTTCTGTTTGCATCTTCGACTTAATTTTTTTCTTCGGAATTAAAATTTCATTTAATCTCGTCCGCATATTTAATAATTAATCTTGGACAATCTGATGATAAAGTTTGCTCAACGACGCAACGATTTATGATTTGAGAAAAGTCTCATTGAATAATGATGCCGAGTATGTGTGTTCCTTTTGGAAATTTTTTCTAATTTTAAAGAGTGGTTAATGATTTTCTGTTTTTTGTTAATGAACGGCATTCATTCATTACATTTAAGCCAGTTAATGCGTTTCTCATTGATTGGCAGAGAATCTATTTACTCATTCATTCTGTAATATATGATTCTTTCTTTTATAAATGGTATTCGATAGTGATTTACGTCGATTTCCTTGAATATGGGTTTAACCAGTGACTTATGGAAATCGCTTTGCTTTTTTGTTTGATTTGGAAACGAATAAAGAATAGCCCCTTGCTAATTGTTTTGGCTATCCTATGAAAATGTTTTAGTATGCTAATATATATACAGTACCTGAAAGTGATGAAACATATACGGATTATTAATATATCCGAGAGCGCATAAAACTCATGTGGATAATGCCGTTGCCTTCCTTCTGATTCAGGTCTGTATATATTATGGTTATTAGAACATATTATAGGATAGTCAGGATAGCTAGCGAAAGTGCGATTCTTACTGTTCCATTTCTAAACAAGAAAGTCTGAGGGTTTTCGTAGGTTTATGTAGTAGTGTATTTTCGTAGATGTGAAAGTGTTAAGAGTAGCTTGTAGCCTTACTAGTAGTTTTCATGAAAGTTTATTGCTCGTATGAGGAATTTTGCTAAATGGTTAGGAGTTGATGGTTATTACTTTGAAGATGAGAATGCTAAAACTGGATTATTGGGATATGTCATGTTTACAACAAGCCTTTGTAGGCAGCTGACATTCTTTACGATTTGCTTTTCAAATTTCAAGCAACAGTTGTTCTTCACAAACCAAAGTTCTATCTATAGCTTACAAAGTGAGAGCTACCGGTTGCGGCTTATTAATTTTCGGTCCCGTGTGTCGAAAGAAAATAGTAAAGAATAATATTACGAAACGCATAGACGTTATTGACTAATAAGGATGCCTGGTAATGAGTGTTGTATGCTATGTTCTCAGCGTGACCTTTTATAAATTCATTCATTCTTAGAATGGACTTATAGTTCAATTTCACAAAACCTTTCATGATTATAAATTATTAAATTGGAGCTTCTTTAACAAGAAGTTTGTGCACGCTCGATTGCGATGCAAGCAATTCAATACCTAGTTTTCGCCCAGTTCATTTCTGTTAATGAACAGTGTAGTGCTTCACTGATGACAACTATTTAACATAGTAAATTCGACCTTCATTAAAATATAAAAATAACAATATCCCCTTTAAACATGTACATTAGGTATTTGCGACAAAACTGTTTGAATATAATCTTACCGGATCCACAAACGAAACCACACAAATTTGAGATTATACGTCCTCAACTTTTGTTCCACAAAACACAGATGAGAGCAAGGAACCCCAATTGCTTCTTTGTATTATCTCGTTAAATTCGTAATATACAAAATCTGGCATCTCAGACCATTGGACTTTGCGAGTACTAGAGCACAATTCGAAAAGATAATTGTTGCGTGCAGGCTCTTCTTCTCTGTTCAACTTTCAAGGAAAGGAAAAGGGTATGTTTCCAATCATAAACGAATGCTGTTTCCTTTTCGTAGCAACTTACAAGTGCTTATCTCGGTTCTTCCTTTATGTCTGGTGCATTCGGCTCCTCGTCCATTCTAACATCCTCAGGAAATTCCTGCATAGCATCCGTATTCTTTAACTCATTACTAGTAATCCAGTTTGGTTGAGTAAGGCAATACTTCTCAGGAGGCAACCTCAGGCCATAAGCTGGTTGGATTTGAGGCAGGGGCTTTCTATTTCGTTCGGTAGATAATTCTAGCAAAAATTCTTTGGGAGGAGGACCCGTAAAAGAATGATTCACTTGCGATGCAACTGCCAAACGAACGTCTTCGACCGAAATAGGAACACCGGTCCCACGAGCATGTTCAGCATAAACCTGAGAATCTTGAACCAATTGCTGTGTATAGCGATGGGCAAATGTCAATAATTGCAAGGGGACCGTTTGGGAATAGGCTGGAACTCCCAGAGAACTCATAATCAAATGAATGAGTCGCACATCTTTGGGACCTTTAATAGGTTCATCTATCACAGGAGGAGAGCTCATAGCTGTAACTAGAAATCACTTAAAGCCTGAAAATAGCTTTTCTATGAACGACCGAATATCTGAGACTTGGTGTTTGGTTTAAGTTAACAAAAGTCTTTAGGTGCAGGAATATTACGCATTCTAAAGAAATGCACAATTGATAAAACGAGCATTAACGAGGATAAAGATTTGCGTCTCTGATGCTAAATTATTTGCCTTATGAAAAAAGAGTAAAAAAAGAGTCATGGGAGCTAGCTGTTCACGAAAGGCAGGTCGTTTGTAAAAAGCCAACAGCCGTGAAAGTTGCAAATAAGAGACGAAATTGTTGGAACCGGAGGTGGACAACTACATATACAAAGACATTTCAGAAAGGATCGGTGAAACAGCCAGAAGAAAATAGTAAGATTACAAGGAATGAAATAAATGAAAGACCAAAATGTACATGAATTTTATTTTTACAATCCAAAAGGAAAGGAAAAAGAAATCCGTAAAAAGGTTCAATGCAAGGTTTAATAAGAAAGGGAAGAGTGATATGAAACACCGAAACATGTAAGAAAGGGTAAATACAGGATAAAAACAATCCAAACCTAATTAATAAATCGCAGAAACCAAAAAAATCCAAAAGAAAATAACCTAGACTCATGTTTGTTCATGATCATATAAGGCCAGAGTAGAAAAAATATATCACATCGTAAAGGAGGTAGAAACGACTTTCAAAGCAAGGGAAATAGAAGAATGGAAAAAGGAAAAACGTAAGGATACAGTGAAAGACGACAGTAATATAAAATAGCCAAGATGGTATGGTATAATAGCAAAGGCGGCCGGGCAGGGTAGGGCCAGGTTGGACACATCACTGAAGACGACGATTTATATTCAGGTAACCTTTTCCGAGACACGACATTTCAATGTGGCCAGTTTCGAATTCTTTAAAGCGATACTCCCTGCCGAACAGTGCCTTTACATCACGAAGAAAAGTTACCAATTCAGACGTGATGTTCAACTGTCCGATCACAATGGAATTTACATCTTCGGAAGATAGAAGCATACCAGTAAGGATGGATGGTTGAGTGTATTGATCGAGACAGCCACCTGATTCAATGGACTCCAGCAATTTTTGAGCGCATAAAGAGCCCACATCTTCAGGCGTTTGACCAGCTTCGCCGCACTGCTGGGCAGCGTATGAGCAGCCTTTATTTGTTTCTGCAACTAGTGTAAGGCCGAATCCTGGACTATTACCGCATTCATCTCCTCGGCGTACATCTGTATAAATGAAAATATCCGGCAAGAAGGGATTTAAGACGCCACGAGCTGCTTCTACCAGTCGATTTGCAAGTACTGGTGCAACACGAGTCGAGGAAGCAATGCCACGGATCCGAAACACGCGTCCAGATTCTGAAATTCGAATTGGCGGTAAAGACACTTTTGTAATAGGACACAAAAAGTTGACCTCACCACCGCCATTAGGAAGAGAGCCGCGCTTCAAAATACGCAATTCCATTTCGTCACCCACTTGGAATCGTTTTTGTAGAAAAGGAAGCACGCTTGTGCGGAGTATATCTACGCCTACATCTTCATTGTTCGACGTAACACCCGTTAAAGTCAAAGAGGTAGGTGTTTTTGCAAAAAGACATAACAACAGGATTGGCTCCAAGAAGTAACCAATCCCTCTTGTTTCAGGACAAGCATGTTCCACACGTCCACCTACTATATTACCAGGACGGTATATGAAAGAAGTACCTGTGTAAGAAATTTCAATAACAGATCCGTTTGTCAGCTTTTCGAGAAGTCTGAGAAACGATATTTGATAATCTTTTAAACCAGGATCTGCTTCATTTGGATATATTCCCTCCACTCTTATAGGTGTTCCAGAAAGTGTTGCAAGGACGAGTCGATGTGTCAAATACTCACATCCCTTGAATCTTCTCATTTGGGTACCAGACATCTCGATCTTCTATACTTTTACAACACGCAAAGTCTCGAAATAAATAAAAAAGCGATTTCCGAGACTCTGAATTGACAATTCCTTCGTTCGAAATTTTGTTCTTGTCAAGTATCAGTGTTGTCTCCAAAACACAGAGAACTTTGTGACCTGGGCCGTTGTCATGGCGACTTGGAATGTAAACAAACCATTCATTCAAAAATAAAGAAACGAATATTGTCATTGTTTGAAAAGAGAAGAGAAAAAGCGCATTGTTTTAAAAAGAAAAGAGTTATGTATGCATACATCCATAGAATTATCTTCTTTTTGTAAGGTATGCCGTAAGCAAGCATTCAATACAAAATCTCTTTGCCTTCTATTTTTCTACGGCCCCAAACTATTTTTCTATTCTCTTCTTGGAGATAAATTGGAGATGAAACTATAACAATTCACTCAAGAACTCACTTCTAATTATTGGATCTTTACTCAGACAAGTTTATTTCTTTTGTTTGTTTTTATTGTTCTTCCTGGCCGCCACACACTACTTTTTATTATCGTACGCTGTGGGGGACAGGGCAGAGTTTCAATGCTTTATGTGGGAAAGCATAATGCAAGAAAAAAGTATCAAGAGGACCTTTCTTTTATGTTGTGTTAGAAAATACAATTCGTTTTACTGTTTCTTTTAGCTACTCAAAAGTATATTGGAACGCTGTTTTTGTAATCTCGTTCAAGCACAAGTTGGAAGCAAGAAACTTAGATTCCTGTTGACTTGGTTGAATCAATATCAATATCAATTGTAATAAATGAGCTAGACATACTTTTTCAATGAATCCGAATCATTAAAAGAAAGAAAAAGAAGACATTTCATTGAAAGATGGACTTCTAAGACTATACCAGAAAGGGGAAAAAAGAAAAAGAAAAAACCTTTCTGACTAGAAGACGTAAACAAAGGCATACATATATTCACATGTGGAAGATCATCTTAAGCTACAGGGGCGGCGTTAGAACGAGAAGTGGAATCATTTGAATATTGGGGGTATTGGTTTCGTCGAAAACGGTTAAAAGAGCCTCCCCGGCCACGGCCACCACCGCGATGAGGACCTCGGCCACGGTTACGTTGGTTATTGCCATACGGAGGGCGGTTATTTAAAGAGCGTTTTTGATATCCTCGATTCAACGCTTCTTCTTGGGGAATCTCATTAGTGGGCTGATACCAATCAGGTGACATGGAATCCATTGCTTGCTGCATCTGTTGTTGTTCAACAGCTTGAAACTGAGTAGGGTAAATAGTAGAGGGATCAGTAGTACCATCATTTGCTTCAACATTTTCAACAGGCACTTGGGCCTCAGTATTAGCAGGAACAGAGGTTTCATTAAAAGTAGCGGGTTCTTGGAAGTGCTGTCCTTCGATTTCGCTTTCATTGAGAAATTGTATTCCACGGTTCAAAGGTCGAGTAGTCTGGTGAGCATGTTCATCTGTCAAAAGAGCATTTTCTTGGCCTTCATTGTCAACAACATCGCTGATTTTTGATGCAGCCTGCTCTTCAGCTTCTTCATGATCTTCTTGCTTTTCAGCAGCAGCGGGAGTACTAAAGAATTCATCACTTTTTGCGGTGATTAATTTGTAAGGGACTTCAGTCTCATCAATATACTCTTCTGAAGACGAACTAAGATTAGCAACAGCCTTTTCAGAGTTTTCTGAACCCTCATAAACATGGATAAGTAGCTTTTCAACGGCTGTGTTAAATGCTTGATCATCAGAAGGATGAACACAGTTATGACTAGCAAAACGAAGGAATCGAACAAGGGTAGACACTTGTTTCTGGGCGCTCTTAAAGCCTTCTTCATATTTGGCTTCCAATTGTTTTTGCTCTTTTTCTCTTTTTAAGGAGACTTCTTGACGCTTTTTCTTTTCATCGCGAGAACGAGAAGAATTGATTTGACTTAAAAGCTCTTCCAACTCATGCAAAGTTGTCAAAACGGCATCTTTACCACGGAGAGCGTTTTTTTGGTCAGCATTTAAAGATTGGGGATCCTTGGCGGCCTGCTCTTCAAGTTTTATAATTTTTTGCTATTTCATGTTAGAAAAGCCCGAAAAACCCTTATTCCTGGCACAATATTTATACCTTCTTTTTGGAAAAGTTCCGAATTCTCTTGCACAGATGTTCTACAATTACACCCCCAATTTCTCCTTCTGGGGAGCTAGATAACTCGTTTTCAGTCTTTGAAACTGCTTTTTGGTTTGCCATTTCTTTTCGGATAAGTGTTTTGACGTTCGTACTATTTGGTTCTTGACACCTTTCGTTTGATCATTAACACTACAGTAAGGGTACCTCACGCTGAAACAAACGCTCACAACGCGTATTGAGCTGGAAATTACATTCTTCTTCTTTCTGTTTTCTCTTTAATTTTTTTAAAAAAACTATTTAGTTTTCCTCCGTTACATTTTTCTTCATTTGGCGAAAACCTGAGAGCGAGAAGCGCTATTCCAAGCCAAACTACATTAAGATAATTTCCTTCAAATTTTCTCTCTTGGTATTATTCTAATCTCTTTTCTTTTTTTTTTTGGTAAAATCAAATATGAAATTCTTCTCTCCTTCGATAGCGAGTGCTTCGAATCTCAAAACACGATTTTTTCCTTTCTGCTTTCCAATTTCGAAGTTCAGTACCTCCAGTTTTAACTCCTCGTATGTAGGAAAACAATCAATTGTTCTTCCTAAAGACGTTCAAGTCCAGCTGCGAAAGCAAATTGTGGAGGTCTCCGGACCAAATGGTCGATTGGAAGCGAAATTTCCTAAATATCTTCGCTTAAAGCAAGATAATGACTCTATACGAATTGAACTTGCTTCTAAATCCAAGGATGATTTATCCAAAAAGCAGCTGGCCATGTGGGGAACAACCCGTGCTTTGCTTGGAAACAATGTGAAAGGAGTGAGTGAGCCTTGGCAATCTTTGGTCAAACTTGTGGGTGTTGGTTATCGAGCTTCTATTGAAGGAAATAATATACTTTTAAAGGTGGGGTATGCAAATGCTGTTTCAGTACAAATACCATCAGATGTTCAAGTCGAAAATCCTTCTCCTACAAGTTTGGTACTAAGCGGGATTGATAAACAAAAGGTAACCCAGCTTGCTTCTAAAATTCGCTCGTTTAAGAAGCCTGAACCATACAAAGGTAAGGGTATCTATGTTGATGGCGAGAGTATTCAGCTCAAGTCCAAGAGAAATATTTCATAAGCATGAGCCCGAAAGAAAATTTCAGAGGAGATCTGATATTTTTGCTACATCCTTGAAAATAACTCCGCTGGTGAATGGATTTATTAGCGAATCATCCTACAAATTCGATTCACTTTTCTATGTCTCGTTCTTCTAATTACCTTCATTTTACTTACATTTCAATTCTCTTCCCCTAAATTTCTTTAGCATACAACAAATATTGATCCATTGAGATTTTTCAGTTTTCCTTGCAAACTTGATTCTTCAATGTACTACAAATAATATCATTGACAATGGGCTACTCCATCTTATGTCTCATTTCTCAATAGTTTCGGAACTTCCAGCATTGTTACGTATTTTCCAGCGTTTCATCATGAGTTCTTGCAATCTTTTGCCTTGAGGTCGAGGATGCTCTTTCTCGTATAAATAATATCCGTAAATGCCAATCGCCATTCCAAATAAAGGATCCATCCGTCTAAGACAGAAATTTTGTTAGCATTTCCATTCTCTCATCTTTTTTTTTCTTCTTACTTCGAAATCAGATATGCCTGCGACATTTTGACATGTATATGCTTTTCTTTTTATTTTCAATCAAATACTTTCAAATTCTCTCGTATCCGGCCTTCAGCTTCTTCAGTCGATTGTCTTACGCTGTTTGTTTTTACTGTTTTTTGTTTCAATACGTCGATCAAAGGTTTATACGGTTAGAGAAAACGGCTATGGAATTCTTCTGCAATGCCGGGTCAAGAAAAGAAATAAATATCAAGCAAAAGCAAAAAAATAATTAAATAAACAAATAATAAGAAAGAAACAATAAAGTAAAAGGTTCGAAGGATGAAAAGTCGATAGAAAACCGAGTGTCCTACTTCAGCTTAGGCGAGCTTTTTTGTATAAGCAAAAGCCTAGCGAGGTTCGCAATTATGTGAGAGGTAATTTTATATAAAAGTCTAGTAGTACGAGTTTTCTACTCTCTTTTCAGAGCTTCTTCGTTACCCTACACTCCTCCTTCCAACTTGACAAAAGTAGACCTTACCACCAACAGCCAAGGCTCACTTACTTTTAACTAGTAACATCTAATTACATGTAGTGATATATTAAGGGAATAAATTTTTGGCAAGCAACTTAATTTGTCATGTCCGGATATAAAAAAGATACAAACTTTGGTAAACACGAATTATCTACGTTCACGAATCCTAAAAATCTTAACGAAGTATCTTCAAGGAAACTTTCAAGGACTATGTCAGATACATCCCGTTCTGATCCAGAGAAAAGCAATTTTTTGCTTAATATGTTAAGGCCTGATGTTGTGCAGAATCAAACACAACTTCATAGTCTGCCTGGTTTGAATCCTAGCTCAAATCCAAATGCCGTGGAAAAGCCAGTTGGTAGTCCACTCACAGCCCCCAAACAGCCTTTCTTCAACAGTTTCAATCCCTTTGACTTCTTAGAAGCGACAAGTCCTTTGTTGCAGCGTCAGTCACCCAACGCTACTGGTGCTAACTCAATTACAGATACAACTCGAAAAAAGGATGTACGATCCCCCTTGAGGCCTAAAAAACGACAAGATACGACCTTTTCGAGTTTTGAAAGAACTGGAGATTTTTTTAAGATAAAGGAAGCCGAAACGAAACCTGCATCTCCTCTACATCCTTCCTCCATTCCTGCAAAGGAAGAAAGAAGGGACCTGGAAGAGTATCATTTTTCTCAATTTACGGACGATAATAAGCTTCCTCATGAGGTTTACAGCATTGATCCACCTTTGGGTCGTTCGTTCACTCTTCCACCATCATGCGTATCTTCCCCGTTGTTGACTGATTCTTTCTACTCGATAGCGAAGGCGAACCTTCCGTATAGTTGCTTTTACGAACCGTTGACCTTGGCTGATAAAAAAAAGCAGTATGCTGCCTACGTTGATCAAAACCTTGACCGAGTATGCGTATCGAACGATGCTACCAAGAAGTTTTGTACATTGGGTTGCGAAAGCCAAGTTGTCTACCTGGGCTTTGGAGAAGATAAATCATCAAACGTTTATTTACTTGCTGTTGATTGCGATGGTAAAGCTTCAGTTTGGAATATAGATGACAGCGGATATGGTCCTATTGCTTCTTTAGTTTTAAGTATTCATCATCCTTTATTGAGAGGCTGCACCTGGGTGTCTCGGGATTCGAATTTAATTGGCTTTTTAGTGAAAAACAAATTTTATGTGATACAGGTTCCATTAATCAGGAACTATATGAAACTTAATTCAATCGAACTTATCGAGAATTCCTCAGTCTTGATTGTGGAGACTCCTTCTACCGTTGTTTCTTGCTCGTTATCTAAAGATAAAACCGTGCTAGCTTTGTTAGTCAAATCTAAAGTATATTTGTATCGAGTGGCTTTATCCATTGATGCGAATATAGAAAAACAGCTTCTTTCTGTTCCTTTCGCATTTATAGATTTATGTTTGCCGTCGCCTGCTGACTGTATCTTCTTTTTGTCTACAAGCAGGAAGGACGGTACATATCTAGATAGAGTACTGTGTATTTCATACAACCGAAACTCTACTCTATTCTTGTTTGATCTTGGATGTCGCCAAGTTACTCAAGAAATCAACTTGAAGAATGAAAATCGAAAATTCTCTCCGCACCTGCTAGGTGTTTCCAAAAATCATGACTTGATAATATCTGTGTCAGGGGACTATTTAGATATTTTCTCTTATCACGCTTCTTCACCTTCTTCTGACCTCGATCACTATAACTCTTCCTCTTTTATAATGGCAGCTCTCAATAGTGATTTTTTTGGCGAATCTGGCTATATTGGGGCTGTAATGTCTAAAACAATCTTAAACGACGGAATTTTGTACTCAAATCTGATTTCGGAAAATAACGATGAACTCAATTTACTCTTAGCCTTAACCAGCGGATATTATTTGTTAGCTATGGATGCTGATTGTTTTAGTAAAGAAGGGAAATCACTGAACTATCCAATTCCCGAACAGCCTATTTTAGCATCTGCATGTCTGGAAAAGGCCGACAAAGAGGCGAGCATTCCCAACTTGGAGAAACTTAAACTTCCGAATTCTGTTAAAGAAATAGAAACCGCAGTTTCCGAATATGCATCAAACATCCTAAACTCCTCTTCAACTTGGCACTTAGAATCTATGATTGAAGCAGTCACTCCGCAAAATGATGAAGTATTTAGTTTCGTCAACATGTTGCTAAAGAAAAGGGCAAACGAAAAACTGAAAGAGAGGTTACCGAATCAGATTGCGTCGTTAATAAAGCAGTCGCTTGGCTCACATCTAAATTCTACTATAAACACTCAATTGAAACAGACGGTGGATGAATGTATTCAAGAGCCATTGGACTCTTACGTACCCACTGCTTTTAAATGTGAAGAACCGGAATTACTCAAAAACTCGTTAGTAAAAATAAAGTCTCAAAATCAAGACAAGTCAATGGCTATGTCTGCTCTCGCTACACGTGTAAGCTCTATTTCAACGATTTTAGACAATAAGAACACTTACGATGGTAGTTCGTACCCGGTGAGCTCTAATGATATTTCAGACCGCCTTAATGATCTTTCAAAAATGATTGATGCTACGAAAAATGAAGAAGCTTTAATCTATTTCACGAAATTTCCAAACGTCTCTACGTTTCGAATGTTAAAAAGAATACCTGACTATGCTCTGGATGAATGTTCGTTTGTTCATTTATTGACGTTCATTTATACGTTATCAACCTTTGAATTTGAAGATGATGATCTCAAAAAGCTGTGCATACAATTAATGTCAAGGGCAACTTCTCGTCTGCGTGCTATGGAAGCGCCGCATTTAACTGAAAAGGTTAAAATTTTACCTGAACTTTTCCCTACAGTTGTCGACATTACATTGAAAAATGTTGAGACAATTTTAGCTCAGCAAATAGTCGTTGGCTATGAGACAAAGTACGAATTCTTAAAAACCTCTCTCAAATCTTTACAAAAAGAGCTGAGTGCTTTTTACGATGTTTCAGTTTGAGTATCGCGACGTTACTGGAACTCTCTGACATAACATCAAATGCTATTTGTTTATCTATATTAATTTCAGCTATACATTTTATTTTCTATAATGAGAATGTATTAGCAAAATAATAGACGACTAAACTTGACGAAATCGCCTTCCAGGATACTGAATCCGAAGGAAGTACTTTATATTGAAGACGACAATTAATTTGTATGTACACATACAAATGTGCATAAAAACATATACCAGTTTTGTCTTGTGTATTCTTTTAAAATATTAAAGAAAATTATTAGGAATTTCGAAGAACAGGTCTGAAGTATCTTTAAAGAAGGGAAATGAACTTTTGGCAAAAGGACAGTTAATATATGAACGAAAGTTTTCAATTCAAAGTACTTTCAGTGCTGCAACTGGATTTATGATGAATGGTACACCACTCGAAATTCCTGGCTTTTACTATGATTCAACACGTAATAGATACTTTCGTATCGCTTCACAAGGAATATCTACTCCATCTGCTAACGCGTATACAAGGGAACGGTTAAACCAAAATTATTCTCTAAAAAGGAACAGTTCCGAAGATGATGAAAAGCAAAGTATAAGCAAGAAGCATCATCGTAAATTATTACCCGGTATTAATAAGTACTTATTCAACCGGCAGTTATCTGGGACCCATGGAAATTTTATGAGTGCAGGATTGTTAGGTCAACGAGGTCGAAAAATCAAATTTTCCCCGTCTTTACAGGGTATCAGTCTACAAAAAATCCATTGGGTTCCAGGATTAGACAAATATTTATTTTCGTCTAATCGAGGTGATTTATTTATTTCATCTCTCTATTCAGCGAATGATTCAAATTTGTATGATTCATCTGTGTCATCGAATAATCAAATGATGGCACAGGAAGTGAATGTTGCTCGTCTTGGTTTATCACCGTCTCCTATAACATCTATTTCTTCGAACTTCGATACAAGTTTATTTTGGACCACTCTTGGCTCACAGTCAACTGAAAGCAAAGCTCATATGTGCAATTTTAATGTTTCCCAAAATTCTCCCGAGAATTATACTCAAGTATCCTTAAGATCGATGAAAACACCTCATTGCTCTGAGTTTATCAAAGGAACGGGGTTCGCAATAGGTGGTTCAAATAGAATCGCTGTCTTGAATGAAGAAGGTGTTTTCCGAAGAAATTTCCATTCCAAAGGTGATGTTTTTACTTTAAAAGCAATCGATCAAAATACTTTGGCAGCTGGATGCAGAAACAAATCAGTTTTAATGTATGATCTGAGAGGTCCTAGCAAAACCATATGTCAATTTTCTCATGATACGAGCGTATGTTCGACATCCCTTGTTGATTCTGCTGAACCAAAATTACTAGTAAGTGGTTTGGTTTCGTCAATCGCTTTATATGATCTACGGTTTGTAAGACATGACTCAAAGGTAAATCACTTGATGTCCTATAAGGGGCATTCTAATTTGGTGGAACGTAACTTGGCATTAATGTGTAATGAAAAAGGAACCATTTTTGGAGCGGCCGGTGATGATTCACACATTAGATTCTGGAGAATTGATTCCTCCGAGGTTATAGCAGACTTTAAGCCAGATGTTGGAGGAAATCATGTATTATATCGGGATGGAACTTGGCTGAAATCAAACGACACGGAGGGCTGGCTTCTACCTATAGACGACTGTGTACATTTTTATGAATCATGATTATTGATAAGTAGCGGAGAGTTTATTTGCAATGTTAAATATGATGGATCATATCTAGAAGTTTAAAAGTCAAAAGAGGTAAAAACAATCATTACATTAACGTGAACATCATAAGTAATATATCTAAGACAAATAAAGCCTTTAGCTTACACGTAGCTTTCAGCCCTAGTTCTTTCTACGAAACAACACAGCTTTTCAATTGCTGTTCGTCTTGTTTCTTCTTTGTTGTCTTAATGTTTCTGGTTCGATGAGCTGTCTGTGAGTTGCCTTTACTTTGATCCCTACGGGTCTGAGCTTGTTGTCCTTGTGCTATTCTCTTGGCATGGCGTTCATCTTCTTTAACGAGACGTTCTTGTTCTTCCTTTCGCTGATTTAAAATGAACACAGCCGGAATAAAATTTGCTGAACAAAGTTCTCCAGTTCCGGTCTCAACAACCTGGTCATCAAATGTTTCCCATACAACGTCCTCACCTGTTCTGGCATACCCACTGTCAGTGACAAGTGTGAAGAGAGTTAGAGATTCCGGATTGGAATACAAAGTACTAAAATGACATGACCGAAATAGAACCACGATTTCACCCGGATGAATTAGCTCAAGAATTTTTCCTAAACCAGCAGAAGTGAGAAATTGCATGGTAAATCTATCTTCCATAATTGCGTCAACAAATGTAGCTTTATAACGTTAGCATATCATAAATAGCAGATGAAAATAAAACGTACTTTTTTCTATAAAGTTTGTCTGCTCCGTGGTCAAGCTCTCTGTCATTTCTAATAAAGAACGTCTTTCTGCGTAAGTATCTGCAATTTTCTCATAGTACTCCAATTCTTGCAAGCACTTGAGAGACGCTTCATCCTGCATAATTTCGCTAGAGAATAGCCAACCGTGAACTAAAGGAATGCCGAATAAATTAAACATTTCATCACCATATTCGAATTTTTGAATGTCTAGAATTGAAGGATTCAACTGTTGACCAAAATGCATAGTAGAAAGCTGACCATGAAGGTCTCCTAAATCCTCACAAAGCGCATATCGTTTAGCGAATTCGACAAGACAGTCGGTTACCTCTTCTGAAGGAATATACTTTTTGTTTGGAAGCAAGAATGTCCTTTCAGCATTGGATTTCAGGACTAATGAGTTTACAATTGCAATAATGGGACAAGGGCCATTATCTATAAGTTCAAACCGTTAGAAGTAAATCCTTTTAAAGAAGGTTGTCCATTTACTGTAAGTGCTACATTTCGTGTCTGTTCAATACTTGACTATAGCAGGCTTAATAATAACGACTTACCTGTCTGGCAAAGCACCAATCGTTTACTATATCTTTTATTGGTAGGCTCCAAATACGATATGATTCTTGTTCTATAGGAATTCTGCGAATTTTCTTCTTGCATTTTACATGCGAGGTTGTCGTCGCAAGTCGCTCTTACACAGCAGAATTTAGGCGCAAGTAAATTTTCTTGCTGTTAACTTTAGTGAAACAAGGGAAGGTTTATTCTTCAATTCTTAACTTGTGACGAATGTTGAGAATGAAACAATGTTGTGGTTGAGTAGCAAGTTCAAATGGCAGACCAAGAGAAAATGCTTAAACTTCTTTTTATTTGTATAGTCAAGCTACTTCTTTTAATAACTATAATTAGATAGATTAAAGTTAAATAGCAGCTATATTTGGAGTCATGTTGAACAGTATTTTTGTCAACCAGAAATTCCTCAATTACTAATGAATATGTAAGGTGCAAGAGGGAAGGCTTGTAAATGAGCTCTTCAGTAATCAAATGTCCTGGAAGCATCAAAAAAGATAAGAAGTGACCAAGATGTTTCTGACCTTGGTTTCAATGGAAAACAAAAACTTTCAAACTTATAAATCCTTAGATCTAGATCAACACTAGCATACAATACTATTGCTTCTGACTAGCCTATTCTTTATCCGAAAATTAATAGATTGTTTTTGTCCGCTTATTTTATGTAAACACAATGGAAGGCATCAATAAGTCGGCTCATAAAAGATCGATAAACGAGTCTCAGCTTTTGTAATCCCCTAAACGATTTTGAATTATTGACTGTAATTCAATACAGCGTTGATGTTCTGATTCCAATAGTAACAACTCGTGATAAAACACCTTTACGGTGATAAAAGCTCTACTTTTATGCTCAAAAGCTGAATTTTCGAGTAGAAATTTGTAATCGGTTGCCGACAAACACCCATTCTCATATCGATTTTTACGCGTTTCGTAGATGTAATCCAAAGTCTTTAGAACCCTTGAATAAAGGTTCATAAATTCCTGCTCATCCAATGGTTTTCTTGTCTGTACAATTCCAACATGTAAATTCCACAGCCTCTTCTCAAATTCTAAGAAAGGCAATTGATTGCTCGTCGATGGATAGCGATTGACATGAGAGCTGTAAATTAAGAAGCAAGCAAATGAGAAAATTGCAACGCTTGGTCCCAGATTGCTAAAGATACAAAGGCTTTTTTGATGGCGTGCTAGTATATTATGTGAGTGATTTGATGATCCGTCAAGAGCATGTTTATCGTTTTCATTATACGAGTGAGAAGGCGAATCGAGATCAAAATATTGCTTCCATGAACGAAAAGTTTCCTTAAATAAGTTTCGGACCGTTTTTTCTAAATCTACTTGCCAAATCTCACAAGTAGGGTCTAAAAAGCCATACTGGATAAGCAGTTCATCCGCACAAAACGACCCAAAACAATTAAAGATCTCTTCTCCTTGTTCTACTAAAGAATTTAAAGTAAAGTTGCAAATTGTAGAGTCTGCAGGTTCTCGATTACTTGATAAGCCCACTGTAGAGTTGGAGCACTGAAGAAATGCAATTTCTGGATTTGTCTGATGATTAAATATGTCGCAAAAAGGTACCAATGCTAATTGGTGATAATCATCGATGTAAAAACATCTGCTCTGAGTAAGGGTGCATGCGCGCAAATATTCTGGCCAGCTGGGACATGATCTAGGAAGTGATTTTGAGTTTTCGAAAAATGGTATAACAATTTCTTTATACTGTTCATAGTAAATTTGAAGTACATTTCTGGCCGCCTCATATACGTTAGTTCCCTTTAATCGCATCTGATCGCGACCCCAAAGCAAAATGGAATCTGGAGTAGAAGCTTCATCGAGAGCATCGAAGTAAGGCGCCCAAAAACTCTTGTGATTCAAGGATTTCTCTAATAAAAAAGCCAAGGTTAGTCGGACAATTGCTAGAGGGTCGGATTGCGCTGGATATTCATGTAATATTTTTTGTCGTGGCGTTCCAGTATCAGAACATTGCTTGGAAAGCAAAGGAGAAAACAATGAATTTTTCGGGCTCAATACGATGGCTTTACTGAAAGACACCAGTAACTCAGGTGGAAAAATAGTATGCAAAGAGATAATTCCTCGCCCAGCAATAGAATTTTCGGTTATTTTAATACTCGGCGAGATATAATAACTATTTCGTATAAGCCAAGATAAAAACTGGTCGTAGTCTGCATCGTTTTCGCTTTTCATGGCATTGACTGAATATTAATCTCTTCGTCACAGAAGCTTAAAATCATTCGAATTTCAATCATAATATCAATCAGGAGTCATAACCAACTAACGTATGCAGGGAGTAAACAACTTGAAAAATTGTTTGTTCCCAGTTCTCTCTACTCTCCTTGCTTTAATAATTAATGACTTGACCGGAATGACCACTGATGCAAGTTTCACCTAAAAGAAAGACAACGATGTAGAAAGGCTACTTTTAAATAAGATTAAGGTATGATATATAGAAATGACTATTCGTAAGCAAGATAAAGCGGATTCAATAGAACCGATAAATATGTGTTGTAGAGAAGACCTCCATTCCTAAGTTGAAGAAATTGTTCAAGATGGATAAATTCGATCATTGCATTGTTTTCCTTATTGTTTTGGGACATGTTTCTTAGTTTTAGTGTAATTTTAAGTTTCAATACCTGCGGCACCTTTGACGTCTATAAAGTAAGACATATGAAATCTCAAGTATTTCATAATTAATGGTTTGGATCGAACGGAGTTTAAGCAATGAAATACACGACTTATGCTTCACTAGAAGCTTGTTCACCTTCCAGGTTGAACTTTTCAAGCTGTTTCTTCAGCCGAACATTTTCTACTGAAGCATTTTCGTAAGCTTCTTGATCAGATAATAGTGCTTTCTCAAAAAATTTATCGTATTCCTCTTTCAGTTCATTTCTGTTCATCTTATTGTAAAGTACTTTTTCAATACACTCCAGTAACCTGTAGAAGACATTCGTGTATCTTTGATCTCGTTCCCATCTTTCTTTGAGTAGTTTTAATACAATTGCCTCCATTTGGCTGTTATACTCTTCCTGCTCTGCTGCCATAAGAGTTAACTTTTCATATGAAATAAGCAGTTGTTCAAATCGACGAAAAATACTCTCTTCATCTCCCAAAGAAGATTCTGAATTTAAAACATTCATTATTGTACTCTTATAAGATCTACCAGTCTGGTTTTCAGTGTTGTTATGGGAATATATAGTATGGATGAAGTACGAATATATATGTAAACAAAGACACGTTCAACGCGCGATGGTGGAAATGCATAGTGTTGTAATCATTTCATCCCAATGTTTATTAACTCATTATTCGTATAAATATATATAAATTTATATATGTGTATATTTAAATAGATTCATCAAAAAGACATTATACTCTGATTGTAAACATAAATCTGTAGGTTATAAGCTTCAAAACGGCTCAACATCCATAAGGCGCAAACGATGAGATTCGGTGTACGCTCTGTTGGCTTCTTTCATGCATCTGTCCTTTTTCACAATGTCGCCTGGAAGTGGAAGGCGTAAAGTTGACATATCATACATTGAGCATACTATTTCATGCTCAGAGTATCTCAAACTCTTTATCTTTCTGACAGAAAGAACCACTTCAACTTCGTTGTTCGCTTTCGTGACTAAAAAGTGCTTAGTACTAATGAATAGCACTTTCTCATTTTTTAGCTCAGCATGGTAAAGGTACGTTTCGTTTGAATATATACCGTTCGCGATCATTGCCAATAAATACTTTCCAAGGGATTCATATGTTTTGTATGGCTGAATCAATCCACCAAATCCTACGAATCTTGGAATACGAGCTTTATCAATCTCAGGATTTGCCCGGACATCTGTCGAATTCCGTATACCTTCTGAAACGTTGGTAGTCATGTCTAACAGACCGATAGCAGGCTTGGTAGCCAAGCCTAAAACACCCTTGCCAAATCCTTTCAAAAATTTACCAGGACTATCAGATTTGCCATCAGTAAAAGGTCGGCGAAGGCCTTCGAAACCACTGGTCATGCTATCGTAAAAAGTATTAGCTCCAACGGTTATACCAAAAGCCGCCTGCTTAGGTCTGTTTCTTGAACGGAAGCGACGTCTTGACATTTTATACTTTGGATCCATTGTCACCGTAGATAAACCTTTCGAAAAAGTATTGGTAAGTTTCGATACACTATCAGAAACGCCAAAAATGGTTTTCCTCATAAAACTAGAGGTACCCCTTGCAAAAGAATCCCCAATTGATTGAGTATCTTGAAGTAAAAACCCTTGATATGGCTCATAAAACATGTCAAAAACACCAGATGCAAAGTTATTGAATAGACCAACTGGATTACCCAAAAAGTCTGCACGTCCAGCAATCATATACATTTGATATCCAATTTGCTGCTTGTAATGATTGAAGATTTTGGAAACCAGCTCAGACACAGTTCCTCTGGCGTTTTCCAATAACACGGAATTCAACTGAACGGGTGCATCATGAATATTACCCAAAGTACTTACGAGAATTCCCGTCATAAAGTCCAACGTCGAGTTAGGAGTTCTCGCTTTTACTATTTCATTTTCCATATCTTCAGAAGCCTCAAACGTGAGATTAATTCTTGTAGGCTGTAAATGAAGAGCTTCAAAAAAGATATCGCTTTGATAAGCATCTACATCGAAATTAGGAAGTTCAAACTTGTCTTTGAAAGAATCTTCATTTAAACTTCTGGAACTTTGAGAAACATCAAGCGAAGGATATATAAGTCTTAGCAACATAAAGACAAACCGATCATCTAGTTCAACAGATAACTCTTGTAAAAGAAAGGAAGCATATTTTACGTAAAGTAAACCATAATCATAATCTTTCAAAGAAGAAATTCGGAATTGCAATACTTCTGGATTTTCCTCTTTCACCTCCTCTGTTATTACGGAAGGAAATAATGCAATTGGATGCAGAGAATCCAGCAATTGGTTATCGATCTGAAACCAGCCCAATGAAAGAGAAAGCGAATGCAAATCTGCGCTTTCATCAAAATTAACCATTAAGTTTCGTAATGTAGCGTAAGCAAACTCTTCGTAATGACTATTGATTAAGGATAATCCGAGACCACTCAAGTCCATAGCAAATTTGAACTTCGTCTCATCCTTGTCTTCTTCCTTGTTCGAACCTGTACGGCGAGGAAGTTGGGGAGGTTGGCTGGCCTCCACTTCATTGAAAGTTATTACTGATGTGAGACCAACAATAGAAATTTCAGGTACTAATCGAGCATTAGCATTTAGCTCCTGAGGAAACCATGGGCTAAGCTTTCCAACTGAGGATATATCCAAATCATGAACTGCATTTTCCACTGTAACTTCGAGTCTTTTGTCTTTCACAGCAGGGAAATCCCAAGAATAATCAGCCTCATCTCCCGCACGTAAAATATATTTGCTTTTCTTAAAATTTTGAGTATATGCAAACTCGATACTTGAAGAGGCTGGCTTTTTCTGCTGATATAGAATGTCCATAGAAGAGTTATTTTTTAACTTAAATGGCCAAGAAACAGTTTCCAACTTGAAGGTTATAAAGAATGTCGCATCTTTTAATGTTACCGAAACTCGTAATAAAACTGGCAATATATCTCCATTTTCGTTTCGCTCGTAAGCTTTAACGTGGGTTATACCAAGATTATTCATATGAAATGCGGATGACCAGCTATTATTCATACCTGGGAAGGCCGTCACCATAGTAATGTCTTCGGAATTTTCAAACAAATAAACAGGATACAATGCTTTGGACGATAAATTCCAGATATTGGAACTACCGAATTGCCGTAAACACAAGCTTCTATCCAAATTGTTTTTGAAAACGTACCTGGGAGTAAAAGTAACGGTTTTAGACAAACAAAATTTTCCTGTACATTCCCCAATTGATAATCCTAAAATGTATGCTTTTCGATTATCTGTTGTTTTAACTTTCACTTCACTAGATGACCCTAAAGTATCAAAACTTAGAGGTAGGAATAATTGAGAGTCCTTCATTCTTAATACAGCACGATTCTTTCGATTTGCTTGCTTAAATGAGAAAAAATAGGGCAATATATCATTAGCATAACCGCTTCCAGGGATAATATTAGTCACCGAAGAGTCATACTCATCTGAAAGCTTCATATTGACATCTGTTCGATTATATATTAGATACGGAGAGTAAATTCTCACATCAGAAATGTAGTCTGTTCCCGGGAGTTTGTCGTACTGAAGGTTTAGTTTGACCCTTTCTTTCTTGTCTGCAAAAGATAACAGAGATGTTGACTGAACGGACTCCCATGCGCCAATGGGCGAGTATATAATAGGCAATTCAAGTGAATGAAGATCAATTGCAGCAACAGTCATACCCAACAAAAGAAGACTTTTTGGATCTGTGTGCAGAATTGGAAGTGACTCACCTGGTTGAAGAGTACAACGCCAATCATTACGGGTGGTGTTTTTTTCTAAAATACGAACTTTGACCTCGTATGGAAGCAAGTTATGCACTTGCAATGGAGGAAGAACATTCAGCTGCATGAAAGGATAAACATCAGCCATAAAACTCTCCATAAGATTTCTCGAGAAGACCAAATAATTATATTCCCAGTTTGTTTTGCTAGATTTGCATGACAAATATTGTAAAGGCGACTTCAATAATGACTTCCAATATACACATTGATTAGACCACAAGAAACCTAGTTTTGCTACTGGACGAATCCTCAAAGGATATAATGTTGCCAAGTCAAGAGGAATGTAGCCGGTTTCTTGTGGCTCAATCCGAACAACAGAAGACTGACGATGACCAGATTGGTCGTTACATACGAATTCAATAGCTTCTTTTGTTCTGTTAACAAGTGAATATGGTGAAGAAAGAATGATTCTTTTTACGTTAGTTTCCAGTAAGATTACTGTTACCAAAAGAAAATTAGGACGTTCGGCTCGAGGTTTCAATTCATATAAGAAAGAACCTTCACGATGTACTGATATGTCATCAACAGGAAACCATACTTCATCGAAAGAGACTCGTATTTTTGTCGATATATCTTCTTCTTTACTAGTTAACCTTGTTGCCGACGCTCCCTTGTCTTCAAAACGACAAAGCTTAGAATTTCCTGACTCAAGCTTAAAGTGTTCATTTCCATCAGATTCCTTGAGACCGTAATGCACAGATAAAGCGTAACCAGTTTCATTTAAAACTTCGTAAGGATGGCCTTCAGGTCGCTTTTCGTTTTCTCCAGTCTGATTAGTCAAATAATACCTTATTATTCTGTGAAAATCCATTATCATCATTGGTGTCAACGTAAATTGTCCACGCTCGCTAGTTACAAGCTTTATTTCTTTGGTTCCATTTTTTTGGAGACCAGATAAACTAATAGACCAAGGTTCTAAAAGGGGCTCCCAATGAGATTTGGCAAAATTGAAAGCATTACACTGAACTCTAAGAGTTGTTGAGGCAGAGAAGTTAGAATTCCAGTCCTTTGCATTCACAATAAATGAATCGACCACAATATCTACCACAGGTAAGGAGTGAGCATCACTGATTAATGCCAACTGAATTCCAGCACTGTTGAAAGTCAATTCCTCAGTAGATAAAGAAGCTTGCCCCAAGGTATTCAGTAAATCCGTCGCTGTTTTTTCTGCTTTTTGCTGAATTAACATTAAGGATTCACGCGTCGGCTTTTCTTGTGAAAAAAAATCGGATAAGTCGCTTACACTTGTGGTACTAGGACTTATATCCTTTCTATACTTAGAAACAACCTGGGTAGAAGATTTAATTACGCTTTGTATCAAAAGCAGATCATATATCGATATACGGAATATTAACGGATCAATGTCCATGCAGGCACTTGAGGTATATTGACTAGAAGAGTTTTGCACAAGACCAAATCCAAAATTGAAGTTTTCAAGTATTTGTACACCATTATTTACTTTGTCCATTTGAGAAACGAACAAACCCATTTCTTGAACAGTAACTGAATAGGACATCTGTTTCGCTAAGCTTACGTGTCCTATCTTCACAATTAAACACTGAGAATTTGAATTAGAAGCATCTGCAACAAAAACTAAAGATGTTTTTGTAACGTCAAACCTTAGGGAATATGAAAGGGACTTTTCGTTTTTATTGACTTCATTATCAGGTCCCTTGTTGACTAGCGTATTATCATTATTCGCAGAGGAGTTTCTACTAGAATCATGAGCTCCAAAGCAATAGAAAATTGAAAGAAGATGATCTAACGACAGAACATAAAGTGATTGATATAAATCTCCTTCCAAAAGAATATTGCTGCTGTTAGGCTTCCATGTAAGCGTAAAGCAAAACTGGGATTCATTCTCCTGGGATGGAAGTATAAGATTAGAAAAGTGCTCAGACTTTTCCATCCGAACATCTTCAATAGCAAATGAGCTCATAGTCAACTTTGCAAAAACACCCTCTTCAAAGCTATAGCTTGAACTCATTTTCGTATCATTCAAAATAAATCTAGAAAGCGGTCTTTGCGAATAATTATCAGCCTCAAAATTTCCATCAAACAGATGTAAGCCAACCTTTGGAAGACGCAAGTTAAGATTCAAGCTAGAGCTAGTGTTCTGACTAAAATGAGAAATAGCTTTATTAATTACCTCAACGTTGTAAAGTTCATCGGAAAGTACGGAAAATACCGAGCCAGCATCTAAATTTGTAGAGAACGCATCTTTGATACTCATTGCTTTCGGAGCTTCGGATGCCAGCTCAAGAAAAGTGAAATATTGGGCTTGTGAAAGCTGGAAAGAGAAATCACTTGTTTCGCCATCAATTTGTATGCCATAGTGGGTTAAGCTTCCCTTGATTTCTTGTAAAACCGATATTTTTAATCCTACATTAAGGTCTTTCAAAACGTCAAGTTCAACATCATTCTTTTCAGATGAAGTTGCACAAAAAATGGTCTTTATCGTCGTCTCGGATGATAATAGCTCAATAACTAAATTTGGTAACCAAGAGATAGTCCTTGAAGAAAATCTACCAGGTAATATATCAACATAAGCTTGCAAGCCATTATCCAGACAAAGAGGAATTCGGAAAATGGGATTCGATATATTTATATTTATGTCAAAGTTAGTACCTTGTTCAGCTTGAAGCGTGCCCGTTTCAGCCAAGTATTTTGCAGACTCGACCACAGTTTTCAGCTGTATAAAATCAGAGAAGAAATTGAGAATATCAATAACAGGCTCTCGACGACATATCATTAAGAAAGATCCCATTTTTATATCAAGCTTTGCTTGAGGCGAGTCTTCCTTATTTTCAGCCTGCTGCGTTTTGTAACGTAAGTCTAAAAATTGATCTTTTTTAGAGTCAATGAACGATATAGTATCATTCTTCTTTGAATCCCAAGCACGAATATCAAGCTTCTGAACGCGAGAATGCAAATCCCAATAGTTGATAGCAGTATCAATTCTGGAATGGATATTAAATAAATCAAGACATATGGGATGTTCCTCATAAGATTCGAAAATTTGTACTCCGAGCCTATGTAAGCTAAAAGTCATCTTAGTCTTACCAAATGATTCAGAAGAAGGCTCTTTTTCAGCTTCAGTATCCTGATGATTATTGCTCGTGCCAATGAAGGAAGAGGAAAATTCAAGCAAGGATAGTATTGAATACTTAGCAAGATAAAAGTTGCCATCAGAACAAATAAAATTTATGGTCGTGCTGTCTTTAAAGCTTGAGGAAGGATCGAACTCAACAGCGTACTCAATCGTTAGTGGGTAGTTATCTTTTACGTTATCATTATTTGACGATCCGCATTCGAAGATTTGATGATTACCAACGCGCGACTCTTCTGTAGTTAAGTCATTGACTTTCATGGAAGTAAGAGACAGCTCCACTCTTTGAACGGTGTCAAATTGGTTGTAAGAGATATTAAGTTTGCCCAATTCCAAAGATGCCATTGGAGTCTGTTGAGTATAGCCACTCTCCCTCAATAGGACAATAACCATTCCATTTAATGACAAATCAAATTCACAGAAATGTTTCAATTCAGGTAAAGTATCATCTTCCTTAATTTCAAAATTATAGTTGCTGTCTTGTGAAACAAATGATTTCGATGTTTGTAAGGAGCTATTTTTATCAGACGACGACGCATAAGACTCATTACTCAAAAAAGCAGACTTCAACTTCTTCAAAACAGCATATTGCGCATCAGATATTTTGAATAATAGATCAGACATTTTACCAGAAACTCTGATTTTTGGAAAGTTAGGAGAAGGGACGCTCTGTAAAGAGAGATTTAATTTAATAGAAGACTCTTTTAATAACTGATATTTTTCATCCATCTCGTTTTTATCATTATGGATATGAGAAAGTGGCCCTAAAGATATTTTTGCTGAGTCGAGGGAAAGGAGATAATCATCGTAAATAAGATCTTGAATTTCTTGCTCTTGTGTTGCCTGCCTTTCTTCATTCCGTCTTGAATAATTTGATTTCACAGAAATGAGACCTGAATCAATCACGAGTGAATTTGTGTCCGGATTTTCAACATTTTCGGGCAAAATTATTAATGGAGCTTGAAGCTGAACGTCCAGGGTAAGTTTTCGTTTTTCATTCATATAGTTTCGTAAATTTTGAACGGTTTGTGAAGTTAAGTCTGTAACAGCATTATTTGCAAATCGAAGTAATTGAGCTCCTCCTTCATTAGTAAATAAAGAATCATCAAAAAGTTTTTTAACTTTAATGAGGCTAGGTTGATCGTGGAAAAATTCCAACGTACGTAGATTAAGTTTCAAAATATCCCGATCATCTTCACCAGAAAATCGGCGTTCAAATGTCATATGGAACAATGGAGAAGGAGATTCTGCATCAAACGAAGAGGATTTGCTCCTTGTGTATAACAAAGAACGGTTATCATTGAAAACCCTGAGAGAACCCAACTCAAGATCTAACTTGTAAGTTTTGTTCATACATAGCAGCTTTGAGGTAAACTCAGATAATTCCAGAGATATGAGATGACATTTTTCGGTAGTACTTTTTAAAGAAAACCTTCCGGAGGGTACGCTCAGTCTAATATCAAATAAAGCGGCATTGGAAGGAGTTTCGGTTAAATTAGAAGGGCTAAGCGTCGACTCATTCAATCCAATAGCATCGATAATTCTTTGCTTTTGGTCATCCGTCATTTCGCCGGCTTCATCGGAAGCACCTTTAAAGTTGTTCCACATCCAGGTTGTCCAGCCCTGTTGTTTTTGGCCTTTTGGTTCAATTCCTTCTTTTTTTATTTCCTTGTAAGCAAGAGAACGAAATAGCTTTAATTGGCTAACAGTGAAGTTCAGTTCTAATACATCCAACTGATTTGTTTCCTCGGGGGACAAAGCCGTTGCGAGAAACTTTTTCCTATATAAATGGATATATGTTTTTCTTCTCTCGCAAAAACTTTTGATTGCAGGCCAGGAGTTGACATGATTCTTTTGTCGAATGTCGTTAAAGACTTTCTTGAAGACAAACGGAAGGCATTCAGAGGATTTACTAATAGTAGCATCTCCCAAAACATTTTTCCGGAAATTGAATTTGGAAAGGATATCATTAACTTCGTTATTTAACGAAATTCCCCTTGTAAGATGGGCGTCACTAATTGTTAAATCAAACCCCTCAAAAGATAAATCAGAAACGAATCGAGGTTTCTCAACAGTAGGAGTCTTGTTGATTGTCACTTTTGCAGAACCCATAATTGGGGAAATCAAGAATTCCTTTTCTCTTTGGTCAAAATCGGTTAGCAAAACGTGAAATAATCCTATCAGGTCATTAAAGTCATTAGAGGAAATACACTCAGAGGTTTCGTCAGAATATACGGCAAGGTTTTGCAGAGAGCATAATTTATGAATAGTTTTGGATTCTGTTTCAATAAACATAGGCTTCCACTCTTCGTTACAAGAAGAAATAGAGAATTCGGAAAGTAATAAGCCAAAGGAATACCCATTAGCGGGATAATTTTCATTGGAGTGCTCAAAACGAACATGAATATCTCGAATGTTAAATTGTATATTATCAATCATGCGAGTAATTAGCGACTCTGTGAAAGTTTGAGCGTTTGGGTCATAACCAGCCTCAGTCGTTCCCACCTGTGCTGCTTCCCATAGCCCCATTTCTCGTCGTTTCTCTTCCAGTTGCTGTAAGGGGCTTTCCTTTCTGGTCACCTAATAGGGTCAGTATTAAAGGATTCAAATCAAGGAATTTAAGTCAACTAGACAAGATCAATTCCTCACAAAAATCAGACCAAATCAAGACTATATTAAATTAAGAGAAAAACTTACAGTAGGAGACTCATCCATAGAAGCCAAAGCACGAATCCCTTCGATATATATCTCCACAGGCTTATTTCTAAGACTGGACCAAGGGATTTTGAGCTTTAAACTTTCAATTAAACCATACTGAACAGAAATGGGAAGTTCTAGTTTTTTTAGTGCCTAAAATACCAAAAAGTATTAGTTTTGAAAGGATTGATATGCCAATAAAGGCGTTTTGTTTGCAACACTTACATCTCGTTTTAATTGCAGATTGTGTAAAGTAACATCACCGTTCCAAACACCGACCTTAAGTTGTGTCGCATCGAAATTTTCAATATATTCGCCCAATAGTCGATTTAAAAAATCTAAAAGAAGTACTTTGTTAGCAATCGATTCATGGCCAAGCTGTGCTAATGCAAAGCAATACATACTCGCTAGCAGCCCTTCCAACATGGTGAAAGGGGTCTTTTATTAAGATTAAAAATATTTAAGAGAAACTCTTTACTATATATGGTAGATTTTTACTTGATTCCTATTAAATCGGCGTTCTTGGTAATGACGTTCTTTCTAACAGGAGACAAGAGACGCCTGAAATGTACACTATTTAACCAGGTGACAGTTCATAATAAAGTAACAATGTAATAAAATATTTCGATTTTTGATAAATTGACAATTACAGTTTCAGGAATCAGTGAGTGTTCATTCCTACTTGTTTGGATCGATCTTTCTTTTGTATATCTGAGCTGGAAATTTCAAAAACCCCGGAATAGAACGAATGTAATAGATGAATAAATAATCATGTTATTAAATACAAAAACCAGAACCCAAAAATATGACTTTAAAACAAAACGAAAATAAAGAAAAGGAATCTATTGGAATAATAGAATTACAAAGGCGTTGTTGATTGTTCAGTTAAGGCTTTAAAGAATTGGAGAAGAAAGATATTTTCCTGCTCCACCTGATTATTTACGAGCTAAAATTGAAATTAGTAATAAAGTACGAAACTAAGGAAAAGTGAAAATCACCTCCATTACCTTTGAGTATAAGTTTTGCTTCTTTTGGGCTGAAAAAGGCAACTTGGAAGAATAGGAAACCTGACGCTTTACAGGTTCATTTGGAGTTGAAGCTTGAGAACCATCTTTAGCGTTTTGCTTGTCTTTGTTTTCATTAATGGTTTTCTCCTAAACTAGATTAGAAAAGAGGATCCTTATGGGATTGCAGGTTTGTCAAGTAGCAATTCATACCTTCTTCAAAGTTACATTTTTATTTGTAGGCCAATTCTTTTTCCGCTCATGAATCCAAGATTCTATTTCTTCGGGTGTGTTCAAGGAGATATTTCTTTTGCGCAAATACTCAATGCCATCAACTATATTCTCTCCCCCTCCACGTTGTCCATGAGAAAACCCACCCCGGAAATTACGTCCTCCCCGAGCTCTTTTTGGGGGCCTTGAGTTTGCAGAAGGATGATTTCTCTTTCGTGTTTGGTTCACCCCGTCACCAACATTTCCGCTGGACAGGTCTGAAGAATTTCCAGAGGAATGCACACTTCCAGGAGGTGGTGGCGGCTTATCATAGATAAATTCTTTTTGTTGTTCCATTAAATTTTTAATTGTTCCTTATAGTCCCTTTTTCAAATAGATAAATAAATAGGCAAAAGAGATGGGGATTAAAGTTCAAATCGCCAGTATCGAACAAAACGCTGAGTAAAAGAGTAGAAAAATTGAGACGGAAGAAACCCTGAGCCAAATCCTACTTGGTTTTGGTGAGTTGTTTGTCTTGAGGCAAATTTTGAACCAAAGACGTCTGCGAGTTTGTTGATTATTCCTTTCTTTTTCACTTATGATTAATTTCGTTAAATATGCAGTCTATGAAAAAATCCAATAGAATTCGAAATGAAGCGAGAAGGGTTCTTGTTTGTAGGTTAACGAGAATTATCCATATGAAAGAGTAGACCAGACCTTAAGACCTTAAGTAGCACTACTACCAAATTGAAACCATAGTTGCATAAAATTACTTTACAAACCAAGCATTGAAATACTCTTTGTAAGTAGAAATACTCTTTATAAGTAGAACAAACTACAACTGCGCGACCATTAAATCAGACAAAATTGTAAATGAGTTTATGAGACTACTTTTCTCAAGGTGTCAATCTCTGGAGAAAAGTATGGATTCTTTTTGTTTATATTCATAATATGTAGTTTTCTTTTCAAGGTTGTTTGCGCTTTCCTTTGTAAGCTTTTAGGGAAATTAAAAAATTAATCTCAAACCAAAACTCTATGAACATTGAAATCAATCTTTGTTCTTTTACTTTTTTAGTTTTAGAGAAAGCAACAATTTTGTTATTGAGATCCACCACCAAGTTTCTATATGTTGCTTAAACTGGTTCAGAGAACCATGAAAGCTACACCCTAGAAGAAGTTTTTTTTATTTTATTAGTAAGAGCTGTTGATTCGGATATAAATGAAAAACTAAACAAAAAAAAAAAACAAGAGACGATTAATTCATTACCAGCATTATGAAATATTAGATGCCAACACTTGATTCTATCCGAAACAAACGTTAATAAACGTTTAGTATTAGCGGTTCATTACTATATTAACGATATTCCAAGTTTGTATTTTGCATATCGACTACTCGCTTTAGCTGAAGCGAATTATACAAACATCCATTGGTCTGGTCTTTCATGGGTTGAAATACACCTTACATTGTATTGATAATGCACGGTTATTTCGTACATTCTTATTCAATGGGGGATTAGGGCTTTTTGTTTTGTACCTTTGGTTACCGTTATGTGTCGCATAATTTTTAATGAAGTTTTGCTTTCTGATTTATAGCTTTTGTTTGTTATTGTTGCAGAAACATGATGATTTTACTTTTATTAGAGTAGCTACAATAAAAAAGTATATTTCGCTTGATTGTTCAGTCACTATGAGGAACATCGTTTGTTGATTTATTTATTGACCAAATTGTTCAATTGAACTTTCTACTTTTTGAATTGGTTTTATTTCCTTTTCAGAATGGATCAATTGTGTTCTTGATCATGTCCAAAAAATACTTTATCAAACCTCCATTAAAACATACAAAAAGAATATTACAAAACGGAAAATAAAAAAAGCAACAAAGATGGAAGCTACAGCACCGCGGATTCCCATGTTGTCTCCAACCATAGTACTAACAAGGCCAGGCCTTCAGACGCTTAAAACTACAGTGATCGGACGGGAACTGGTGTTTTCGCCTAGGTGTGGCTGTATACATTAGTACTTGTACAAGTAGTTATCAATTCCTAAAGTTGATGTCCAAGGTTCTGTCATAAACGGCATCATAAAATCGTTCAGAATACAACCACTTTTTTAATTCGTTTTAGCACAGCACAAATGATTTTCAATTCAACAAATAAAGCAGCTGTCATCATATGATTGATTCCTAATAGGAATAGTAAACAGACAGGATGAGAAATTGCATTTAAAGAGAATAACTTTAAATATGTAAAGATATTTAAGTATTCTCTTCTGTCACTATCCCACCATGACAAGTAAGCACCTGCGAATGTTTCCGGTCACATCCTAAGTGGTTTTTGTTTACCAAATTCGATGCAATTAGCTAGGATCCTTTGCACCTTCTTATAGTCAGGAAAGTAAGAATAAAGCAAGCATCAAGGGAGCCTATAATAAGTTTACTTTTAAACAAAAAGGTTTAAAAAGCCTTCATGCTTCAAAATTTAGGCTGTTGACATCAGTAACCTTTGAATTTAGTAATTAGAGTAGATCATTGCATTAAGAACGGTAGCTTGTGATCATACTACATATTAAGAGAAGGGTTGGATCAACTAAGAAGACCTAGAAACTCATCCACGTATGACTCGTTAAAGTCAAAATTCATAAGATATGAAACAAAGTTAGCAAGGTCCTGTTCAGGTGCTTCACTAGAAAAATCATCTTTGCTTTTATACAATGTCGAGGTGCCAGTTCGTTGAATGTTAGAGACTTATTAATAAATTAGTCAATGATTTTCGGCAGCTTGTAAAAATCAAATTTTGTTTCAGCATATTCACGAAACCCATACACCATGTTCAAAGCAAAACTGTAATAGGGCTAAGGAACTAAGGCCAATTCTGAATATAAATTTATGGAAAACAAAGCTGATCGAAAATGCAAGAATATCCAAGATTAAACGATTGGAATGAAGGATTGCATCACCAAGTTTAGCCAAGATCCATTTTTTTCTGATTAGGCCCCATAAACTTGGCAAGTAAGAAGGGTTGATAGAGATTTTTGTTCTCATATGTATAAACGACTTTAAGAAAACTCATTTCAAAGTTTTATTTTGGCATCATTATAATTGTATAACTGGGAATCAATTTTGACAAGCAAAAAAGAGAGCTTTAACTCATATTCTTTAACTCTCTTCAAGTATTTCTCGGCGTTCAAGGAATGTACATCGTTGAATATGTTTACACCCGTATTGACATGCTGTATTCAGTAGCATACTTATACGGAAACCAGCTGTAGGAGAAACTTCATTTTAAAACTTGTCCTTGCCCAGGAGGAATGCCGCTTAGTCCCGTAAAAGGGGGCTGAAAGCCAAAGATACATGCTAAGCAATCTAATTTTCTAAAAATTATACTTAAGTGCGTAATCTCTATATTTTGATTTTGACGCGATCAAAAAGAGCATAGAGTTTAGATAGTGATGAGCAGTGAACATATTTATGTTTTCTTTGTCACACTGTTCCGTCAATACTTCTTGGAAAATGCCAATGAATATTCCTGTCAATGATTGACCCAACTGTTTTCAGAAAATATCGTTACACTTCTCCTGTATCCAAACCTATAGAATCAAAATGTCACGACAAAACTCGGGTATATCTGGCAAGGAAAGCGCAGTGGAAAAAACCGTCAATAACAGAATCATTTCCGATGCACTCAACGATCGTACATTTTGAAAGTATTTGTTTTAAATTCTCTCTACCCTGTTCCTCGGGACGATGTCCAGTATAATGTCGAAAGATTCAATGAATAAACCAGTAAGAATCCTAGCAACTTCGATAGAAGGTAAAATATTGTATAGAGCATCAACAGTAGATGGCAATTGAAGCGGTTCCGGCGTTGTTGTTTCTAAAAGGGAACTAGGTACATGTTTATGCTCTTTTATTTGATCAAACAGGACTTTGATCCCGCAATATCCAAGCCTTTGATTTGATAGGGAAGTATGGAGACCCTGATTAGGAGTCTCATCTTCAGCATTTGATATTTTTCCAGATGATTGGTTTAATGTAGTAATTTGCACTTGTTGTACTGACTTAGAAATCGCTAGCTCTCTATTCTCAAAAGTACATTCATCAGGTCGTCCCCTTATAATGCAACTTGTGCAAGGTGCATTCGAGCATTTTAATTTTTTTCTTCGGCAAAAATTACACGATTTTACTCTTCATCTTTGAGTTTGCTTTGGTTTGGTTTTGTGATTCGTGTTTCTGACATACTCTATTGATTTATCACAAAGACTTAAATAAATGAAATTCATACCAGGTTTCGCTTCCAAAAAAGCATAATTCAATAAACGAAGATACCAAACATGTACTAATTCTGAGTACCAAACATCTAGTTATGGTACTGTTAGACAATTGGATATATGGTGTAGTTCAGCAATTGCTGTATTAGAACCATTAAAAGTGTTAATGAAGTAAAATGGCCTATGAGAATATCCAGAAGAATATAAGAATTATGGGAACGAGAATGAATTAAAAAATATATATAAATATTTTACGAAGCCTTTAAAAATTAAAAAGCCTGTTTCTGGTAATCTCAACGAGGTAGTCTTTCTAAAATTTGGCATTGAAGTAGCAAGATACAATAGAAATTCAGTGATACAAAAGATTTATTCCTTGCAAATTTTTTCTTTTCTTTTTCCTTTGACTCTTCTATAAAGCAATTTCATGACTATGAGGGCTTGGTTCATGTATGTTTGAATTCGATACATATTTTCTTAGGAGTACTTGCATAATTCTTGTGCACCAAGGCACATAAGCTAACGATATAAAACTTAATATTTGAGGTTAATAAGGACTTCGTCACACTAGTGATTAATCTTTTTCTACCTGGGCTCCATTTCAAATGCTAAACTGACTGTGCATTCTGACTTGTAAATGGAAAACAAGCCCATCTTACAAATATAAAACTTTTAGAAAAGCATAAAGAGCCTTATTCAATGTATACACCCTGTGCAGCAGTCTATTTTGTAAAACATACTGCAAATCATTCATAAGATGATATATCATATAAAAATCATCCTGAGTACATTAAATTTGATACGTATAAATAAGCTACCCTAAACCATAACAGTGCTAGGATATTGAAAGTTGGTCGATTATTGAGGAGTTGGATGAAATAATAAAGAATGAAATTGAAGTTTTTCTTATTTATCGGAACTTACGAAAATTAAGTAAAATAAGCGCTCAGTTTGAGTATGGGCTGGTCATCTTGTACAGTCAGAGGTGACTCCCTAGAGTCTCCAGATTCGCACCTTAACTTTTTTACTTTTAATAGAGAAAAAAGCCTACGTTGCTCAAGTCTTCATCAAAGCTTTACGGCTTCTTCCCCAGACGTGTCTCCACAAATGCTGCCACGCTGTATGAACTATCAACACCGAGGTTTACCATCAGATGTGTCGATGATGGAGGAGGACACTGTTAAAATAGAATATGATCGAGATGATGACATGGAGCCTGTTCCAACTTCTCAAATCCCTTTGTCGCCGGTAAATGTGTCTACCCCGGAAAGGAATACATCTGTATACGTAAAGTCTGCAAACTGGAATGTTTCCAGTGAATTTTCGAAAAACTATAGTCCTAGACTGTTAAAGGAAAGTTATCTTGTTTCTCCGACTCGTCGAAGTCTAAAGAATTTATCACCAGGATTGCGAAGAAAATCACTTTTACCTAAACCAAAAATGTTTCAGCGTGTCGCGAATGCACTTTACGAGGAAGCATCGCCTTGGGAAATTGAGGTGCGTGGTGAGTCAGAGTTTGCTAAAATGACGTCGGGAAGTACGCGTGTTCCTAACTCGCAGATGCCATCTTCGCATCTTTCGAATCCCGTCCATTCATCAACTCTTCATCTGAAGGGAAAACCTCAAGAATGTCCGTCTAATGCTCGAAAAGAAAAAGATATCTCAGTAACTCCTACTGTGCTTGCAGAACCGAGTAGTCCCGTAGCTCCAATGGAAAAGTCTCATGCTTTCTTTTCGCCTGCTGCACTGCAAACACCGAAAAAAAGGGCAATAAATGGTTCAAATTCCCAATCGCCAAAAAGTTTATTTACTTCACCGCTCCACAAAGAGAAAGAATTTGCTTTTCATTCGAAAAAAAGGTCGCGTTGGAGTGAAGAATTTGCGGATTTATCTAAGCGAAGAGCTGTTTCTCCTTCTTTGCTGTATAAATTTAATGCGACAAAATTTTCTCCTGTACACTCAGTAAAGGTTGGCTCCTTGCAAGTGAGAGGTACGTAATTCCAAGGACTGTATTTTGGAAAAAAAATGCAACAAAAGTTTTAATACCCTTTTCTTTTTTACTTTATTTTTACGTTTTCATCGTTTAATATGCCCCAAAAAACACTAACATCTAGACACTCATGAAGTTCTTAGGAACTTGAAATTATATTAGGCGAAAGCTTACATTCTGCTGTTCGGCAAACCGATTTGTATAATATTTTCTTCTTCTTAAAATGTTTTAATATTTGCATTTGTCCTTAATCTTTGTCTTATGGTTCCATTCTTTTTGTTTATTTAATAATAGCCGTTGCTCGCGGTTGTCACGTACATTTCTGGCTTTGTGATTACTTTGTCGTTGTATCTGCTATATCTTTATTTTTTTTCTTTTTAATTTAGTTTTATTATATCACTTTCTTTGATCCTAGTTTTCACAGTGACCTAAAAAATAAAATCTTACAAAAATTAGCATAGGGAAGCAGTGAAAAGTAATATAACCCAAGAAACAAAAAGCTTATATTTAAATTGTCGCTAAGTAATTTTATTTTCGTAATTTAACTCCCATATATACTTTTTGAACGTCAAGTACACCTTAAATTGGTAGCTGATACACTGCTACACAAAACCAACATTTATCAAAAATGGCAGAGGTACAGACACCCAAAATTACTAGTTTCTTATACTGTGAAGTCTGCACTTTGCCAGTAGAGGTATGTATTAAAAAAATAAAATACGAATTAACTAACTGTGAAAGTATTGTGAATTTAGCGGAACTCTGAAAAAATGTAAAGCGTGGCTTAAATCTGCTCATGAAGACGTGTATCAAAAGTTATACGCAGAGTCAGAGTTGGCCTCTGATATGGACAAGAGCTTAAAAGTTGCCGGAGAAGAAGATACTGAAGGAGAGCAACCTACAAAGTTGACCAAGGAAGAACGCAGGTTCGAGAGAGAAGAAGCGAAAAGAATGTCTTCAAAGGTCTACATCAAAACCATCGAACGAACCAAGAGAAAGAGAGTTACCACCGTACAGGGTCTTGATGCATTTAACATTGAAACAAAGAAGGCTGCCAAAATGCTCGCCAACAAATTCGCAACTGGAGCTAGTGTCACCAAAACTGCAGACAAGAAAGATGAGATTGTTATCCAAGGTGACTTGGGATATGATATTTTTGACTATATTGCAGAGAAATTTAAAGAGATCCCTGAAGATAACATTGTTGTCGTTGAAGATACAAAGTCTAAAAGAAAATGAGTTTGTGATGTTAAAGTATGTAAAACGTCTATTTTCGATTGTTTGCTATTGAACAGATGCTATAAAAGACGTATCACCCAACTTAGCACGTACTCACGTCTCCGAAGTCTTTTTCATTTGTTTGTCAGTTTTATGGTTGGTCTTTAATTCCGTTAAATCCTGATAGTTACTTCGGTCTGTTGAATATCCACGCTGGAATATTTCTATTCACTTACAATAAAATAGAGCTCTCAGGAACATGAATAGACAGAGCTCAAAATATGGTCGAGTAAGGTACTCTGCTTTCTAATTGGGCTCCCTTGATCCAACATATAGATGATTTCTGTATGTTTCAAGTGATATGAAGTTTATAAGTTTATAAGCAATTGTACTGATATGTCTTATATACGCTAGATGATGTTGAAATCTCATATATTCAAAACTGATAAGAAACTCATATGTCCTCACACGACATTTCAATCCGTTTAATAGTATACTACACTTTAATTTTCTTTAATTTTCTGTATTTCACGGTTTCTATTCTTCGTTTTATCCACAAATAATACCTTTTAACTATGGCAGCTAAATAATGAACGCTAGCGAACTCCTTAATTAAAGCAAGAAAGTAGGATGCAAGTTAACTGCTACCAAGTATAAAAGAATGCATTCAAAGACTAGAATGCCTCATATTGGAGGTGTCTTACTTCCAATACTGAGTCGCATACTAGTGGTGTCTTTATTATTTTCAAGAATTACAGCTGCACCTACTGCAGAGGTTACAGAGACCATTTTCGATGCCAATGTGAAAGATTTCATGACCTTTGAGGATTCTAGCGTACGCTTATTTAATCTTTGAGGAATTGAACTAACAGTATCATTCAGAATGTCTTGTTTCTTGATCCAGATAATGGCGATCTTTACTTGTCAAAGGACAATGGCCAAAACTGGCAAAACGGAGATGTCCCCGACCAGAATTGCCAAATTACATCTCTTTATAAGCATCCCTATGTAAACTCCCGTTTATTTGCTTTGACGGACTGCAATTATGTTTACTACAGTTACGACAATGGCGATTCTTGGAATTACTTTCTATTACAATACCAAGCAAATCCATCTCAAATCCCTTTCCACTTTCATGCAGGAAATCCAGATTATGTGATCTTTAATAACATGCACTGTTCCTCATCGGACAGCTGGGTTGGAAGGGTTTGTCGACCTGATATATACTACACCAATGATGGCTTTGCTTCAGGAGCAAATTCAGTACCAGTAGGCATCTCATACTGTATTTTTTCACACTCAACAGAACTCATGGAGGTGGATTCAGAGGAGCAAATGATATGTATTTCCGAAGACCCACAGAAATTATCCCGTCCGCCCTTTAACCACCGTTTAATATCTACCAACGACTGGTTTGATTCCTTAATTCCTATTCGACTACATCATCTTCTTGGTTCTGATGGTGTCTATGGTGTGCTTACTACCGGTTCCTTCATAATAACTGCTCTGCTAGATGCTGCCACCAGAAAATTATTTGTATACGTTTCTAAAGACGGAATTAATTGGCAAGAGACTTTAAAATTTCACAAAGGATTTGAGTTTGACGCTTTCACAATCCTACCCTCGACTGAGTATGCTTTAATGGTGGACAGTTTGGATTCTCATCCTAACAACCCCACTGGCCTTTTGTATTCACTTGATTTTGACTCAAGCACATTTGTTCTTCGCAAGTCTGGTACAAACAGATACTTTGATGGCTACGTGGATTTTACTCAAGTGAATTACGTTGATGGACTGATGTTTGTAAATTCGGTTGAGAATTTGAAAGAGGTTGAGTCAAATCCAATCACTGAAAAACTGTTAAACACATATGTCACTTATAACGGTGGTAAATCATGGTCGACTTTGACTCCTCCTTCAAATGCTTGCGATAAATATGACGATGATTGTTCCTTACATCTCTACATGGATCCTCATTCTTCGTACGGAATCAAATTCTCACCTTTTGTTCCTGGAGTTTTACTTGCTTTGGGTTCTACAACCCCACATTTATCACCTAAGGAAGAAATGTCATTATTTGTGTCAGAAGATGCTGGTCGTACGTGGGCTATAAGCCGATCCGGGTTTAACTTATTCGCTATGTCTGGTTTTGGTACCATCTTTTTTGCCTGCGAAGATAAAATAACAAAAGATGTATATTACTCCCTTAATCGTGGACGAACCTGGATAACTTTAAGTTTGGATAGACCCATTCGACCCCTAAAAGTCTACCCTTCAGAAGACCCTTATTCGAATATTTTCTACCTAGTTTCTGAAGCTGAAAATGATGGCTCAAAACGTCTCATCTATTCTTTTGACTTTGGAAAGTTTTTGAAAGAATGCCGCTATAGTTCTCATGAATCAGGAAAAAACGACTTTGAATTATGGTACACAAATTATGAGAACGGAAAACCTGCCTGCTCCGAAATGGGAAGAGTTGAATCTTTTTGGAGAAAAAAACCGGATGCTCTTTGCTCTGCACCAAAATCTCTGAAAAAGGTTCATCACTCTACAAAAGATTGTGAGTGTAACGAATCTAGTTATGAATGTAATACACAGTTTTCTTCAAATGAAGATGGAACCTGTGAATTGCTACCTTTTGTCGGTAGCGTAATATGTGCTGCTGAAGACGGAAAAAGCTTTGAAAAATTTCCGTATCGACGTATTCCTGGTAACACTTGCATATCGAAGAAAAAAGGGGATTTCGAGAATCCTAAATCTTTTAGTTGTGACGATTTTGTTGCGCCTGGACGCGAGCTTTCTGCTAGCATTCACGATTTTCCAGAAGAGCTTATTGATATAATTTACCTTGAAGGAACAGTCCCAGAAGAGAAAACCTTCTTAATCGGTCTTTCCAAAAGTTCTTATGTTTATTTTAGCTCTGACAGCGGAAATACCTGGAACAAATTTACTAGAGAAAAATTTGTTGGAATTTATCCAGACTCCTACCAAAAGAATACAGTCTATCTAATTAGTCATAGAAACGATGTCTATTTTACTAATAATAGGGGTAAAAGCTTTTACAAATTTAAAGCACCTACCTCTTTAAATCATAATGGAAAATTATCGCTAATGCCCCATCCGACACGTCCTTCTTGGTTGATGTTTACTGGTGAGTCAGGATGCGAGAAGGGTCCTTACTCCGAGACATGCCATGATGTCGTGTTTTATTCTTTGGATTATGGCGATAACTGGACTCAGTTGTCTGATGAGTATGAATATTGTTCTTGGATAAGGGGTGAAAATCTTTTGGTGGATGATTCTCTGATTTTTTGCCTTCGGACAAGCGAAGAGGATATTTTTCAGAAGAATCTGTATGCATCAACTGATTTCTTTGAAACAACTGAATATGAAATAATGGAAAACGTTGTTGGATTTATGATTGAAGACAAGTATGTCGTATTGGCAGTTCAGGACAATGAAGGAAGCTCCTTATCTCTTCAAGTTTCCATAGATGGATTGGATTTCGCATCTTGTGATTTCCCTGGCTATCTAAATGTTCATCCTAAACAGTCATACACAATTTTGGACTCTACAACTCACTCGCTGTTTATTCATGTTACTACTTCATCTCGACTAGGTTCCGAATGGGGTGACGTCCTAAAATCCAACTCAAACGGAACATATTTTATGACTTCTTTGGAAAATGTAAACCGTGACTCAACTGGTTATGTTGATTTCGAACGTGTAGAAGGAGTTCAAGGAGTTGCTTTGGCTAATATTGTCAGTAATGTTCATGAGTTAGGAGAAGGAGGAGATAAAAAGCTTCATTCTTTGATAACGTTTAACGATGGCTTAGACTGGAAACGTTTGAATTTAGTTGATGGAGAAAAAATTTCGCCTAAATGTGGTAAGAGCTGTCATCTTAATCTTCATGGATATACCGAACGGAATCAATTTTCTGATCCCACCTCCTCGAGTGCAGCAGTTGGAATCATGATTGGTGTCGGTAGTTTTTCACCTTCTTTGCTTCCTTATGAGGAATCGCAAACCTTTATATCAAGAGACGCCGGAGTGTCATGGTATCGCATATTTGATTCTCCGCACTTGTGGGCTTTCTTGGATAGTGGGTCTTTGATCGTAGCTGTAGAGAGCATGTCACCGACAAATGTGATTAATTACTCCGTTGACGAAGGACGAACTTGGAAGGAATTTGTATTCTCGGATGAAGAAAAAGTAGTGGTGGACGTGAGCACTAGACCCTCTGGTATAGGACATGAAATTCTTTTACTTACATCGGATGACGAGAACTCTCCTACTTCCTCGGTGTATATAGATTTTGATCCTTTATATCGACGAGTCTGTGATTTCGACTTTGAAAATTCAGACAAAGGTGACTTTGTCAAATGGATTCCTACAGATTTAGAAGGAAAACAAATGTGTCTTCTTGGTCGAGTATCCTCATACTTCAGAAAGAATCCCGAAAAAAAGTGTAAAATCGGCGCCTCTCTTTCGATCAAGGAAGAAGTAATTCGTCGCTGTCAGTGTACTAGAATGGATTTTGAATGTGATTACAATTTTCGCCGGATGAAGGAAGGTACTTGCGTTTTAGTTCATGGTCTTCAACCCCCAAATACTAAAGATGAACAGTGCGCGGTAGAGGATGCTGTGCAGTGGAAAGAATCTACTGGTTATAAACGCACTCCGATGACTTTTTGTGAAGGCGGACTACCACTTGATTCTGGACAAACCCATGCTTGCCCAGGTAAAGAAAAAGAATATGAAAAGTTGCATCCTAAACCTGGAAGGTGGAGCATCATTTTGTCGGTTTCCTTTTCAATATTGTTAGCTGCTATTTTGGGTTATATTTTATATCGGTACTCTCAACAGTATTTGAAAGGGGCAATTCGACTAGGTGTTGATTCCGAAGGCGATGGTCCTATAAATGGTAGTATTTCGTTCACGAAAGGAATCTTTGCTTCTGTTCCTATTTTTTTCATCGCCCTTTATCAAAGAATACGCTCCATATTTGTTAGACCCGTTTCATCAGCTCCTGGGTATGAAAGTGCGGCCTTTCTAGAAAATTATGAAATTGATGATGAAGACGACGAAAACGTTTAATTTGATGACATGTTGTGCTATTTCAATTTATTTGACGGTTAGAAAATATACCATAAACTTTCAATGGTAACTCTGTATAGACTAAAATTAAACATATCTTACATACTTCAATATAATTGACATGAGATTATATACTATTATTTATTGCAAAATCGTACACTTTTGAATTTTGAGTTAGGCAATTAAAAGTTGGCTAACCTCTTTTCATTGAACTAAAATCTATTGGCTGGTTTTTCATAAAGAATAATGCAACATGACATATGGAATCATCTAAGAACTCATGTTCATATAATCGGCCGTACTACTGAACTTTTGGTTACCTTTAACAACCTTTTGTACAGCATCAAGGAAATCTTTTTCTGTGGCTACCCTTCTCCTAGCACGAATAGCAAACATTCCTGCCTCAGTACAGACAGACCGCAATTCAGCACCAGTCTGTGAGGGACAAAGTCGTGAAATTAATTCCCATCGGATATCTTTATCAATGGCCATGCTATGAAGGTTAGTATATATCTGAATAGTCAAAAAATATAAAAGGGGGAACATACCTCTTGGCGTGGATACGTAGGATGTGTGCTCTGCCTTCTAAGTCGGGTAAACCAAACTCGACTTTACGATCAATACGGCCAGGACGCATCAAAGCTTCATCCAAAGTATTCGGTCTGTTGGTAGCAAAAAGGACTTTAATGTTACCACGAGGATCGAAACCATCTAATTGGGTAATTAATTCTAACATTGTTCTTTGGACTTCATTATCACCACCAGCACCATCATCAAAACGAGCACCTCCAATAGCATCAATTTCATCAAAAAAGATAATACAAGCTTTTTTCGTCCGGGCCATCTCAAAAAGCTCACGAACCATACGGGCACCCTCACCAACATATTTTTGAACCAATTCCGAACCAATAACACGAATGAAGGTAGCATCGGTTCTATTAGCGACGGCACGAGCGCACAACGTTTTACCGGTTCCAGGAGGACCGTATAGCATTACACCTTTTGGAGGATCAATACCTAACTTCATAAAGCGTTCCGGCTGATATTATGTTAGCTTCAAATCTTGAGACAGAAAAGGAAAATCACGTGGGTTTAGACATACAGAAAGTAAAGGAAGTTCAACAACTTCACGCAAACGCTCGATTTGTTCTTTGCAGCCACCAACATCACCGTATGTGATATCGGGCTTCTCTTCGACTTGCATCATTGTAACAGAAGGATCAATTTTTGGAGGGAGAGGTAATTGAATAGAATATTTGCTTCGATCACAACCAACTCGCATTCCCTCTTCAATATCGGTAGGACTAACACGTTCGCCTAGGCTAACAACAAACTTGGCAATTTGCTTGAGGTTGATTACATAACCATTTTTTTCGGCAGATTGTTCATTTTCGATAATCTTTGTACATCTAGCAACTTGTAAAGGTTGCTCTTCACTCATTCTTTGGCGATCGGCAGCAACGTCCCAGAAGGAAAGGGGTGCTAAACCAGTGTCTGATTCTTTGATGCCTGCAAATATGTTAGACTACGCTTCTTGACGACATCAAAAAAAGAATATTGTCAAAAAATTCTAGGATTGTGCATTGGAGAACCGATCATCACAATTTCATGGAACAGGAATACCCAGACTAACGTTCCCTTGAAAAATATTCACAAACTTACCAACAGTGTCATTAATCCGCTTCAGAACAGTCTCTGTATCTTCCGTAATAGTCGTTAAATCTTTCGCATAAGGTCCAGTGGCCTACAGTTGTTTGTTAGTTACGAGCAAGAAAGCCAAAATGTAACAACATACGTAGCTCTTGAGCAACTGAATGTCTCCTTCATCTAAAGGAGGTGGATTTTTCTCATCTTTCTCTTCTGAATTACCCTGTTTTGGGTACTTTTCCCAATCTTCTTTAGGTGGCATTGTAGTTGGTGAAGGATGGAATTCGTTAGACATACCTCCTTACAGTAGAAAAGAAAATAACGTAGTACGTTTCATATCGGTATATGATGATGAAATGCATTATATTGGGACGGAAAAATTAAAGAAAAGGTGTCAGTCATAGTTTGCTACAGAGTAGTAGAAGTCAGTACATTACATTACATATGAATGAAGATGAATGAGCCAAAAGGCGATGGAAATTTTCTTTTTCTGTTTTAGGACGAACGAGTTTCCAACATACAAGAATACTCTTTGTACAGGGACTATGGACTGAGGGAAACTCAAAATATCTGTTCCTCTAGAGATCCGCGCTTATGAAATTCAAGATATGGGGTCATATTTTTCATAAACGTGAAAATGAGGTGGACAAGACACACTGGATCGACCACATTGACTGCACAATGCGACAAATAAGCAATAAAGATGGGGAGAATTATATGAGTAGAAAGACATTAGGAAAGAATCCCGAAAAGATTGAGCGCTTTAGACAAGCTCCTTGAAAACTTTGGGATCCTACGGATAAAGTTAGTAAAGGATAGAAAGACTAAAAAAGCCGACAAAACTTACAGCGCAATCACGAGCACAGTGGTAAAGATGGAAGAATTCTTCAAGACAGTCTTCAGAGTTATCACCCTTTTCCATTTTTTCTGTGACACGGGCGGTACATTCGTCGAAATGGTGCTTGGCTTCACGGCACTCGGGAGCTTCCTTGCATTCTTGTATCTTGTTAGCATTGAATCAATGGATTTGGAGAATTCAAATTTAGAAAATACCTTCAGTCTTCTTTTCCAAAGGATCAACAATTTCCTCTTCCTCCTCTTCCTCTTCTTCTTCTTCTTGTCCTTCTTCTTGTTCACCTTCTTCTTGCTCCTGAGGTTGTTGCTCGCCTTGCTCTCCTTGTTCAGGTTGAGGTTGAGGTTGACTGGCTTCAGCAGGTTCTTTGGGTTCTTCCTCGGAAGGTTTCTCTTCTTCTTGAGGAGTTTCTATAAATTCGATTAGTTCACGCTCAATGTACAAAAGTAACACCAACCTTTTGGTTCCTCCTCCTGTTCAGGTTTAGAATAAACGTCTTGCTTGGACTCTTCCACGTTAGTCAATGGTTCTAAAAAACAAGAGGTTGTTAGTATGGAAGAAGTCAGTTGTAGAAAAGCATAAGCACTTCGCAAAATCTTGCATTGAAGAATCAAACAAACAATCGATCCATCATTTTTTTTGCTGAATCTTCATTCTAGCGATTCGCTTATAAAGAATCGTACACGTACCTTGTTCCTTCAATTTCAGGTTTTCTTCCCGAGCAACCTGAGACTTGGTAGTTTGCATGGGAGAATCATCTGGATTCTGGGTATCAAAATCTTTCTTAGAAGGGACTTGTTCGTTAAATTCCTTGCGATTAATGTCGGAAGGTTCCGCTTCTGCTGCAATCGGAGTAAAGAGAGAGGAACTAAAGATATTTTTCAAAAAAGACATGTTTGTTCAAGAATCTAATGCTCCGTTAATAAGAATTTTCTCCTATTCTCTGCTAATTTTCCTTACAAAATGACGCGGCTGCTGCAAACAAGAGATGGGTAGTTGGCAGGAGTTTATTGACAGAGGACAAGTGACGAAGTAACTCTGAAGCAACTATTGGATATAATGGCCAAGATTTACATTGGCTATAGAAAATCGTTCAGTCGTTTCATAAGAACACTCTAAGAACCAACATCCTTTTCAATTTTTTATTTTTTTTGAATACAATTCTCGTTTTCCGTTGTATTTTCCCTCATAGTCACGTATTTTTAAGATACCGCAGTGGTTTGCGATCCACTTTTCTCTCTTTGCAAAGTGCACAACATTTCTGTATTGAGGAAAGTGCAGTGCGTTTAATGGCGTAAGTATAAATAAACAAACCATGAAAATATAAAAAAAGAAAAGAAAACAAATTCCACTTTTGTAGATCGTGCAAGAGGACAATACTTTAAAGATTAAAATCGCTTCCATGGTAATCATTCTAAGGACGAGAGAAAAAGTAGGCATTCGTGAAAGCACTCAGTCATGTAATTTGTGCAGGCTGAAGGAAAAAAAAAAAAAAAAATTGATCCATTTGGACCCTTCCATGTGATCTCTACAAGATGGAATTCATCTACCTACAGTCTATTCAACTATTACTATCGTGCATACTACTTTCAACCATCGTACAGTCTAATGAAAGACTACACATAGGAATCATGTTATAAGCTTTCTGAGATCTGAACGGACTACAGCAATTGCTTTTTCTTTTTACTTATTCATTCCTTCTTTATTATTGTTCTTCTTTTTAAGGAACCCTTCTTCGATGATTTCTTTTTCTCACCTTCCTTTATTTATGAACATACCACGCTAGCCATCGCTATTCTGTGTCTTCTTTGTTTCAACAAAGAATCGCCCGAGCTTTCCTTTGTTTTCTACTTGGGCAACCTCTGTCGAAACGCAGAAGGAGCTTTACATTTCCATTTAGATGCTCTTTGTTTGTTGTTACTAAAGAACCGTGCAAAACCGATTTGCTTGATTTCAGCCTCGCTGTGTTATCTTCATTTACCATAGGCTATGAAACCGACAGTTACCGACAAGTCAGGAAAGAAAAATCAAAAGTCATCCAAGCAAAAAGGATCGGCGAGCAGACCTTCTTCTCCTTCTCCATCTCCATCTTCTCCTTCTCCTTCTTCTTCGCCTACTCCAAAAAAAGCAGCAGAGTCATCGAGTATACCGCATGTTGTTTCATCCTCTGGTTCAGGTCCTGGTTCCTTTTTCAACAAAAAACTTCAGTACAAGCTAGCGCTTTTTTTGATTGTTATCGTTTCATTTTTGACCAGGTTTTGGAAGCTTCATATTCCTAATGAAGTTGTTTTTGATGAAGTCCATTTTGGCAAATTCGCTAGTTACTACTTACAAGGAAAGTACTTTTTCGACCTTCACCCTCCCTTCGCTAAGCTTGCCTTAGCCTTTGTAGCTTGGTGCGCTGGCTACGATGGTCACTATCTTTTTGACAATATTGGCGATAGATATAAAGACCATGGTGTTCCGTATGTTTCTATCCGCTCTTGGCCTGCTCTTCTGAGTTCTTTCGTCCCGCCTCTTGTCTTCTTGATTATGAAGGAGTCTGGCTACGAGCTTCCAGCTTGCTTAGTTTCTGCTTGTTTGGTTCTTTTTGACAATGCTCATGTAACGGAAGGTCGCTTAATCCTTTTGGATGCTACTTTGATTTTTTCCATGGTTGCTGCTGTATACTGTTATGTTCGTTTCTTTAAGCTTCGCCATTCTCCCTTCTCCAGAGCTTGGTGGAGTTGGCTGTTTCTTACTGGTATATGCCTTTCTTGTACCATCAGCACAAAATATGTTGGAACATTTACCTTTTTGTCCATCGGCTTAAGTGTTTGCTTGGAGTTATGGTATCTTTGGGATATTAAAACAGGTCTTCCTATCAAACAGTTCGCTAGTCATTTCTTAGCACGCTTCTTTTGTTTGATTGTTTTCCCTTTTGCTCTTTATCTCTTTTGGTTCTTTCTGCACTTCAAATTTTTGCCAACTAGCGGTCCTGGTGACTCCTTTATGTCTTTACAATTCCAGGAAACTCTTGATGAAAATCCAATTACTGCTAATGCCACTGGCTTGAACTACTACGATATCGTTACAATCAAGCATATGGGAACAAATTCTTTTCTTCATTCTCATCCTGACAAATATCCCATTCCTTATGATGACGGCCGTATTTCTTCTGGCGGTCAACAGGTCACTGGTTACCCCTTCGAGGATGACAATAATTATTGGATGGTTTTGCCTCACAATCACTATGCTGATCCTAAGTATAAGCCCAACATGCCTGTACGAAACACTGACTATATCAAGTTACACCATGTAGGCACAAATACAGATTTGATGACTCATGATGTAGCTTCTCCTTACCACCCTACGAACGAAGAGTTTACTACAACCTCTGTAGATGAATCTGCTGGAGCAAAACATGATTTTACTGTATTTCAAATTATGATCAACGATGAAACGGCTCCTGATCGAAAAGTTTTTACCAAGTCTATGAGTTTCAAGTTAATCCACAAACTCACCAATGTAGCTATGTGGTCTGATCCTAAACCGCTTCCTGACTGGGGTTTCAAACAACAAGAAATAAATGGAGCTAAAAATATACAGACCGGTGCTATCTTATGGATGTTTGACGATATCATCGGTTTACCAGAAGAAAGAGTAAACAAAGAAAAGCGTGTACCTAAGAAGCTTTCTTTCTTTAAAAAGTACCTTGAGCTTCAGCTTGTCATGTTCCGTCAAAACAATCTGTTAACCGAATCTCATCCTTATAGTTCTACTCCTTTGGATTGGTTTACTCTTCATCATGGCATTGCCTTTTGGGCAAAGAATGAAGAGAATAAGCAAATTTACCTTCTCGGAAACCCCATTGGTTGGTGGTTAATCGGCGGTATAGTCATAACTACTACTGTGGTTGCAAGTGCTGAGATATTGTTGCATCAACGAGGCATAGTTACTCTGCTTCCCAGCGTTCGTAATCATTTCTATCGCTCTATCATGTTCTTTTACGCGACGTATATGTTTCATTACTTACCTTTTTTTCTTATGGGACGCCAATTATTCTTGCACCACTATCTACCTGCTCAGGTGGCCGGAGCTATGTTATGTGGCGCATTTATTCAGCTAGCTTGCATGAAGTCTTTTCACTTACCAGTTTCACCAGGAGCTAAACAGCCAAATGATGTTGATAGCCATGGTTATGCCAAATCTCTTAGACGAAATGGATATATTATCCAGGTTCTAACTTCTCTTGGTTTGATTTCTGTCCTTAGCTATTGTTTTGTTTTCTTTGCTCCTATGACCTATGGTAATGCTAGTCTAAGTGTACCTGAATGGCTTCGACGTAAATGGCTCGATAGCTGGATTTTCCAGTATCAAAAATAGAATAATCAATGAAGTCTAAATATTCCTTAGTTACGGTTCCATCTTGTTCTAATGGCTGCATTTTCAGAAAGTCCTCTATATCTAAAGATTAAATTCGTCAATTTCTGTTAAGAAAAAACGCTCTGATGGAAATTTCAACATAGCCGTTCCCAGTATATGAGACCAATGGTTATGGAATATTTCTATTGCATAAACTCAATCTTTTACGTGCCTGCTATCTAAACTTTTACCGTCATGATTACTATTCTTTAAAATTTCTTTACATCAAAAGTTTGGATCGTTGTTCTTATAAACAAGTATATAGTTACCTAAAAAATTAATCTAGAAGATCAAATAAAAATTGATATACATTGTCTTACTCTGATCATTCTTTGTCATTTTCTACCAAACGGCCATTCAAGGTCGGATGCCAGCAATTTCAAATTTTATAAACCAACTACATGATCGGTAAATGTGTCTATTATTTCTTTGTTTTAACAAACCAAAAGCTTGTGCTGGATCGAATATTAAGTAGATGATTTGAGATCTCTTCATGCTTTCTCGATTTCACCTTCGCTATCGAGACATCAGTTTCGAACAAAGTCAAAGTCCTCTTCTGTGACCAAAGTTTATACTTCAAAAAACAAAGCGCAAAAAAGTTTAGCTGAATTAATTTTTGAACCCAGGCTGGTTACAGTTGTATGTCTGAATTGAGGAAAGAAAAAATCCTTTTTTTCGAAACGTTGTCCTTACAGTCAACTTTGTCTCCTTATAGTACTATTGAACGCCTTTGACAGATATAGAAAAAATACCCTTTTGGTATGTATATTAGAAACTGAATGTCTTCCTTTCTGTTCGTTTATTATTTTTGATACCCTTAATTTTTTGTTTTATTTTAATATGGTGAAAGCTGCATCTTTAAATCTAATGAGTAATTTAATAATGAAAGGTGAATCCACCTCTTCAGGCAAAAACTCTAATACCTTTAGCGGTGAGGTAAACGATCTGGCGTCTACTTCTTCTAATTCTGGCGCTGAAGAGGTTGAGAAAAGCTTCGAACTTGATGACCCTGCAGCTAACTCAGCTGTTTTTCAACGTGATGAAAAAGAAGTCCAAGAACCTCAAGACTTTTTGACGCCATCTACTTCCTACAAGATACAATCTACATCTATTTCAAATGAATCCAATGCTCTTAAGCACAAGGAAAACCCAGAATCGAAGGCGGAAACAAATCAGTCTCAGTCTCCATCAAAACATGATTCGCCATCACTGCCGCTCTTAGGCTCTAGGGACTCTGAGGACGCCGAGGATTCTGATGAGTCTGATGAAGAATATATAGTAGAAGCAATATTAGATGCCAGACTAAAAGAGGTTTGTTGAGCCATTCGGATCTTAAGCTAACCTATCATGCAGGATGGCAGTGGGTATCAATATTATCTCAAATGGGAAGGATACGATGACCCGGAAGACAATACTTGGAACGAAGAAGAGGATTGTGTCGGATGCCAGGAGTTAGTGAACGAATTTTGGAGGAAGAAAGGTGGAAAGCCTCCTCTAAATAAAACGAGAAGCAAGCGGCGAAATTCCCGTTCAATGATTCGATCATCATCATTATCTACTTCAGAGGATGATGATCCACAACCCTCAATCTCTACCTATTCTCGTAAACGACGAAGATCCTCTTCAATATTGAGGAGGCCCGAAGACAACACAGACTTTAAGTTTTCAAAATCTCCTACAGCAAATTCAAAGACTCCGACCATTGACTCATTCCTTAATTTACGAAAAAAATCCAACTTTAACCCTCCCTTCAACGAAAGTAGTTGGGAGGATTTAGTTGATAGGGTTGAAACTGTACAAAAGCTAAAAAATGGTAAGATCCTTGTGAAACTTCACTGGAAAAATGGGCAGCAATCTACCCATGATAATGTTGTCGTTCACCAAAAATGCCCCCTTCACATCATCCGTTTCTACGAAGATCACTTAAGTTTTCAAGAAGAATAGAAAAGATACATTCATCTACACGTTTCAATCTCGTTTACTTGAAAAGAATCAGTTTGTAGCACTTAGTGACTCCTTTAATTCATTTCTGTATATATCTCATACTTAACTACAAAATAAACAAAAGCCCAAGACGCAGACATTTGTTATGATCAAGTATTGAAACTTTTAATATACTTCTCGTTTATGTTTACTAATGTATTGCGTTTTGGCGTGCTATCTATCATACTGGCATATAACGAAGTTCAGAAAAAGTTTTGAGCAGTCACAAAATTTACGGTACGCCAAAGGTGAAAATCCAATTCTTTTACCACAACCAAGGTCGACAGAATGGCTGCCCTTAAGATTGTCAAGAAGCACACCAAGCCCTTCAGACGCCATCAGTCTGACCGCTTCCACCGTGTCGGTGAGTCATGGAGAAAGCCCAGAGGTATTGACAACTGTGTCCGTCGCCGCTTCAAGGGTGTTATTCGCATGCCCAAGATTGGTTATGGTAACAACAAGAAGACCAGATACTGCATGCCCAACGGTTTGAAGGCTTTCGTTGTCCGTAACGTCGCTGACGTCGATCTTCTATTGATGCACAACAAGACCTACGCTGCCGAGATTGCTTCTAACGTTTCTGCTCGCAAGCGTGTTGAGATCGTTGAAAAGGCTCGTGCTTTGGGTGTTAAGGTTACCAACGCTGGTTCCAAGGTGCGCTCCCAAGAATAAACTGGGGAAACTTTACGGTTTGTTGAGCTTTGTATACATGATCCTCATGTCAAAAAGGAGAATTTAATTAGTTTTTATTTTCTGGAAAATTTTGCATTTGTGTTACCTTCGTAAAACTCAATAGGACTAGTAGTTTGTAAAAAGCATATGTAAGTACTGTAACCATTTGTTTTTATAGGTTTTGAAAATTATATGTGCAGAAGCCTTTTGTTTCGTCTAAATAAATAGTATCAACCTTTTCATTTGTCCTGTTTACCCAAAAGTTCTATTATAATCCCAGATTTCTGTTAGGCAGTCTTCCCTACGACTCAAATAAACAATATTACTCTACGATAAAATGCCCAATTGGGGCAAGTTCAACTTTTGGCTTATACCAAAAGCGATTTTCGAAAGCTCGTAGACCGGAGGACTTCGATTCCTCAGGCTCTGTTATGGAAGCCAGTCGCGTTGATAACTGATTCAGATCGTCTTGCATTTGATCCACAGTCGTCTCTGCCAGAGTGTTTTCCTCCATTGTGATATCGACATTTTTTGCATCTCCCCGATATTGACATAATGGCACGTATTTTTCTTCTAGTTCTTTATCTAAAGGCAACAATTCATCAATGATTACTCGGGTAAAAGGATCACTTCGTTGAAGACAAACTTCCAGTAAGGATGCTAATTCCGTCTGTGTAATCGACATAGTATTTGCCCAAGGCTCTGACTTGTATGCCGCCTTCATCAGGTAAGCATACCAGTTAGTTAGGAACATGCATGCTGAATTCCTTTCCTTATATTCTTCATTATTTTCATTCCCAAAAAATGCAGAATTTTGGTTGCTTAGACTGACTTCATTAATTTCAGACCACAGAAGGGCTTGCAAAGCAGGAAGAAACAAGGAGTGCTTAGAGGCTATATTTTGTATAAGAGGTAGCCACAAGTTAATTGCTTTAGGGAAAAGATTATTAGAAGTAATCTTTGATGGTATTAAAATTCTTCTTTCTAGAAAACACGATACCACAATTTCTAAGTTTGTGGTCTCAAGTGCAAAATTCAAATCCTGTTCGTCGCTTACGAAGGAAGCAAGGATATATGGCAACCGAGAAGAGCTAATAGAAACTATTTCAGAGCAAAGCTCTTCAAATTCACGAACGTAGCGATGTTCAGAGGCCGATTGGGTCATATTCGCAGAAACGTTCACCTTCCTCCAGGATCTCCACTTCTTCAAAAGCTCTCTCACCCGTTTCTGAATATCGTTTTTGTGCATTTCATTAACTTCCAGAGTATCATCAATTATTTCAGAACTGGCATTAGCTGCACGGATCCAATAATGATCGTAAAGCCAGGCTAAAGCTCTATTTGCGGTTTGTCGTAGTACCGGTAAAGATGGAAGCTCTTCATGAGTAATCGCATGGCGGATTTCAACAAAGGAAGTCGGTAAATCAATAGATTTTGCTAATATAGCCATAGGTACTGCATATTGCGATTGCTGAATAGGATCTAAAAGACCACTGACAAATCTTGAAATAGCCAACGACAAGCTGAGCTTCTGCGAAGGATCATTGTTTAAGAGAGATAAAGCCAATTGTGCTGTTGCCTCTATTGAATGAGGAATCCGTCCCCGTGTCGACCATGAATGAACGATTTCTATACCTCGATATAAAGCGCTTGGATCCGGAATTTCTTCTAGTTCTTCATTATAAAAGCAAGACATTAAGAATAAAAAGTCTTCTTTTGATCTCCAAGGTACTAATTTAAGATCCATTTCGTACAATCATTGCTCGACGTTGGATAGGCAGTTGCTAAGTTAACATTGCCAGTGGTAAAAAAACGTAGTATATCCTACGATGAGTGAGTGGTCTTTTCGTGTCTACCTTCTATTTGTAATTATTATGTCTTTTCAAAATATTAACATTTTACATTATTAGAAATAAGGTAAAATTTTACTACCGCAAATCATAATACCTATCAGGCATACAAGCTATTGAAAATTGGTGATTTGCAGTCTTATAAAAAATTACTTATAAAATGACATGCTTATTTACGCATAGGTCTCACCTAATGTTTATTAAGCATTGAAATTCAGGTTTCAAAAAGAGCGGATTAATGGAGCATCAATATGTAACTATTTATGTGCGAATCTTTCATATCTGGGCATTAAAGCATTGTCTCAAAGGAAAATTAAGGATTTTGTCTAAGATGGATTACTTAATCTTTCGACGCTTTTAAGAAACAAAGGATCCACAACTAAAAGCATTCGGAAAGAAAATGAAGGGTATTATCGAGACAGTCCAAAAGTCTTTAACTATTCTTTGATTTCCAAGTCATCAAGAGCTTCAGCGATACGTTCTTTACGCTTTGAAACCAAATCAGATTTCCATTCCGATAATACATTCTGAACTTCTTCAGGTTTGTAAGTACTTGCAAATAAATTTGCTTCCGCATATCTTTGATTTGAGCGTAAGATGTCCAAGCACTCTTTTGGCTGATTGGTTAACCATGAACAGATAAAACTAGTATTGCTGATTCCCGATGCACTCGTGAGCTTCGAAAGTTCTTTAAGTCCTTCGTGATTATTGTTAGAAGTGTACAACAATAAAAGAGATCCATAATCTTGAGCCTTTTCAAAACTTTCCTGAGCAAGCACAAAATCCCATGCATTTAGTGCGGCATCTCCAAGTGTACGCCATTTTAACGAATCATTAAATGACCTAGCAAGCTCAGCAGCAATGTCCAATCGATTAGCTTCAACAGCAAGTTCAAATCTTTGAACGTTATCGGAAGAAAGCTCCAAGGCTGCCTCCTTATAACCTTGTTTGGCCAAAAAGTCTGAAAGTCGCTCGCGATCAACTTCAGGGATCTTCTCAAGCATATTACGCGCACTGTCCAAATCACCTGCTAAAACGAATGATTGATATTGAACAGTTGCAAGGTTGAAAGAGTAGCTAACAACATTCATATCACGGTCTGTCAAGTAAATACGAGCGTCGCGAGCGACATAACCCAGCATGTAAAAACTATGCTCAATATTTGCAATTTTATAAGTTTGGTCACCGATCAAATAATTTAAGCGAGCATTGTTGGTGGTGTAAATGAATGTATCATTAACCCACTCACCGTTAACAACACCGTCAGGGACGTCAGCAAGAGCTTCAAAAGAATCAGCTACACCTTCTTCTTCATCAGCGGTATTGCTAGCAACAGCATCATAAAAAACTTCAGATTTGAAATTCAGTAGATAGAACTCATTAGGACATGCTAAGATGACATAACGATGCTCAGGATCCCAGTAAACATTATGAGGTTTAACATCAATCTTTCTAGCCAAAGCATGTGTTTCCCAGTCGTAAAAGCAAATAAAATCGGAGCCAGCAACGCCCAACAAAAAGCCACCAAAAATAGTGTCACAAGGATAAGATAAATCTAAAACCGAGCTGCGTTTGGAGTTCTTGAAAATTTCAATAGAGCGGTCAGAAACACGGGTGGCATAAACATTGGAATCATGACCCCAAGCAAAATCCAATGCTTTTCCATATGCTTTATTACGCCAAGCAAGGGCAGTATAAATAATGTAATCACCATTTCCGCAGACGGAAACAAACCGGCCGTTTGGAGAATGCTTAAGGTTTGCAGGATATAACTCGGTAGTACCGAGCTCTTTAACAGAAAGAGCCACAGGTGAACCATCACTTAAATCAACTTGTTCCTTGACAGGGCGAATCATAGCAGACATGACTTCATTATAGTCACACCAAACGATTTTACCGGAAGTGTCCATCGTTACAGACGGTTCATCACGTCCTAAAGAGAAAGTGATGATTCCGTTATCAAAACCAATCGTAATTAAACCGTTATCCTTATTTTGTGAAATACACCAGGCACGATCTAAAGAGAAATTGTAGGATTTAATAAGTGAATAAGAAAGAGTATGCCAGATCTTCACAGTTCCATCTTCACCTCCTGAAATAATTAGAGGAAACTTCGGGTGGAAAGTAGCAAACGACACATTGTTTGTATGTCCTTCGAGGACACGGACACAAGCCTTGGTTTGATAGTCCCATATCTTGATCAAATTGTCATCTCCTGAAGTAACTAAATATGGCTTATCGCCAGCAGGATAGTAACTAACATGGTTTACACCGCGATCATGTGCTTGTAAAGTGAAATTGGCAACGGGAGAACCAAAATTCCAAACTTTGACGGTTCCGTCGAGGCAGCACGAAGCAAAGGTATTCGTATCTTTGGGATTAATAGCAAGGCTCATGACATAGCGAGCATGACCTTCAAAGGTCTGAACGCATTTCCAGTTTTTTTCCCAGTTAAATGCCTTAATTTTTGTATCATCAGAGCAAGAAAGGACAAATGGTTGAGTAGGATGGACGGCCAGCGCCCGAATGTAATCAGGATGAGCCTCAAATTGAGTTACCTTTTCACCAGTATTGTAGTTGTAGACACGAAGCTGAAAGTCATCGCTACCGCAAACAAACCAGTTTTTTCTAGCTATGAACAAGCATGAGCGAATGGGAACATCATTAATTTCAAAACTTCGAACGAGAGATTGTGTTGCGTAATTCCAAATGGCAACCTGTCCATTGTAATGAGAAGCCAGGACCCAAGGCTCCGTGGGATGAAAATCAACTGCTTTCACACGTTCCGTGTGGGAAAGTAATTTTCTCTGCATTCCAAAAGGTTAACATCATCGTTCAGTTTACGCTCTACTTCAATCAAGAAAGAATCATTTAAACATACCTGAAAATCCAAGCGCATATTTATTCCCACAAGTCCTCCAACTCCCGCACTTTGAAGCAAAAGATTTCAAAAGCAAACAAAGAAAAAGTTGCTAAAATGAACGAAGATTCCTGTTGGTACAAGGTGGTGTTGTTGACAAGGTGGAGATTCGAATAGACACATATGGCAAACGGGAAGGGTAATGCAAAGGAAGAAAAATACACTGTACCGCCTTATTGCATAATTCGGAACAGCGTACGATTACGCAATTAGTCAAGAAAAACGATGGAGAGCAAAAAGCAAGCAAAGTCAATTAACAAACTCATTGTAGAAAGATGAGTTTCATTTTGCAACATTATGCGGGTATTCAAGACTTGTTCACAGTTACAACACATGAAGATGTCTTAGAGCCATGATCGCCTTTCCTGCTTTCGGTGATATCTAAGAGAACAGTCCATACGTAGCTTTGTTTACTCTCACCTCATGTATGAAAGATCAATACAACTTCAGCCAAAAAGAAGTTGTAAAAAATGCTCCAGCAGTGACTCGAACACTGGGCCTCTTGCTTACTAGGCAAGCGCTCTACCACTGAGCTACAAGAGCTAATCGTTGTTAAGTGGTCGAATAAAATCGTAATGTAAAAATTTCAGGCATCTCAAGCAAGCGCTAAATTCACAGAAAATAGACATCCATATTTTAACTTCTTTTTCTCTCGAAGAATCATTCCTTTGTTTTAGTCGGACTCGTTCATTCCGTTCTCGAGAACTTCTGATCTCGCTTATAGGTAACAAGTACCCTCGGTAAAAAAAGCTTATAATTGCTTAATTCGACAAGGAAAAGACAATAAGTGAATCTTCCAACGACCGCTCACCGCGAGAGTGAGAAAATTCATGAATTCCAACCGAAATTGAGTTGTTCAGTGCAGTAATTTTTAGGATACTGTTTGGTTTAAAAGTTTAAGGTTCTTAATTGGTTTTTGCAGGATGGCGGAAAAAATTCAATACTATTTGGAACGTAGTATTCCTGAATTGGAAGACTTGTTAGAAAAGAAAATTTTCAACCAAGAAGAAATCAATAGCATTGTAAAGTCTAGGAGAGATTACGAAGGAAAGCTTGCAAGACGACAAGTAAAATTGACTGACTTTTTGAGTTACATCCAATATGAAATGACTTTGGAGGCACTCCGTAAAAAGCGTCATAAGAGATTACAAATTAAGGGAAAAACGACTGTTAGTGATTATGCTGGTATGCGAAAGATTCTGTATTTGTTTTTGAGAGCTACCAACAAATTTTTCGGTGATGCAACTCTTTGGTTGGACTATATCCAATATGCAAAATCAGTACATGCAACCCATATCATAGGTAAAATTTGTGCTGCAGCTCTTCAGAAGCATCCTAACAACATTCACTTGTGGTTGGTAGCATGTGATAATGAGTTTACTGAGAATGCAAACATGCCAGCTGCCCGTTCGCTGATGCACCGTGCACTAAGGTTGAACAAGGAAAACCCTATTCTTTGGGCTTCCTATTTCCGTCTCGAGCTGGCTTATATGGCGAAGTTGCATTATCGTTCTGAAATCCTCTTGGCTGCTAAATCAGAGGAGGAAGGAGGAGCCTCTTCGGCTCCTGCTGCTGACTCTTTGGATAGTGATCATATCCAGCTCCCTTCTATATCCATGGAAGAATATTTAGGGGATGGAAATCAACAAGCCAGTGGTGTTAACGAAACGGTCACTTCTGCTATGAATGCCGAGGACTCCACCGGTTCCGCTGACCAGGTTGAGAAATATGCGAATGTTCTTTTCACAATATATTCTACTGCCACGGAGAGCCTTCCCAAACGAGAGAGCATTGAATTTCTCGTCGCTGTTCTTGATCTTTTATTTGAGTGCGCTACCATTCCTGTAGCTAGATATCTTCTATCTGAAAAAATGATTGAAATCCTTGAAAGTTCATTGGATGAGTATAAGTCTGAAGGAGGAGTTACCTATGGTGCTTTATTACATCGCTGGAGTGTCTACTCAATCTTTTGTAAATTCAATGGCATTTTCCCCGCAAATGCATCGTTATTACCGTCCATGGGTGTTTTCGCTTCTTCAGCTCCTAATCCTGACCTCATTAACCAAGTGGTTCAGGATCCTGAGTTTGTTCATGATTTAGAATTGTCAATCCAAAAGTATCAAGCTGTCGTTTCTGACTTAGCCATTTCGTCAAGCTCAAGGCAAGAGTTCTATAAGTTGTTTATCCAAACAACTTACGAAATTTCGTCTCTACCAGCCACGGAAAGCTCCGTTACACTTGCTCTTAACATGTTGACAAACAGCGCGTTTGAAAAATTGAAGGAGCAGCCATACTTTAAGTTTGACGATTATTTACAAAAGCTTTATGAAGAAATTCAGATCCGCAATGGCGCTTTGGCAGAAACTGTAGCTTAAAAAGGTTATTCCATATGTGACATGGAACATTTTTTCTTTTTTTTTGGATTCTCTTTGGCGCGGTATGTTTTATGGCACTGGGCATACACTTTTTATATAAATAGATAAAGGTTTGGGTTTGGTTAAGAGTATTAATTTAATTTAATTTATAAAAAATTGAATTCATTGTCTATCAACTAAGCAGTAGTAAAGCCACATACTTTAGTAATGAACTGTGACATTGGTAGGGTTTGCTTTGCAAGCAACATTAAAGGTGTCGGTACCATTATAAGTAGAATTAGAACGGACGGGAGAATTAAGATACGCAGAAAGCTCACACATACCATCTGAAGAATTAGAAGGACCATAACCACAATCGGTCAAAGGGAATACTTGCTGGTTAACAAGGTGTCGAACATAGAATTTCTGGTCCTGGCATTGAAAAAGCTCGGTGATTAAGTTCCCAGCAAAAGGAACGAATGAAGAAGTTTTGGCAGAATAAGTATAAGGATTATAGGTTACAGGCAGAGGATTTTCAGGCGTGACATCAGAGAAGAAACCAAGTGCAGCTTCAACGGGAATAATATGGGTATCGTGGGTGAAAGCAAAAAAAGTTTTTTGGTAATTCGTTTCATTATAGACGGAACGAAGAGATTCGGCCAAGTTGTGGACATAAGCACCACCCAAGGTTTCAGACCATTCAGAAGCAGGACCGCCATGAAAAGAGAATTTCAAATCGGTATTGTACTCAAAGTTGATGACCTCAGAAGGAGTGAAAAGGGAGCAAAAGTCACTTTCATCTCTTAAAGCGATTTCAAAGACACACAAGTAGTAAAAGCTCTTAACGTCATCATTTGTGAGATTGTAATCTGAAAAGTAGAGGTTAAGACGGGTTTTGATAGGAGCCAAAAAAATGTCTTCCCAATTGGATTGAGCCTCTTTTGTTTCTTTATGGTCAACGTTTTTTTCGTTGTAGACAGGACAAGCCTTATGGTCAGAAAGAGTATTAGCACCAGCAGTCTCGTCCTCGGCAATGTAAATGAAATTGGTCTTGTTCGCCATTTGGTCTCCAAACATACCATAGCTATACCACTCTGCAGACTCGACGACACGACCCTGGGCCGCCGTGTTGATTTCATAAACATTGGCATCAAATAACGTGTTGTACCGAATAAAAACTTCACGGCCCATTTCAAACAATTCTAGACGGCCACTACTAGAAAGCTTGTCAGCATTACTAACGTCAACAACTGGGACCCAGGACTTGATAAATTGGAAGGGGTTATCAGGAATTTTATAGTTAATTGGGAAAGAGCCGTTAATGAGTTTATCCTGCACTTCAGCAAGATAACCAGCTTTGGTGACACCGTCACCTGTAGTAGGGTTTCGTGAACCATGGCGCTGCAAAACATGGACTTGACGAATTTCACAAGATTCCGGAAATGCAGAGCTCAATCCAGTGAAATATGGTTCATGATAAATGCTAAGACTGCCTAAATGTTCCTGAAGGTTGAATGTATTTTTAAAAGACTCGAAATCAGAAAACCGGGCCGAAACAGAACCTATGATGAAAGCCAAAAACCATAAAGAGAAGCTAGACAGTCGCATACTGATGAAAACCAAAAAAAAGAAAAAAGAAAAAAGAAAGTTAAGAAAAGAGTGACTAGTAACAAAAAAAAAGAAGGAAAGTACAAAGAAAACCCTTCAACTCTAATAGTTTACTGTAAATATTGGAAATATAAGTTTCGCAAGGACGTAAGCATTATATTTAAACTTCGCTCGGTTAGTTGTTATAGCGAGCCGAGTAAAATAAGAATTTTAGAATATAATAATATAATAATATTTCCTCAAGTGCTTGTCCAGGATAAATAAAAAAGAAATAATGTACGAAAAACAACAATAAAGAAGAAACATGAGTTTGGGAAAAGGACAAAGTACAACAAGCATCGTTATTGACTTTTCTCTCGTTTGTTTACTTTGCTTATATTTCCAGAAATAATTTGCTGGAAGCAGTGAAACGAAACCGTTGAAAGGAATTAATTACGCGTAAAGAATTTAGCAAAAATGAGGATCTTAAAACGAGGATTTTGAACGATCACGGAAGAGTTTTTTGTTCATATTCAATTCGCTTTCATTTAACCAGTAGGGACGTTGATCTTAAACTTGCATTCATCAATTGCTTGAAAAAATAAAAAGAACAAAAAAGGAGGTGAAATAAAATAAAAGGAAACTGAAATTGAAACTGACCTTCTTTGAAAAATGGTTCTTAAAAACTATAGTCGAGTTAGCTATAATGGTTGAATCCATTGTTTCACACATTGTGGAATGTTGTTTGCATGAATTTTTTTATAGTATACAAATTTTGTGCTCTCAGCGTATCAGGTACGCTATTTCTGAGTCGTCTTTATCTTCTTTTGATCAACTTTCAATTTTCCCATTTGTTTGTTTACTCTTTCTAACTGTTACTCTTAGCCCATTGGCAGGTAACACGTTCTTACTACTAGTAAGGACTCGAGAAATTCAAAACTCCAGAAAAGAGGATGGATGAAGCGTATGCTGACAGTTTAAGCACGGATTATCGATGGGTTGGACACTCTCATTTTGATAGCCATCCTTCAGCCGGCGATAGCTTTCAGTTAGATTCTAATGGAGAGGGTAAGTTTCAATTGATGATTTTAGAAAGGTTAATATCCAATTCAAGCGTTTTCATTTGTATTAGTTTTTCCTTAAAATGAAAATCTGACAAGCATGAGATGCTTGTAGATGCATCCTTCGTCGAAAATCTTGCTCTTTACTAACGTTAGTTTCTTGTAGATTTGGATCCTTCTCGTATTGATCGAATAGGCAAAATTGCAGAACTCCTAGATGGATTAGAAGAAGATCAAATCCATGAACTTGTTTCGGGAATTAATGATACTGTTATCCAAGACAAAGCTCCTACCAACCAAGAGCAGGTGAATGCAGTCAACTTATCCAATTCTCCCATGAAAGAAAACGACCATAATTTATTTCAACAATTTTCTCAATCTCAACCTTCAGGTCCGATTTTTTCAAATCCTTCCTTTCCTCCTCCACAGCACCCTGTAACATTTACGAGTACACCCTATAAACATGTGCCAGCTGTTTCAGATCCGGAATCTTACCATTCGCAGCAATTTTTTGATAACGACAATCAAAATCGAAACAAAAATCAGAAGCAAAAGCAATTGTCATTTCCCTCTTCACATTCGACTGCAATTTCTCAAACAAGTCAACCACCAGCAGTACCTTCGAACCCCGAGGCTCCGTCAACTCAACATTTTGAAGTACCCTCCAATACCAATTCTAACATGTATCAGCCTAGTATGGCTGGCAGGACAAACCAACCTACTCAGCAAGACTTCTTGCATGAACAAGAAGCACATTCCCCGCTTTACTCAAATTACCCCAAAATTTATCCCCAACATCCTGGAGTTCCTATAAACCGTGGTAATGTTCATGTAGAGTCAGTTCATGATCACCAAGAGCCTACTATCGCCTGCCCTCCGACTTCATCGACTTGTGTCTCAACAATAAGCCAACCCCCTCAATCAGCTGCGGGCAATAAGGACGGTCCTCCTGTTTCCCAACCTACAAATGTGCATCTTCAAACTTCTCCCCCAGAAGCGTCTGCTCCTGCTTCTCATGCTTCAACTATAGAAGTTTTACCACCCGCACTAAATGATGCATTGACAAAAATGAATTCGACTATACAATCTCTGACAAATCAATGCCAACAAAGGGACAAACAAATTGATACCCTAACTAAGCAACTCCTTTTTAAAAATCAGCACGCTGCTCCTACCGTTATGCCCGCTATTTTATCCAACGCATCTGGTGCAACAAATCAAAGAAACATGAATGAGTCTCAAAATTCTTACCCACGTAAGCCTCCTGCCAAACAAACTCGCTCTGTAACTGTTGGTAACGACGCTTCTTTCCCTTATACAAAACCCCAAGGCACTGTACCAAATGAAATTCGAGTACAACTAACAACGCTAGATGCAATTCTATTGCAATTTGACCACCTGAGGAAAGAATTGTCTCAGGCCCGTCATGAAATCCAAGTTTTAAAAGAAGATGCAAGCCAAGCGAAAGGGGTCACAGAAAATGGAAAAGCTACATCTGCCACTGATGATATTTCCAAAACAGATACCTCATGCAACAGGTATCCGGAGAACAAAGAACAATGTTCACACCAACAGAAACCTAGATCCTCCGTGTTACAGCCTATAGAGGTGCCTAACAAAACTCTCAACAAAAGTGAAAGAAGTATTCCCATGGTTACGAAGCTAAACAATGACAGTCATTCACCTATTTCGCATGCTTCGAAACCTTTGTTACCACAAGACATGCCTGATTCGAAGTTTAAGTTGCCTCTAGAAAATCAACTGTATTACCGGTTAGGACTACATTTAATTGACCGCCAATGTAGTATAGAGACTGCGAATATGCTTAAATCTGTACTGATACAGCTTGACATGCCCTATACTATCTTTCCAATTGCCATTGGACAAGTGCGAAGACAGTTACAACAAGGTAGGCGACTGTATCAATGGATACAAGTTGTTCACTACTTGATATTTCACGAAAAGATGAAAGAAGGCCTTGTTTCAAAGCAATGCTTGTCTGATTTACTAAGAAAACTGCAAGAGAAACTACGTTCAACTCGAAAGTAAAAATTCTATACGATATAGTTTTACATTAATGTTATTTTGACGGATAAGGGTAAATGACTAAAGAAATGTATTATTAATAAAAATTCTGAGCATCATCGAAAAAAAAAGGGCTCGAAAAAACTGAAATAGACTAGTTGGTAATGAAGTAATATTTGATGCATTAAAAGAAGGATAAACAAGCCATTTGAAAGGGGAAGGATTTTTTTTTTTTTGAAAGTAGGTAAAAGATGGAAGTTATTTCTCAATACGTTCGTTCTGATGAACTAACTGTGTAACTAAATGTTCATCACAAAACTTTAGAGCTTCTTGTCCTCCCTTTTGCAAATAAATAGCAGCAACAAGGCTGAATATTGTAGTGCTCAAAACTCTTTCTAGGGGTGGCTTTTCAGTAGACTTCACATCGAGTAAAGGAAGCATGCAGCGAGCCGCTGATTCAGGTTGCCAATCTTTCGTAGCCGAAGCAATTCGCCGTGGAGAGCGAAATCTTGTAATATCTGAGTATTTTGGAACATTGGCTACATCTCCATCTTTCAAAAAGTGATTCATCAAAGACACATCAACGACCGCGACCCCGAGGGAAATAAGGGGCTCATTGTAGGCGACTCTTCCTTGTTTGTAAGACTTGTGAGTGAAAATTTGTTCTTTTAAGGCTTGGTTTGGAATATAGCTCTTACTTCCAAAGACACGGTAAAAGAAAGAATCAACATCTTGAGTTGAGGAGCTCAATTCACAAGTATAGCCATTCTCCTTCGAATGAATATTCATGACATTCCGAGAGAAAATATTGCTTAAACCTTGGGGACGAAACGCACTCCCTTTGGGTAAATATCCAGCTCGCCAAATGCCTCTAGAAAACATTAGGGTATGATTCAACTAAGATCCAAAAACTACTCTTTTTATCTTCAAAATACAAGTCCTAAGAAGTTTTTCTTTTATTGAAAAAGACAAAAATAAGAAACCGCAGAAGAAACTGCCTGAAGGCTAAAATATAATGGTTTCTTCCTTTTGGGTATAAAGGGTGGTGGTCAAGACAAACCAGTTTAACACAAGACCCTTATTCAATCAAGACCAAGTTTACAGTATTCGTTTACTTTTTCCATTGAAATTTAATAGGTATTTAAAAAGAATTCTAAACAGAATCAAATTTATGTGGCAGGCTCCTTTTTTATGATTTTCCATTTACGCTTCTACTGATATAAGAAAACATTGTACGAGAAACAGGAAGGTACAGTACACCGGTAACCGTAGCTATTTCTATTGAGTAAAGTAAAAACTCTTATTTTTTTTTTTCGAGATCTGCTTCAGAGTTGAGCAGCCAAACCTCAATCAATCGAAAGTAATAATCAACAAAGATGAACCAGGATGATTTTCGAAAGCTACTAGCCACTCCTAGAAGTGAAAACTCAGAATTAGATCGGCTACCAAAAAGATCCCAGGGCCCATCATTTGGCAGACGGCACCCTAGATTGTCTGCATCGTTACCACCTAGATCAATTGCTAAAAGGCACCCAAATTTAAACCATAATACCAGAAAACCTTCCTCTTCTTTATCTATAACAAAAGAAGCTTCAGAAGCTGATGAACCTGAAATACTGTCTGAAAACGATGTTCTTGTGCAAGAACTACGAGGTAAGCTTCACCGGGGAGAAATGACAGGAGAAGAATTCTCAAGAAAAACTCAAGAATTAGGCGGAGATCTGGCAACTACACATCTTGTTCGAGGTTTAGACCGTAGGCTTTTACAGAAGGCAAGATCTCAACAAATTGAGCCTGATATTCCTGAGTTTACTAAGAAAGAATCAAAGGAATCATTTCCATCCGAAAATGACGAACAAAATGATAAGCTTCTTGAAGAATTAACGGAAAAACCAAGCAACGCAGACCAAAATCCTTCCGAAGACGCCATAGTGAATTCGAAAAACACAGATGTACCAGTATATCCTAATGGGCGACCCATGTATCGAAGGACTGTTGAAGAAGGGAAGAAAGTAAAGTACATACTTAATGAAGATGGGAATGTTTTGAAGCGACTGGTAAAAAAGGAAAAAAAAGTGTTCCATTGAAGACAACGACTGTCCCTTCAGATGTAAAAGTACCACCAGCTGAACGGAAAAACCAGAAAGAACCAGTTTCTTTGCCAAAAGTTGACGTTGAGACTGATATTTTTGAAGAAGCTGGAGATGACTACGACCCATTCCACGAAGATGACGATAATGACAATTTTGAACCAAAACGTATAAAACTAGAAGTGGAAAACAAAAATTTGCAAAGTAATGACTCTATTAATTTTCAGGGAAAGCTATTTGAAGATGCAAAAGGTACTGCACAGGATAGTCCTAAAGATTTTCGACAACAAATCCAACATCTGGCGAACCTACAAAGTCGAAAAGAGAATGAAGATATGAAAAAGCTTGAAAACAAGAAGAAAGTGGATGCAGGGTTTGGTCTGACACTATCAAAAGACGATACTTGGGACATTACTGATGGGGATGAATCTGAAGATGATGAGGATGGAGGAAAACCCCGAAAAAGTAAAAAGTAGATAATTCGAAAGGATTGTTAGAATAATTATGTACAATTATGATAAGTTTTGTCAAATAGATCAAACAATTAAAAAAGGCTGAATGTAAACAACTATGTTCTATTATCATCCGTAATGGATGTAACGTAAAGTTCAAGCCAAAAGATGATAATAACAAAATGGCTGACCACAATAATTTAATTAAGTGCTTCTTTCAGAGTCTTTACTTGTTCCATTACACAAGATTTAGCAGTACCGCCGATAGCACATCGTTTTTCAACGCTTTCCTCATAGTTGAAGACACTCACAACATCATCTTCATAGAGAGGATTCAAAGACTTGAAATCATCAACAGAGAGTTTGTCAATTGTGGTGTTTCTCTCTTCGGCCATGCGAACAGCTGAACCAGAGATATGATGAGTTTGGCGGAAGGGAATGCCTTTACGAACCAAATACTCAGCCAAATCAGTAGCCAGCATATCAGCAGTTAAGCTTTTAGCAATCTTTTCGGGATTGACAGTCAAGGTGGAAATGACACCAGTAAGAATTTGGATAGAATCAGAAACAGTTTTGACAGAATCGAATAGTGCTTCCTTGTCTTCTTGTAAATCCTTATTATAAGTGGAAGGGATACCTTTTACAGACATCATGAAACCAACCATGTCGCCAAAAACACGACCAGATTTACCACGGAGTAATTCGAGGGAATCGGGATTTTTCTTTTGAGGCATTATGCTGCTACCAGTGGAGTACGCATCGGAAAGGGTCACAAAATTAAACTCGGAACTAGAGTAGATGATAAGATCTTCGGCCAAACGGGAAACATGGGTCATTACCATACTCGACCAATACATAAATTCAATGACAAAGTCACGGTCAGCAACAGCATTCATAGAGTTCATAATGATGCCATCAAACCCAAGTTCTTTACAAAGAAATTCTCGGTCGACAGCAAAGGGGTTACCAGCCAAAGCTCCTGCTCCCAAAGGGAGTTGATTGACACGGACGTAAAGCTGGTTCAAACGAGTCAAGTCAGAGAGGAGAGAAAATGCATGGGACATCAAAAAGTGGGACCAACGAATGGGCTGAGCGCGTTGTAAATGGGTGTATCCAGGCATAATGATACTGATATCCTTTTCAGCACGAGAAGCAAATACCTTCAACAGATCAATGAGGAAATCTTTAATAGTTTTGATCTGATCACGAAGCCAAAGACGCATATCCGTAGCAACTTGATCGTTTCTACTTCTACCAGTATGCAATTTACCAGCAATTCCTGTGCCAATGATTTCACCGAGCCGACGCTCATTTGCAGTATGAATGTCTTCGTCGGAAGGATGAAGAACAAACTTGTTTGCTTTCCATTCATCGCGAACGCTTTCTAGTCCTTCCAAAATCTTTCCCAATTCAGCTTTGTCAATGATACCACGTTGCTCTAATGCTTTCGCATAAGCTTTCGAGCCATCCACATCGGCATTGTACATGCGTTTATCGTAATGTATGGATTCATTATAAGCAGTCATCAGAGGATCTGTAGTGCCAGTAAATCTACCGCCCCATAGTTTTTGAGAAGCCATTTCAAAAATATATTCTTTGTTGCACAAATAAAAAGGAAGAATACAATCAAACTAAGACAAGGGCCAATTCCCCAAAAATTTTCAAGTTGCTTGCTATAGACAGATTGGAAACTGATTTCAGAATCCCAGTACTACGCTTAGATTTCACAAAGATGGTTCCATAGATCAGTAAAATTACAAAAGTATTGAATGAAATGAAACCCATTTTTTGACAAAGAGACCATATACTTCAGGTCGTTTTCTTTTTTGCAGACGTTCGTTGTTTTGTCTGAAGAAAACGTAGTTCGAATTGAATCATTTTTTCTCCCTTATTGTTTTCTTCTTACAGTAAAAAAGTAAAGAATATGAGAAAGCTTTCCTGATATATATTATCCTGGCATGCTTAGGTATTGACATTTACGTACTGAGATTCCCTCTGTTCTTCGAGCCTCAAAAGGTTTCGATTCAAACAGTGAGTATATGAATTGAATAAAAGTGTAATTCCATAGACTTGCTGCTCGCAGTAGGCCTTTTCTATACCGCATACTTCCTGAAACAGGTCGTAGAACCTTCGATGACTTGCACAGCAGATACGACAAGTTTCTGGCTCAAGTACATATTGTTCTTTTGATCATTATGATAGTCACCTAGTTGAGACCAGTTCCATGTGCTTACTGAATTGACCATATGGATTCACCAAAAACTTGACCTTTTCAACCAAATAGAAACAACCATTATAAATAGATATATAAAATAAAAAGTATTATTAATATAATAATGTCCTTGAAAAAGAGAATGCAAATGTTTGCATTCTTACTGAGATGCCACTTTTCGAGTCTTTGTTAACCTATACATCATCTATTGTTGTGTATTCCAACTCAACCAAAGCAACCTCCTATCGACGAAAAGCGACTTATTTTTTTGCAAAATGCCACCTAAAGCTCCCCCTACAAAGCCTTTAAGTGAACGTCTTCTTCCTCTTGTCAAAGTAAGTTAACAATTTTGCTTGCATACTGCGAATTATGTCAGGAATGATACATGAGGATGGCAAAGACTTGTGCTTTCATAGAAAACAGGGACCTTTGAGAAGTTTAAAAAAGAAAAAGAATTTTTTTTATGATCAGAGAAGTTTGATTTTGCTGTCCTCGATTCAGAGTACTTGTAGCATCCTGTTTCAATTTCGCAATAATCCGATTGTTTTTCCATTAAGTAATCTTGCTAATCTATACTTTTATAGAATACACAATTTTTTTGGTTTCTGGGACAATTCTCTGTCGCCTTGTTCAGCTCTATTTATACGTTGCAGGTTGTTCCTTTCCGCCAAGGTTCATCATTTATTTTCAAGAATGCTATTGCAGGAGCTATCTTGGCGTATTCCATTGTCCTTTACAAGGTTTACAGCCCCAATATTGCTTCTCGTTCCTCCTGGAACGTCCATTTCTTGCGCCGTTTAATGACTGATGATAATGCCTTGTATTTTTTCTTGGCTTTGTCCTTGTTGATCAACCGCCCTGTTTTATTTGCGCTTGCTCCTTATGCTATTTATGCCACGTTTCATATTTCTACCTATATGCGCAGCAACCTTTTGCCAGTTCTTTCTCCCTCTATCACGAGCAGTACCGAACCTAAGAATCAACTTTATAAATTATCGCAATTGCTTAACAAGTATACTCGCACTCAATTCCAACCTGCAATGAAACTTGTAGCCAACATTGAGACCTTCCTCTTTTTCCGTTACTTCTTTGGTTTCTTCTTGCGCAAGAATACTTTCTCTCAATTCATCTTCTATGCCTTTTTCCTTCGCATGCGCTATAACAGCAGTCACTTTACTCGTGCATCTATCCGAGACATTGGTCTTCGTATGGACCGCGTTGTCGCTGACAATCGCATTCCTCCTCAAGTAAGAAATGCATGGTTCCAACTAAAGCACTACCTCTCAAGATTTGGCAATGTACCTGTCGCTCAAGCTTCTGCTTCTAGTGGCCGTCCCGCCTCTGCATCCACTTAAACAAATAACCTTTCAACCAAAAATACTTGTTTGCTGTCCAAGTTGTTTATAGTTTTCCTTTTGGTTTACCAGCTGCATCTTGTTTTCTTCTTGGCTTTCCCATCGCTTATTTTAAGGTAACCATGGTTTCCTTTTTTTATCATTAGTAAAACATATAATGCCGCTTTTAGGAAAAGAGCAGGATAGTTTATGATTCGTGCTGAGAATTGACTTCAATTCCAGAAAACCTGTTTTTATTCCTTTCCACGAATTTTACTTGTTTGGAGACATTCTTAACGAGTAGAAGTTTCGTGCTTTCAGCGTATACGTGTTGAATCGCTGATTGAAAGATAACCATACGAGCTAGCTTACTTTGAATGCCTTTCAAAAAAAAAAAAATCTCGTTTAGCTTACATGAATGTAGGAATGTATATGCTTTTTTACTCTTTGTAGAAATTGTCGTATTCTATCATTCTCTATTGTATGCAATGTCAGTGGAGCACTTTGTAATTATGAGTAGTTGATTCAAAATCCGAAGTCACCGTAGAATTTTTCTGTTTTACTTTTACTTTCACTTTTCCTTTTCCTTTTTATTTATTCTTTACCTTGGACTTTTTGAATCACTTTGTTTTAATTCATTGTTTACTCTTTCATCATTAGGTGACCAGAATTAGATTAATACTTCTATATCGGTAAACTTCGGTCATCTCAAACGCTTCGGTAAATAGTTTACCGGAGCCCTAGTAGAGCACTGTTTACATTTTACTTCTTCCGGCATGGATGAAAGGTATTTAGAGATTCTTAATTAGGACATGAAATATGTTTGATCAATGGGAATTTATACATTCAGAGAACGAAAGTTTATCTAACTCCTCTCATGTAAGGAAAAAGTACCAGTTCGTTGATATTAACGCGCATGTAGAAGTCATTAAACGCGTCAGAACCTTTAAAACCTGCAGTTGATGATCGGGCGTCTATAAAAAGCTTAGGTTCTCCAACCTTTGATTCAGGTTCACCCATCAGACGATGCGTCTCTTTTAAATTGAGCACTCCAAAGAGTACTCTAGGCAATGAATGGAAAGGACGAGAAGATATACAAAGAGACGTGACTTGGATTAAACAATGCAACAAGAATGAGATTATGGAACGAGCAGAAATTTGTATGCGTGAGCTTCAAGCTTATTCGGCCTTCGCAGACAGACTTTCACAGCAAACAAGTGAAATTAAGCAGACGTTATCATCGATAAAAAATACTTTCTTAACATCAGAACAAAAATTAAATGAGTTTTCCCAGACATGTGACACGTTGGGAACTGAAGAGGCATGTTACGTTTGTCTGAATTTATTAGCTTGGTTGTTAACACGTATGGTATAGGAAGCATTTGCCAGACTTGCTGTTGATATTGATCATGGCTTATCGTATTTTGCTCCATTGAAGGAATTGACTCGTGTTTTCCGTCACCCACCGTCAGACTTAGTGTCAAGAAGTTCTTTCCGCGACCATGTTCTTCAAATAAACAAATGTATCCAGTTTTTGGAAGAAAATGTAAGCATTATTTGCCTAATAGTAATGGCTACTAACCGCCGCAGATGGATTTTCAAGAGAGCGATGTTTATTTGACTCAATATAAACGGCTTCTGACTCAAGCATTCACAATGTTTAAAAATCATTTCTTTCGCCTTATCAAAGTAGCTTCTGATCAAATCATACAGAGCGCAAAAACTATGGTATGTAGTTTTGATAATCCATCTTCGTAATTACTAATTATAATTACAGCAAGTAGACAAACAGCTTGAAAGCTCATTGTTCTATTCTCGTTTTAGTGCAATTGCACTTCAGCTTCGACCGTTACTCAGAGAGTTTAAAAAGAGCAGTTCAGAAGACACATCTAATCTTACTGCATTCTATGACTATTATTTACAAACCCGTATGCGCTTGCTTCAGCCTGTTCTAAGCAGTCAGTTAAGGAGTTTTTTCTTGGAAAAATCAATTACCTCTTTTGTATGTGTTTAAAGGTGGAATTACGTGTTAACTCAAGACAGATTCAAAAATCTTTAGCTCTCTTACAGCTTACTTTCTATGACGAAAGCAGGCTGTTTACTGAGTTTTTTGATGAAACAAATGAAAACTTTACGGATTATTGGCAGGAATTGTGTGAAACCTTTTACGAAGGTTCCAGGTCGATGATTCTACGCGAGAAAAACTTGACAGATTTGTGTGAAGTTTGTTCGTACATACGCTCTTTTCAAAGTTCTATCGTCGAGGGCGATCGGGAGGACATCGGTAAAGAACTTGCGACACATCTAAGCCCAGTGGTATCTGAGCTTCAAAATAGAGTGTTATTCCTAGTACAAGCAGCTATTGATTCAGAGATCCAAAATTATACACCAAACGACGAAGATTTATTCCCCAACATAAATAAGGAAGCACAATTGTTTAATTTAGAAAATCTAGGATTAAACGATGCCGAAGAGAAAGTGAACGTAAACGTACCCGAGCGACTTGCGATGGCACAAGGTTGGTACCCTGTTGTTCAAAAATCCTTAATAACTCTATCCAGAATTTATCGTCTCCTTGATGTAAGATGCATAATCATTATAGTTTTTCTCTATGAACTAATCTAATCATCTAGTCTAACGTGTTTGATGATATTGCACTCGAAATCATACACGCTTGCATTGGGTCATTAATGGAAGCTTACAAGTACTTTAGCAATAAGAATGATCCGCAAATTGCCAGACTTTTTTTGATAAAAAATTTTTTGGTTTTGAAGGAGCAATTGAGTTCGTTTGAGATTCAATATGCTCATATTCAAGCTGGTGTCGACTTTAAGAGGATATGGGATAGCGTACGTGAATGGCGCTCAAATCTTCGAGGGATTATACAATTGGTATATGAAACATTTCCTAAATTTATAAATAACATGGTGGATACCCGACAAGAGTTGAACCAACAGCTACGAATCGCAGTAAATGGATATATCGAGTCAGCGGCTGAGTCTATTACAAATGTCTTGAAGGCAGGTGATCCAAAGAGCATTAGTGAATTTTTGCATCAACTGGACAAGGTAGAGGACTTACACGAGCAAATTTCCTCTTACTTAACGGAACCATGGATTGAAGGGCTGCTTTTGCAAGCTGTTTTTGAGGAAATTGCTAGGCATTTCCAAGAGTTTTATAGCACGCTATCCAATGAAGACCTTCGAACTCTGGAGATGAATCTTGGAACTGACCAAAACTTATCAAAAAGCATGGAAGACTACCTGAATGACATAGCTATGCCTTTTCAACGCTTAAACGAATCCAAACATAATGACAGGGCTTAAATACTGAAATGTTTACATATTTTATTTACCTAATTGAGTTCACAAAAATAATAGAGAATGAGATTTATAATGCCTTCTTTTTTTTATGTTTACTGTCATCTGTTATTACTTTATACTTTAGTATTGTCTGATCTTCTATTCCTAAAAATCGTTCACTCACTATAGTCCCAACATTCCATGTGATTATTAGATGATTACTGCGCAGCTCGCTAAGCGTTATTTATATTCAAGTTCTTTGATGAACTTGTCTTTTACCATTCACAAACATGTCTTCTGCATTTGAGAAAGCTGCTGCTGAAGTTAAAGAACTCAAGCAAACTCCTAACAATGATGAGCTCTTACAGGTAAGGATCCTCTGTGACCAGTCAACGAAAGCTAACTGATATTCTTTTAGCTTTATGCTTTGTTCAAGCAAGCTACTGCTGGTGATAACAACACTGAAAAGCCCGGCCTTTTGGATTTGAAGGGTAAATACAAGTGGAATGCTTGGGAAGAGTTAAAGGGTAAATCGAAGGAGGATGCCACGAACGATTATATTGCTTATGTTGAAGAACTCAAAGGCAAGTATGGCTTGAAGTAAATTTCCATTTATGTGAATAGCCTAAGATTTTACCTGGATTCCTACTCCACTGTCTCTAATATAGTGCAAGGCTTTCTTTTCTTGAATACCTAGAAGTGTAATGTATCAAGCTTTTAACGACTTTATTCCAAATAGTCTATGCAAATTAATTTTCTCCAAAGAATACAAGATTTGTAGAGTACACATATTGAATACTTAAAACTGGAAATGTAAAGTGAGTAGTAATTAGAACGCAATGAGAGATTGCGAAACATCTACAATAATAAGAAGGCCAGAGACCATGGTAGTTTCAAAAAATTCATTGTAAAGCGTAACTAACAAAAGTAAACATATAGAAGCCTCAAGCTCGAAATGCAAGGCATCTTCTATCTATAATCTTTAGGGCTTGTCCATATCGACTACGCAGCGGATGCATTTACCCTCATGCATGTGCTCCAAGGCATTGTTAATGGTGTGCAAACTTTCCTCGTGTGTAATGTACTCATCGACCTTGAAGTGGCCTTGGAGGTAATCGTCGACAAAGTTAGGAAGCTCAGTGCGACCCTTGACACCACCAAAAGCAGAGCCTAAAACATGACGACCGGTGACAACCAAGAAAGGTCGGAAATCCAAGGTCTTGCCAGCAGCAGCAACACCAATAACACAAAGCTTGCCCCAGCCTTTGTGGCAGAATTGTAAGGCTTGTAGCATAACAGTAACATTGCCAGTGCAGTCAAAGGCGTAGTCCACACCACCATCAGTCATGTTAATAATGTGCTGAACGATATCGTCAACCGTGGAGGGATTGACAAAATCAGTGGCACCAAATTTCTTAGCAAAAGCTTCCTTTTCAGAATTAATGTCAATGGCAATGATACGCGAGGCACCAGCAGCAACAGCACCCTGCATGGCAGCAAGACCCACACAGCCGCATCCGATAACGGCGACAGTTGAGCCAGGCTCAACCTTGGCAGAATGAGTAGCCGCTCCAAAGCCAGTAGTAATACCACATCCCAACAGACAGACACTACGAAGAGGAGCAGAGTGGGAAATAGCAACAAGAGAAATGTCCGAAACGACAGTATACTGACTAAAGCTTGAACAACCCATATAATGGAGGATTGGCTTTCCGTCAACTGAAAAACGAGAAGTACCATCAGGCATCAAGCCACGACCTTGGGTTTCACGAATTTTGGAACACAGGTTGGTTTTACCGCTGCGACAAAACTTACATTCTTTGCACTCGGGGGTGTAGAGAAGAATGACATGATCGCCAGGACGAACATTTGTAACGTCTTCGCCAATGCTCTCAACAACACCTGCACCTTCATGACCCAAAATAATGGGGAAGGCACCTTCAGGGTCTACACCTGAAAGAGTGTAGGCGTCGGTGTGACAAACAGCCGACCACGAGACTTGAACACGAACTTCATGAGCTTTTGGAGGAGCAACTTCGATACTAAAACAACAGCCACCGCCTCTTCTCATCCCTACGGCAGATGGATGAGAAGCAGTAAGCCAAGGTTAATGATCATGCCACAAATAAAGAAAAAAAAAAAATAGTAAAAGGATGGGTCATTTCGAAATACAGGTCAGATAGTTACTTACTTTTCAATGGACAAAGCATCTCCAGCCTTCCAAGCAACTGCAGCCTACACACCATGGATTAGCATATGCACATGAATGAGAAAATCCGCAACTATGATCAGTCTATCCAACAAAAAGTATTCCAAAGTTCCGTATTTCAAGAATCACCAGTAGATATTAGCTACACTGGAGGTTCTTTTTGTTGCTCCATTTTCTGTTTTCTAGCAGCATGACTTTTTACTTACCTTGCAAGTAATAGACTTTCCTTCAAAAGACATGCTGAAACAGACTTTACCAGACAAGAAAGAAGGTATAATTCAGCTTTATATGGTACGTAAGAAGTTTGAACCTGCTATGCTGACAAACGTCTACTTCATTCTTCAATTGCAGATCCTTGCAAAAAGTAACAGATGATCTGCAGATCATTAGTAATCGTTTATTTATGATCGCCAAGCAAAAAAAGTAAGACTTCTACATGGTTCTAAGATTGGTTTGTAAATGCAATTTCTAAGGATAGGAGAAACTAGAGAAAACCCGTTTTTGTTTGTGGTCTTTTCCTGTGTCCTGAAATAAGTTTGGTGGTGCAATAGATCCAACTGTAAGAGCCGCTACCTCCTTCTTCAGACTTTGGATCTTCCTTTTCAAAGATTTGATAGAACTGAAACAAAAACTTTTCCTAAATTAAAACACATCCAAGCGTATTTCCAACCCTCAACATTCCTAACATCAATTATCATACAAATTATCACACTAACGAGGTTCATTAGAGAGACCTCGCAAGGATCCACAACAGAAAAAAAAAAAAAACACCTTTTCTGCAAAGTGAAGTCGCAAAATGCTACCATATGCAGAATGAAAGCACCGCTTTCATTTCGTTTGAGCCTACGTCTATCTTGTTTGTTTGTTGTTTACGGAGCTTCAATGTCGCTGTATATGACTTATGAGTTGCAACGAAGGATGGAAAAAGAAAAACCGAGTGTGTTCAAGTGCTCTATTTGGTGACTGAAACGATTTCTGGGATCCATGTAGAGACGCGTTTGACCGTACTTTTTTGGCGTAAACAAAACGTTGTTGTTTTTAGGATATTTTATCTTCATCTCTTATATATATTTCCAGTGAAATAGCTGTGCTTTCTTCACTGGTTTGGAAGACGTTGATTCTGTTTTGTTATTAAGGGCTTTCGTATTTTTGGTCGGTGATCTATAATGGGAAACGGTGGTTTTAAGGGCCTTTCTAAGCCTTTTCATCGTATATTCATCAATAAAGAAATGCGTATTCTGATGCTTGGTTTGGATGCTGCTGGCAAAACAAGTATGTCAAAATTAAGATCTCTTTTCCCTGTCATATGAAACTTATCGGACAGGAAAAGAAATGATTTCGGTGGTTTTCACTGTTGTTTTGGGGGGGGTTCTTTTTGGCAATTATTAACACACATGACTGTAGCAATACTTTACAAACTAAAACTCAACCAGAGCGTTGTAACTATACCAACTGTAGGTTTCAATGTCGAGACAGTCACCTACAAAAACATCAGATTCAATGTTTGGGATGTGGGCGGTCAAGATAAAATCCGTCCTCTTTGGCGACACTACTTTACCGGTACAAAAGGCCTCATCTTTGTGGTGGATGCGGCCGATAGCAATCGTCTAGTAGAAGCACGTCAAGAGTTGCATAGAATTATTTCCGACCGTGAAATGCGAGATGCCCTTCTCTTGGTATTTGCCAATAAGCAGGATTTGGGAAATGGTACGAACTCACATGATAGCATATATACTGCTCTTTGTTCCTTTTTTATTCAAAGATCTATTTCATAACGTTTCAAACATACTGTTTACTAACTCATTGTTTAGCTCTTTCACCCCTTCAAATCACAGAAGTTCTCCAGTTAGACAAGTTGAAAGACCGTCTTTGGAACGTTCAGCCAACTTGTGCTTTGACTGGAGACGGCTTACTAGAAGGGTTAGCTTGGCTAAGTCAAAACGCAAAACTCAAGTAAACATTGACTTTTCCGTAAAATTTTTTCCTTCTTTCGTGTCTTCTATCGTTTGGTTTTTTTTTGGCTAAAGCATAACTTGCTTTCTTCTAAATATCGATTTTATGGAACCTATCTTTGTCTTTATACCATCTCCTTTCTCTTATAGCCATATGATATCGTTTCTTTGGAATGTCATTCTTTTTTGGTTGCTTTTTTAATTTTATATTACTTATTTTTTGCATTCCCTTTTGTACTTTATGCGATCGTTTCTATCCTTGGCTTTTTAATCTCAGTCGCGAATATCCTTGCTATACCTGTTCATAGTTCCGTGTATATAATCTGCTCTCAATACCTATTGTTTTTAATTCCACATTCATTTCATTGATAATTTGTTATTATTTTTTTCTTTTAAACCTTTCAAACCTATTTCTTTCCTTCATATTAACATGCCAAACATCATTCTATTTGCCTTCTAGTATTTATCCAAAAAAAAAAATTCTTCATAACTATACAATTTTAGAAAATAACAATTCTTTTAAATTGTTTTTTTGGCATTTTCAATAAACTTTCTGATTTTATCATCATCTTGAATACCTTCCGTTTCCACTCCACTAGAAACATCGACGATCGCAGCATGAGAAGCAGTCAAAGCATCTTGAACATTCTCGGCGGTCAGTCCTCCAGCTAAAACATAAGGAATAGTTATTTGAGAGGCCGCTTTCCAATCAACAGTTTTGCCTAAGCCTCCTGACTGGCCTCCGACAAATGCATCAATGAGAGGAAGAATGTGGTAGTTTGGTGTCATCAGTTCCGATGCATTAGGAGAAAATACCTTAAAAACAGGTTTTTGTAGTTCATTGGCCCATTCTAAAGGCTCTTGTCCGTGCAGCTGGATGATATCAAGATCGACTTCTGACAGTATTTCTTTAATATATTCTATAGGTTGGTTCTTGAACACACCAACTACCAATGGATGAGTAGATTTAGCAATTTTTTGATAATGATAACGGAACCAATCCTTATGTTCTCCCAGTTGGCTTTCCATGCCTCGGTAGTTACGAACGTTAGAATGAGCTAATTGAACAATTTCTTTAGCGACTTGGAGATCCACCCTCCGCTTACTTTTATCAGCGAAAATAAGGCCTATCAAATCGCCTCCTGATTCTATAATCGTTTTAGCGGCTGCAACAGTGCGAGTACCACATACCTTTACAAGGGGCTTAGAAGAAGCATCTGAGCCCTGTTCTTTGGGTGATCCATGAAGAAGCTCCTGTGCAAAGGCAGCAGGATCAGGAGAGCGCATCAACGACTCACCGACGAGGACAGCAGAAACCCCTTGCTTCATGTATAGTTCAACATCGGCTCTGGAGCTGATACCGCTGAGAGCAGCCAAAACAACGTCCTTGGGAACCATGTCAACTAATTTAGAGGTGGTAGATAAGTCTACCTCGAAACTGTGTAAATTACGATTGTTCACACCAATTACCTTGGCACCTAATTTTATAGCAAGTTCCATTTCGCTTGCGCAATTAACTTCAACCAGGGGCTCCATCTCTAAAGATTTAGCAAACTTGTACAGAGATTCCAATTGCTCATAGCTCAACATAGCAACAATTAGCAAGACAGAGTCAGCACCATTTAAACGAGCTTCCATAATTTGATAAGGGTCAATGATGAAATCTTTGCGAAGGATCGCAGGACGGTCCTCAACCTGATCGACAGCACGGCGTGCAACCTGTAAATCATCCAAAGAACCTCTGAACCATTTCGGTTCAGTGAGAACAGAAATAACAGAAGCACCAGCCCTTGCATAAGTCAAGGCTTGTTGGGCAGCATTAGCATAAGGATCAATGTCTCCTTTGGAAGGAGAAGCACGCTTGACCTCAGCCATAAGAGCCGGAGTCGACTTTTTGAGGCGGTCATAGAAGTTAACCATAGGAGGAGCAAGGTTCATTTTTAAATACGTTTGCAAGTCGTTTACGCTATGGCCACGACTATTTTTGCTTTCAGCAATGTCGATGAGACGCTGAGCATGGATCTTGTTGAGAATAGATTGCTTGGGGACATTCTCAGGAGCAGCAGAAGAAAACGAAACCATATTGGAACGTTCCTTCATAGCATCGTTAAAAGCATTGTTTTTTGTAGGCATACTAACATTATTTTCTTCCCAAGTGCCGGCAGTCAGGTTTAAAAAGTTTTGAATATACTCTTTTCCGTATTCGCTGAGAATACTCTCGGGATGGTATTGAACACCTTCGATGGCATACTTTTTATGACGAGCACCCATGATAATACCATTTTCAGTCCAGCTCGTCACTTCCAAGTCGGAAGGAAGCGACTTGATGGTTCCGGCCAAAGAATGGTAACGGGTGACGGAAATTCCCTGAGGGATTCCTTGAAACAGACCTAGACCGTCGTGGTATATTTTTGAAACTTTACCATGGATGATTTCGCCAGCGGATTCGACGTTGCCGCCCATGCTTTCAAAAAGGCATTGTAAGCCCATACATACTCCGAAAATAGGAATCTTTCCAGCGAAACGAGAGATGGCTTCGTTGCAGATGCCACCGTCACGGGCCGGATGACCAGGGCCTGGTGACAGGATGAGCTTCAAGGGATTAATTTGTTCGAGTTCGTCCACAGTGAGTTCATCGTTGCGAATGACCAAAATCGGGTACCTCTTTTCTAAATTCGAAAGATACTGCACGATGTTCCAAGTAAAACTATCGTAATTATCAATCATGACGATGGGACGTTCCGTTTCGCCTTCCAAAACGATTTTAGTTTCGGAAGACTCTTCCTTAGGAACCTCATGTTGAGTCATAGTGCTATGTTGAATGCGTTCAAATGCAAAAAGAAAAAAAAAGTTACCTTTAAGGCCTAAAAAAGCCAATTGCAAAAGACAGAAAGAAAATAGGCAAAGAACAGCTTTTCGTGACTTGGATAGTTTACCATGAAGTGGTTTAACGATAAACATGGCAGTCGAACGAGAGCGAGAAGGGGAAAAGGAGAAAGTGACATGTTGTTTCTTTGGGAATCGAAAAAAATCAAAGGGTTAAAGGACTTTATAGAAGGAAAGGATACAGAAGAGAAACAGAGAGAAGAAGAAAGTAAAGGAAAGGAAAGGAAAGAAAGAGATTACAAAAGGTGAATTGGTGAGAAAAACTTTTTGTTTAAAAAACATTTAATTACAAAAAGATACAGAAAGATTTAGAAGAACCAAATGAAAGGTGGATGGATCAGTTTACAGAAAAAAACCATTTAAGAAAATTAAAAATGATAAAAACGATGAAATGCTTCAATTGATGCAAAAAAACATTAGATAATGGTTAAGATAATCGAGTTGAATCGAGCATAGACGATAAATTCAAGTAAGGGAATGTAATTGGGAAGGGACCAAAAAGGGAATTTAGGCGTTAAGAGCCACAGTGTCAATGCCAACGCAGTCAGAAGATCCATTACCATTGCCGTAGTAGACTTGATAAACTTGCTTATCGCTGGCAACAGGGCAGGCAACAGGGGAAGTGCCGTTCAATTGGAGCTCGTAGCCAATACTTATGACCTTGTTAGCATCGAAGCCTGACAGAGGAGAGCCAGAGGATTGGAAAACAAGAGCTCCATCCTTGTCAAGAGAAGCTGTCTCGTTGTTATGGAGTAATTGAGAGTCCTTGAGGCTGAACTTTCCGTAACCCTCAGCGTTGTCATATTGGCTCAAATAGACGTGACCAGATTGACCAACATAGAATTCATGTAGGTGGACATTAGCGTTACCAGAGTGAATACTCAAAATACCGAATGATTGCTCTGGAGACATGGCCTGCTTAGAAATAGGAGAAGCCAAAGTAGAGGTGGCTCCAAGAAGAGCGAGGAAAACTGAAGAGAAAGACAACTTCATTTTTGTTTTTGAAAATGCTAAAGTGAATATGTTTTTTAAATAGATCAAAAATGCTAAAATGCCAATAAGGATATAAACGATGAATTCTTTTTCGACGTGTTTGTCATTTTGCAAGGAATTCCCAGCCTTTAAATAGCTATTGCAGCTAGAAACCATCCGTCATAGGAATCATTGCATCCTTACGGACCATACCACCAACCGAAGAAGGAAAAACATCAACAAACGTGAAGAACGAACCAAAGGCCGCTTGTCAAGCCATCAGGTATTAACCCGAGTTCAGATGTCAGGCATAACGGTCGGAGCTAGAAGGAGTAAACATCTTTTTGGTGGTGATGACTTCATCATCTGGTGAGTCAAAATCGATGAGCTGTCCTAATTTTCCAAAGTCCGTAGCAACGATGTTTCTATCCCCGCAGGTTACCTTACCGGTCCAACGAACGTACAGCATGAAACTGACATGTATACGATTGGTAATTTAAAAGCTCCTCAAGAGATGTATCAACAACGTGAAAAGGGGGTGGCTCATTATTTGTAATTTTAGAACAGACGTGATGTGAAACAGCAAACATATGTACCGAGCTTCAAACGAATCGCATAACTAGCTGTGGTACCAGAGCTGGCTATCATCCCGCGCAACGCATGATGAGCTAGCTCTGTATGGCAAAACAACGGTATTGCATACAGCAGTGGGGCTTAGATGGAATCCCAGTGCGCTTAACTTTTATGTAAGACAAGTCTCGAGACTGTAAGTGAACCCCACAGAAAGCATGGCTGGAAAGGTTTGTATGGAACGTACGAACGAGGAGTGACATGTTAATTGTTATCGTTACGTCATAGCCGGTTAGATCGTTAAGATTATTGATATTACACAATGACAAAATTGAATTATATTAGCGATTATTAGTTAATGGACATAAAGTTAAAGGATCTTCGCATAATACTAAGTAAACAAAATACTAAAGTGATACAGATAAAAAAGAGTAAGTGAGATTGGAAATGGAAGCATAAGATTATGGAATGAAAAAAATAATTTAAAAATTCACTTAGAAAAGTTTCACGAGTCTACAGTAGAAGACTTTAGGTTGGAAGATTCGATTGGTCTGTCTGGCTTAAGATCGCTTTTCCGTATTCCAGTTCGTGAAGTAGGTACTTGGACATTACTAGCGTCTGACCAATTTACGTATATAAATGATGCAGCTAGAGTTGTTTATTCCATCTGAAATACGAGAAATATACAGCTTGAGAATCCTGCCCTGACACTGAGTCTTAAATTCTACATACTGAATATTACGCATTGCATATAACAATAACGAGTATATTACTTTGAAAGGGAAATGGGGTCAAAAACTGATGATACGTATATTGCTTTGTTTTTGGATAAAGTATAAACATATAGCCCGTCTGTTTTCACCACAATCTTTTCAACTTAGCCAGGTTGCAAGAAGATGGCTTCTAAAAGTCTAAGTCCAAGTCCAAACCCAAGTTCAGAATCAGGGTCAAATCCAAGTTCAGGGTCAAGGTCAAGGTCAAGTTCAATGTCAGGCCCATATAGAGCTTCTGAAATTAGGATAGATGATCTTTACAATTATGAATGGATTTTGACTGGTGTTGATCGTGAATATGACGGTAAGATTATCGTCTATGTCGTCTATGAAAAGGATTCTTCATTCACTAGTAACTATCTCTTCTATGTTCATATTGAAGAGGAAAGACCTTGTTGGCAACTAGTTATGCGTGAAGCTATTTTTGCCTGCTATAGTATTATCTGTCATGGTGGTGATTTTAGGGAAATCAGGTTTCCAGGCATAAGAATCACTAGACGACCTGAATGGTTACGACGTCTTCATTAATGTTACTGAATGACTCTCGAGATGAATGACCATTTTAATGGAGGAATTGTTAAAGAGTGAAAAATTTCAATTTTGTGGTTTAGTAATGGTAGCATTCGTATTGAGAAAGTGTTGCCATACACGATGTTTAATTAAAAATAAAAAATTACTCTTTTCTTAGAATACACAAGGCAGAGAACATACTAAAAGACATTTATTCATTATTTAAAATGTAAGAGAGTTTTCGAATTAAGCAAAAGCATAAAAAATATGCTTGGGTGGTTATCCAATGTATGGTGATATCCTTAAAGACAGAAACGAAAAAGTAAAGAAAAGTCACGAAAAAGATAAATCGAAAACAAAAACGATTTTCATAAGAAAGGTATAGGCAACAAAATCTTTATCATCGTTAAAACTCGAAAGCCTTCATCAATTTTGAAGCTTCTTAAATATCATTGTAGACGTCTATTTATTTAGAGTGATTTCTTGAAAAGAACGCCTTGATAAGGATTCATATGAATAGTATTTTCCTTGATTTCTAGATCCTCATAGTTGTTCAAAAGTACTTGGAATCCTTTCATATTCAAAGGACATTCATAAGAGACAGCGTTTCCAGTAAAGTTTAAAATGACTGCCAATTTGGTTTTTTCAGATTCACGAACAAAGGCTACTATGGATGGGTCTTCTTCGGAAAGTAATTCAAAGGAGCCGTAGACCACAGCATCCTTCATGGCTTTTCGATAACCAAGAGCTGCTGACCAAAAAGAATAGACACTCTCAGGCTTGCCTACTTGAGTAGAAGCGTTCCATTCTTTATAGTCGTCCGTCACTCTCATCCAAGGCTTGACGCCTTTTGCGCAAAATCCACCGTTGGGTGAACTGTCCCAGTGCATAGGCGTACGACCATTGTCACGTGCTCTTTTGTTAACAATGTCCATAGTCTTCTCAATTTCTTCTTGAGTAGGATTGCCGCTCATAAAGAGCTTCCAAAAATTTTGTGTTTCCACATCTACGTATTCAGAGACGGGCCATTCCCGGGGAATGTTAGCAAGTGCCAGTTCTTGACCTTGGTAAACAAAAGGTGTGCCGCCTTGAAACACAATGAAGAGGGACATAAGTTTGGAGCTATGCGCTCTGTGTTCGGGAGAATCCGACAAGTAACGCGAAACAGTTCGAGGCTGATCATGATTTTCGATAAAGCTGGCATTCCAACCTCCTCCTGTTAAATATACAGACTGCCATTTCTTGAGAGACTGCTTTAGGTCCGAAAGCTTCCATGTGCCCTCAACATATTTGTGCTTTCCACGAACCAAATCCAAACTGACCAAGTCGAACTGGAAAATCATGGTAAGTTCGCGACGATCAGCTCCAACAACACGAAGAACTTCCTCCGTATCTTCGACGTGAGGCATTTCACCAACAGAAAAGGCGTTGTATTCATGGAGGATTTGACCAATCTCTTTCAAATATTCATGGATTCGAGGACCATTAGCATAGTACTGGTAGCCCATTTGGTATTCGTATCGATCATCCGTCACAGGAGCATCTGGAAATGTTTGGTCCTTACTGATCATATTGATGACATCCAAGCGAAAACCATCGACTCCACGATCTAGCCAGTAGCGAACAATATCATGAACTGCTTTACGCAGTTCTTGACTTTCCCAATTGATATCGGGTTGCTCGGGGGCCCAAAGATGCAAATAGTATTCTTGGGTAGTCTCATCCCAATCCCAAGCAGAAGTGTCAAAGTAGCTTCTCCAGTTGTTGGGAGGAAGTCTCTTGCCATCTTGATCGTATTTGGCAGGTCTCCAGATGTACCAATCTCGTTTAGGGTTCGTTTTGGAGGAGCGAGACTCCTTAAACCAAGCATGTTGATCCGATGTATGGTTAAGAACCAAATCCATAACAAGCTTCATACCACGCTTATGCAATTCCTTTGATAGGACGTCTATATCTTGTAGAGATCCATAACGTGAGTCAATCTCTTTGTAGTCAGACACATCGTAACCCATATCCTTGAGAGGTGATGGATAAATAGGCGAGAGCCAAACTGATTCAACATTCAAGTCTTTCAAGTAATCTAACTTTGACAGTATACCCTGTAAGTCACCAAAGCCATCTCCGTTGTCGTCTTTGAAAGATGCTGGATAAATCTGGTACACAGAGGTTTCTCTCCACCAGGCAGGCTGAATCTTTTCGCTGGGCACAACTTTCATCTTGAACTTTTTTTTGAGTATGGTGAAAGTTGAATATGAATGTGCTCTGATCGTAATTCTGTAAGACTGGGCAAAACGTCAATAATCTCGCAATTTTGTTGTCGTTACGAATGTCGTTAAATGACTGATAAGCTTGTCAATGAACTCCGAAAAAGAAAGTCAAGATGGCTGTTACACGCAAGTTGTTTCTTCATGATCATTTTGAATACATGCTATGAAACTTTTTTAGAGTTTCTAAACAAACAATCATGTATAGCTTTTATTGTATATATCAAAAACTATAATTCATTGATGGAAACTCTATTATCATAACAATGTAACAAACTCTCATTTGTCGCAACTTGGATCTTTTGGATACAAAGAAAGTATACTCACCAGATGGATGGTATTCCCTTACTCTTGCTGATGAACCATAGCGGTATATTGCATTCTTTGAAGGTTCATCCATAAATCAAAAGAAAAAATACGACAGCAAATCTTAGACTACTATGAGAATAAAAATCAATCATTCTATATACGAAGGCACGAAAACAATCTCCAAAGGAATCTTTATCTGATGAATATGGAAACAATCTACGTCATGGAGGAGTCTTAATATTACTAAATATTAAGGTTTTTTATAGTTTTAAGGAGTATATTTAAAGACATTGTCATATAAGTAATTCTCACGGGTTATTAGAATAAGTATTGAAATGAAATAATAACTACAATTGTAGGATTGTATACTTTGATTGGACTTGTTGTACTATATATATGGATGATAGTAATGTCCAGGGATCTGGTTAACTGTATTGAAAATGTATACGCTCTTGTGCCTACAGTCAGAATCTTCAGATTTAACAATGCAAATGCTTTACCTATACATATAGAGCAGCATATACGAAACTGACAGGGAAGCCCAATATTATTCACGTAAAGCTAATTAAACAAGATATTTAGTGATCCAATAGTATTCTATACTATAAAGCTGAGGTCAGGGAATGCTAATGATGGTTAGGAAGAGGCGGTGTTTCATATTATAATATAGCCAGCAAAGGATGCCCGTTTTAATCTCTCGGTGGTGTAAGTATGAATTCCTCTGACTGAGCGTATATTTCGTCAAAGTTCTCAGGGCTTCTCATATTGATGCGGTAACCTCCATCAATAGGCCAATCGGTAGTGTCAATAGTATAGCTGCCGTCTGGTACAGAAAGCGTTGTTATAAACTTGTTAATTGGAGGATACCTAATGTAATTGCTCAAATACAGTTGAGCGACTTTTGGATCTTCATCGACAAAATTCCATTTAACCGTGTGTTCCTCACCAGTTTTCCATTCTTCAAATGGGGAAGGAATGTTGATTTGTATAGCCATAGAATAGGCGATGAAAGCAAAAGATGCAACTTTTGGTAACATCATATTGGATGAATTATTAATAGACGTAAAAAGAAAATTCAAGTCCGAAAAGAAAGCCCAAACAGTGTCTTTGAAATATAAATCATAAACTTTTGTGAGCCACGTATAAACTTCCAAAGTAAAACAACAATTCTTTCAAAGAGAAATAGAAGAAGTTTGACCGAAGCAACTCAGGACAAGTTTTTTTCTATTGTCCTTTAAGCCTAGTAAGAAGAAAGGCAAAAATTGAACAAAAGGAGTAGAGTTTTTGATATTCACTTAGCTGCTGCCTTTTTGGTGAATGGATGCGTAAAGTGGGAGTGTTCTATTTATAACCAAATCATGATCCCATAGTCTTGTAAACAAACAATTAACTTCACACAACATATAAACAAACACCTTGTTGAGAACATGTTGTTGTGAATGGAGTAATGAAGTAAGGAAACTGGGTCCTTTGTTTACACAGTACAAACCATAAACATAACCTCAATATAAACAAACAAAAATTTGGGAATCAAACAAGCATTGGTAGTTTGAAATGAATAGAACCTGCAGTATCAATGATCATTTCAATCATTGTCAAAGTGGTTTTGCTTTGCTTATAGAATCATTCTATAACATTGTACAGGAATCATTGTTGGGTAATCAGCCAAAGAGAATTCATTGCAAAGTATAAGTGAAGAAATCATTTGTTAAGCAAAAGAAAATGCTCATTCCAAAAGCAACTTGGTAAAAAAGTATTGAGAGTGTTACATAAGTAAAGTACGTAAAAACCGAATCAACCGTCAGTACCAAGCAGCAATCATCATTTAGCCTTTCTTCCGCTTGACTAAACGCTTCAATCAAAATAAATCTCTTCCCAAAGAACAAATAAAGAGAAATTGACAATTAAACGATATGTTTCATGCATAGGCTTCAAGTCGAACCCAGAGCGATTGCTTAAAAGGCATCCATGTTACCGCTACATCACTGATGCAACATTTCAAGGTGCGTGGCCTATAAATATTCTGAGCAAGAAAAATGCCTTTACTTTACGAAAACGAAAACGAAGTGGTGAGCAGGTAGGCCAAGGTAAATACTTTACTAACGCATGCTTATTCAAGTAAAAACAAGGTATTACAAATTTTCCAAGTCGATGTTTACACAAATGGAAAAATCATTGAAATGTTCTTTGACAGTTTTGTTATAAACGAGAGATTGTCAAACGATCTCTCCAAGACAAAACGACTCAATTAACTTGTCCTTTAATTGCCCAGGCTTACACTTTGGTTAAGAAAGCCCAAAAAGTTGGGCTGTTCTGGGAATCGAACCCAGGACCACCATCACCCTAAGATGGTATCATACCACTAGACCAAACGGCCAAACCATGTATTTGGGCGGTTTTGCTCAATTCATCACCTATAGAGGCTCTCGTTTGAGCTAAACATTGTAGCCAGTCTTGTAAACAAACAGTGTCTAGCAAAAAGAATGAATAAAGAATAAAGAAAAATAAAAAGAAAATTTATTGTTTCCTTCTACAGGTGTTATTAATACTGAGCACGTTCGCTTGGTTAGGGAAGAGGGATAGGATTGTAATTAAACAGTATATATAAGATATAAAGAAATAATACAAGGGAAATTGGTAAGCGAAAGGCATTCAAAAGGTAGACCAGGATCCCGCTTCCTGCTCCCTTTTTCCCGCTGAAAATTTATCATTCCATTCCTTAATAACATTATCGGTTTAACTCAAGTTCAATGGATGCTCAGCGAAATACTCCTCCAGAGTGGTCAGCTTACCCCGGGCATTGGCTGCTGTCTGTGTCACCAACTCCTTTGTTTGCGGCCCATAATATCCAAAATCCTGGATGTACAGCAGCATGTGTACTAAATAATCAGCCATGGTTGATGGCAGAAAGTTGCGGAAGACTTCTTCTGGAAGCTGTTTGTAGATCACTGTTTTCCCTGAGCTTTTACTCATAATCTGTGCAATTTCTTCCATCGTGTATGTCTTAGTAGCGCCAGCAAGAACCTTGCCTTCAAACTCGTCAGGATTGGCAAGTATGGTTGCAACAAATTTGCCAGCTTCCTCAACGTTGATGAGTGGTAGTTCTGTATAGGGAGCGACGATATTGGCCAGCGCATAGGTACCATCCCCAACGGGGAACGGCTTCATGATTGAGCTGAAATTCTGCATGAAACAACCGGCAGCGAAGAATGAGCTTTTTATAGGTAATGTTCTGATGTAGTCCTCAACCTCCGCTTTGCAATCGAAATGACGACCCTTGTCGTATTTACCACCGGAAACGCGAGCAATGTGGAAGAGGGTGCTGTATATGAGGTATTGTGCTCCAACAGCCACAGCTGCATTGGCGATTTCCTTGCCCTGAGACAGTTCTCGCTCCTCGAGCCGCTCATCGTAGATGGTCGCTGTGGTAGAAAAGACAGTGTGAGCCCCTTCAAGAACTCGTTTCAGAGACGAGACGTCGTCCGCATCGCCCTGGACAACTTGGACTTTGCCCGTTTGTTGGAGAGCTTGCGCTGATGGTTTGGAGATATCTCGAGTGACAGCTCGAACGTGGTATTCATTGACGAGGAAAGGGTCGTTGATGACCTGTTTAATCACAGACCCGCCTTGATTGCCCGTCGCACCAAAGACGACGAGGAGTTTACTCATGGTATGCGAGGTGGTCAAAGGCTTGAGGTGTAGTAGAATTGAAAGCTGGTTTATTTTATTGTAACTGTTGTATCAAGTGTACCGAAGAAGAATAATTTTAGATTGGAAAAGAATCTTTTCAGAATTAACTTGCAGATCTTGTAATATACATTGACGTAAGCAAAAGAGGCAAAACAAAGTAAGCAAAAATATAACTGTGGAAGAGTCGTATACCCGAGCTTGTCGTCAGCCTTGTCGACATCCTCAATGGCTAAGCTTGATCTGATAAATTTTATATCTGTACGAGACTTTTTTTGTAGGGACTTTAGGGACAAAGATAAATGAGAAGCAAAGAAAAAAGAGTCATGGCAGTAACCCACGTATTTATATAACGTATACATTGTTTTGAAGAGTAACCTTTGATATATTGTCATAGAAGTAACTCTCACGTTTTATGAGAAGAAATATCGACCAGAAATAATAAGTACGATTGTATGTTTTAGTTGGACGACTTGGTACTACGTAGAAGAATAGTTAACTAAATTGAAAGCGTTTCGATGATCTTATTTAGCCACAACAGTCGAATCTTCCAATTTGTTCAAATCACATTTTCTAATGCTTTGTTTACTATTTGTAATATTATATTTCTTTAGTCTTATGTTATTTGTTAATATTATAAAGTATGCTCTTATGATAGTGTACAGTAATGACTATCATATTAACAAGACACCTTTCGTGACATGACAGCCATTGTCTTGCTCTCGATGAGATATATAATCATGAAGGGGGAAACAGAAATATTCCTAACTTAACAACATAGCACAATATGTCTAAGAAAGCTTGTGAAATATGGGTGGGAGATGTTAGGGATTATAAAGCGGCTTTGAGACTTTCGCGTGAAGATGGCGAGAGAATCATCGTCTACGATTTTTTTGGTACTACCACGAGAAACTATCTCTTCTGGATCGATTTTGAAGATGAAAGACCTTACTGGCAACTCGTTGCGCGTGATGCTATTCTCGTTTGCTATAATATAATCTGTCAAGGTGGTGAATTTACAGAAATTAGCTTTCCTGGTCTTGTAGTTACTAGAAGACCTGATGAGTTACAAGATCTCCATGATTGATGTTCATGGAAGAATCTACCTCAAAGGATCTTATTAATTGAGTGACATAATTGGATCGGAATTATATACACCAAGTCCATAATGTGTTCAAGCAAGTGCTAGCTTCGTGCATCAAAGTCATATACAAGAATGTGCGAAATGGCTAAAGATTTGAATAGTCGGATTATGCAAATGAATGATATAAACGAAGCACATCAACAAAAACAAAAGACGACTCGAATAAAGATCAATGAAAATTGCATTCCATGAAGGAAATCTCGATACTTTTAAAACAAAGAACAAAGCGTATAGACGAGAAAAAGCTGGAAAATATCTACAGAGACTCAATAAGCAGGTTCTATAACACATAGTTCACTAACTAAGTTGCAGAATAAGCGAGTTATTTGACTCCACGAACCAATCTTGTTATATCAACAGTTAATATACTAGCTTTTATATTTTTAAATAGTGAAAAAATGTTTTACTTTCAATTAGCCATTGTATTTCTCTTGTTGTTTGGACTAATACTTGCTTGTCTACTTGTCTTAATTCAGGTAACGCTGTAGATTATATACTCTTTATTGTTATCATTGTTAAGCATTGCATCATAGCATGAAAACTTTGCAATTAACAAATACTAACAAAAGATTCCTAACTCATATTTGCGATACTTCGCACTACTGCGCAACTTTTCTATCGTGAGATAGCGCTCATTACGTAAAAGTCAAAGTTACAGTTGTTACTTCGAGGCTGTGCATATAAACAAAAAGGAAAATTCGCATTTTCCAATTCAGCTCTTAACTAATACTTCCTTTCAACTATTTTTCTTCTAGATTTTTTAAATACGTCCCTAATCAACTTGTAAGCATGTATTTAACGCGTGAAGGGTTACCTGAAGGATGGGTCGCCCAATGGGATTCTCAGTACAAGTGCTACTTTTACGTGAATGAAAAATCTGAAAATCCTACGCCTCAATGGGAATGTCCTGTTCAAGGATTAAATCTTCCTCCACCTTCTTCTTCTCCAAAGGAAACCCCTACTGGAGAGCGTGGATTGTTAGATAAACTCCGACCAAATCATCACAGCCAACCAACATATACCCAAAATAATAATCAGCATTCATCTTCTGGACTGTTTTCGAACCCTCTAGTTAACAAGGTAGGTGGCTTCGTGGCGGGTGGTTTGGCTGCTAAGGCTCTAGAAAGCGTTATGAAACACCATCATAGTGATGATCATCGCCCTCAGCAGGGTGCTGTTCCTTCGGCTGTTGGTAGTGGTAATGGTGCAAACTTCTTGTCTAATATGGAGCGACCCAACGACTCTCTTTCTGGGAAACCTAGTTCCGGCTTTGGCGCAGGAGGTCCTGCTAACTTTCAGGAAGGATTTGGCGGTCACGGCCATCATGGGCATCATGGTGGGTTTGGTGCTCCTGAAGGTCCTGGTGGATTCGGTGGTTCTGGTGGATTCGATGGTCCTGGTAGATTCGATGGTCCCGGTGGATTCAATAGTCCTGGTAGATTCGATAGTCCTGGTGGATTCGGTGGTCCTGGTGGATTCGATGGTCCCGGTGGATTCAATAGTTATGGAAATGATATGGGGCGTTTCGGCGGTCCCGGTGGTTTTGATGGAGGTCGTCGTTCTGATTGGTAATTTCATTCAAATATTATTATTGAAATGGATTCCTTGTCATCGGGAAACACGTTGGAAAAACCTTGCTTTTCCACTCTTACGCTATTATAGAATTTAAGTAATATATAGATGTACATATTCCAGTCTACGCATTTGAGCACCTCTATATTTGTGCTACTATTTTAATGCTATACTCAAATACACACCGCCAAGATTTTTGCATACGGCCTCCTTTTGAAAGAATTTATGAAACGTTTGATACCTTAAGTTGAATCACTAATTGCCTTGTTTTGTAATTTTGGAAACTTTACATGGTCTTACATGGTCTTTTGAAACTCGAACAAAGATCGTTCACTTGGTGATACGACAGAAGCAAACTTGATATCCTTTCATTTTGAAGCATTCTCATTCGAGTATTGGTTTGGTCTTGTGCTTTATTCATTCTTTTTTTTAAATATTATCGTAATGTTTATTTTATATTCTTCCTTATGTGTCAAGCGACTATTGTTGTGATTATGAACAATGTATGCTAACTTTTTTGAGGTGCTTATACATACACAGTTATCCCTACTGTCGAATCGTTTAAAGTCTTAGTAATGATCCTACAAGAATATAGACAAAATTCACCGTTGATGCTTTCGCTATACAATCCACCTATTTAAGATACTGAAAATTTTCCGTTTAATCAATCTGAGCGTTGCTGATGAACATCGTTTTTGGCAAAATGCACCAAATTAATTGAAAAACACTACTCATAATTTATTGGCATATTTTGCTTAAATAACTATTCCTTTTATACATTAGGATGCAATTAAAGTTTTGGCTTCTAGTTTGTGCAGCATTATGTGCTGGAGGTATTCTTGGCTGTTGTGCATTAAAATATCTCTTTTATATAGTATACTTAGATGGGTCTATCGCTATTGCAAAAATTGTGTACAGCCGACCTTTTGATACGAAAGGGTTTCTTCGCTAGTAACAAGATTCATCAAGACGATTATAGTGATTCTTTTTTTATGTTTGATCCTTCCGAATCTTTAGAGCAGCCAAGTTATGTATCCAGGTCTTGCTCTGTGCACTCGGACGTTCCGTACGTACCCCGTAACCCTTTTTCTTTGGATGAATATAGCAAGCAAGATTTTCATTTATATCACCATGTCAGTGATTTCAACAACGATGAAGGATTCAATTTATCGAATATTCTGAAGATTGATTCTTCGAAAGCCAATAGCTGCTTTTCCCTTGTCAAGCAATATCTAATCAATTATCGCTTGCTTCGCAAGCACATGCGAGCGTATTTCATTGACCCAGTACCAAGAACCTTCACACTTAGGTTCTACTTGGAAGCGAAAAATATAACTGTCCATGACGATCAGGCTGCAGTACACTCTAAAGAGCAGAACAAATGTTCACGAATATTGACATTGGTAATCAAGATGATGCAAAACGTTTGAGATACTCTCTTTTTGTAATGTCCATATTCACTGGCTGTTTTATAGTCTGGATGAAGGTTTGGCATCAGACGTCAAATCCCCTTTATTTTCACATTACCCTTTGGTTTTTTATGTACAACATAAATTCATTCATGAGATACCCATTTGACTTTATTTTGGAGTACTGGCAAGAAAGAATTGAGTTAATTACTTCTGTTTTGGTTGCTATAAGCATTCTCTTCCAGATATTTGGCAAAGTCTTGGAACGTTCATTATACCTAGCTTTACCTTCCTACGTAGGGAGGTTACCAAATTCCCTATTTGTAAAAACGAGATTTACATCTGCTTACGTTTTATTTGAAAGAGTATTTCCACTCGTTGCATATTCCTATTTTTTTGGAAGAGATTTTTTACCTATCTGGTTTTTACTGCAGATGATGGGTCGTTTGGTTCTTAATATGTATTGGATAATGGAGGCACTTTCTGGAATGATAGATTCAACTGTGAAAGTATCGACTGAAGGACGTCCTTTCCTCCCTTTTTATATAGTTTTTCTGTTATTTGAAATTACCGAAACTATCTTGACAGGCAAAATACCTTCGACTAATTTCGAATTATTCCGTTACTGTATGAATTCTCTGAGATTTCTTTGCTTTTCTTATATCTTTCGGAATGTCAGTTAGCAGAACTAAATGAATAGCAGTTCGCTTTGGATATACAGACAAAGGGTTTTGTTACTAATCAAAAGCTTATAATTTTCTTGTTTTCAATTCTCAACCACTCCCAAACTTAATAGAATGATGATAATTGCTTTGATCCATAACTAAAGAAGACTGATAATACTATATATACTGGATTGGAATGAATCTTCTGCATAACATTCATTTTGATAAAGGAGTGGTTAGGGCTAATGCAATTCTTATTGTTCGTATTCTATAACTACTACAACGTATCATGTTTTTAGTCTACAAAATCGAATAGATGCTCTGGTTTGTTACTTGCTGGGTAACAATTGACATCTGTTCTTTGATGTTGATGGAACGCATAAAGTAGTTATTAATAAGTTATAAAAGGAAAAAATAGCATTCATTAGAAAATTTATTTACGTCTTGATTAAATTTAACAAAATCTTGTCTTATATGAACTAATTACTGCTAGTACACGTTTCGAATTTTCTCTTCTGCTTTATTCATCACGAATATATACATGAAAGTTTCCTCAATGGACGAACCAACATCCTACTTTAATTTCTAGACTGAATGGTTCTTTGGAAAAATCCTTTGAGTATTTAAATGAAGAGCTGTAATCATACTAAATTGATTTCCTGAGTATATAGACTATTTGAGGCAACGGGAAACCAGCTTGAATTATAATGTCTTTATACTTTCCTATTGAAATTTAAATTACAGAAAAGTACTGATATTTGCATTAGAAGAATTTTTTTTCTTTTTTTTTTTAATACTGTAATAAACAACATGCAAAAAAAATACTTTTATCGGAACGAGCACCTATCACTTGATCAAGTTTATAAACTGGTTATTGAATTATTATTAAATAAAAAAAACAAGTATTTTTTTTCTACTGAATACCTTTTGGAAACGTAGAGTATAACAATTAAGTGAATGATATCTGACATGATACACCTGTTAAACAACATCGCTGAGTAGGAAAACAAAAATTTATAATAACCCAATGCTTTCTTAATAAAAGATTTCTTCTATGATAAAAGTAAAAAAGTAAAAAAACTCAACTATATTTTCTTGGTATACCTTTCAGTCTCTTTTGAAAACAAAGGATTCGTTGCAGATCTTTATGTTTCGTAAAACACTCCTTACATATTATCGTAGAACTTCTTAACCAACAAATACCCAAACTGACTGAGAAAAAAAGCAGAATGAAAGCCTTCCTTGTGTTTACCATATAAAAAAAGAAAATCGGTTTCTGTTTTTTGCCACGAAAAATCTGGCTGAATTAGACTATTCTACTTCCATGCCCGAGCGTTAATTCGGATCGGTTCTTTTTAGGTGACGTCAAGACAGCTTCGGTATTTATGTAAACAACAGAAACCTGCCCTTTGCCAAACTTGAGTGCAGCTTTTCCAGTGAAAGTTCCTAATCTTGTAGCTTTCTGAGAGGAATTGCGTGGGAAAAGACCTTGTTCAATATTATTTAAAACTTTTTTGCAATATACATAGCTCAGTTGCGACGCTTAAAGAAGAAAATAAGGGGAAATAATCGGTAACAACGTACGCGTAGATTGAACCACAGAGAGAGAACTTTTGAGTATTAAAAAAAAGATATTTAGGTAGGTCAATTTCCTTGTTTATGCTAAGTGAACCCTATTGTCTAAGATTTAATATTCTTCATTTCTGACAAATTTTGGATCTTGATATTGTTTGTTTTCAGTTGTTAGATATACAATCAGGGTCTGTGATTTTTTTAAAAAGTCAATTTCCCTTTCATCTTTTTTTTTTTTTTAAAAAAAAAAGCACTTTATTCAAAAAGATAGCAAGCCTCAAGTATTTTCTTGACTGTCTAGAAGGACGTTCTTCCTTTAGTGTTATTTACATCTTGGTCGTTTGATAAATGTTTAACTTTGGCAAACATTTGCGGATTCCTTCCCTATACAGGAATGCTCCTTCAGAGCAGACAGTTCAATTTGACGAAAACGAACACGTTTCTCGATTGCGCACGCTTTTGCATGGGTTCGATTTGATGTTAAATGACGACGTGTCTGGAACTGAAAATACATTTAAGGATGATTCAGTCGAAAGCTCAATTGGCAAAGCCGGTAACGCTTTCTATCAAGCCATTTTGGGGCTCGAACCAAAGGCTATCGAAGAAGCATTAACCAATATAACAGCGGCAGAACAACAAGCAGAAGGACGTCGTAAATTTATGGAGTATGGTAACTTCAAAGTAGGAAACTACCCGAGTGGGTATGAGTATCTAATTTGTATCTGCGATCTTTCTCTTATGCAATCCATTTTGGGCTTTGTTGTAGGATCTTTTGTTGATAATGTCAAATCTGCATATCGTCTTCGTAAGACATTTATTTCGTTTACGAAAATGATGGAGCATGTTCGGGAGATCCAGCAAAAGAAAAAAAATGGTGAAATCCAATCCTCAGATCCAAATGCTCAGTTCATAGACGAGTTTATTGAATCTAGTGTAATTACTGGATATGGAGTATTAACGTTTTTGATTTCGCTGTTGTCTCCTTCCATAATGAGAATCCTCTCTTTTTTTTCCTTTCATGGTGCTCGGAAGGAAGCCGTGCAATTACTATGGACAGCCACAGACTATTCCAATATCCAAGGAGCCGTCGCTCTGCTATGTCTTTATGCTTTCAACGCCATGGTCCAGAGTTCTGCAAGTATTCTACCATTAAATTACTCTGACGAATTGTTTCGTTGTCAACAAGCAATAGATAGCATACGGCAAAGATACTCCAAGGGAGCGATTTGGGCTGTTATGCAAGGAAAACTATATTTTTTAAGAGGTAATACTGAAAAAGCATTGGAGATGGAAGAGATGCATATCGATAATAGCATGGAGCAGATCATTGCCATGAAAGGTTTTGATGCTGCCATGCTTTTTGTAGGTATCCGAAGATTTAAGGATGCTACTCAAGCAATTTTAAATTTGGAAGACCTGAATTCTTGGTCTCACGCGTTTTACAGATTTTTTGCCGGCTGTTGTATGTTGCAGCACTCAAAGGAATTGAAGAAAAGTAACGGTAATAAGGAAGAGATGGAATCGTATTCGGCAAAAGCCGTTGAGTATTTGAAGCAAGCACCGACACTTGTTCAAAAGAAAAAGAAAAGGATTCTCCCTGTAGAGATGTACCTAATACGAAAAGTGCAAAAGTGGGAAAATAGGGCTGCTAGACTAAAGGTTAGTTTAGCTGATGCAATGGATATTCCTCCCTATATGGAGTTAATTTATATTTTCGTCACTTGGTGTTTGAATGATCCACAACTTTTACGCATACTTCGATCCGAACTTGAGCAATGTTACTGTACTGAAGAAGATGAAGCTGGTCTTCGAGAGTTCTTGTTAGCAGTCATTGAAAGGCACTTAAAGGAGTATGAGTCGTCTAGGACTCGGCTAAATCGCGTTATGAATATGGATAGAGAGTACCTTTCACAAGCTAATCGGGATTTCTGGATTCTTCCTAGTGCTCATTACGAAATGGCCGCATTAGAATGGGATATGCATGCTTTAAAAGCTGAACGAGAGATTAACCAACTCTTGAAAAAAGCACAGGAATACCACAATTATGATTTGGAAGGAAGATTATCCATGCTATCCCAAGCTGCTTTCCAGACAATACAATCTGAAAAGCAGTAAAAAGAAATGGAAATTGTTAGTGCGATGTAGGGTACATCAGTTCAGCCTTCTATTTAAAGCATCTGATTACTTTATGTCATCTGATTTTATTTCAAAAAAGGCAATTTTGATTTTTTTGATTTATTTAATAAAGTTAGTCTTTCTATTGATTTTTTGATGTTTTAATTAATTATTTATTGTTATGTATCGTCTACATTAGCTAGCCTTTGGCTTACAACGCGATAAATGATCGTCGTGATCCACTGATTCTTAATTAAACAAAAAATTGATCCTAATACTAATTTCTTTGAAGCTGTAAACGGATTACTCTAAATGTGAGAGGGCCGCAAAAGAAGTAAACAAACTGTGATCATTCATAACTTATGGGAATATCGTATTGAGAAAGGGATTATAAATAGTATAGTACGTTATGTTTCGTTATTTCAGGATCAATTTACAAAGTAGGGTAGGGCGTGATTTGTTGTTGTGACTGGTTTTTCGTTTGCACAAATTTGGAACCTGGGTTTCGCAGGTTTCATCCTCCACCACCTCAACACTCGTAGGAAGAAGTCATCATGGTTGTAAGTTGCTGTGCTGGAAGATGCCAGTAGGCTAACTTATAAACAGAAAAAAGCAGCAAAGGTTAGCAACAAGTACGTTATTGACGCCACTGCTGCCGTCAACGACAAGATCTTTGATATCTCCGCTTTTGAAAAGTACTTGATTGACCGCATCAAGGTCGATGGCAAGACTGGTAACTTGGGCTCTTCCGTCGTTGTTTCTCGTGAAGGCTCCAGCAAGGTTGCTGTCATTGCTCACATCGATTTCTCTGGCCGTTACTTGAAGTACTTGACCAAGAAGTTCTTGAAGAAGCACTCTGTAAGTTTTACTGATTTTATTTAGCTTTATTTAGACAAACAAGTAGCTAATAAGTGTGTAGCTCCGTGACTGGCTTCGTGTCGTTTCCACCAAGAAGGGTGTCTACGAGTTGCGCTACTACAACGTCGTTGTCGGTAACGACGAAGAGGAGCAATAAATTAAGAGCTAGAGATGGCTCGTTTTGTTTCATACAATGAAAAAATGGAATTGTAATTCCTGGGTTTAAACTGCGGTCTAATGAGTTGACATTTGTAAATTAATGAAGCACAGCTTTATATGCTTTCATCTCGTACGTAGTAAGAAGTTTGTATTTATGTAACTAGAAAAGCAAAACATTAGGCTGTATTATAATAGAGGGAAGGATGACAAAAAATTGGAGAAAGGGAAGGTAAGTAAGAAACATCTATAAATTTATAAAAGAAATAAGTTAGAAAAGAAACTGGTTGGTGAAGGATTAGAGGGTAGAGGATGTATCAAAAAGGCGTAGTAGAAAACAGACGGAGTGAGTCGATTCTAGATGATTATATGGGAAGGAAGGTTATGAAAAAAAGGAATAAGCTAAATTGAATTACCCAAAGGTATGGTTACCAACAATTCGTCTCATAGTAATACTGAAACGCTGAGTCCGAGGTATCCAGGTTTGCTTTGGCGGTGTTAGTTCATCTCGGGAAGACAATGGAACCCAATCTCCTCCTCGAAATGGTATTTCGTGGAGCCATTGGTATCGTGCTGGTCCATACATGATGACTAAACTTCCTTTTTGTAATCGTACATCACATTTGAGTTTTTGAGATGGTAAAGTAAACACCATAGTTATGTCTGAAAAGAAAGAGTATATAGCGACACCGTCGGCAAACATGTCCAAATCCTTGTGAGGAATAATTCCGTCGCCTGGATTGTAGACTTGAATGATAGAGGCTTCAGCAGGTTGATCCTTCCAAACGTTGGATAGAAACTCTGATGGTAGATATTTGTTTAGACTTTGCATTGGCTCTGGGAAAGGAACATACAGATGAAGTTGTCTTCCGGAGTTCATATCTGAAAATAGGCTATCAGGCAAAGCATTCGCAATTTGATTCTGCAGGTCTGGGGGAAGACGATTAGGGTAGTAAGACAAGCCTGGAATAGATTCGATAGGTACTTGGGTCCATGAACTAGCTTCGTTTTCTATCGAAACTTGATCAGCTTCTTGTAAAGCTCGGTCAAACTCGTTTTCTTCTTCGCATGAATCATCAAAAAGTTCTGAATCAAAAGTAGTGTCTCCCATACTACAAAAGGAAAATTAGAAAGCTATAAAGGATTTCGTTTATATTGTATTTGCGTTCCGGGTTTTTTTCGTCCTTGATATTTTGCATCCAGGTTGAATCTTCAAAAATATATGTGAAAAACTTGGTTGTTCAAAGATGATGTGACATTGAAGCTGTTCATTCGACGAAGAATTTAGGCAAAGGAAATAAGTAAAATGTTACAAAAAGAACAACTGGAAAAAAGAGAGAGAGAGAGAGAGAGAGAGAGAGAGAGACTTTTCTCAAGGAGCAGACAACGAAATTGAAGAAAGAAAGATTTCAGCAAATTTTGATTACCAAATTACATGGTTTTCGTGATGAGCTTGTTATTTTGTTGAAAAAAGAACATGGTTGAAATCAAGTTTTCTACATCTTTAAACAGCTTAATCTTCATTAAAATACTGTAGTTTGAAATTTACAAACGCTCTACGAATAAATGAACAAACTTTTGTTTTTTAAGCTTGTGAAGGATTGTTATTGTTTATGTAAACAATGTCTGGTTTCATAGTAAATTTCGTAAAACAAGTAAGAATCATGAAAGAAGCCTGCTTTTCGATCTTTATTTCTTTTTCATATCATTCAAAGACTTATACGAAAGGTGCTGTACTTGGGAAAACTTGTATATGTCAGTTTTGTCTTTTGTTTACAATCATTTAAAGGGAAATATCATTGTTTCATAGCCAAACAGGACGAAAGGAAACTAGCAATGTTCATTGTTTCCAAATAAGAAAAAGCCGTATTTCCTTCTTTTCCTACACATTGTCAGTGCATTCTACATCTACTGATCACTCATCAAACCACACCATTTTGAGTAGTAAGATTGAAGAAAATTTTCTGCTTCTATATACATAAATACTCTAAAATCATATTATTTTAAAAGAAAGCACTTCTATAGGTTTTGTATCGATTACATACACATATTACCAGAAACTTCCTACCATACGCAGAACACTAATTTAGGCATTCTTGGACGGAAATGAAAATTGTACCCCTACGACCTATCTAATTTGCCGAAAACGAAAATAATAAGACATTTACAAGATGATTTGGTTCTGGATAACTATGATGATTATAATTGTGGGTATTGCCTCTGTGGTAGACTTTTCTACTGAGAGTAGAAGCAAGCTGTTAAAAGATCACGTTCTCTTTGTATTCGCGCATCCTGATGATGAAAGTATGTTTTTTGGACCTACTCTGGAATATCTCAGCCAACATCCTAATGTGCAAGTGCATCTCTTATGTTTGTCAAACGGTAAGTAGCAAACTCGCCATTCCAAAAGCAATATCTGACTTTTTTAGGGAACGCAGATGGCCTTGGATGGATTCGACAATCTGAACTTGTCAAAGCGGCTTCCCTATTTCATATTCCAAAACACAACATTCAAATTATCTCTGACAAAAAGCTACGAGACGGCATGTATGAACGTTGGGACCCCGTTGTGATTGGCAAACACATTTACAATTACATGACGGAAAAGAACATTAAGCTTGTATGTTGATTGCTATGCTATATCTTGGGCGCTGTAAACAAAACTAACCTAACCCCCATTAGGCGATTACGTTTGACAAAGATGGTATTTCGGGTCATCCGAATCATAAAGCTTGCTTTTATGGTGCACTGTAAGTACTAAAATAATCAAGACTCAGCACTGTCCACACATTTTACCCAATATATATACTTACTATATGTACACTTTCATGCACACGCTAACCCAGAATCAGGAATGCTGCCAAGATGGTCGTCGATATGCAACTCTATACTTTAAAATCTGTCGGGTTTTTGCAAAAGTACTTGTACTGGCTAGACTGTTGTCGAATGGTTCTTGGTCAATTTATATATAGCAAGCAAAAGTACTTGGCGATTGAAGCCAAGAAGCAATCGGTAAAGACAATACGCAAAGCCATGATTGAGGGCCATCAAAGCCAAATGGTTTGGTTTCGCTACGCATGGATTAACCTATCTCGCTACATGTTTTTAAACGAACTTGAAGAAGTCCAAACTTGAGCAAGAGAATTCCCTCATATCCCATTCCAATCCCTTGCTCTTGCGAGTTTACTTTCCAAACCGCTGCAAATAAATGTTATGTATTCTGAAAGTCAGGAAAATCTAAGCTGAAACATTTCAATTCTGTATGTGACAATACGCACTTTTTATTACCAAAGGGTCTATTATTACAAAGCAAATCCAACTAAAGCAACCATTATTATTGAATATTTTTTAAGAGTGACAGAATCTGACTATTCAGTTATAATTATAATTCTAATATAATATAATATAATTTATCTTTCTAAGTTCACAGCTTTTATCTGCCACTCATAAGATATGCGACATAGAATAGGGCATTCATTGTCTACTCAGATACCGTTGTAGTCTTTAATTTGTGCCTTCATCGACATGTCTCCAGCAACGAAATGAATCATCAGCGTAGTCAATTAAAATATGCCCTTTTGCACTATGTTTGCATTTTCTGACTCCCTCAGCTCATTTCTCCCTCGACAAGAAGCTCTCATCCTGGTAGAAAAGTGCTCAGTTCATCAAAAACATAACCCAGATCTTCAAAGATACATGCGTGCTTAAGAAGAATTGACATGACTGAGACAACTCATTTATTTATAATTTTCGAATGGTCACAAAAGTAGGGTAGGGTTTTCCATTGACCCGTTCACCATAGTTGACTACGACCAAAACGACAGAAAAGTGTAAACAAACCAGCAATTGTCATGTCAAAGTCAAAAGTAGGAGAGGATGTTTATAAAAAAGTAGAGAAAGTCGTATGTCTTAAAAGCCCTACGAATTACCGGTGGTAACTGATCAAAACAGAATGCTGAACTATTCGTGTTAACATATGGCTCTATCGTCGCTCAATTATGTCGAGACATGAACTATGAATATGTAAACGAGGAATTAGAAAAAATGTAGGATTGATCTCTCCTGCATGTGAAGGCTAACTTTGTTGATAAGGGGGTACAATATTGGAATCCGACTTATTGAAGATTTCTTGGCTAGAACTGAATGGCACCGATGCGTAGATTTTCGGGAGACTGCTGAAACAGTTGCTAAGGTCGGATTTAAAATGTTCTTGAATGTGACACCTATGATAACAGACTGGTCGGAAGACGACCAGACATTCACGCTGACTCTTGACGACAATCCTTTAGCAGAGTTTGTAGAATTGCCAGTGGAAGCTCGTTCGCAATTATGGTACTCTAACATTTTATGTGGAGTCATTCGTGGTGCTCTTGAAATGGTAAGGAAGTAAACAACCCTGTATATTTCAAACAGCAGGCATTTATTGTTATTTATTTTTTTTCCTTTATTATCTGAAAACTAACAAAGAAAGGTGCAAATGGATGTTGAGGCTTATTTCATTCGTGATATTTTACGGGGAGACGAGCACACCGATATGAAGGTTCATTTGAAACAAATTTTGAAGGAAGAAATTCCTGCCGGAGATGATTAATTGCTGAAGGAATATGTTTTCTATTGACGATTAATGAACAACTGTTTGATTAGTGATATTTTCGCTTTTTCCCTCTTTACGCTCTCTCTCTGTCTCTACCTTTTCAGTGATGAGTTCCATTCCCGTTTTCTTTGAACCTTTCATGCTGTCAATGGTATGGTATACATGGTGGTATGCCTAAGGAAATACCTCAATTGTGATCAACAATGAAGATGTCCTCCCAAACCCAAATGAATCCTGTTTACAATGGTTTCTGTGTAAACAATGTTAGATGTTAATGGCTACTTTTGTACTGTGATACTTATGTATCTCTTTTAAAACCCTTTTCTCGTCTATTTCACTCATGGACAACGTATACGTCCATGAATAAGTATAGAAAGAGTATCTCCAAACTTTTCGTACATAGTAACTTCCTGGCTTTAACTATTGCTACAAGAGTAACCTCTTATACCGTTTCTGAAAGTCACCATTATTTATTAGTTCGACTTCTAAACTTTTCTTTTAAAATAAATAGTATAGCATCATCAAAGCTACAATATCATCGTATTCATTTTTGATTAATTCTTTTCATCTGACAAAATTTACCGAGCTCTAACAAGCACGCTGATGTATTTACAGCATTCCAAGAATATTTAGCGAACGCTCCCACATAAGAAGCAAAGACAGTAGAAACCACCTTTTCTTTACATCTCGATTTCTTGAGGAAATCATGAATTTTGCATCAATCTTTCATCGCTCGACTTCATATTTTCGCCCAATGCAATTGCGTGGGTATGCACAAACTGCAACTGGGATCTCTAGACGCCTAATACAAGATTCACCAGAAGCAGCGCATGCGCGACGCCATTTGCTGGCAAGACCAGGAGTAATTTTAATCAAGAAAGGAATGACTAGTGCATGGGACAATGATACAGGAAAGTGGATCCCATTGACGATTTTACAATTTAATCGTGTTCAAGCTATGTCCAGCCGAACCAAGGAGAAACACGGTTATTATGCAGTACAGATTGGTGCCGGAATCCGAAAGCCTCATGCACTTACAAAAGCTAATCAGGGCCAATTCTTTACAAGTGGTGTATACCCTAAGATGCACATAAAAGAATTCCAAGTTCGTGATGAATCGGGACTCATCCCCTCCGGCACTGTGTTTAATGCGGATTATTTTCAGCCAAAACAATATGTCGATATTAAGGGAGTTACGAAAGGAAAAGGATTCGCTGGTGTCATGAAAAGATGGGGGTTTGCTGGAGGAAACGCTTCTCATGGTGCTTCCTTGTCACACCGTACCCCGGGTTCAACAGGTCAAAACACGACCCCGGGTCGTGTTCTCCCAGGTCATAAAATGGCAGGCCATATGGGTCACAAAAACTCAACGGTCCAACATGCTTTAATCTGGGATGTAGATCTAGATCTTAATTGCATTCTAGTTCGCGGTGCTGTTCCTGGACCCAATAAGAGCCCTGTCTATGTTTACGATACGCGCAAAAATTAAGCAGTTGCTTCTCACTAGTAATATTTATCTTCGTATTTTTGTTTATATTTTTGTCCCTCAAAATCCATTAGAACAACTCTAACCTTGAATGGCGGTCTAATTTTGCCTTTTTTCATTCTTTTCTTTCCCCTTTAGCTCATTTTCCAGATACCGCCTTTCTAATTTCAATGATCTTTTCTTTTTGTTCCTGTGGTAACACACTAATTTGTTCATCTGTTAACGCCATTAGCTGTGCTATTAAAGCAGCTTTCGTAGCTTCCTCATCTTGCGTAGCAGTAGTAGTACTCTGACTCGTAGTATTTGATGCTGGAATGGAAGGACTTCGTGCAGCTGCTGCAGGAGCCGATGCAGTCATGGGCCGTATACCGTTTCCAACTGCAGTAGGAGGATATGTACCGGTAGTGGCAGGATAAGCATAACCGCGCATTGGAGACAAAGGAACAGAGGCTGGCGTAGAACCTCTAGAAGTTATTGCTGGTCCTGTCGGCATTCCGACATACGGGCTGGGCTGTTTAACATAAGGTCCCATGTACGAAGAGTAAGGTCTTGTCACAGGTTCCGATGATCGAGGAGGTACTGAACCATAAGGGGAACCAGACACAGGAGCCATTAAAGGACTAGCAAAATTGCGAGCGGCCATATCTGTTGGAGGTGGACCAGCGCTGGCAGGAGGCACTAACAAATCACCAATTGTCGATTCAGGAACGTACTGTTTCATAACCATGGATTGAAACACGGCATAACTAAGCTGAGGATTAGCTGCCAGTAACTGTTCTGCTTGAGCAGGGACTTCTAAACATAAGGCCTTGACAGCAGACAACATATAGTCTAATTCATTAGGAGCTAATTGGGTTAAGGTACGATAGATCGCTTCATTACCGAAAATTGCCGTAGAATGAGATGGCGTTCCTCTATAGTAATTGGGAGCTGGTGGGTAAGCAGGATAAGCATAATTTGGGTTGGCAGGCGAGTAAGCATTATAGGGAGGATTATAGCCATAAGAAGGCATGGAATAAGGTTGTGCGTATTGTCCATATGAAGGAGGACCAATTAGTTTGTCTAGTCGGCGTATTTGGTCTGCTGTCGGAAAGTCAACGCGTAATCGTCTAGCACCTGCATCGTAGTTGTTTAAATTCCGTACTGCCGAAGCAGTCGTGGCAGTGTCATGATATTCGCAAAAGCCATAACCTTTAGGTTGTCCAGATTCTGGGTCAATGACAAGATGAAAAGACTTTACAGGACCACTTTGTCTGAAGATATCAGTGACTTGTTCTTCGGACATCTCATATGGAATATTACCCACTATTCATTAAAAGAAGTTAGTAAAGCCCAAAAAAGCTAATAAAACCTACCGTAAACCACACATGATGGATTCATGGTATGAGTGGTAGAGCGTAAGGATTCTGTTAGTGCCCAAGAGGTAATGTGTATGGATCCTATGATTAGCAGTATAGAATGAGTATGTCTATAAATAAAATAACGAATTATGTATAATTAAGTTATAAGTAATCTAACCAAGGAACGCTTGATTTGGAATTGACCTGGTATTTTATGGACAATCGAACCGCTCAATGCCCAATACAGGAAAAACAGACAAGAAGACCCATTTTAGGAAGTTTGTCTAAAGTATATGAAATAAGTTTGTAGGTATCGTTACGAACCTCGAGCCAAATGAGCATATATACTGACTTTGATGATCTAACACTACAATTTCTTACGCAAGCCATGTCATATCCTTTGAGTACCTGTTTGAAAATTCTACTTTCATATGTAGACGCCAGCTGCTTCTCGTTTCGCTGGTAGAAAAGTTACAAAGGGTTTACTTTTTTCCCTCGGTAGCTAAATCAAATACTTCCATTAGGGTACCCAATATTTATTTCAATAGCTGTTTAAAAATACTTCTACTAGATATCGATATCCTCGCCTACGAATGCACCCACACTACGTCCTCATACAGAAATAAAATGAAGGTATATCAAATTCAATTTTTTAGAGAAAGAAGCTAGACTGGTAACAGGAAACAAAATGCTTAGTCGAACAAACCGAAGCCCATGTCCTCATCAGATTCTTCTTCTACCTTAGCTTCCTCCTTCTTTTCTTCGGCAGGAGCTTCACCAGCAGCGGCAGGGGCACCACCGGCAGCAACGGGAGCAGCACCGGCACCAGAGCCAATGTTCAAGAGGAGTTCCTTAAGGTCCTTGCCTTCAAGAGCCTTAGCGAAAATGGAAGCCCAGATAGGCTCGACTTCGACATTGGCAGCCTTGGTCAAAGACAAGAGCTTGTCAGACTAAACAACAAAGTTAGTATGTTATCAAGCCAAAATAGATAAAGATGCGCTAGAACTACTTTGCTAAAGTGAAACTTTGAGCTCGCGAACGCTACTTGCTTGCTAGCTTCCGAGGAAAAAAGTACTTACAGTGATTTCAATACCCTCGTCAGCCAAAATGAGAGCTGAATAACTAGTAGCAAGTTCAGAGGCAGACATTTTGACCAGTGCTGTTCTCTTGTTGTATGTGCAACGCGAGCGTTTCTCTCCGTTCGAGTGTCTAGTTTCGACCTTGTGACTACCTTCCTTACAACCCTACCCTATATACTAAAGAATAACGAGGCTTATATAACTATGCTAATAAAGAAACGCGTCTACGCGTCTTATTTAAACATAGACTGGATTTTTCTTCTCCATAACCAATACCCAGAAGGCATATTTTATTGAAGGAACAGTTTGCGCAAGTGCGTTATTTAAACGTTCCTTTACTTGTTTTTACTAAATTTGATTTCAATTGAGTTGAAGTAACGGAATAAAGGGAGAATGGGTGATACAGAAGTAGAAGTGCGTCTCAATGAACCCAAAGATGCAAATGACGGAAATTCTGCTGCTCCTGCTAACGCGACTGAATACAATTATGATGTGAACGTTGAAGCTGAAGAAGAAGGAGTTGCGGGTCCCATGCCTCTTCAAATGCTTGAAGGAAATGGGATTACGTCTACTGATATTAAAAAGATTCATGAAGCGGGTTACTATACTGTGGAATCCATTGCTTACACTCCTAAGCGACAATTGCTTTTGATTAAGGGAATTTCAGAAGCCAAGGCCGACAAGCTGTTAGGCGAAGCTAGTAAGCTTGTTCCCATGGGCTTTACAACAGCAACTGAATACCATATTCGAAGAAGCGAGCTAATTACCATCACGAGCGGATCCAAGCAATTAGACACCCTCTTACAAGGAGGGGTTGAAACAGGTAGCATCACTGAATTGTTCGGTGAATTCCGTACTGGTAAAAGTCAAATTTGTCATACATTAGCTGTAACTTGCCAATTGCCAATTGATATGGGTGGTGGAGAAGGAAAGTGTTTGTATATTGATACAGAGGGCACTTTTCGTCCTGTCCGTCTTTTGGCTGTTGCTGATCGATACGGTTTGAATGGCGAAGAAGTTTTGGACAATGTCGCTTATGCTCGTGCTTACAACGCTGATCATCAGCTTGAATTATTACAACAAGCCGCCAACATGATGTCTGAATCACGGTTTTCACTGCTTGTTATAGACAGTTGTACTGCTCTATACCGTACCGACTTCTCTGGTCGTGGTGAGTTGTCTGCTCGTCAAATGCATCTTGCTCGCTTCATGCGCACACTTCAACGATTAGCAGACGAGTATGGAATTGCGGTTGTTATTACCAATCAAGTGGTAGCTCAAGTGGACGGCATTTCCTTCAACCCCGATCCCAAAAAACCTATCGGTGGTAATATTCTCGCGCATTCAAGTACGACTCGTCTTTCTTTGCGAAAGGGACGTGGTGAACAAAGAATTTGCAAAATTTATGACAGTCCATGCCTTCCTGAAAGTGAAGCCATTTTTGCCATTAATTCAGATGGTGTTGGTGATCCAAAAGAAATCCTTGCTCCTATTTAGAGGATGATAAACTCCCTTTTGAAATGTGCTATTTCAATAATCCTTTGATTACTCACTGGCAGTACCATCGACGGGCTGAAATTTGTCATTCCTTAACGCCTTTGTGCGTTCACATCAGATGCAGTCTGTCTGTCGGAGCATGATACGAGTTAAACCCAATAAGTATGCTATATCTTTTTGTTTGTATCGATACGAGACGAAAGAAACGCAGTTAGGGTCTTAGCTCATTTCCTATTTATATTATTATGCTAATTTACCCTGTTTATACCATGAATTCTCGTTTAAGGTTTTATTATTTAATTTATTTTCAAAAATTGGTTATGGAGGATATTTATACAATGGGTCATTTTTTCCCAAATACACATCTAATCAATTGCGATTGAGCTACCGATCTTTTCAATATCGTCTGTCTACTCTTTTAATGTTTGGAAAAGTTCAAGGACTCCTGTTCTGTTAACAAAATGTTTGTATACAGTGCTTACCTGACTTACAACCTTTGGATAATAAAAAGCATGATATTCATTGTCTCTCTTTTATTCTTTAATTTGATATCTTCAATGAAATGAACGTATAGAAAAATAATATATATATTTATATACATATATAAATATAAATCTAATTCTGTGTAAGTATAAAGGCTTCTTAATGATAGGAATAATGATGCTGGGGCTAACCTCCGTAAAACCAATTTCCTACTGCAGCTTAGCTTGCATCTGTAGAGTTAGCTCTTCATAAAATCTCTAGCTAAATTGAAAGATGACGGATTTAAATAAGCCTAACGTAGAAATCGAACAAGATGAAACGGAGAATTTACTTCGTATGGATCCAGTTCGCTCCAGTTTCGACGTTGAAACAAGGCCAGTAGAACCGGACACTTTTGCAGGAGAATCTGTTGTTGAAACTAGATACACCGGTGGTGATACATTAGATGAACCTATTCGAGTTACTTTGCTTAACGAATTTCGAGCAATTGGCGAAAAACTGATTTACATCCTGTATCCCAAGAACGCCCAAGTGCTAAGAGATTGGGATTTGTGGGGTCCTTTAATATTTTCTCTTGTTATTTCGTTGTGCCTTTCTTTACCTGCATCAAGCTCAGATCGAGAGTCTATTTTTACGGTAGTCTTTGCCCTCATTTGGTTTGGTGAAGCTGTTTGTTCTCTAAATATCAAGCTTTTAGGCGCCAACATTAGCATTTTCCAGTCTATTTGTATCCTTGGCTACTCTTCATTCCCTCTCGTAATTTCATCGGTTGTTTGTGCTTTTATTGATCGACTTTATATTCGCATACCTGTTAATGTAGCTATGTATGCGTGGGCTACTTTTGCATCTTTGGGTGTCTTACAAAACTCCAATCTTACCAACAAAAAGTTTTTAGCAGCTTATCCTCTCTTTTTATTTTACTTCTCCTTGTCTTGGATCATCTTTTTATAAGTTGGATCCATTTATCTATCCCTCTTTGAATGGTTTTTCTACTACTAATTTATGATTTTATATACATTAATATGCATTCTAATTGGAACATATTCATCATGCTATCTAATCTGTGTCCATCATAAATTCTAATCAAGTTTAATGACTTTGAATCCGCAATGCGTACTCTTGTTGAGCGTAAGTATTAATCTGCGAAATGAGTCTCACTTCTCTTTCCAAAACGTTCAAACGATGAGGAACATTTTCCTGCTCCTGCTTCCGAAGCATTTCATAACACGCAAGATTCCTTTTCTCTGTCTCCAAGGCTTGGTGCGCATGGGATATCTTTGAAAGTAAAAAGCTAGACCTCTCTAACAGATTCTGTAGACGTTCCCCAACTGCATTTTCCAATTTATTACAGGAAACAGCATCTTGCGCGAGAATTTTGTGAATTATAGATGTGTAGATCTTTTCAGCAGATTGAACATCTTCGTCATCTTCCTCATAAACAATTAATCCTGGCAATAAATTTGATGTGTTATGAATAGAGTCGTGAATTTCCAAGAAGTCTTTATCAAATGCATTCTTTTCTAACCTGTTTTGTTCTGATTCCATTTCCTGTAATACCATTGTTTTACACTTGTCCAATTCAGCATTAGATAATTCTTTCACTGGCTTAGCTTTTTCTCTCATTCTAATGCTGCTCGTAGGATGACTAATACCATCTGATGCAACGAGTGCAAACAATTCTTGAAACACAAGGCCTTCCGCAGGCGAGTCACTTTTGCACGCCCGTTTCCATGAAGATGGTTGAATCAAGTTGGGTCTAGGAAGGCCTTTCTGTATGACTTGCGATTGGCGCTCTTGAGCTAATCGATTCATATATGTCAAGTGTTCCTGAAGCCGACGTTCACGATCAGCAGCATCTTCTTCAAACTCTTCCTGCGGCAACTGTTCCTTTTCGTCAGCGAATCTAGGTTCCATTAATTCATAGTCGTCTCTGGGCTTTGGTAATTTGGCAAAAAGACTCATAATTGTCTTTGTTCTAATTTTTTTTGCTTTTGTATCTGCAATAGCCTGAGCATTTTGAGTAGCTTTGTTGATCGCAAACGTATCACGTGGTGTGCGATAGGGAGTAGCTTGACTGTAAGGCAATCCATCAACAGCTCTAGTAACAGATTGAGCGGGATGTTCAGGCTCAACACCAGCAAATCCGGTGCCTCCAGACTGTAACGGAGTGTTTTCCTCCCCTAACAATGATGACTGTTCTCGATTTTTTAATAGTTGGTTTCTCGCTTCAATCAAGAGTGCATCTTCTTTTCCTTCTAAAGCACCACTTCGGGGAGTACGTAGCTGCGTCGTTCGTTCGAGTTGAGAGTAATTACCTACCAACCCAGTACTATGGCCTGCTGCTGGTGTCGTATCAGTCATGGAACGAGCGCGGTCACCAGCGAATCCTAATTTGACAACCTTATCTAGCTCATTTTCACTGACCTGTGGTGCTGGTAAATTTAATTTCCGTCTTTTGCTCATTTGCTCGGCTTCTGCTAAACGTCTCATTTTCTCATCATGAGCATCATTGTTGGGTCGTTTCACTTTCTCAACAGGTTTCGGCCTTTCAAAATGGCCGCGATCATTTAAGCTTTCTTTACTCTTCTGGCCACGTTCAATCAGCTTACGATTTTCATTTTGCCTTTCTCGCAAATTTCTATGCTCCTCTTCAGAAGTATCGTAAAATCCGATTGCAGGCTTCTTCTCAAACGGGATCGAAGCATTGTAATCCATTTCATTTTTCCTTCTTCGAAATAGTTTTATGCTATAAAATGGGTTAGTTGAGTTACTTCATAATCTTAGAATAATTTCTTACTTTACACCAGCAGCTTTTAGTTCGCGGCGCTTTTGCAATTGAGAAAGCCGTTTTGTAAGTTCCAATTGCTTTTCACGATCCTTACGCTTGGCCTTTTTTCCTTGTGTATTTGCAAGACGAGCACGAGCTTCACTCAGCATTTCCTTTTCATCTTCATCCATATCAATAGCATCTGGTAGGGCCGGCAGCGTTTCCAAATTGGGCTCAGCGTCTCCAAAGCGAAGTCGAGAATTTGGATCATTCACAGGAGGAGCAGCTTCTGCACCCTCTCCTGTAGTAAGTCCAAGCTGTTCATTTTCCCGAGCTTCTAAATCATCTAAAAGTTTCTGATATCTTTCTAGACACTGAGTAGCAGTACGACCGACAATGGGAGCGATCGTTCGCCATTGTGTTGGCAACAGCTTTGCCAAGTGCAACAGTTTTTCGTCTTCTTCACGGCTCCATTCTGTCTAAATTTACATAAACGTTAGTATCTATTTGTTTTTGAAACTTCTATACACCCCTATTAAGGGAAGGACTTCTTCACATCCAAAGAAGGGGAGCATAGAAAGGAGAAAAGCGCTACCTTTTTTATACTAGGATCAATCCATTCATACCAGCGAGCCTTACACTGCTTGGGTGTTTTGCGAACCAACAAAGAGCTGATTCGAGCCCACTGGTTTTTTCCGTATTTACTAACTGCCGCCTAAAAATAGTTAGTATATGCACGAAAGAAGGGTAAAAATGAGCTAGCTCTCTTACCTTTAAAATCTCATCCTGTTTGCCAATTCGTTAGTAATTTCCTCAGTGAATAAAGTAATCTTTCTGTATACCTCTGTGTTTTTCCAGGCACCTGAAGCGTTAGCAAACATATTTGTTAAATAAAAATCACATACCTCCTTTAAACATTCTGAATTTCTCAATACAAGCAGGGAAAATGCAAGAAGTAGAACGAGGTGTCTTGGTTCAAACAAATCGTCGACGCGAGTTCTAGTACGAAATAAAACCCCCAATATCCTCAAAAAAATGTAATAAAATTAAAATAATAAGAGTACTAAAAGTAAAAGAAACCTGTTTTTGTTGCAATTGTAAGACTCGTGTCGTCTGTTTTCATTTTGGCCCTTCCTTCTGCATTTAAGCAGCTGTGTTACTTTACGTTAGCTACGTTTAGCTACTATGCTTACATTGCGTTTATATACATAATGGATTGGTTTCGGCTACGCAAACCTTAAAGCAATGAGCTCATGCTTCGCCAATTCTTTTTATTTGTAGATGTCAGTTGCAGAAGTGTAAGAGAACTGATGAACTCTTATTAAAACATAGAAGATAAAGATCTTCTTTTTATAGTAAATTTTTGAAAAAAATCGCTAATCTTGTGTCTTAGTTAAAATTTCTAAGACAAAAGAATGCCTTTTTTTTTCACTGTAAATACCCTGCTTAGTAGGAGCGCAAACGCAATTGTGGTTCCGAATACGGAAAGACACGGTTTCAAAAAAAAACTTTATACTCAAAGCTTCATATGAGAGAAAAAGTAAAAAATTATAGAATTAAATACCTGAATTATTTTTTGCTGTAGACCACTATTGTTACCAAGCTTGTTTATTTACTTACTTCATCAAGCCTTTATGAAGTTACCAACTACCACCATTTTCTCTCGTACGATAACATTGTGGAATTCTTTAAGGGTATTGTATCAAGAGACCCCGTTATAATCAAAAGGAGTTTACTAAAACCAAGAATTTGAAGGTAATCGTTCTTACAACCCTGTCTTTGTCGTAGGATAACCGTTTCCGCCGTTCGGACCCATTTCAGTTGTCGTTAGTATAGATTGATTACATAAACGAAGTTTTTCTTACTTTATTTGATCTGTATTAAGAGAAATCTAAAAAGTGAAAACGACGACAGCTATACTTTTTTTGTTGAATTCCATTTCTAATAATTTTCTGTTTCTTTTCTCTCCCGCTTTCTAAGATGAAACTCTTTGGTGCTATTTGCTTACTTTCTTGTTTCCCGTATTTAATTTCGGCTAGCTCTTGGTTCTCAACATCGAAAGTCAACCCCATCGATGAGGATTTGACGATTCAGAGTGGTAAGATCCCAGGGGCTAATCCCGCCAGTTACTGCTCTGACTGGAATCGTGATGATGATCATGTCAATATTGATTACATCAATCTCATTCCAAACCCTCCGCGAGCCGGCAAGAATCTTACAATTGAAGGCCAAGTAGACGTTGGTACGACGGTCCTTAATGGAAGCTATGTCGATATTGTTGTCAAATATGGTTTTGTCCCTATCGTGAGAGAGACCTTGGATATCTGCGAACAAGCATACGACTTAGCTGGTGTCGAGTGTCCAGTAGAAGCTGGTGTCATAAAAAAACAAGCTACTATCCCCTTACCATGGGCCATTCCTCCAGGACGCTATAATGTTGTCGCCAAGGCTTTTAATGCCAATGATGAACAGCTTACGTGTGTTACAGCTACCGTCTCCTTTAGTCATTTTGGCTTTCAGTTAGTTGATCAGGATTAATCGCACTATGCTTCTATGAGTTGTTCTTAAGTTATCAACACCCTCTCGGGCTTTATGATTCTTAATGCTCTAATGTATCGTTCGTCTTTATGTTTGTTTTCCATTTATTGGTTATATATATACTTGTGAATGTTTGCACACAAATGTTCTAACACTTTTTTCAGTATTTAATTTTAATTGTCACCTCACTTGTTATGATTCGTGATTTCTTGTAGTTTACGTGTCCAGATTATGAAACGCTTGGTGAACGATCTAATTTATTTTTCGTTCCATTTTCTCAAAAAGCTCTATTTTTTATTAATCAGCGAAAGATAATGCAATATCACCAAAATTTTATTAAACGAGACCTCTGTTTTTAGAAAAATAAATAATTTTCACTTTCCCAAATCTAATGGCTAGTTAGGTACAACGAAAGAGGTAGAATAAATCTTATATGCTTCCGAAATAGTTCTGAACGAATGTCTATAACAGTAGAATACCGTATATCTATGGTTAAATAGGATACTCAAAGCTTATTAGTCACCATTAATAGTTCCAAAATGTTCGCATCATTAGCATTATATTCGAAAAAGTACAAATCAATAAACGCGAAGCTATGGAGAAAAGTAAAAAAAAAAAGAACAGTAAATATAGTATCCATTTATTAAGATGACATTTTAAGGGTTTAATAGGAGACAAATAATGGTATCAACGATGATGAACAGTAGAAGAAGAGTCGCGATCATGATCCGCACCATGATTAGCACTGTCCAAGGGATTATCTGCCTTTTCAACATCCAAACTGTTTTCAGGTTGGGACTTAGGTATTCCAAACTTTTCAGGTTCTACAGCAATTGGTCTTGACTCAGCAGGACTTTTAGAATCTTCATCTTTCCCTGGATACATAAGATCGTTCACGAGGAATGCACGAATCATCATATACATTAGGATGAGCCACATAATACATAGAATAACACAAATAATGTGACCAAATAGAGTGAAAGCCTTGGAATTAATCATTTGACCAATTCGAACAGTACAAAGAACAAAACCAACGTTTGGGAAAATCATCGCAAACCAAGTGTTGCTGAATTTCATGGGTTGATGACTAAATAAACCAGCGACAAAACTTACCATAGCGAAACAGTAAGTCCAAGCACCTAAGCCCCAGATGAAGAGGGCCAAGAAGGTGCTCGTAAATGCAAAATATTCGGAGGAATTAGCACTTGCAAAGATATTAGGACGGGTAGCAATGGCACCACGAGCCATGTTAATTAATGCCAAACCTGTGAACCCCGCAGGACCTACAAGAATAAACATACCAGGGCGTTCTGCTGGTTTTGCGAAACCGATGGTGAAGAAACGAAGTATAAGAATAGAATAAACCAAAAGGTATACCCAGAAACCGAGACCTTGGAACATGATACCGAGAATCACCATGTTTTTTAGTTGAGCGGACGGTTGACTGCTAACAACAGACCCAGAAACAACACCAGTAATCATACATGGGAAAATTGGAAGTACCCAAGTAGGAGCAGCACCTTCTAAAGTGTACACATGGTCTCTAAAAATGGTGTAGTAAGCAAAGGTACCGTAAAGAAAGGTAACAGCGAGATAAATATAAAAGAAAATTCGAATCACCCATATCATCCATTCTCCCGTATTCGGCATAGCATAGACAGCAAACATGTCGATAAACGAAGAAAAGGACAGTAGACAAGTAGCTATAAAAAATTTTTCCTGAAAGTGTTTCCAAGAGCCTAAAAAAGTGCCAGGATACTTAACGAACCGAACGATCATGCAGCAGCTAAATAAGGCCAAGAGGAAGATATCGAAGATATATACAATTTTACCAATAGTATCTAATCCACGAAATCGGAAGGGAAATGTTCCTATGACTAAACCAATACCACCCGTTGCCATTGTGCAAGCAAACCAACTCCAAGTGAAATGCTTGATACGTTGGGAAAGAGGGACATGAGGGCTTTTAACCTGCCAATCGAGGAGTTCATGATAACGTTGCCTAAGCATTCCCTTGACATCAGCCATAATGAAACAAGGTCTATAACATGTTAGCAGGTGCTCTTCACCATCATTCATTCATCCCCAAAATTATCGCAGGGCAAACACAAATATTTGACCGCTTAACCAACCTTCTCAGAAACCAATTCCAGAGGATTCAGCGTAAGAGAAAAGAAAATAAAAAAGGTAAAGAAAAAAATTCAATAATTTCACGCACTTATAATATACTACTTAATATTATCCATATTATATTATAACTGTCCCTTCTTTTCTCTATAGGTTGGTATAGCACATGTCCCCACTTTGCTACTCTTCGATATAGCGAAACTTACCAAACAACACAAATAAATGTATGGTATCAGTATAACGTAATGAAACGAACCCAGACGTACTTTCGCTTAAATTGCCACAGTCAAATAAGTTTGATTTGCGTATATGTCTTCATATAACCAAAGGAATTTCAACGTCGGAAAAAAAAGAGAATAACAAACTTGAATAAGTATTCTTTTTTAAGGGATAAAGGGTTTTCCAACGTAATTTAATTCCTTGTTTTGTTTGGCTAAAAAGAAGTGGTTCGTAATGGGAACATGCTATTACTATATATGTAAAGACTTTTATTTGTTGGAATACGTTTTCATGCATTATACTGTATAGTGAGAGGTGTTAATTAGCCGATCGTTAGTAAACAAACCAAGCAAATCTTATCTTTCTAAAAAAATGCAATATTCAAGAGCTGGGAATTGGCTGGAGAATATAAACGGTAAAGCTTGTGATTTAATATGTAAATAATGTAGGACGAGACGAGAAATTCATATCGAAATGTCCATACTTGGTTTTTCTTCGAAGGAATTGAACGGTGGCTAGGTAAAATAAAAATATAACAAGGTTCTTAACAGGTATCAAACCATTCGAAAAGAACTTACAGGTTCTACAAATCTTGTAGTTTTTTATTTATTCACTTCTTTTTTATGTATTGTAGTTATGAGGAACACCAAAGTAATTTAAGACGAAATTAAAAAAGAACTCCCAAGGCGAGACTCGAACTCGCAACCTTCTGATGACCTTTCTTAAGAGTCAGACGCTCTAAACCGATTGAGCTACCCGGGACTTGCTGTTATAAGCAATATTAAATATTAAATAGAGGAAAATGCCTTAATAGGATTGACAACAGAACTTTGTAATATCGGCGATTTGATATTCTTCCTTTTTTATTTTCAATTGAAACAATTAAATTCATTAGTAAAAAGAATATTAAAATGTCTCCATAGGGACATACAGCTTTCTGAACGAACGTTGATATTCAGGAAACGTGTCTTGTGAAAAGCATAACCATCCCATAGATATTTAGCCTTTCATTACTTTTACTATATTGACTCATTGAAGAGCAAGAATCCGACGATTCTCAAGGTTTATTTAGAAGACGTATGCTGTTTAAGAAATGAAGTTTAGCGCTCTCAAGTATTTTGAGAGTTTTTCCTTTTTCCTTTATTTTTACTTTTTTTTGTTTCTTCTCTCTTCTCCTATTGGAACAAGTATTATTACTTTAATATTGTCCTCCTCTCATACTTGCTTCCCTTCACTTTTAGTTCCTAGATTCCCTTTTTCTGCGTTCCAATACTGTTTCGTGTCTCTGAATCAAAAAAGTAAAGAATTCCTCTTTTTCATAACTATTGACTGAAACTTAATTACAAATACTCGCAAAAACTCATCATGAACCAATTGGCATCTTCTGCCACCAACCATCCAGAAACCGCTAATGGCCTTCAAAACATTCTATCGGGGAATTCCTTTTTTAGTGCAGGAATAGGATTGATGGGCTTTGGAGCAGGTTTGGCCCTTTTACGACGTGGGGTTGTTTCTGGTGCAGGCCTCATTAAACGAAGAATGCTGGTTTCTGTAGAGATTCCAAGCAAAGAAAAAAGTTATAATGCTTTCCTTCATTGGATGGGTACGGTTCCTAAGCGCTACTCAAATCAGCTTGCCGTAGAAGCAAGAGGAAGTGCCAAAAGTATTTTCCATCCTCCCACTCGTTCATCTGACAAAGTGAACCCCAGTAGTCTCTTCCAGCTCGTTCCTGGTCCTGGAAAGCACTTTATCAAATACAAGAAATGCTGGATCCAAGTGGAACGTCAGCGCAGTAGCCGTCTACAAGATTTAACAACCGGAACTCCATGGGAAACCATCACGCTTACGACGTTGTCTAGAGATCGAGAAATCTTTTCTGATATGCTCTTGGAAGCTCAAAAGTACATGCATACCGCTCAGAAAAACAAAACAATAATCTACACAGCATGGGCTACAGACTGGAAGCCATTTGGGTTGCCAAGATCCAAGCGTCTTTTGTCTAGCGTTGTTTTAGAAAAAGAAGTTAAAGATTTAATTACAGAAGACGTTCGTGACTTTCTAGGTAACTATCAATGGTATGCTGATCGAGGAATACCCTACCGACGTGGATACCTACTGTATGGTCCCCCTGGAAGTGGAAAAACCTCCTTCCTATACGCTTTGGCTGGTGAACTGGATTATGACATTTGCGTCTTGAATCTTGCTGAACGAGGCTTGAGTGATGACAGATTAAATCACTTACTTTCTAATGTTCCTCCAAAGTCAGTTGTTCTTTTAGAGGATGTTGATTCTGCCTTCCAAGGAAGAGATCGTTCTGGCGAAATTGGATTTCGCGCCAATGTTACATTTAGTGGTCTTTTAAATGCCATTGATGGCGTAACTTCTGCAGATGAACGAATAATCTTTATGACAACAAATCATCCCGAAATATTAGATCCTGCTTTGATTCGTCCTGGCCGTGTCGATATCAAAGCATATTTGGGCAATGCCACTCCTCAACAGGTGCACGATATGTTTCAAAGGTTCTACGGGAAGGATGATCCCAAGATTTCGAAAGAACTGAGTGACATTGTATGTTCAAAGAACACGAGTATGGCGTCTCTGCAGGGCCTTTTCGTTATGAATAAAGCATCACCAGAAGCGGCACTTGAACTTGCAAAAGAGCTTCCCCAGCTTCCAAAAAGTGCTCCGTATGCATTTAGTTCTCATAAAAAACCTCTTTCCGTTTAAAATTTGAATGACCTGTTTTTGAAGACCAAAATTACACACTACTTCCTACTTTATACTCTCGACTGGATCAAGAGTTATCTCGTAAAAAAAAAATTCCTATACATTCTTCTATAGAACAGTATTAATAAAGATTTGTAGTTACTTGGTAGTAATCAACTTTATAAGTCGTAATCTCCATTCTTGTAAAAATTATTAGAAAATAATACTTGATTGAAACTACATAATTTTTAGCTTACATAGTCTTTGTTTATAAAATAAAAAAATAAAGCATAAGTAAACCGCGGTTGAAACCAGAATGCTTAAAGTTCCATAGTTCAGTGACTCTTTTACCCACATATTACCAACTTCTAAAATGGTAAAAAACTTGTTGCTAGACATTGAAGGAACAGTCGGAAGTATTTCATTTGTTAAAGAAAACTTGGTATGAAACTGATCAGAAGCAAGGTTACTAATAAAATGGTTGACTTAGTTTAGTTATGCGGAAAAGCGTTACAAGGATTATGTTGAACAAAACTATAACAGTGATGAACATTTACAAGCTTTAGGAAATTCTCCAGAGTCTGCATTGAGTAACATTCAGAAATTACATGCAGAAGGAAGCAAACAGCTCCATTTCAAGCATGTTCAGGGCAGCATCTGGAAAGATGGCTATCAGAAAAATGAACTTGTTTCTCACTTATTTCCAGATGTCATTCCTGCCATTGAGCGTGCCTTGCAGTCCGGAGCCAAAGTCTATATATATTCTAGTGGAAGTGTTCCTGCACAAAAAATGTATTTTGCCCATACAGCTTCTGGAAACATCTTGTCCTTTTTTTCTGGTTTCTATGATACAAATGTCGGATTGAAGACCGAAAGCTCTAGCTATAAGAAGATCATTGGAGACTCGAATCCTCGCGAATGGTTGTTTTTGAGTGACAATATCAAAGGTATGTCAACTTCATTTGGTGTTTATGTGCCATTCTCCCTCTTTTTTCAATTATTATTTTTTTGCGTGTAGAAATACTAATGTATGTAGAGTTACAGGCTGCTCAAAAAACTGGTCTTCACGTCGGCTTAGTTGTTCGACCAGGGAACGATATTGTCTCGGAAAATGACGGCATTCCTGTATACCATTCTTTCGACTACCTGTTTACAGAATGAGCTTTTGAGTTATTATTACTGTAAAGATGGTGTTCTCGTCCAATTATGAATTAAGTTGCAAATGAACTGTCTCCATCACAAACGCTACAAAAATCCCAATCCGACATGTGGAGAAGTGTTAAAAGTATGCTTTCATTTACGAATTACAGCAAGCAACCTGAAAATGGAATCATTTACAACTTTTTTTTGGAGGTTGTCATGAAGTATGAAACTCATTTCCTATGTCTACCAGCAACTATGAATATGCATTTCAAAGACTTTTTGTTCATGCAATGTCTTAACCAAGGTGTCCTTCCAAAGAGTTTCTACATTAAACCCGCCAAACTATCCCAATTCGTAGCAATATCTAACGAAATAGTAAATAAATATAAATCAATACTCGTAGATTCTTTTCTCTTTTCTTATTTACACGGTTTTGTCCCCCTCAATAAAAATAATGGTACCTCTTTACTATGATATACTCACCTCCAACTTTCAGGTGGCTATTGCTTCCCCCGTAATAGTTCAACGTTGGAAATCAATTGTATATCAAAATTTATTTTGTTTATAGGAAACATTGAAGTCTCTCCTATCAATCTCACAACCCAAAAATGTCAGTGATTCGTTCTTGTTTGGAATCGGTCCGTTCGCAAGTTCAACAATGTGCAAACGGAAGAAATGTAAGTATATAAACGTGCAGACTATCTCCATTCATTGTCCTTTGGATATGTTACACAAATGGGAGTTCCGGATACTTGAAGTAGGAATGTCCCGTTCGGATACATGAAGACAATGTGTGGAAATCTCATACTTTCAACATTCGTTAAGGACAATTAAAGTAATATGATAAATAAAAACAAGGAATTGGGTGGGTCATTAGACTGAAAAGTCATCGCGTATTTCCTTCATGGGTATATGTCTTGCGAATGATATATGTACTCTATAGCACAGACCGGTAGTTATTTTATTTGAGGCTATTCTGAAAATAATGATCTACTCATGTTCCTTTTTCGCTTTCATCCGTCCTCTTGTTTTTGTTCCTTTTCGGCTTCCCTACTTGGGTTAAGCTAATAAGAGTATTGAAAGGATGAGGCAAGCTGTCACCTAAAATAGTTGGGTTTTTGCTTCAGGGAAGAAACTAACCAGGAGACTAGGTTAACCTCGTAGCTGTTAGCAAGTTCCACCCCGTAGAACAACTGATGGAAGCTTATGAAGCAGGACAGCGACATTTTGGCGAGAATTACATGCAAGAGTTTTTAGCCAAGGCTGAGTTGGTAAGTGATTACAGAACATGTGAGATCCAGAAAAATTTCATTTACAATGAATCCACAATTAACTCTCGTTTGTTAGATGCCTAAAGATGTGCATTGGCATTTCATCGGCAACATGCAAAGCCAAAAATGTAAAAAGATTGCATCCGTAAAAAATTTGTACGCAATTGAAACTATCGATAACGAAAAGAAGGCTCGTTTAGTGAATCAAGCCCGTGAAGCAATTCAAACTCCCTTACGAATATATGTTCAAATAAACACCAGCGGAGAACCGAACAAGGCTGGCGTGATGCCTTCTGAGGCTTTGGAATTGTGTAAGGTCGTTCAAAGCTTAGAGTATCTCCGCCTTCAGGGTTTGATGACGATCGGTTCAATCTCCAATTCGCAATTACAAGATCAAAATCCAGACTTTCAACTGTTGTCGGATCTTCGTCTTAAACTTCAAAAGGAACTTAATTCTCCTCTCGAGTTATCGATGGGCATGAGTTCAGATTTTCCGTTGGCCATTAAATACGGCAGCGATTCTGTTCGTGTAGGCAGCTCAATCTTTGGCAGCCGACCCACGGAAAAGCCTGAGTCTGTTGTATCTTCCAAATAATTTTTGTTTGCTTATTTGTTCTTACAAAGGAAAAATTCTTGGGCTTTTAGGAACGAATTGCGATTACGTTTGCTATGAATTGGTTTTAGACTTGTACAATGGATTGCTTGACTCTTCTAAAGTAATCAAACTAACACGCCTTTCAATAAAATATCTTATTTGAGTTTTCTTGTGTATTCTAAAACTGTTTTTAAAGACTAGTCTGACTGCTTGTCCATAAATAGTCCACAGCATTCTCTAACTACGTATCCATTCTTTTCTTTTAATTTTTTTCACTTTTCCTTTATTCTGTTCCTGTAAAATAATACAGCTGGCATAGTATTATTTATCAATAGAGTCTACCACTTTGACATAACCTCCCAATAACCCAAGAGCATTCACAATGTCGAGCATGGAAGAAGATCAGTTTAGCGAGGAGTCTATAGCTGATGAGAGCCAAAAAATTGAACAGATTTTAGAGATTGAGTCAAAAATCCCAGATATTCTTTCGCATGCCGGGAATTGCATTGATGCGATTGAAACAAAAGAATCCATTGAAGAATTCAACAAAAGTGCAAAGTCATTCTTTCAAACGTTGGAATACGTGTCTACAGGCCTTAGAAAACAAGTGTTGGATCTTGAAAAAGCAGAGGTTCCATTGGCATCTCTTCAGCCAAGAAAGCATTATGTGACAGAACCTCTTACTGGAATGGTTTTTGACGAAGTAAATCGATTGTTATGAGCATTCACTGATGAAAAACGAATTTATTTAGTGGATACAAGAAATCTCTAGACAAACATGGATTTACGCGGCAGAAAGGTATTCTTTTCCTATAATAATAGATTTAATGATAGGCATTTTTATATTCTTAGGTTGAAATAAAGAGAAAGTATATAATATATGCTCGGACGAAGAAACCAAAAATGCAAAAATAGTCATGACAGCTTATAGGTCGTTTCAGGAAAATAAGAAAATAAAAGGACGTTTGCAAAAGCGAGGGTCGTTAAACAATCAATCTCATACTACTGTAAAGGTTCTGCACTTTCGCAGAGTCGATTAAGCTGAATATAGGCATCGGTGCCATATCCTTCCATCGACACAACTTTCAGATCGCCTCCGAAATAACGAGTATATAGACGAGCGAGAGGAAGGCCAAATCCGAAGCCCTATAGGGGAAAGGTTAGTAAACTTATTTGTAAAGAAATAGCGTCAGTGAACATACAGCCATAGGTGGAAGGGATGAAGCAGCAGTCATAGTATCCGTGTAGTCATCATTTAGTGATTCATGAGCGGTTGTGTACATGTAAGACCAAACCAAAGAAGATTCTTTCCTAGAAAAGCCGCCTCCTTGATCGGAAATGCGAATCGTGATGTCCTCTTCGCCTTTAACAACCAATACCTTGACTGGAGGATATGAATCTGCATCAACACCGTAAAATTCAACGGTTGCACGCAAACTATTTTTTAAAAGTTCGAAAATGACATGATTCAAATGAGATTCAGCGTACATCATATGGAGGGAAGGATCACAGTTGATTTCTACGGGCGGTGCTTCAAACAAACAATAAGAGAGTCGGCAAATAAACTTTGCACTTTCCGTAGCCTCTTCAATAATTCGGAGTATGTTAGCGCGAGTACTTATGATGCCGACATGGTTTTCTCTTGGAGGTTCAGTGACCAGGGCAATGTATTGGCCTAAAAGCATTCGGATTCCAATTCGAGACATGTAAAATCGATCTAAAAACACCTGAATGCTATGATCAATTTGCTTGGTTTGACGGCGATACTCTTGAATGTCTAACGCGAGCTCAGAAGCAACATTGTCATGGCGTGTCCGAATGGTATCTAGTAAGTGACTGAAGTTGATGTTGAATCTGTGCAATGACTCAGGCCACTCGTATTCCTCACCTGAACATGGTTTGGAAAAATCAATATTAAAATACCTTCCCCTCGAAGAGTCCAAGTGAGTATCCAGAAGAGAAGGATTATGCTGCACAAAATTATGAAAAAAACTGGCTCTCCACTTGGGGGCTTTTGGATAATGCTTGTGACTGGGAAGACATTTTGGTAACTCAATTCCCTTCAAATCAATGATTTCCTGTGGCAATTAGAAAAACTTGAAATCAACCTCAAGTGACATACCTCCATAGATCTTGCATAAGCAGCTTTAACTGCTAAAATTCGTTTCATATTACGGAGCAAAGGCGGCAGCTTTTGTAAATCCTGTATGCGATGGGCAAGCCGAATGGGAAGCTCATCACGCAAAAACAAGCCAGAGCGAAACAATCTTCCTGGAGTTCGATCCTTACCTATTTGGAGGAACGTAGTCCTCCGTTTGTGTTAGTAAAATGCAGTGACTCTTCCGATCCCAAAGTGACCTGGGGATGCAAACAACATCATAATTGGAAACCAGCTTTTCATCACCTCGTAAAAACATACCAAAGTAAACAATCTGCTTAAGAGAAAGGCCTGTTTGAGGAAACTGCGCCAATAAATTCACCTTTTCTTGCAATGATTTTCCCACAACAGACATGATTGTTCAATTTCTCAGTGTTGTTTACAGTTTTAAATCCGGTTGAGTTGGTTTCACCTGCAATTTGGTCTTAAGCGAATGTAAACAATGGGTCCTCATTGGGCTATAGAGTACCAAATTCCGCGAATCTCAGCAAATGCGATTTGCTTTTTAACGGTAAAACTCTTAGGATGTGCAATCCCTCGTCTTTTCCCTTTCTAAAAGAATTCTGCTTGGTAAATGTCAAAATCCAAGGTCCATCCGGAGTCCCAGATAAGGATTCGTCGATTTTCCTCGCTATCGTTAATAAATAAACATGCAAGAGCTCAGGAAGGAATCCCGTAGACGACTATGAAAGTGAGCTTGAGAGAATGACTGTCAGCTACTATTTAGCCATTAAATACTTTTCTACTACAACTTTAGAAGCGTTTATTGATCGTCATTAAATTCTTGACTACCATGCTGAGAAATAGGAACTAATCAAGCGAAAAAGGTTCCTACGCCGCTGCTGGATCCTTCTCCTTGTAAAGAGAAAGACAGAGAAAGACGCAAGAAACTCGCTTCTCAGCATCTCTCATCTTTTTCATTGTAACTTTTTCCTTTCATTGGCAAAACACCCCTCTGAAATGCACCAACTTGAGCACGTCTTTTCCAGTGCTATTATTTCTTACACCAAAACTCTATTATATTCACTAGTCTCCACTTCTTATCTATGCCATTTCCGGTGGCTGGCCAACTCAATTGCAACCTTCAATAGCTTTGGACAATGGTATTCTTTACTCAAAAAGAATGGGATCAAATATCAACAGAGTCGGGGTCCGGATAGGTCGGCACCTCCAACAAAAAAGGTATATATATGGGCTTTTGAAAGAATAATTCTTCATCCAAAACCTGATTTGGTTACTTTTCATTTCACTGTTTTTTGCTATACTCTCCTTCATTCTTACTTCTTCAATATGGACGCTATGAACAACACTCCTGCCACTTCCAACTCTTCTTCTCTTGTCAACAACGCTCCTTCCAAGCCTACTGTCACTACTAGCGGCGCTTATTGGTACCAACCCAAACCTCCTGCAATGTGGTATGTTGAATTTACCTTTGCCTAATGGAAGCGTCAAATGGATATGTATACTAACATACTTTTCTTTAGTGTCATTGCTTAAGTTTGCTTAAACAACTTTTTTGTCTACGCAGTTATTTTACTTGAACTCGTTCTAGCTTTTTGATACCATTCTTATTTTTTTTGAGCTGCCTTTAATGAACACTTAAGGCCTATATTTAATTTTTTATAATAAGAATCTGCTTTTTGAACAGTCCAACTGAATCACGTTAGTGTTCCTCTTAAAATACATGAATAACCAGCCCAATAGTAACAACAATCATCTCAAAATAGTAACTAAATTGATCTACGACACCTTCATTGAAAGAACACACTAATAAAAGGCAATGATATGTGGTTTCAATAGTCACTTATCCAGGATAAAGCAAAAATTGGAACTACTTCGTATACGACATATGCAACAACTCAAACTCTTCCATGCGACACACGTATCATTAGCTACATACTTACATACTTACAATAGAAACAGAAACTCATACACAGACACCAAATATTTATTGATTGACAAACCACACTTTAAGCAATATCTCTCTTGAGAGTACCCATGAATTGCTTGGCTTCGGCAGGGGTTTGGAAGCGGCCATGGCCAAACTTGGAAGCAGTGTCAATCCATTTGAGGTTGATGGGCTCCAAAGCCTTACGGGAAGTATGGGTGATGAGAGACTTACGGATAGTCATAATACGCTTAACGGGACCAGGAGTAGCACCGTTCAACATGATATAGTCGTTGTTGACACTACCATAGCGAACGAATCCACCCATAGGAGTGATACGCTTCTCAGTGGCATCAAAGTCAGTAGAAGCGTTCTTGTCGTCTTCACCAGCACCAATGCGATAGATCTTGGAGTTCAATTGGGTACGGTGCATGTAACCAGCGTTACCGGCACGGGGAACAGTCCATTGGACGTTAGCAGGGTGCCAAGCACCGATACAAGCAACCTTACGAAGACCACGATGAGTCTTACGAGGAAGGTGCTTAGTACCCCAACGGCCAGTGGTACCCTCGGCACCCTTACCACGAGTGACACCAACGATATCGACCATTTCGTTTTGCTCAAAGGTAGACTTGACGTCGACGGTCTTTTCGAAGTGTTCACGGGCCCACTCAACCTTGTCAGCAACGGAACCACCGTTAATTTGAATTTCCATAAGGTGAGCCTTCTTTTGGGCAAGAGGTGTCTTACGGATTTGAGTGTGAGCAAGGACACGGACAACAGAGCAGTACTTCTTGATACGCTCGAGCTCACGAGAAACGGATTGAGTGTTCTCGGAGTACTTCTTGGCATACTTAGTGAAAGCCTTCTTCTTGCTCTTGAACCAGTTCTTGTAGAAGCGACGCTTGACTTCTTCAGACAAGTGCTCAGCCCAAACAGTAGTGAGAGAGCGGAGACCACGAGGAGTCTCAACATAACCAACAACACCAACAACCACCATGGGAGGAGTCTCGATAACAGTAACAGCCTCAAGGATTTCACGCTTGTGCATCTTGGAGCCAGGACGGTCAAGGTCACGGACAATGTGAGTCATACCGGCCTTGTAACCAAGGAAGGCAGTCAAGTGAACAGGCTTGGAGGAATCATCCTTGGGGAAAGCCTTCACCTTACCGCGAACGCGGGAAGCACGCTTACGGGGCAAAAAGCCAAGGGAACCGAGACGAGGATGCTCGTATTTACAGTGAGACATGGTGGTACCTTGGTGAGGATATTCTGTAAAGGACACTTTTACGACATTAAGAAATTTGTCGGCACAAATTTGTGACTGGTTTTTTTACCGCGTTGAAATGCGCTGTATTGCATGTTTTCAAACCTTTATAACGAAGTAAAACGTGGCATAACGAAATGCAATGAGATTGTATAGTCAATACTTTTTAGTTGAGATTTGTAGAATATTCGTTTGAAAGTTTCTTTTTTATGTGAAACATTATTTGATATGGAATATCTCAAAACGATTAATTCATCCGATCTACTGTTGTTGTATTGATGGCACACGGACAACATTAAGACTTACAATTCTTTTCACTATTACATAAAAGTCGTACACAAAAAATAAAATCAGGACCACGGTTCTGTTTTTAGAACCTTTTTTCTATTAGATTTCAATTAGAATTGTTTCCCTTTTCAAATTTCCAAAAAACCATATTAAACCCAACCGAAATGTACCCAGCGTATGAATAAACAAAATAAGCCAATGGTAATCTAAAGACAAAGACCAACGGAATAGGACACAATAGAAAATAGACTGTAAGCATCAGCTATTTAATAACCTTTTGGTTTTTTCTGTTTCTTGCTTCGGTTTTTCGAGAATGTCTTTCTAGCTTGCTGTGATTTCTTAGAAGAACTCGTGCCATCAGCCTCTTCCATATCCTCGTCAAAGTCATCACGTACACGCTTATTGCTAAACTTCAACTTATTATTTAATCCTCGTTGGAAGCTTGCTTCGCCAGAAACTGCTTCCATGTATTGCCGATTAACTTCAGCATGCTCTTTTGCACCAATTAATCCTTCATTTCCATCAGATTCTGGTTCAGACTCATCAAACAACAAAAGGCCTTCCTCATTCGACTTAAATGAAGAGCTAGGAGCCGCTGGCTTGCGATTCGTCTGTTTTGAGGGATCAGTAGACGAAATCTTGGAGATGGCTTCCATATCCAACAAATCCAAAGGTTCATCTTCATCATCTTCTTTAACATACGATTTCTCCATTCTAGCATTATTGGTATCTTCCATAGATTCGTCCATATCTTCTTCCTCATCTTCACTTTCCGTATCGTAAACGGCTTGCTCATAAGCGGAAGCAAAACTCTTACGAGGCACGGCTGCTACAGGCTTCTCTTCGCGTTTCTGGCCGCGTTTACGGAGGTTTCGCTCTTGTGTCTTCCGTATATTTGAGATAAGCTTCTTGTCATTAATTGGGACATATGGTTCTACGGCTGCAACTCCAAATTTTCGAACCATTTTTTCCAATATATGCTTAACCTTGGCACGAAAATGACCTTTGCTCTCATGAGACCATGCTAATAGATTGGGGATGAGCTCAGGAAGAAGTGGCTTAACAAAATCTGGAGGCAAAGTAGAGCTAGCAATCTTTGTAAAGTCAATAGCTGCCTTTGCAATTTCTCTATTTGCAGATTTCATGAATAAGTTCATAGTATTCATCAACTCAAGCAAAAATTGTTGAGTGATATAGGATTTGTATTCAAGCACCACACTTGAAATTGCAATAATAGCAGCACTAATCATGTGGGTGGATGAACCTGCTAAACCAGCACTAATGACTGAAAGGAACTTCTCCACTCTTACAGGTGTAGATTCCCCAAAAAGGTTGGATTCTACCGCAGAGGCAGCGATAGTCATCAGAAGTTGGAAGGCAGCAGAACGAGCCCTTTCGTTAACTTCCCTGGTTGCAATGATTGCTTCCGGTAATACCCTGGGAATAACGCTGTTAAGCTCATCAGATTGAATCTTGAAGAGCTCTGTTAAACTAACCAAGCGATCCTTACGGGTGGATGAAACGACCCGATTAGAGACACTAAAAAGTAACTCAAAGACCTTAACCATATTTTGAGCTGCAAATTCTCTACCAAACTCTGTACGTAACATAGCAGACAACAGCTTGTAAGCCTTTTTCTGGATTGCTGTATCCTGGTGATTTAAAAATTCTTGAACATAATTAAACAATGCAGGACAGTATTCCTGGTTCAAAAATTGGGATAAAACAACAAGCAAGTCCATCAAAGAATAAGCCATAGGTGTAGCACTACTATCACCCGAAATTTTATAAGAGCCAGCTAATTCGTCCAAGCTGTTAGGAAGAAGATCCGTAATCTTTTTATAAACAGAAGAAACGGTATCGGGTGGAGAGATGGAGAGCCACGTTTGAATACATTTTAAAATAGGGTAACGGTATTGAGAAGAAGTAGAGGAAAAAACATTCAATAAAACAGAGAGAAAGTTGGAAGCAATACTGCCCAAATATTGCAGGTTCTGAGAAGCTTCCTGAGCATCTAACGGTGCAGGAACGGCAACCTGAAGAGGAATATTGTTTGCGACTTTATGGTTTGTTTCAACCAATAAGGTTAAGCTATTGCAGATTACTGATCGCAAGCTAACTTGTTCATATAAAACATTCACAAGGATACCGGCAAAATCATTAGTGAAGGCTTGCTGTAAGTCAACTGGAAGATAGCAATAACCAGGTAGCAATGTCCAAATTTGATCAACAAGGGTTTGGTATAGCTTTGCAGGAACGCTGTCAAGATCATCCATATCCAACACCTTTTGATAAAGGGACCCACTGAGAGGTATAAAGTAGCTACTAAAATGTGAAAGGTTTGTAAATAGTGTGTTGTCACGCAAGACTGGAAGGAGCCAAGCCCGCCCAACAGCGTTGGCAGTCTGCATTTCCAAGTTTAGAGGAAGAACACGCAAAACAGTTTCAGGTCCAAGGACGCGGACAAAAGAACCAATTACCTCATCTGCTAGAACCTTCCCGTCAAATGTCTCAGCACCACGAATGTAATCGATAAGTTTTAAAGCTGGAATCAAAACAGGATCAGAAGCTTTTCCAAGAGTTTCGCATAACCGAGATATAATTTGAAAACACTCGGGATAAGCAAAACGATAGTGAACACTTTTTAGAGCATCACATAGATGATTACATAATTGGGATGCAATGGGAAGAGATTCTGATGTACCGTCTAAACAACTAATTATGGTGCATAATGTAGTAGCGGCTTCTAAACGCACTTCCACAGAATCCGACTCAAGCAAAGTGAAGACGCGAGAGAATCTAGCGACACAGTCCGATACAGCTTCAGCCTTGGAAAGTTCATTAAGAGACTCAACGGCACTGTTCATGGCCTTCAACCATGGGACCAAAAGTTGAGAATCATACTCAGAGGGTTGAAGTTTTTGAAGAGTGGTGAGGGCCAATCGCAATCCTTCGAAATTTGTAGTATCAGAAAACTTCTTGCAGAGACCTTCATATATTTGAAAAACAAGGTGAATAGACTGAGTACTGCGTTGTTCAATGATTTGAGTGCAAACGTTGCATAATTTCATAAGGTATGCGGAGGGCCAGGGGGCAGACAAGCAGATTGTGCGAACAAGGAGAAGGCCATGATTAAGGCGTTGAATTTCTGCGGGAGTCTTTGACTTTTTAGCCACGGAAAGAGCTTCCAATAAACGTAATGGTTCACTAGTAACATACTTCATGGCGGGGTGTTCGAAAACAGGACCCGGAGGTGGTGATTTCAAAACCTTGGAAATAACTTGCAATGCGCGAGTTCTAGGCTTTTCAGCTGTTGATAAAGCAAAAAAGAGAAGAATATAAATTGCAGTTTTGCAAGAATCACCCTTGATCCAAGAACTATAGTCTTGAGCAACTAAAAGTCGTTCAATGACATTCAAATAATGTACAAAAAAGGCCTTGTTAGACTCCTCTCTGTTCACGATAGGAACAAGAACCGACATGATGTGCGGCAGTTTAGCCTGTAAAACATTAGGAGCCACGTGTTTTACAATTACTTCCAGTAATTGGAACGTCTGAATCCGCATACTCCTGTTTAAGTCATTGATTTCTTTAATGAGTGCCAGTAAAGCAATCAAATACGCGGTTGGTGAGGCATTCGTTTTTTGCTCCTCCAGCGAGCTTTCAATTGCGCTCACCAGAATGTCAAACTCATTGATATCTCCCTTGGAGGGAAGAGTTCGGAGCTTACGGAGATCATTCTCTAAGGACCCATGAACTTGAATCATTGAGGATAAAGAATCCCTAAGAAATACCTGGGTTTTGTGCTGAAGGTAAAATCAAACTCGCCTTTCCCTAGAAAGAATCCTTTTTACTGATATGCGTGTAAAAGCGCAGTATTCTACATACCGTATCGTACCGTTGAACGGTAAGCTAGGTAGCAGGTGTGCAGAATCGATACTTGGAGTTTGTATTTATAAACAGTAACATAACTGAAAAACAATATGAATTCGATTTATGACACGTTAGTAATTCTCACGGTTTATAAGAATAAACATCGAATGGAAAAATAACCAAGGTTGTAGAGTTGTATACGTGAAACGGACCCTGTTGTACTACGTACATAGACGCTAGTAAGTTCCAGGGATCTGATTAATTAGAAAGTGTTTCGATGACCTTATTTAGATACACCGGTCAAATCTTCAGATTGAAAGATTCGTACTGTAGACACACATATCTTCGCTGAGACAGCCAACGTAATCTATTTATTTATAAGACAAAGTTTTTTTTTCTAAAGAACTTCCGTTTCGAAAGCTGTCTAATTTGTTCAAATCGTATTTTCTATGCTTTGTTTACTATTTGTAATATTATTGTCCTTTAGTTATTATGTTATTTGTTAATACTCAAAATATGCTCTTATGATAGTATATTGTAATGCATATAACATTAACAAGACACCTATCGTGACACCTCCCTTCCTAAGATTCTTTTACTTCCCTTTTTTAAATTATGAAAGAATCTTACTTTTGTTGCACTTCTTACCGTAAAGAAGCGCGTTGATAGAATTCTCTGAGTTTATAAGTTGCCTTTCGTCGAACGATATCATGTGGTATCCATGTGATGGAGTGTAATTCTTGATCTGTTGATGGTAAACTGTACGAGCAATAATAAAGCGACGGGTTTTCGAGTTTGTCAACATCTAAAATTCTGTCAATCACAATGTTATGCATAAACTTATTTGCTGTCAAATCTGTATGATATGGTTCGAGTTCGGATACGTGAAAACTAGCAGGATAACGTCTTCGTATCGACTGGGGAAAAGTTAGTCTATAGTTATTTTCTCCTATAAGTTCTTCGACTTTGAAAGGGCCAACGTATGTTGGTTCGAGCTTGCTTGTCTGATAGAAAAATCCAAATTTACCGTCATTTATTTGGAATTTTGGAGGAGGAATTGTCTTTTGGTTAAGATATTTCGTATATTTTTCATTTGCATTCTTTATTCGTTCGAGTATTTCGATAATTGATTCTGTATTGGCAGTTGTATGACTCATACCAAGTCCTTGCAGTATCTATTCTTCCATATCGGTAAGAGCTGGTTGTACACCAAATGCTGCAATCATTGGTGTCATCTTTATAGCAGAATATTGCGGAATGATAGCAAAGCCGGGTTCTTGTAAGATAATTGACCAGTTATGCAAATGCTTATGTAAATAGCATCGTAAATATGTTTTCAGGATTTGATTTACACGTTCTGTTTCACCATTAGTTGCGGATGATATCCTAAAGAAAAGTTGAGGTCTATATTATGACCTTTGGCATATTGTGTCCATGTTGCAGAAGTAAAGAGAGGATCTCGATCTGATACAATGTCTGTTGAATATCCGTAAAAGGATGAGATTGTGGATCGAAAAGTTCTGTTAATTCTTCCGAAGTGTTATTTGCGGTACAAGGAACAAACCAAGCCATCTTAGTAAAACGGTCAACAATTCTTAGGATTGTGTTTTTTCCTTTGGAAAGTGGTAAACAGCTGATAAAATCCATAGATTAATATTTAAATGACTGCTCCGCGAAAGGCAATGGTTGTAATTGACCATAGCGTTGATGATTTCTTGGCTTATGTCGCTGGCATATATCACAGTTCTTTACATAATTGTGAATGTCTGCAGTCATACCTCTCCAGTAAAACTTTTCCCGAATTCTGTTAGTTGTTGAAAGTTTTCCGCGGTGTCCTCCAGTAACAGGGTGATCATGAAATTTGGTACATATTAACTGTACCATTTGTGGTATCTTTGGGATGATAATTTGTCCTCGTTTGCTAAGAATAAGACCCTTTTTTACAGTATAACGAGAATTATTATATGTGCCATTGAGGATATTCTGAAAGTTTTTATGATGAGAATATTCTCGTCTCACATGTTCGAAAATATTGGAAAGATAACCGGTTGCTATTATACTATTAATCGTTTGCGTCTTATAATCGGGACGCCGTGATATGGAGTTTACAGGTTCATTCTTTCGATTTGGTCGATATATAATTTCAAAGTTATATAGTTCCATCTCAGTTGCCCATCTGTGTGTCTTTTTACGGGTATCTGCTTTGATGTTGGTAAACATGGTTGTTAGATTCTTATGATGCGTTAAAATTGTGAATGGCTTTTCAGTATCTGCTAGATTTTGATACCATTTGCGTAAAGCTGCTATAATTGCATACGCTTCTTTTTCCCACTTTGGCCAAATTCGTTGTCGATCTGTAAATGTCTGTGAATGAAAAGCAAATGGATGATAGAGGTCATCGTCTTGCCTTTGTGAGAGTATAGCTCCGATAGCAAAGTCAGAAGCATCAGTTTCTAATCTAGTTTCTCGTTTGGGATCATAATGCTTTAACGTAGAAACATTTTCAAGTTCTTTCTTAGGAAAAAATTTTTTAGGTCGGAACTTTGGATGGTAACTTTTCTCTGATTTTTGGACCTTGTTATATCGAACCTGATTATTTACTGTTGTTACAGCTGCTGCGTGGTTGTCATGCTCGTAATTATGTTTGAGGAGCTCGTTTCTAAAATAATTTGAATGAAACGTGAATACAACAACTTTCTTGATTGTGTCCATGTCCAATCCGTCGAGCCATTTGTGAGTTTCATCAACATCTAACTCACCACGAGCTCCTTTTGCTAAATATTTAGGAATCGGATGAAACCAAGATTTTTCTCTCTCATTCAGAAACGTTTGTTCAAAAACCGTCTTGAAGGTCCTCTGAGGTCCTTGAGTCTTCACCAATTCTTGTATCTGTCTTTGATAATTTTCTGGAGATTTGGAATATAAAAACGCAATTTTCTCGCGATCAGATGGAAATACTTTAGGTATGTAATCAAAAATACTTTGGAGTTTTTTTCCAAAAACTGCTGCGGATTGTTCAGATGGTTCGAATATTCCAGGATTGAGCGGGTGAATCATATTTAAATAGGAATCTGCTCTGGACCCATATTTTTCATGTACCAAAGCTATAATGTCCATAGGTTTTTCTGGGATATAGTCTTCGTCGATTTCCTTTCGGCTCATTTTTTCTTCCGCTTTTTCTTGATGCAATGAGGTAATTTCTTGGGATAAGGCATTTATTTGTTTACTGAATTCCTTTTGCATGCTGCGCATTTGCATCTCCATTTGGTTAGCGAAGTATCCACTCCCAGTGTTTTCGGGGTCTATTTGCATCCTATATTTATCTTATTTAAGTTTATTGCAATAATTTCCACTCTTGAGATTGGAAGATAATTTGTCACGTTAATAATTCTCACGGTTTATGAGAATAAAAATCAAGTGGAATTAATATCTTTACGATTGTAGAATTGTATACGTTAATTGGACTTAGTTCTACTGCGTATATAAATGGTATTAATGTCCAGGGATCTGGTTAACTAAATTGAAAGTAGGAAGACGATCTTATTTAGCCAGACCAGTCGAATCTTCCAATCTGAACAATTCCGACTGTAGATTCATAGTTTATATATCTTCACTGAGACAACTAACGTAATCTATCTCTTTGTAAAACAAACGTTCTTTTTCTATAAGACTTCCGTTCCGTAAGGCTGTCCGATTTGTTAAAATCGTATTTTCTTTGTATCGTTTACCAATTGTAATATCTCATCCTTTAGTCTTATTGCATTTGCTAATATTTAAAAATATGCTCTTATAGTAGTGTATTGTAATATATATAATATTACCAAGAAACCTATCGTGACATGACAATGACACTAATGTAATGAGAATCTTACAATAGGAAACAACTTTGCCTCCGTTACCCAAGCAGTAACATGCTACTTCGGTTGGACATAAGGGAAAGTAGAATAATCAGTAAAAAAACTAAAATTAACAGCAGTAATAGTATAAAAAAATTCTTAAAATTATACTTTATTGTATACTTTTCTCCATAATGTCAAGACGAATTTCTATTTTTTTTTCTTTTTTGTAACTGTATCTGTAGACTTCAATGGACATTGTTAGAAGAAAACAGGAAAAGCAACAATTTAGAGCAAAAGGATGGCTTCATCTAAAAAACTCCAGAGCAAACCCTTAATATTATCACTTAACGTTCATAACATCACAAACTATGTTCTTGAATTAAATCAAATCAAGGTATCAACTGGAAATATAAGTCTCAATACCGATTGTATACGGTTCATTAATCAGTTATGAATGTTTGTTTATTTGCTTAATTAGAAAAACTGTATACTACCTGAACGTTTTCTGACAAAACCTTCAGTTAGGAAGAATTTGCTGGTCGAGCTGATAAACTATTTTGCTGGTACATCTAATTAAAACCAGGCATAATTAGAACGTTACTAGAATTACACTGTAATAACTACATTCCAAAATTGTGTATCAGTCTATATTATAATAACAATTCGGGACTGATATACCCGATGACAAAACACTACTTTCGTACGTTCAAATTATATTAGGGAATTATTACTTCCATCAAGTATCAGCAAGAAGCTTTTATTTTATGCTCAATCAAAGACTTCAACTCTGCATTATACCATAACGTTACTTTGTAATTTTTTCATTTATTTGTTCGTTCTGCTAACTGTGCTCCCCAGTCCGTCGTCTATCATGTCAAATACTGAATGATTGGCCTAGTGTAATATATACCGGAAAGTACCAACCAGATCCCAATAGAATTACAGCGTAAGTCCATATATACGAGTGATAAAAAAAGCTCACTAACTCTTTCTGGAACGATGAATGGGGGCACTTATTGAATTCCTTTATTTGAACGAATGAGGACCCAATATACGTCCTGAAAGACAAACCGACTATAAAAAAGTAAAGGATCTGTCACTGAACATTTCCACGATGATGAAGTAGACAGGGTACTCTCACTGAGAATTTAACTTAGTAAATATCGCTGACTATACATAGCATATAATATGCTTTGTAGATGACCTTCTAACTAGTCCGCTAGTATTTAGAGGGAATTCCTATAGTAGAGGTAGGAGGAACTCAGTTCCTTAGTGAGTGCGTAACACATAAAATCACGCATACTGTTGTTGCCTTATGTTATATTTACAACCACGGCTTCTATTTTGAAAAGTCAAAAATTGAATGTCTATTTGGTGATTTACTTAAACCAAAAAATAAGCGAACAGAGACGCTAAACACAGTTCTTGAGAGTAGTTCATTTAATGTGCTTCCCTCAAAGACAAGACATTTAAAAAAGCAGAACTAACAATTCTCGAATCACTTGACACCTTTCAAGGTAAGTTAGCAATAACGCATTACATACTGTTTGTAAGCCAAGTCTTACTCCATTGACAGAATGCATTAAAAAGGTCATATGAGACAGACAGTAACCTTTCCTACGGGATAAATGCTTGTTTACATTAAGGGAGAAATAGTGGGAAGAAAACAGATAAGCCATGTATGGAGTCTTTTTCCTCTCTTTCATTTAATGCCTTAGCAATTACTGGATAAACTTAAGAAAATCTTGATGACTTTTCGATCGAAATCTAATCATGTCAATAAAATGCAAAGGAAGCGCTTTTTGTAAAGTCCTCAAATCAATTCGCTAATTGAAGAAAACGATTTGTTTTTGTTCTCTTCATAGTGTAAAGATAAGGCCGTCAAGATTTTTCAAGTCATCTGAATCTTGGCAATGGGAATGTAACTCCCTAGTTCTGGTCTGCGTATAATGGAACTTTGCATGCTTTGATTTAAAACTTGAAACATTATTTTGTAACAACTGGTAATTTCTGACGACTCTCAATCTTGTTTAATGTAACCATCGAAATTCGTATTCTACTCAATAACCAAGAACGCCAAACCGAGAAAAGTGTTTTCAGTATAATAGAAATAAACAATGATCAATCCATAAGCAAACCAAAGCTAGCCAAAGCTTTTCCAAGCAAAAATAATGACGGCCAACGAAAAATCTTGGAGACCTAGGTTTAGAACTCCACATAGCTCTTAATGCTATACTGAAGAGAGCGAATTATTCAATTTTTAGAATGGTTACTTCTTACGAGTTGAAGTTGCTTCTCCTACGACATATATATGATCGAAAATCATCGTGAATAAAGGAAAACAACATCTGTCGCTAAGTGCTCTAGTAACGGAAAAGGAAATAGAGACATGGAAAGTATAAACTGTTGTAAGAGACAATGCACCTCAATAAAGAACCCTTCTTTTATATACTAACGCCTGGCTTTGAGGTGATTCATTTCTTACTTTGTAAAACCATGTTTTTATATCATAAAAATTTAAGAATAAGAGCTTTTTAATCATCCTTTTCTGCTCTCTTGCAAAGTTTTGTTCTTCCAGTATGTTCCTACATTATGACAAGTTTGCCCTTCAAGGTCTGCTTTTTACCAACAACACCCAGGATGGTACAAATCAGTGAGGTGAAAGGAAATGGTCGTGAAAACCGGATTACTACTCATTCCCATATCAAAGGATTAGGATTAAAAGAAGATGGTACCTGCGAAGGCGTTGGTGGTGGATTTATTGGACAAGATAATGCTCGTGAGGTAGGAATACAATTTCGACTGTGAGTCCTTCTCTATTCGTAAATTAACTTATTTTTTAGGCTTGTGGTATCATTATAGATCTGATTAAGTCCAAAAAATTTGGCGGACGAGGTGTTTTATTTGCCGGCGGTGCTGGTACTGGTAAAACTGCATTGGGTTTGGCCATTGCTCAGGAATTGGGACCCAAAGTTCCTTTCTGTCCAATGGTAGGAAGTGAAGTGTATTCTAGTGAAATAAAAAAGACCGAAGCTCTTATGGAAAACTTTCGTCGTGCAATCGGACTCCGTGTTAAGGAGACCAAGGAGGTGTATGAAGGTGAAGTTACAGAACTAGTACCAGAAGAAGCCGAAAATCCTTTAGGTGGTTATGGAAAGACTATTTCGCATGTAATTTTGGGACTCAAAACTCATCGCGGCACCAAGCAACTAAAGCTTGACCCTAGCATCTATGAATCTTTGCAGAAGGAACAGGTCTCTACGGGAGATGTGATTTACATTGAAGCCAATACAGGTGCGGTCAAGCGCGTTGGTCGAAGCGATGCATATGCGACCGAATTTGATCTTGAAGCCGAAGAATACGTTCCTATGCCCAAGGGTGAGGTCCACAAACGTAAAGAAATTGTGCAAGATGTCACATTACACGACTTGGATATTGCCAATGCTCGTCCTCAAGGTGGCCAGGACATTATGTCCATGATGGGACAACTCATGAAACCAAAGAAGACGGAAATTACCGATAAGCTTCGTTCTGAGATCAACAAAGTGGTCAATAAATACATCGAACAAGGAATTGCAGAATTGATTCCTGGTGTTCTGTTTATTGATGAAGTCCACATGTTGGACATCGAATGCTTTACTTATTTAAACCAAGCCTTAGAAAGTACTATTTCTCCTATCGTCATTTTTGCATCCAACCGAGGCATGTGCACAATTCGTGGTACTAAAGACATTCAAGCACCTCATGGCATCCCTACCGATTTACTAGACCGTCTGTTGATTGTTCGTACGTTACCCTACACGGAAGAGCAGATTCGCTCCATTTTGGAAATTCGTGCCAAGGTTGAAAATATCAAACTCAGCGATGCTTGTCTTGACAAACTAGCAAAGGAAGGAGCCAAGTCTAGTTTACGCTATGTTATTCAACTATTGACCCCAGCTAGCATTATTGCAAACTTGCATAGTAGTGAAGAAATTACTGTGGAGCACATTGATGAGTGTTATGACTTGTTTTTGGATGGTCGTCGGTCAGCTCGCGTTTCTCAAACCTCTACAGGATTTCTGCAGTAAAACAGATTTCAAGGGTAGAGAAAAGAAAAATTCGGGATATAGGATTTGAGTGAGCATGGTCCTTCCTTTTGGCAATGTTGAGTAAATTATTAAGAATATACATCTTTTATATGCGTGTATAAAAAAACTAAAACCGTTGTGTTGGTAAGGAAAGGATCTTATTTTTTACTAAATGAACTTATTCTTACTAAATGAAATGGATGGGTATGTTCGAAGAAAACTTTAGTTAGAAATATATAATGCTCCTTTTCAATTGCAACCAAGCTGCGTCATTTTCTTTTCAAAAGTCTTGCGTTATTGTTGATTTTCTTCTTTTCTTTGATAGTTTCTTGTAATCGTCACTATATTTTACTTACTTCCATTCACTTTTGCTAGAAACGTAAATCAAGTCTCTAGTTTTTGCTAGACCATTTAATAAATTAAAAGAATTTATTCGAAAGTTATCTGTTCGAAACAAAACGCTTAAATTATCATTATCATCCAAGCATTAGCCCAAACGAGCATTTACTTCTACAAATTATTACTCAAAATGACATTCCTAACAGAATGATTTCACTTACAATAAGGTTCTCTATATTTAGAAGTGTTAATGGGCCTACAATAATTATATTGACGAAAATACCTTTGCCACAAGGCATGATGACGATAGGTAAATATAGTCTTTAATTTATATTTGAAATGAAACCAGAAACCATAAACCACTTTCAACAAGTATAAATCAGAATGAGTATGATCAATAAGATTATGAGGCCATACAATGCGTTCAAGAAGATACCTATGGAACTGAAACCACTAGGTATGTAATTAGCTATATAGCCTATAAAGAGTGAACAAGACTTACAACGATTTTCTATATATTAGTTCTTCTAATTGGAACGGCTGGATGTACAGCTATTTTTACCATGGGTTATAAATTGACTGCTGATCCAGAGGTAAGTAGAAACACCAAGGCCAAACAAAACGAAACGAATAAAGAACGAATTATACTAAGAATATCTGAATCAGATTCGCCGAAGACCCTCTTGGACAGAGCGAGAACAACATGGAGCAGATATAGTCTCTGGAAATCGTCAACTCGCAGCATAAGAATTATTGGAATATCCTTCCTATAACAGGATAATTTTTGCGAAACAAACTTTGATATTTATTTTTGTAACGATGAAAAACATAAATGTTTAATGAGATACGAATGATACTATGTAAACAGATATCTTTATTTAAGCTTTTGTTCCAAAATAAATGTCACCAAAGTCACCCAGTCCAGGAGTAATATAACTAAAACAATTGGATTAGTAAAGTATTCAAAAAAAGTCTTGTAAAGAACAAAACCAAGGATATTTGTCTGTAACCTATCAGAACCTAATCTTACCCTTTACTGTCAAGACCTTCATCTACGACAGCTGTGACAATCCGAATTTTTGGGAAACGCTGGTGTACATTGTAGAGGCCTTCCGGAGAAGCAATGACATTAAGAAAGATAATTTGCTCCTGCTTACAGCCCATGCCAATCAGAACGTCCATGGCACACATGGCAGAACCACCAGTAGCAAGCATTGGGTCTAGCAGCAAGACATAACGATCGGCAATATCCTCTGGAAGTTTTTTATAATGAAGGACGGGTTCTTGAGACTCTTCGTCCCGCTGAATTAAGATCTTGCCAATACGCACCGAACGACAGCAGTCGCGCAAACCTTGCTCCATACTTTCGCCGGCTCTCATAATGCTAACACCACAGATTCTTCCATCAAAAACTACACCATCAAACTTCACGTTTTGTGCAGTCGTCACTTGTGCCGGTGAAACTGGCAGATGATTGAGCCCTTCTTCCACGATTAAACGAATGATTCTATTAGCATAAAAGATAAATTCTGACTACGTATTTCGTTAGAAAAGTTCTCTTTCCAATCCAGTAGCTGAAATAAACGCAGGAAACCCCAATAAACCATGTAATAAAACCTGCTTTCTTTTCCATTCGCTTCATGAACTCCTTTCCTAAGAAGACTTTTTATTCAATTCTATGTACAAAAATTGTCTAGCGCTTCATCTTACGTATCATTTACAGCGTAATCATTCCCAGAGTAGGTGTCGCTGCTAAGTTCAGCGTCCAAATAAATACTTACACGAGGCTTCGTTCGATCACGAATGATCGTAAACAACCCTTTTAATTGATTTGTTTGATTCAAAACATAAACATTTTTATGATTGTCTGACGCCGACATTCTGGGTCTTGGTAGGATTCTTGTTTCCTTAGGAAAATAACCTGAAACAAATCAGAAGTCTTCGTTGCAATGCGTAAACAGAAATAACAAATCTGAAGGATTCTTTTATTTCGTATACCGGGTTATAACACACTCCTTATTTAAGCTCTGGGTGACTCTGGGAGAATTAACGAGCATAAGAAGGAGCGTGTATGAGAAAGAAATCAATAGAAATATTCCAATGGAACGTATTGTAAGTCCAAAAACTACATGTCAAGATTCAAAAAGTAGGCATAAGGAAGGGTCCTTGTATAGCGCAACTTTTAGAGTTTCACTCTTTGAAAGGTGTTCAAACGAGAGACCTTTCTTCAAGGTTGCCATATTTTATCCTTCCAGAATCCTTAATAACCTTCATCGCCGGAATAGTTACCTTCATTGTCTGCACGTACATCGGCAGAAGCGCCATTTCCATCTCCACCCTTATCATCTTGAGCTTGGTGGGCTACAGTGTCACAAGCATCAATCCAATCGCTGTACACATCAATGGGTGCGGAAAGAGCTAAAATGAAACGTTAGTATTTTCAATCTATCTTTCCCAACTCTCTCGTAGGTGATCAGAATAACATCCAAACTTATGCAGCTCCCATCGTTTGACGCCAAATTTCATCGCTTCTCAACACCATTTCTCTTTCATAAAAATAAATCTCCATAAATTCGCTCGAGTACTGGTGTTGGCTCTGTAATCAATATTTCTTACCTGTAATGATACATTGATGGCTTTGGCCACAAATCTTACAATGCAAGTTACCGACACCGGATTGCTTATCTCTAATCCATTATTAGTCCCTTGTAATTCTTTTTTAATCCATCGATTTACATACAAAGTGCAACTAACACTCTTTTCATGGTTGCAGAATAAACACGTAAACTTGAACCTATTAGCAGATGAGAATGGTTTTTATTATGTAAAAGCGTTTCTTACTGTCGTTTCTAAAGGAGCGGCCCTTCTCGTAGGGCGAATTCTTTTACTCGCCTTTCTTTTTCCCATATTTGATTTACCGCGTGTTTGTTTACGGTGGAAGTTTTATTAGTCTTACCAACCTTTTCGTATTTTGAGGGGGAAGGGTAGTGCAATTATGAGAGGTTATTCGAATCGTTAGAAGCAGCATGAATAGGATGTTGGACAATATGAGCAGAAGGTTTTATTTCTATTTTCAAGCTTCTATAAAATTGGAGAGCCACAAGTCTCTCTTTGACTAGCTCGGTTGGGATTCTAATTATATTCAAACATAAGTATACCCTTCCTCATTAAACTACAAAACGAGTCCATGGTGATATACAAGTATTTCCATAAATCAAGTACTTCAGTTTTTGTTTCATGTTCTTTAACTTATATTGTCTTGTCTGTCTTGATTTTCCTTACTTCTTTAGAAATTAAAAGTCGCATTTACAGTATCTTAACATACATGCATCATCCTATTTATTCAAATATCATCTAGCGTAAAGAGAAAGAAAAAAAAAACAAAACCAAAATTAAACATAAACCATAACTAGCCTTCAACTCCAGACATTATTTCGTTTTTATATCGATCCAAATTTACTGGAACATCTTAGAAAATGCCTTTTGTTGACGCTTCTTGTAATCTTGCTTTTGTTGACGAACTTCAGCAAGTTTCTTCGTGACACCGGCATCATTTCCAGCTTTTAACAAGAATCCTTCAGCTTCAGTATAATTCTTCAAAATGCTATGGGCGCATCCAAGGCGGTAGTAAGCCTTTTGTTTTTCTAATACACTAGAACCATCGGCATTAACAACAATATCGGAATTGCGGATAGCCTCCTTGGCATTATTTTGCTTCAAAGCAATAAGAGCCAAATTAAGATAAAGACTATACTTCAGACTGAAATATTCCTTCCAAAACTCATCAGGTTGCTGAGAGTCATCATTACGAACAGGGTGTTCAGCAAGATAACGCAAAGCCTTCTGCCATTTGGCAACAGCCAAATCCAGGTTTTGTTGAGCAAACTGAGTATTGCCAATTTTTTTCAAATCGGTAGCAATTTTAAAAATAGAAGTCTCGGATTTGTCTCCCTCATAGTCATCTGGGTATTCCTCAAGAGCATCACCTGTAACATCGGCTTGAGGGGGTTCAATCTGATCTTTGCTACAAGTACCGCACTCTTCAATGACAACTGGGACAACAGGGTCATCATTGTTAGTGTCCAAATTTTCGATAGCACGAACTGTAGACTTTCCACCAACAACGCGACCAAAGACTACATGTCGACCGTCCAAGTGGGGAGTAGAAACAGTAGTGATGAAGAATTGAGACCCATTAGTGTTCGGTCCTGCATTTGCCATCGACAACAAAAAGGGCTTATCGTGTTTTAATTCAAAGTTTTCATCTTCAAATTTTTCTCCATATATGCTTTCTCCACCAGTTCCATTACCACGCGTAAAGTCACCACCTTGAAGCATAAATTGCTTTATGACACGGTGAAAACGAGAGCCCTTATAAGTAAGCGTACGACCGTCTCTTTCAAACCCATCACAAAGCGAGGCAAAGTTTTTAGCAGTTTTCGGGACTACGTTTTCGAACAACTCAAAATAGACAGTTGGTTGGACCTTCTTGTCAATGCTAATTTTAAAGTAGGCAAATGTGCTCATTTTCGGAGAATTAACTTATTTTTCTTGTGTAAAAGTGATTCGTCTCTTTGTAATGTCTTCGATGCTGTATAAAGAATGAATTAATCAAATTCAAACGTTATTATTCCCTTGCTTTTGCAATTAAAATGCTTAATGAATTCAATAAATTGATTTCCTAAAGAACGGTTGCTTTGCCAACGAAATATATACAGTAGCTGGTTTTGAAATCGATTCTTCTAAGAAGCTTCTAGAAGTAGAGATGTCGAGGTCTATGCCAGAACTTCACTTTTGTTAGGTAAATGGGTTTTAGAAAAACATTAATTCCTTAGATATTGTTTAATTTGATGTTTTCTTCATCAAAAATTGGTAAAACACCTGAATATGTTAGCATCTGCTGTAAACAATGTTCACTTGAGAAAATTAAAAGAACTTTAGAAAACGGGTGCTTCAGATTTTTATAGTCTTTTATAAAAAAACTTAGATAGCTATAATGGACTTACCGATTTATCGATCGACATGTTGCTATTTTGTCGTAGTCGGCTCTTTCCCTCTTTCTGCTTGTTTAGCAATTTCTGCTTTCGAGTCCAATCTCCTCCATAGCATTTAGCAGTAACATTTTTCCGTAAAGCTGAGATGTTTTGTCGAGCTAGTACTTTGGTTTCCACGACAGCTTGAATAACTACCTCATACAGCTGTTTTGGCAATAGATCTCGCAACCTGTGGATCCATTCACGTCCTCTGTTCAGAGCTAAAGAACGATGAACAACTGTGCACAGTGCATCTACCGATTGGCCATTTACATGAACGGATAGCTTAACAATATCTGCTGGAGCATATCCAGCATCTTCGTAATCCAAAGTAGCATAACCACTAGTTTGACCCTTTAGTTTTCCAAAGAAGTCTTCTACTAAATGTGCTAGGGGAATTTGGTATTTGAGCATGCATCTTGATTCGGAAAGAAAAGTACAATCTGACTGAATACCCCGACAAGACTCGCATAATTTAATAACGTCTCCTAAATATTCAGAGGGGATAATGATGGTTGCTTCAACGATAGGTTCAAAAAATTCTTGGTTTTTCATCCGCCGGGAGGGAAACATGTTTGGATTAGATATAATTTCTTCTTTGCCATCCTGGTAACGGGTAAGATAAGGTACTGTTGGAGAGGTAATTAAAAGCTGTCGACCATATTCATCTTGAAGCCTCTCAACAAAGACGGAAAGATGTAGAGTTCCCAAGAATCCTAATCTCCATCCTACACCCAAAGCGGATGATGTTTCTTTTTCCACGTGGATGGCGCGATCATTTAGAGTTAATTGCTCAATGCAGTCATTTAGGCGCTCGAAATCAGAAGAGTCTGTTGGAAAGGCTCCAACGAAAACCATGGGCTTTGGTACTGAAAAGCCTGGTAGAGGCTCTACAGATTGCCCTACAGTAGTAAAGGTATCTCCAATAATAGCCTCGTCTATATTCTTCATGTTCGAGACAATGTATCCTACTTGTCCAGCCCGTAATTGACTTGTTTCTGTCATGTCAGGATACATAATTCCGACTTGCTGCACTTCATACTTTCTGCCTGTATTGACACTCATTAATTTTTGTCCCTTTTGCAAGGTACCATCCATAAGTCGGACTAAAGAAATTACTCCTTGATAGTTATTATACCAACAGTCAATCAATAGGCTTCGTAAAGGCTTCGATTTATCACCCTGTGGAGGAGGAAAGCGGTGGACAATTTCGGGTAGAATTTTTTCAACATTTTTTCCTGACTTAGAAGATATAAAGAGCGTATTAGATATATCCAGCTCAAATGTTTGCTCAATTTGGTCTAGGGTTCTCTCAACATCTGCCGTTGGCAGGTCGACTTTATTAAGAACCGGAAGAACCACAAGGTTTTGGGCAAAGGCCATGTAGAAATTAGAAAGCTATAATGATTTGTTAATACGAATGCCTATTAAATTTCACATTTTCCTGATAGACGTAATTTGGAAAGCCCGTCTGCTCAAAATATTTCTTCTTATAGACATACCGTTTGAGCCTGAATGCCCTGGGATGCATCTACAAGTAAAATACATCCTTCGCAAGCCGCTAGACTATGCATCACTTCTTCACGAAAATCAACATGGCCCGGTGTGTCAATCAGGTTTAACAAGTAAGGCTTATTCTCGTAGTAATAGATCATGCTACAAGTTTGAGCTTTCACAGTGATTCCTCTTCTCCTCTCAACAGCTAATTTATCCAAAAATTGATTCTTGGCATTGTTCTTATCAATAACGCCGGTGAGTTTCAATAGACAGTCGCTTAAAGTCGACTTTCCATGATCGATATGTGCAATAACAGCCCAGTTTCGAATTTGTTCTTTTGGAATGCTTTCTAGTACAGATAAGGCTGCTTTGCTGTCTCTCAACTTCTCTGGTTTACCAAACACTGGCGTGCCGGACAAGGAGCGTTTACCTGGAGAAAATAAAAGAGATGTAGGTTTAAGAAAGGCCCCTTTTGGAAGAAAACGGAAACGAGGGATCATCTATCCATAGACTGTTGGGTATAGTTTGAAAGAGGTTTCCGGTTATGAATTTTGGATTGGATACATCCGTCAGTCCTAGGAGAACTCAAGTATGTAGTTTAAAAAAATTAGGTTGCTAAAAGATGAAATGAACATTTGGTAACTTCTTTTTTATTTTATGTCAGAATCGAGTTGTCAACAAGTTCCTTAACTAAATGCCAAGTGGAATGGGATTCTTATATACATTGTTGATGATGAAGAAGCAAAGATAATTATTGTTTATAACTTTCAAGATATTCAATCTCGCCGTCAAGTTTGCTTTCGTCCAGAAGACGAACTGGTCTGAAATTACTCTTTTAATAATTAGCCTTTCTTTTCACGAGCAAACGATCTTTTATTTTAGAAAAAAATACTCTATTTTCTGAACAGGCTTTTCCCTTTAATTCCCTCGTCATTATATGAATTTGGTTTCTGAAGGAACAGGTATGAAAGATGGTATTCTCGAGACGAACAGAGGAATGCTAGAAGGATGAGGTTTCCGTTTTAAAAAACTGACAATTCTAACAACTTATAAGCTCTTACGAAGGAAATATTGATGGTTTTTTGTTTGGATTTACGTCTTGATGGATTCACAAAACTTTTACATTCTTTTTGTACATATCTGAGGCTGAACGTAAGATACTAGCAACTAGGGCCAAAAAATGCTGAACCATAAAGAACCTTCAGATCTCAAATTTGGACGACATTTGACATTATGTTTCCTCTTACGTGAGAGCTGTGTCGCTCTTTTTATCCTGTTTTGCTTGAGTCGACTGCGACCCGTCTTGACCTGCTTCTTACGATTCCTATCATTAATTCTATATTTAGTCAATTCATTATTCCATCTTATATATACAAAATTAATGCTTTTATTGTTTATGTGTGTTACTTGATAGGTTTGTTACCTGGAAAGGCGTCTGGTTTTTTTAGACAATGAACTTAGAGGATGCTAGCAAAAGCGTTCCGCTTACCAACAATAGTAGCATTTTCAACTTAAACCTTCAAATAAAGTCTACTTGGTTTTTCTTCGCGTATTTTTTATTCATTCTGACAATATGTCTGCGCGAAAATTACAAGGTACGAGGCAAAGAAGCAATACTTGCTTGCTGTGATCGAATACTGACAAATTGGTATAGTGGAAATTGAAAAAACGTTTAAGAAAGTGACGGATGGGGTAATTTGCAAATTGAGTGAATTTTGAAGTGATATTGACCATGAAAGATTATCGTTTTTGACGAAGTGTACGAAAAACTGAATGCTAGCGCAAGTGCCTCTCAGAAGGAGAAACTAGAGGGCGATTTAAAAACGCAGATCAAAAAGTTACAACGGTTACGTGATCAGATCAAGACATGGGCTAGCAGCAATGATATTAAAGACAAAAAGGCTTTAATAGAGAATCGTCGATTGATTGAAGCGGTATGTTTTCCAAGATCTCTTTCCTAATTTTGTCTTGTCTAATGAGAGAGATTGTGAATGAGAGCGAGCGAAATTGTGATGGTTCATGTGCTAATTCACAAACTTGTTATAGAAAATGGAAGAGTTCAAAGCCGTGGAACGAGAAATGAAAATTAAGGCATTTAGTAAAGAAGGACTGAGTATCGCCTTAAAAATGGATCCCAAAGAAAAGGAAAAGCATGATACGATTCAGTGGATTTCGAGTGCAGTGGAAGAATTAGAGCGTCAGGTAGAACTGTTAGAAGCAGAAACAGAAAGCTTGCGTGCGACATTTAAGCGAGGAAAACGGGATCTTTCTAAGCAATCTCATCTTTCCGAACTAGAATCGCGCATTGAAACTCACAGATGGCATCAAGAAAGACTCGAGTTAATAATGCGACGCTTAGAAAACTCTCAGATATCTCCTGAAACGATTAACAATATTCAAGACGATATTATGTATTATGTCGAATCCAGTCAAGACGCTGATTTCGCTGAGGACATGAACATTTATGATGACCTTGATTTGGACGATTCTTCGGGAATATATGATGCAGAGAGGTCCGCAAACTCTTCTTCCCCAACATCTGACGACTATTCAGATAAAGAGGATGAAAATGTACCCGTCGTTGATTCACCGCCTCCAGATGAATCTTCACCGAAGGATGTTCTGTCAACACCACCGTCCGCGGCCTCTGTGCCCCAAGCACATGGAGACTTGAAAGAACCGGACTTATCTTCTTCACCCAAAGAAAACCAGCAAATCGAGATCGATGGCTCTAGTAAACCACAACCGCAAAATAGTACACCATCTTTTGCAAAGGCTGCTGCTGTGGCTGCTCCTAGTAATCCGGTCAGTTCTGTTAATTCGGCTTCGATTATCCAAAATAAGCAAGCTGCTTCCCCTAGGATTTCTAATGCTTCTGCTCCAAAGGAAAAGAAATATGCCTTTGCTGCTGCTGCCGCTGCCGCTGCTGCTGCTACTTCATCGAAGGATTCGCTTCCTGCTCGAAATGACACCCCTGCTTCTCCAAAAGTGGGATCCAATATTATCCATTCTAGATCGGACACTCCAGGTCATTCTTCGTCACCAAGGCCTCAAGAATCAAACCCAGTTGTTCAGTCCGAACTTACAGAACAAGATACTAAAACAGGTAATGATGGTATCACAGCAGAGGAGAGTTTATCCCCGCCCCCTGAGTATATTCAAGATTTAGTGGGAGCATTGGATGCCTCAAAAGTTCGACTTCACTACCCCATGGATAGAGAAAAGCTGACTGAGGCACTCAATATTAGCTGCGTATACGTTCCTGATGCAGTCGACGCAGCAAAACCAAAATTTTACGTCCCTAAAGATCCTTATCCAGTACCTCATTATTATCCACAGCAGCCTCTTCCCTTGTTTGATTCTCCGGAAATGATGGAAGTCGTAGATCCAGACACACTGTTTTACATGTTTTATTATCTACCTGGCACATATCAACAGTATCTCGCTGGACGGGAGCTTAAGAAGCAGAGTTGGCGTTTCCACAAGAAATATACAACGTGGTTTCAGAGACATGAGGAACCCAAAATGATCACAGACGAATATGAGAGTGGAACTTACAGGTACTTTGATTTTGAGGGTGATTGGGTGCAGAGAAAAAAGGCTGATTTCCATTTCATGTATGAATATCTCGAAGACGATGAGGATTGGAGTCGGTGAACGTATTTATTCTCAAGTGTTACGAACATAAATAAATTCTTTGGGCATAATTGTGTTTGTACAATTTGTACCCGTTCATTCCTACAGGGTAATTTAGATAATTATAAGTAATATATAGCATTGCAGCAGACTAGTACTTTCCGTTATTACATGAATTGTTCTGTAAAAAATATGGTTTACTTTCAAAAGTAGCTATTATCGAATAAAAATAGAGCAAAAAAGTATAACATTGGTTTTATAGTAAGCTTATGTTTCTAGTAATATGTTAGTATTGAGTCAGTCTTCAAAAGGAGACAAAAAAGAAGCATAGAAAGAAATCAGGAACACCATGCGTATATTGACGTTCTGCAAAAGTATCATCAATTCTTACTTTTCCATTGAAAAGAAAAGCAAGATGAGACGGGTGCCAGCATATTGTTCATCATATTTCGATGCATCTTAATCATTGAAAATAACTTACCATTTTAAATAAAATCTAAAGCCCGGTAAAGAATGTGTCATACGATAATGACCCATACGCCATCACTGCTTGACAATGTCAACAGACGTACGGGTAAAGTGAGTATGATTATCATCTTTCTTTGCACTGCATGAAGGAAACAAGTCCATAAACCGTGAACAGTTTCTGATTAATAGTGCAATATATAATTTCAAAATCTAAATCCAAAAAAATGCATGTTTCACGTTTTCTCCTTAACTGCGTAAGAAAAGCTACCTTCCACAAAAGACACAAATAGAAGTATATATTTTTTTATTCATAACTCGTATACATTATAATATACATTCGAAAAGTGAATCTAAAGAAAAAGCTTCGTTGTTCACATTGGTACTTGCTATGTTTACGTGTCGAGTTTTTGCCCTATTATAGTCTCGAAAAAGGCAGTCACATATATCATTCCGTGGTCCCGCATGTAGCTATAACGACGTATAACGGAGTACACTGGTAAACAATACTAGAGCAATCCATAGCATTCTGAATAGGTTTCTTCAAGATTATGCAGTAATTCATCCTTTTGTTCTTCATTTAACTGATCGGTTGGTTCCATATGATTAATAAAAATAAGCCATTGGACTAATTTACTCCTGCCAGACACTTGCTTATTGAGCATCTCTGTAAGGTCATCCATGCAAATGACTAATTCTGAAAGCAGAGGATGCAATTGATCTTTTGCGACAAAATTTAAACGAATTGCATCCAAAGTAGTAATAAAATTCTGTACAAGCTCGGCGATAGATTTTGCTGTAGAAACAGCAGGGGTTGTCAAGGGTGCAGAGGCTATAGTTGGTTCTCGGTCGGAAGGAGATTCAGTGGATGCCGCAACTTGTTCTCTAGTGTTGGAAAGATGATTCGGAGTGTTGGATGGAGTTTTGTTAGTTGGAGCAATCTCGGAATGCTCTTGAATTCGCTTCATGGCCCTCGGACATTGTAATTGATATTTTGACAAGAAGTCTTCCAAAGAAACAAATAGGCTCGATACAGTCTCGTCCTTCAAGCAAGAATCCCACTGCTGGAGAAGCACGTTAGAGGTAGACTCAAAGGTATCTGGGGAGATGGCATCCTTGGTAAACACTTTCTCTAGATTCTCTAATGCAACAACAATACTATAAAGAGATGCAAAATCTTCTCGGATTTGTTGATCCATACGTGGCTCTTCTGAGGTATCATCCTGGTCTTTTTCTAAAAGACCAATGTCATAGTAGTCAGTCATTATAGGATTGTTTCAGAGGTAAGCACCATAGAAAGACAATATAAAAGAATAAAGGACAAGTTTCGAAACCAGTTAAGAGCCAAAAAACCCCATATAAAGTGAAATATGGTGTTTCCAAAGTTTGATGAGGAAGGTCGGTGAAGTGGAAAGTAAAAGAAAGAGCTTTAAATGAAACTAATGATGAGGATTCAAGCAACCCTTTCTCGAAACACTTTTCACTTAATGTTGTTTGGAGAACATTTGCTGTGCATGATATACAATTAACTTTATGCACCCTGCTTCAGCTTTAACGCCGAGTCTTTTGTTGGAAAGATCCATTTCTCTCTACCATGATAATGTCAACTTCTTTATTTTGTTTATTTGTACTTGTAATATCTTTCATCGAGGATATCGACGAATATGCCATAATACGTCTTGATGGATTGACGAAGTAATGATATTGTTCAATTCTTCTGATTTTTTCTCTTGTCGATTATTTATTTCATAAATATCTTCTGTCATTCTCTAAAACTTTCTATCCTAGTTTTTTTTTTTTTTTCTAATATTGTTTCCTTTATTATTGTTTTCTTTGTTATGTAAACAAACCAAAAATACCGTAATCTGATATAGCGCATAAACCCACATAACAATCAACAATGAACCAACGTTATTTTCCCACTTGTTAATTCTGACGTTTCGAAACATCTTGCCAAAACCAAACACCAATTTTGGAGAAGTTATCATTGAACGCGTCTTATTTTTTAAATTATGAGCCAAAATAGTAAAGCCTTTGAAAATGCTCGTAGACCTTTCCGTACAAAGAACCTGATTACGGCATTGGGATTGGGTGGACTCGCTCTCGGCACGTTTGCATATTCTGTCTACAAAGTCCATCAAGATACACTTGATGATGTCGTAATGACCCCAGAAGTTTACGAGAGAATTGAACGCGAACGTAGACAGTCTCAAGAACTGCAAAACCAGAGTTCTATGAAAAATCCTCCAAATTGAGGTGACATTGTTACCTTGCACAAACGTCGCAAAATACCTGAAAGCGACGCTGGCGAACGCGTTTTTTTGGAAATTAGCTGAAAACAACGTTAAGACATCGAAAAGTTCAAAGACTACACTTTAAAACAAAAATACGAAAAAGCTCCTATTTTCTTGACCAGCATTCCTTTTTTCTTCAGTGTTTTAACCATGACGACAACTCGGTCAATGCCCTTGAATATTTACTTTTCTTCTATAAACAATGCGGTTTCCCGCTCGAATAGCATGGCGTTGGCAAAATTTCTTTCTGTTCCATGGGGAAAAGAGCTTGGCGAAATCCTAAATTTTGACATTCCGGGAACCTATTCTTCTGATGACATTTTAGGACTTACGGTACAGCGATCCATTATCCTTCGAAGTTGGGAAGATTCTGTTTTTCTCCACTTAAAAGTATTGCTTGCATTATGTCGCGATCGAGATCCAGTCACTGCATTTCGTCTTCAAGTTGATCTCGCCCAAAACATATTCCGTGAGTTCTCTTCAGGTAATTGCACTGGCGTTCATTTACCAGTGCTTTTTATCGTTTGCAAAGATTTGCGTTTTCTTGCTATTCATGCACAGAATACCATGTCTATTCGCAATCAGCAGATGCAACTCATTTCCAGTGACCCTGAACAGGAAAATGCACACCTCGAGCTAGCTACACGACTGCTTAACCGAGCCTTTACGATTTGCATAAATGATCGAGCTCCATTAGCCATTTCACGTAAATGGGGCGCTTACTATATCATGGGCTTACTATTTAAGTTGTATTTGCGCTTGGACTGTGTCCATTTGACCAATAATGTTCTACGAGCAATGAAGGTGGTCGAACTGCCAGACATTTCTCTGTTTCCCAAATCTCACATTGTCATTTTTCGATATTACCTTGGTATCGTAGCCTTTTTAAACCAAAGCTACAAGAACGCTTCTTCAGAATTAGAAACTGCATTTTCCTTATGCCACAAGCACTACAACCGTAATTTAGAATTAATTCTTTCCTACTGGATCCCTACTCGAATTTTGGTTTACCATCAACTTCCCAGTCCGAAATTTTTGTTTAAATATCCATATCTAAAAGATATATATGTTCCTTTATGTCATGCCATTAAGAAAGGAAACCTCGGAGCTTTCGGCCAATGCTTAAAGAAAAATGAGTCTTTATTAGCCAAGACAAAGACGTACTTGACCTTGGAAGGGACCAGAGAATTATGCTTGCGAAATTTATTTCGCAAAACATGGATCATCCTTGATAAATCTACTCGGCTTCCCACCTCCGTGTTTCAAACCGCTCTAAAAGTGGCAGGGTCTGATTTTGATTTACTACATGTAGAGGCTATTTTAGCAAACATGGTTAGTAAAGGCTATGTGCGTGGCTACATTTCTCGCGACCGTATGACCGTTGTCTTGTCTGCGAAAGATCCATTTCCGAAAAGAACAACAATAATCTAGTCTCCTTCTTTTGATTATGACGTTTAATGACCGTATAATTCGTAGATAATTAAATATATCAAGTTTTTGAACCCGATTTTTAATAGTAGATTTTAACATTGTATTTTTATTAGTATAGTTGATTTCCAAATTCCGTAAAACATTATTAACCCTAATATAATGGTACCCAAATCCTTTTTCACTTTACCTCTAAATGAAAACAAACAACCTATTCTTTCATCTAAACAATATCCTTTCACTCTATTTTTCATCTAACGGCTTTGCCAATAGGCGTACTTCGCCAGTCAAGCTCCTGCTCAAAAGCAATTACTTGTGAGTGGTCTTTTTGAGTAAACTCAATATTTAACCGTTTCTGTTGAATAAACGAATATGTTTCCACCAATTTCTCCACGAACTGAGAAATACTATTTTCAGAAGGATAACGAGAAATAAAAGTTCGAAATTGAGAAATGGCAGGAACGGCTAGTTCAGGAAACGCTATCGAATTAGAAAAAGTTGCAAAGTATTCCGTCATCACCGAAAGGTATACTTTTCTAAGATTCTTTCGATACGTTTGGGAAGCTAGGCATTCCTTGGGAATATGCAAAGTCGTTAAGACGTCGAAATTATACGCCGAATCCTTCTCACGGGTTAAGTTACGACTCTTTTTTAAGAAGAAAGGAGCCATTTCAACAAAATGTGAAGATAAAGGAATATAGAGATGACTGCTTCGACAAATTCTAACTAATGAAGAAAGAAGACGCAACCTCATAGGATAATATTGTTCTGAAGGGATGAGTCTCATAGTGTCTAAAATTAGATTAATTAACTGAGGAGAAATCTCTTTGCAAATAGTTTGTAAATCTTCCCATAAAAGACAGATTACCTCAGACCAAAATTGTAGGGACAAAGTGAATTGCCAATTGTAGATTAGTTTGTGGGCATCCACATTATCAGCTTGTTTTAAACAATTCTGCAAATGAGTGTTCAGTTGATGAGTGTAACTTAAGAATATCTTTTTGCAAGTATCGTGACTCAAGGATAATAGTTCAATAAGAAACAATTGCATTTCCTCAACAGTATCTAAGTTTCCACTCTGAGCAGGTGAAGATTTGAAGAAGGATATAAGTTGAACATAAAAGTATTGAAATGTTGACACTATCAATGAAGGAGTAGTGTTGCAAATATGATTTATAATCATCTGAATTAGTTCGCGAGAATCAGGATAAGAAATAAAAATTCGACAGGCTTTTGAGATAAAACTTGATGAAAACGAAGAAAAGCTCTTGATATGCAAAATAACTTCCTTGACTGACGACAAAATTTGTAGATCGCCTCGAGAAGATAAAACTTCATCTAACAAGAGGCTGGCAAAGCTCATACGACAATCTTGTAAGAAGCTAGAGCGTTGATTAAAGTCCATGTCTGTGAGTTCCTTCTTCAAATCCTGAGGCAAATGTGAAAGAAGAGAAACAGGTTGTTCAGTACCAGACAACTTTTGACAGAATGCTATGGCTGCTTCTAACTCTTTCGTTGAGTACTTTGACAAACTATTTTCAGTCTCCTGAGCTTTATCATTGCCTGACGGCGTAGACTCTTGCTTCTTTACTAAATCTCCATCTTTACGTAAGGTTGCTTTCGATGGGTCCAACTTGGCGTAAAAATCAGAAATATCCTCCTTTTGAAATTTTTTTTCAGGATCTTCTGGTACAGTCTTTTTCTCTTGAGCCGTTAGAGACTTTTTTTTTTTAGATTCATGGTTTCTTTTCTCTTTCGCTAATCCTCTCCTTCGTTCTAAGGTGTCCTTCAAATGATTCTTATTGAATTTCTTCGTAGCTTTGCTTGCTTTTCCCATTATACGAGAATGTGATTCCAAATCAACGTTTGGAACAATTAAGTAGTGAAAAAGTAGTTCAAGTTGGTTTCTTCCAACTCTCAAAAGGAGTAACGAAAGAGGTAACATTGAAACACAGGATTAAGTACAGGAGAAATTAGAAAAATTTTTAGTAAGCAATATTTTGATAGTATATGCATACACAATCTGAATAACATTAGACGTTAGTAGTTTTAGGGCTTAAGGGAGATTTGAATCTTAGACTCGCAACTCAACAATGCGTGGAATAATCTTTATCGTAAACGTAAAAAAGAGAGACATTTTAAATAAAATCGATGAAGAAACACCAATGAAATAATCAATCTGAAGGGGATGTAAGCGATCTGATTGACTGATAATTCATCCAAATATCGTTTAGCTATATGAGTATCTCGTTCTCGTCCCCTGCCATATTCGTGCATGTAGGCCATATTCCAAAGGGCCATTCCTGTAGCACCTCCTTTTTCAGAAGCAATCTCGTAGTATTTGTATGCTTTTTCATAATCCTTTTGCACGCCAATGCCATAGTAAAAATAATCGCCAAGTTTCAGAATTGCGTCTGCATCTCCTTGGGCAGCAGCTCGTGCATAAAATTCGTAAGCGAAGTCATCTGAAAGGCTTTCTTCCCCTGATATTTCAGGATAAAGGTATCGTTTCAGTGAATTGATTAAGTATTTGTTACCATCCACGAGATATGCCGCATTGGTCTCAGCAATTGAGTAACCCATCTGAGCAGAATACAAGTAATACATAAGGCTGTTTTCCGAACAATCATAATCTGCTTCTCTCATCGCTAAATTCATCGTGGAAGACGAGGAACGAACAGCTTCCACAAACTCTTTATACAGCAAAGCAGCTTTTCGCTTAGAAACAGGAGTCCCGATTCCATTAAAATAACAATCAGCTAATAACTTAGATGCTAATAAAACATTTTCCTTGTTTGCTAAGGTTAGGTAATGAACAGCGCTGTCAAAATCCTCGTATTCCATAGATAAAACTCCAAGGAAAGTGAGTGCATACCCATTTTTCATATCAGCGGCCTTTTTCATATAACTTAATCCCTTTTCAACGTCTCTCTCACTTTCATTTAATAGCCCATGATAAAATAAGTATCCCATCCCGTACAGCGAATTTGAGTCGTTATGAAAGATTCCGCGTTTGAGCCAGTGGGTAGCATTTTTCACGTTTTCTCTCTTAGAGTCTCCAAATACCTGTGCAAGACCTATGTAACCTGCAGACTTTGAGACCAAGTCAACAACATTTTCGGACGTCACGTGAACCGAACTCTCGCTCAAAGAAGATAAACCGCGAAACACTTTTGCAAAAATTGCTTCAGCTAAGGTATGGTTTCGCTGAAACGAATACATCCCATGAAGACGTAGCTTTCCAACCTCAAAAAGGATTCCAAGGTCCCATTCCTCCGGAGGATTCAAAATTTCTCGGTAATAATGCCGGATGGATTGAAAAGCACGACTAACAGGCGAAAAAGCATAAGCTGAAGCGGGTCCATAAACGCCTGTGCCATCGTCACCGGCAGAATTGTAATCGAGTATTTCAGGCCAAAGGTATCGGGAAGATGCCAAGAGAGATTTTGGGCCCTCTTTAGTAAGATCATCAGCGATGAGCTTGTAATGCTTTGCAGCCAACAAATAAGACCTTTCTGTATGCATACCAGTGAAATGATGATATGCAAGAAATTGATGTGCGTCAAGGGATCCCTGCTTTGCAGCAGCTTCCCAATACAGCCGAGATAAAGCAGGATCATAAGAAACCGTGTTGTAATAGCTCACGGAATGATAAAACCCAAGCATTAGGTTGCCAACAACACTTCCATTCGTTTTCTGTAAATGATCATAATAAGTATGGGCCATTTGAAAGTCTGGCTCAAAGCTATATATGCCAAAAAACATTATATTTGCAAGCAGAAGCATAGCATCTGTGCTATTTTCCTGAGCCGCAGATTTTAAAAGATTCGTAGCATATAACTTTGCTTCAATTGAGCTCGACTCATCCTCTAAGTTATTTCTTGCTTTTTTAATACGATCCGAAATGGATAAATTGAACTCTTCGCTAAATGGGCCATCTTGATTTGAAGGTCCAGTTGAGTTTACGAAGAAAAGCTCTGTTACATCCTGAGCATTACTTGAATGAGAGCAAAGTAATACGGATAAAATAAACAAGAAAATTATAGGCCTTGAAGGAATCATTTTTCGACAGCCCGAAAAATACCGAAGTATGGCAAAAACGATGTTTGTCAATTAAGTGCTTTAAGCTCCCAAATTGAGAGGAGAAAAAGCGTATAAAATGAACTTGCAAAGAATAATAATAACAAGAAAATAACCAACTCTAAGCGTGAAGTATACTAAGAAATTCAAATAGGACGGCAGTTCCAACACCCAAAGCGTTTATCTACAGTATAATTGTATGATGGAGCATCCAAATTCTTCCTTAACTTTTGAATAAAATCTAAGATACCTCACTTTAGGGGACCGTGAACAGGAAAACCTTGTTGAGATATTGCTATTTGTTTCAAAATATCAATTACGGGTCATACCTATTTAAAAAAATATTAAATAATTGTAAACAAAAGAAAATGGTTTTTACCAAAAGAATTGGACGTTCTATTGAATTTCAGTATACAGTGATGCGAGCTTCAAAGTACAGAAGCTGGCCTAGTGGAAGGACTAACGTAGTTTAAGTCAACCAAATCAAATTTTGCTAAACTTGAGGAAATACTTTCAATCTAATAAATGGATTCAGATAAGAACAATTCTGCGTCTTGTTCTTCCAAGAACAGCGAAGCTATTGCTAAATCGAAAGCCAGTTTGAAGAAAGCCGCTGAAGACCCAAATCCTCCTACAATCCATGGTCCTGGGGGAGTCCCTCTTAGGTAAGAACATCCATTGAAAATACTTACTAAATCTTACATCCTAGTAATCCGCCAAGACCCTTTTCTCAAGGTGGAAGAGCTAACTTCGACTCTATTAGGCTTCCAGATCACATTGATATTGTGAAGCCAGAGGAACAGGAAGAGAATAAAGGATAATCAGATTGCAGAACATTTACGGATGTAGTGCTCGAAAGTGAAACTAGTATGAAAGTTGAATACGAATATATGCGGATCATGATTTTATGAATAACGGACTCTGCAAATGCCATTCGATGATAATAATTATTGAAAAATTTTGTTTTTTAGATATGCTTTTTTGAATGAATTTACTCGACAATATAAGATACTTTATGCTGCGCAAACAGTAGCTACAGGATTTTGACATTACCCCTTTTACCAATTTTAATATTTGATACGAAAAGGATTAAATTCATCATGTATTGATCAGTGTTCATAACCATAAAAACCATAAAAATCGTCTAGTAGCAATCTGCTTGTGTACAACATATTAGACAAACAGTACCTGATTGTACATAGGATGCTAAACTTAGAAGATGCAATATCTAACAAAGAAAGGGAATCCTTCATAGACAACAACGGGAGCGGGTCTGTCTTTCCAGTCGAACTAAATCATCCCAATTGGTTATAGAAGCCCACCAGTTTGTAACACTCGTATTGTGTGACGGTTGAGAAGAACTCAAGTCTCCATATTGTATTCCTAAAGATTGATCTTGAGGATCAATTTCTCCCAATTCAATTCGAGTCAATATGGTAGATACGACTGATAGGAAACAGTCATCTACCTGGGTACCTGAGTATGCGCTTGTTTCATGTGCGCTAGCGATCTGTTTCGCCGAACAAAATTCTGCTGCTTCTTCCGTACTTACTTCTCGTTGCTCCTGTAGATCACATTTGCTTCCAGCTAAAACGACACATAGAGTAGAAGGAGCCATGGCGCGAATGTCGGACACCCAAGAAGACAACTCACAAAACGAATCTTTATTTGTAATATCATACACGAGCACTGCTCCAGCAGCCCCACGATAATAGTTTCGTGCTACACTTCGAAACTTTTCTTGACCAGCCGTATCCCATAGTTGAATTTTGATTCTTTTTTGCTGATTTCCCATACCGACAATCACAATTCTACTGGCAAAATCAATTCCAACCGTATGCTGAATCTCATCGTTCCCTAAAAACATGTTAGCATTCTAATTTCCTTTGCCAGCGTCAAATTTTACATCGTCCTTTGACAAAGCGCTCCAGCAGACAGGACTTGCCAGTTCCTGAAGGTCCCGCCAATACGATTTTTACCAAATAGTCATAAGACTCTTTATCCATTAGAAGAGACGAAGGGAAACAAATATTTAATGTCTCCTGGACGTTTACGAAAAGATGGTTTCTGGCTTTTGAGAACTTGTGGGTTTCTGAATAAATAATCTTAATAAGATTCCTAAAATATGTTTCTATAATTAAATAGACTTAAAAACGAATTCAAAGCAAAATGAAAACTCATAAACTGAATATGAAGTTACGAAACTGATTTACTGGACATAAATTATACAAGGATTCTAAATGATGGTTCTATTCTTAAAATTTTAGATAGAATATACATTGTTTCTGAATATTTTACGAGTATATTTGCACCTTCCAATACATAGATGTAATTTACCAAATCACCAAAAAATCAATCCAATTGGATTACCCAAACATTCTATATGCGAATTATAAGACTAAAAATAAAAATAACATGAAAAGTCCAACTCATCCGGAAACGTCGAAATTCAATTCCGTTTTCGATTAAACAGCAACAGCTTTCGGTTTTTCATATACCCATGAAAAAACTATTCTGATAGCTCAAAGAAATTGCATTGAAATAATAAATTCTTCAAGTAAGCCGTAAGCAGAGACAATATCAACAGCCTCTTGTTCAAAAAAATCCGGCTTTATTCTCACATATCCAAAAAAGCGACTCGATCATTTTCCTTGGTCTTGTTGTGGTTCAGACCGATATGTGTGGAATTTACATATTCTTTTGCTTTGACAGAGCTACCAAACTGTTAGAAAGATCATTGAAACAGAAACCAACAAATACTTACGATTGTAACAAAGTAACTTTTCAATCAAGTCGACATGAGTAAGGATCATACGTCTGCAGCAGTAGCGCTGTAAACCTAACTTGTCCAAGGCTTCACCTTCAGTGTTGTCTTCCTGGAGAAGGGTAAGATAGGTGTCCCATTTGTCGCCGATAACCTAAGCCTGTTAATATCGAATCTTCATAATTCAATCGCAGATAAGTATGAGCATGGAAATTCATTCCGTTTAAAAGTCATCCATATATTCATGCAAGCATGTCAACATGAAAAAGTACAATGAAAATTGTCACTTTTCAAACTTCTTAATAAAATGATTCCAGCTTCGTGATGTACTAAGAGAATATAATAGATATTGATAAATAACTTGTACATATTGCCATCTAATTTCCTGGAAAAGAATTTTTAATGGCTCACAGCTAAAACTTGTTGGTCGACAGATTCTATCAATTATCTTTTTCTTCTTTATATAACTGAGAAAAAAAGGAATTTCTACTCATCCTTAGACCCGTTCGACGGCCAAATGACGCTTCTTTTAACAAGCCGCTCAAATCTGGACCTTTTGAACCAGAAAAAAAAATTTCCATGCAGCAGACACAATCATACCTTTCCACAAGAAAAACAACGAATTGGAATAATCATTTTCCTTTTTCTTATATGTCCCGTCCCCTCTTGGTGTTTGTTGGTGGAGAGTTTGTACGCCCTCACAACACTCTTCCTCCACCAAGGAAAATACGGTGTAGGCAGTCGATTCTTTGCCATACTGAACTTATCCTTCCCCAACCACCATTGTTTTGTTTACCTTGCATATTTGATTCTTTTTTCTTAATTCCCGAGGAAAGAGACAATGGAAGAGGTGAAAAGAGCCGAAAAAGATTCTTCAGTGGGTCGTAAAGAGGTTAAAGACCCATGGACAAAACGTGCCTATTTAGGCGGTCATATGATCCCTCAGTTGCCTGCTATTTATTCAAACGACAACAAGTAAGTAGTTTAATCAATGAATGTATAGGATAAAGGTTAAAAAGCGTTGGGTTTCGAAGCAGAACTTTTACAAATTTCACGAAACGTTCAAGGAGCGATCGGCTACCTTTGAAAAAGAATAATAACTCTCAAAATTATTAAAATCATTTTGACAAATAAAAGATGTCTTGTTCTATTTGGTTCAAATATATAAAAACGTTAATTCAATCCGGTGCTTTTTAACTTGTTACTGCTATTCATTTTATTATCTTTTATCCTATTTACTAACAGAAACAAGATTCCTTTTCATTACATATGACACTTTTGTCGGCATATTCTCGTTGATTACTGGGGAGTGCGTCAATCGAATTTTCTTTACAACACAAAATAACGATTCTACCCCTCTTGCTGTTTTACTTTCTCCTCAAAATGCTTTTGAGCTTTATCTTGTGTTTCGTTCGGGATTCGTGTGTGTCCATGATTGGGCTACCACTGAACTTCTCCGTACGATGGAAATATCCACCCGTGTTCATGCAGCTACATTTTCTGGTAATACTCTATTTGCTGTTACTGATGCTCAACCCTCAAAGTCTGGCCCTTCTAGTGAACGTTTCATCTTGTATGCTCTTCTTCCTTCTATATCTGAAAAGTCGTCGAGCTTGAACCCAACCTTCATCTTTAAGTTTAATGATTTCATTGCTCTTTCTAGCAGTGAGACTTCTGCCAACCTTCCTACTGTGGCTGTTTTAACAAACGACAAGGTAATGTTTGCAGTCAATGTTCCCAAGAAAAAAAAGCACCAATCTCGTTGGGAAATTCATGAACACAAGTTTAATCAACCACAAGCGTTGACTCATATTTCCGTTCATGAAACCAAGGTAGCTGTAGCTGATAATGAAGGGCGCATCCACGTCTTTTCTGATTTTACTAGCAGTCGAGTCTCCGGTCCTCGAATTATGCACTGGCATGCAAACCCTTTAGGTGGCTTGACATGGGCTTTGGATGGTGAATATTTGGTTTCTGGCGGCCAAGAAGGTGTCTTGGTTTTGTGGACTTTGGAAACTTCCCATCGTCAATTCTTGCCTCGTTTAGGTTCCTCTATTGATTCCATATCTGTTTCCCATAACTCCGATTCATACGCCCTGCATCTTGGAGATAACTCTTTAACCGTAATAAAAGCCGTCGATTTGACAGAACAGATCCATGTTCGCGGCATTCATCATATGATTCCTGGACCTTCTGACAAAATGACTTCTGAAGATGATAGAAAGGCAATTGGCGAGCTTTTTAAGTTTTCCACCGTTAACCGTCGAGGAGAATTGATGCTGCTTTCTTCATCTTGTTTCAATGGTCACTTTGTTGCTTTACAGCAATATGACTTAAAGGCCGATGCTTGCATTCGTAATTTTGAAGTGGCTCGCTACTCTTATGGCTCCGTTTCTAAGACAGCAGCAGCATCTCCTGCTAATGAGACTGGATATATTTCCTCAATTGCAGTAGCCTGCTCCAATGATGATTCCTATATTGCGACGCTCGATTGTTGGACAACCAATACTGTTGATCAACAACAGAGAAAGATAAAACAAACCGCTTTAAAATTTTGGCAATTTGATACTGTTGCTAAGACTTGGAAGCTAATGACTCGTATTGATCAGCCCCACGATAATAACCAAGACGTTTTGGGTCTTATAAGTACGACTACTGGCAACAAGTTTGTTACTTTAGGCACCGACGCGACATTGCGCGTTTGGACTTTAAGTTCCCGAACTTGGGTTTGCTCGGCAATGCGTCGTTTTGCAAACATCATAGGTCAATCAACTTACTCATTTTCACATGCCCTTACGAATTCGTTGGACGGATCTATCATCGCATTTGGTTTTGATGCTTGTGTGCACTTAGTACATAGTGAAACCCTCGAAACCATCTTTATAATTGAAGTTCCTCACGGTGGTCCTATCGAAAACATCAAGTTCCTTGGAGAAGAATACTTAGTAATTGTCTCTCAACGTCGTTTGATGATATGGAACGTGGTTTCTATGACCGCTCAATGGACAGTATCTGGCAAGTTTACGGGACTCTTGGCAACGAGTCAAAACGGACAAGAATTTGCCGTTGTAGACACAAACTCTTCGTATTCTCGTTTATTGATTTTTGCCTGTGATTATCCAAACTTACTTTCTATGCATATATATAAGAATGCTCCGTTGGCCTTGCATTTCGCCCATGGTGCTTTCCTTCTTCTTGACGATAAATCTGCTTTGCATGCGTATGGCGGTACATTGGCTAGCAAGGTCCCAGCTGCTAAACCATCTGTCATTGAACCGACTAAATCCTTATTGGGTGACTTTAAGTATGGTGTTTCCGCTGTGGTGAAATCAAATACGAATGCAGCCAATGTTGAACCAATCTATAAGCGCCTTACTGCTAGCATGGTTCACAACTTGTTTAATTTGCCCTCTACTGCACCTGTAGATATGGAGGGTATGTACCATGATTTTTCACAGTTGGCAGTGGGCGAACCCCTTGGTTCTCTAGGCAGCAAGGTGGCATCGATGTCTTCCAATTAGAAAAAGATGAAGAAGTAAATAATTAAAAGGAAACTGGCTTAATGTTGATAAACGTATGAATGTGACGTGCCGTACTATTGAAACTGGATATCTAAACATTTTTTGTCTTTGATATGCAAGTAGGATAAAACGTGCTTGAAAAGACATGCCATGAAGCTAGTAGGGAAGAGTCTCATGGCTCTTTTCTTGATTGTTACACCAAGTGCGTGCACTTTCCTACTGTCTTTGTTTAACATGGGGTTCTCTTGGTTATGGATATTGGTTTTATAGATTTTTTTGTTTTACTATATATAGTTTTTTGCGATAATAAAAGAATTGATAATTTGATAATTATGAATTGATATAAGGATCCCAAACAAGCGGTACCTGGTTTTGGATCCATGATTCAAAAGAATAATGCTAAGTTATTTTATTCTTCTAAATTTCATCTTCTACCTATTTTCACTTTTTTACACGTACGTCCATAGCCATTTCCTCAATTCTTATTACTGCCTCACCCTTCCTGGTCTTGCTACAGTAATAGCTAGCACTGTTCGCCAACTTGCGAAAAACGATTCAGTACGAAATAGCAAAAAATCTTCTATTGTACCATAGTATATAATTAATATGCCTACAGATCTTTGGTAAGTATACAATGTTCCTTAGAATCTCATAACTAACGGAGTCTAGCCCTGTGTATGTCGGAATTTGATAGCAAACAGAGTTCTGACCTTCTAGCTACGCTCCCTTCTTTGGTGTAATGGGATGCACCGCTGCAATTGTATTTGCTAGCTTTGGTGCTGCTTATGGTACTGCCAAAGCTGGTGTTGGTATCAGTGCCATGGGTGTTTTGCGTCCGGACCTTATTGTGTAAGTATTGCTCATAAAGATCGTATAAAGGCAACGAAGGTAGCTCAATCTACAAGAAGGCTGCAGCTTGTTTTCATTTTCTGATAAACGGCGTTTGTCTCGCAGTGAATAGAATTGTAGCCGCCTGATGATATCTTTGTTCCTCTTCCAAGAACAAGGGACGCTATCGAGGCTTTTTTATATGCATATATACGTCTTGTTCTTAGAAGATCTAACATAAATTAGTAAAAACACGATCCCCGTCGTCATGGCTGGTATTATTGCAATTTATGGCTTGGTCGTTTCTGTTTTAATCTCCGGTAACCTCAAGCAAAATCTTAGTCTTTACAGCGGTTTTATTCAGCTTGGCGCTGGTCTTTCTGTAGGCTTGGCTGGTCTCGCTGCTGGTTTTGCTATCGGTATCGTCGGTGACGCTGGTGTTAGGGGTACTGCTCAACAACCTCGTCTTTTTGTAGCTATGATTTTGATTCTCATTTTCGCTGAAGTTTTGGGACTTTACGGTCTTATTGTTGCTTTATTGTTGAATACTCGTGCTACTGATAATGTTACAGTATGTATAAAAAGGGGCGTTTCTTCTACTTCCTTTTCTTTTTTTCCTTGAATGGTGTACCGCTAACTTTTTATAGTGTTATTAGGGCGTTTTAATACTTATGTTGGATTCAGTCCTTTTCTGTATGATTTTACAATGTTCAGCTTGATTTTCCTCTCGCATGAATAGATTAGCCCAATTTTTTTTATGTGCCCTTTTACAACACCTAGTAATCGTCCTTAAGTATAGATAATTCGAGAAAATAATTCACTATCTACCATAACAGAACGAGCACGATAGAAAAACCAACACTTATTAACGATAAGTCCTACGAAAGAATCATTCAGTTGACTTACAGAATCAAAATTTCCCAAGTGACCAAAGAGTTAATTAAAGTAGATTAAAGAAAATTATTCAAAACGCTACTGTCCGTGAGCGTATTTATCCCCCATGGTAGTTTCAAACTTTTCATGAAGAAACCAGACTTTATGTAATAACTGCAAACCTACTTTGCACTTTTGTCCAGCTACATATATTTAAACGCTGCAGAATCTTCCTGTTTTAGTAGTTACGGCCAGTCCATATCACAATCATGTGTACGTTATCGGATCGTTGAGGCGCCAAAGCCCTTTAGATTAGAACAACTATAGTCAAAAGGGTAGGGTGATATTTTGCTACCAGCATGTCTATCTCATCTGAAGTCTGCCAAGAAAAGATGCTCATTATTATCTGAAGGGGGGTGATCATGCTAATAGAAACAATTTTGATGGTTGAACAAACGATCATCTAAGAATTGTATCACGATGATCGTTAATCATGGCACAATAAGTAGCTCAGTAGCAATTATGCGCGATAAAAATCATCTGTCAGGAAACGAAATTCAGAAGATTAAAAATACACCATAACAGTTTCAGTGAAGTGGATCAATTTGCAAAAATTAATAATAATTTAGGGTAGGACCTTTTTTTTCTTGATCAAATGACATAAAAAAACCTTAACAGATTGATTCCTATTCAATTTTCAAGAAATGCGCCTCTGTTAGAATGCTGAGGAAGCAAAAATAAAAAGAAATTATTTTACAACCCATTTCTAGCTCATTTGGAAGGAAAGCAAATAAATACACCCTCCTTACGTGGATTCTTAACAAACATTTCCATAAATTTACGTTAAGAGGAGAAAGATAACATCCAAAGATACCGTCTCGCTCAATGTGAAGATTCATCCTCAGTTTGTAACTCGTGCATAGTGGGTTGCTGCTCTTTAGGTTGGGTTGCCCAGAAACTTGCACGGAACTGTCCAAATCCCGTCTTTTCTAAAATACACAAGACGAACCCAGAAACGATGGAAAGACCAATTAATCCCATACAAACTTCGTTGCTCTTGTGATACGTCGTATCCGCAGGCCAACCCGAGTAGAGCGCATAGGTTGTCACGACAGAGCCCAAATTTCCTACACCTGTTACTAAGGCCAAGCTTGCAGCAACACCAACATCACCGTATGAAACGACCATCAACTCGGAGCACCAAGCCATACAAATGGGAACAGTGGGTCCTAAACCAAAACCGATCATCAGTAGACCACCATAGCGTGACCAGGGTGTGTGAGCATAAGTGGCAACGCACAGACCAGCAATAATAATTAGACAGCTTGAAGTAAGAAATGATAGTCTGTAACGGAAGCGATCATAGAGAGGCATGACTAGAACAATTCCCAAAGCGTCGCAAACCCAGATAGGAGCATTTAGAAGAGAAACAGTGGTACTTGAGAATTTAGGATTGATTTGTTCAATGATTAATGTGCAATAACCAAAAATTCCGTTACCGACGCCTACAACACCGAAGTAAATCAAAACAAAAGGCCATACACGAAGGTCAAAGCAAGATTTTAGCAAATCGATCCAACTCCAATTCTTGCCTACGTTCATGTCCAACATATAGCGGTGATGTAAATGTTTCTCACTTTGGTTGAGAAATTGCCTGCGAGTCGGTGACATATTCTTCATCCATTTGGGAAGCGGAATATAAGACAAAAGGTCCCTTCCATTCTTTTGATAATTTTCTACTGCAGGTAGCCACCAAGGAATAGTGAGAGCTTGAGCAACAGAAACAACACCCCAGATCAAAAACATCCATTGATAACCGTATAGTCCGCGAACATTATCCATTTTCTGAAAGCCAGCGGAAACCAGACTAACAACAGCCGCACCAATTTGGGCAGCCGTATAATACCATCCGATTCGCTTACCCAAATGCTCACCCTTGTACCAACGACTCATGTAATAAGCCAACCCTGGCCATAAGCCCGACTCTGCAACGCCTAAAAAGAAACGCAAAGCGACATAAGACTTTGCGTTACCATGTTTGGTTCCCAAGACTGCGTGACACAAACCCACGACACCAATGGTAAACTGAATACGGGCGACCCAAACAGAGGGTTCAACAAAAACCATCATCAAGTTGGAAGGAACCTCGAAAATAACATATCCAACATAGAAAAGAGCGAGGCCTAGAGACAGAAGATGAGGGGTATAACCAGGTAATGTTTGAATGAGATTATGGCCCTGTTTGGTGTTCATGGTAAAAGAAAGCGAAACGGAAGAACGTAAGCAACAAGCTAGAAAGTAAAGGATCCAAAGACAAGGTATAATACGGATATCGCTCTTAAGACGAAGTCTTCTTAACCTTTTCTTTTCTTCAGGATTGAGTTCCTCTTCCTCTGACGGAGGAGAGTTCAAAACATGGTCATTGGCTTCTAGGTCAGTAGGAATTGACATTGCAGAATGCTGAATAAAAGCATCCTGCTTGTTCTCCATCTCCAAGTGCTTTTCAAAAGGAGAGGAAACAGTATTCATGTTCATGAGTGACAGTATATGAAAGCCTTGGCAAAACGGCGTATTATGTATCAAAGATAAATAACTTTTAAAAGGAATGAAGGATAAGAGCTGAATGAATAAAAAAAAAAAAAAAGATAGCTATATT